CTGTTGCTACTGAGGCACACTCGACAGGCACTTGACAGTAAATTGAATGCAGTCTTCTCCAGTATAGGCCATGTTCTTCGGTCCATACAACTTTCAGATCCTCCCATTGCAAATTCACCATCTGCTCGTCCTTATCCTCCGCCATTACATCTACTGTCAAGAGAAAAACACAGCTAACATGATTACATCTCCGAGCTTTAGACTACCGAGAAAAAGACGAGGACGTGAGTTGTCTAAAAATTCTAGTTGACTGGATCGTAGCGACTTTGCGAGGTTGGCCAGGACTTGGAGTTTGTATTCGTGTCTGCTGGGTTCTTGAAACTCGGTCACCAGGGACGGAGTACTGAAACTCCCATTCCCCATTTCCCGTCTTCTGCTCCAACTTTGCCTTGCTGGTGAAAATCTCTTTGCGAGGGCGAGCGCCATTTTGAGCAGCGCCGAATATTGCTATAATAGACAGCGATGCTTTCCCAACCATCTGGTGCCGTATACACGATGCTCTTTCCCTGAGACAGCCCGATAATAATCATCACAGCATACGGGCGCTCATAAGGCCCTGTCCTCTATCGAGCGTCCGCTACGCTCCGTGTCCACTGCGGCGGGGGACTCGGCCGCCCGTAAGCCCTAGTGCACTCTTTTGACTACTCTGCAGCAGAGCCCTGCCGGAACTTCCGCGGTCTGGACAGGAGGCTATACGTGTCCGTCGTCGCGTGGCGTGGACCGGCGCACTGTGTAGTGTTGTGTAAACACAACACTGTGGTGCAGATTAGGAGAAGAGCGTCCGTTAGAGAAATACGAGGCACGACGGGAAGTGGTGTTACGAAAGTATTTTCAAACATGACGCGAGCAAGTCCACTTCAAGTCACGGTTTGCTAGCTAGCTAGAAAATTCAGGTGATTTAGTGTTTTCGGAAGGCTCTTGTGCCTCTGCAGTGGGTGCATTCCGACGTTGGACCTGTGCGTATGAGACGTTGTAGAGCTCGGCACTCAACGCGCAACGTCCTCTTGCTGTGCACTACTGCAGCCTCTCATCCGCGTCTTCAGCACGCTGCAGCACCGAGGTATGTATGAGCACTTCTCCGATGAAAGCTTGCTTTCGGCTTGAAGGCAATGTGAAGCTGGCAAGTTAGATATCGTCATCGATGTGCACACAACACCCCAGCAAGGGATGGTGGGAAGCTTCATTGGTCCGGCGACGCTCTAGCACACACACATTACTATGTGGTGTGTCCGACCCAATCGTGCTAGAGGCATGCTACGGATCAATTGTGGCCTCTTGCCATCACTGGTACTCATGGCCACTCACCATCAATCCGCCCTAGAGTGAAACCTCTGATAAGTGACAGCTGGTGATATTATAACAAAAGTCTCGAGGTGCCCTTATTCGGAGGTCAGGATTAATGGACATAGTGTTGCTAGAACATATTCGAAGGGTCGAGATTTATGTTCTGACACGCACGGTAAACGCAATCAGTGCATGAGTTTCCCTGTGGTGCACGTAAGAGGACATGGTGTTGGTCAATGCGCCGTTCCGGCTCCCTGGTACCATCTGGGGATCTCTCTCTCCACGCAGCTGTCGGTCGTCTCTGGTGTGGCATGCAGAGCATTCATGCTGCCGCACTCTTCCTGACCGAGTCCATGCCGGGTAGGTCAACCATCATCGTTTCCCACGGAGCTGCAGTTATGTGTATACTGACTGTTCCACATTTTATGGCCATTATCTTTGGATGCACTGAGGTTCACAATTGTTCTGGATGCTGCACTTGGTATCACTATTGCCTCGTCCCGCACACGTGCTATTGCCACGTATTTTTAATATGAGATCACACTCCTCTGTGGATTTCTCTAGGTTATGATCGCTATCATGCATGTCTGAGGACCACCCATCGTCCCATTGCGCATGCGCTATGTCCAGTCGGCAGATATTGATGGAAGATCGCCGACTGGACAGGGACTATACGACATCTCCTCCCTCTGATGGAAGACTCATGCCAGGTACACATAATGCCTTGTATAGCAGCATACCCCAGTGTATTATATAGCAGTGGCAGTCTACAGTATTTGAGTAGTACGATACATGGCAATATGCCAAGTAACTGATATCGCCATCAGCATTTAACAGGCCAGAGTGCTATCTACGATGCCAGGTACTAACAGTCATACCGCCCCCCAATAAGCCGCATATTCAACATACACATCAAAAGTTGCACGTACTCTAATGATGATATATTTTACACCATCAAATGGTCTAATAATCTGCTATGTTTCGTCTGCGAGGAGGTTGGTACGATAGCCTGCAGGAGTGGCCAGAGTGGGAACAGAGGTTTGGACAGAACGCAGATACCCGACAGCGGCCCAGACTCTGCCAGGACTTGAGAATCGAGCACTACCTCTCAGACAGGATCGAGGAAACTAATCCTCTTCGTATACTTAGAAATTGACTGAACTTATTGCACAGGGAGAGAAATTCTGTGAGCATACGACCCTAATTCTCTACTATATATATCAAGTATAAGATATCACCCCTCTATGAGACGCACCACACAAAGGCTCTATTTGGCAACTATTTGTGCCACTTAGTTCACATGAATCATGCGCAGTTCATGCATAAATGTTCTAATAATGACCATCACGAGTGTGTGTGGATGCAGGCTATGGATCTGTTTGATATGAGTAATGGCTATTCATCTCTGGAGGAAGGTGTCCAGAGAGTCATATGCCCCATCCTGGTGATCTATCACGCGCACACACACACACACACACACACACGTTCATAAGACACAATGCTCAGATCAAAACTCAAAAGGTCAGGAAGCACCTGTAATATTGTCACATCTGTTGGTTTTGGTTTAATTTTGACCCCAGGTCTCCTACGTATGTATGAACCTCTGCACTGAAACACAGGGACTTTAACTAAAGCCATTTCTCACTCTTGTAAAAACTTGTCATTGCAGGTTCTGGGGGTTACTTCAGACGTGTTATTCCCAGTCCAGCAACAGAGGGATATGAGCGAAGTACTTCAAAAATCAGGTCGATACGCAAACCTATGCCTCTCCATTATTCGTATGCACTATACATGTAGTTAAATCCCTGTAGGGAACAGAAACACAACGTACTACGAGCTAACCTCCATCTACGGGCACGACACTTTCCTACTGGATGTCATGAACGTAGGGACAGCCGTGAAGGTACAATTGTTGCTACAATGCAAAGTCTTGACCAATGCAGTTGTGATGTTTTTCACTCCAACAGGGCCATTTGGAATCAACACTCACTATTTAGCTTCTGGCCACAATTGCCTCGTTTTTCAAACAGATTTTATATCGTGCCCAGTTTTCTAGTGGGCTGACAGGATTTGAGATTTTACGGATATTCTGCACAGCCAATTTTTTTTTTTTATGAGCTATAATTTACACAGATCATAGTGGTGGGGATGCCAAAACACTCCAAATTTGGTTGTCGAAACTCCAGAGTGATTTTTTAGAAAGCCGACAGCATTTAAGAGAACAATAGTTTGGGTTTCGGTGCGTGATTTATTATCTGTGGAGAAGGTCTCCAGGACAGGATACCGCGTTTCTCCACTTACGAGTGGCTCGCGAGTAAGACTGGTAGCCAGTGAGGAACGGGGCGAAGACGAGGAAGGAGATGACGAAGAGAGGATGAGAGCGATACCAGAGTGTGGATAGGAGAGAGAGTGGTCCGGGGAACTGCATGTGCAGGGCGTCGATGTGGAGCGTTGGAGCGAAGTTGGTAGAATCGAACCGATGTGTTAAGCGACTAGGAGACAGTGGAGTGGATGCTTCCCTCTAAGACACACCCTCAAATGAGGACACCTCTCCACCTTCTTTCCCCAGAGCAGCTCTTGCATGCAACTTAACCTCTTGTGTGGACACCTTCCAATAGGTGTCCTGCTCAGATGGTTACAAATATCTGCTTGGCCTTCTTAGTGGCAAACAGTGGTGTTCCAGGCAAAGCATGGTAGGCGGTAACGAAATAGTGCGTAGAATTTGGTAGGAAAACAGTGTCATTACCCACACCTCTTGAGCCAAGCGTAGAAGTGTTCGCAGACGGCAGCTAGGAGCATCAGTTTGAACGGGACGGCAGGGAGGTAGTGGTGGAGGAACAACACGCGAGACAGGAGGAAGTAAGGGAGATAGTGGGCCAGCCAGCCCACCAGCAGAACACTGCCACTCGTCCACCACTGGTGAAACTCAGCTGTATGTAGCACATGTGTGGGGTTGGGGTTTCATAGACCAGCTCATTCAACTCTACAGGTATGTAGTGTGTAGCATCCACACAGAGTAGAGAGAGAGAGAGAGACATGTCAGAGGGTGCTCACCCATCTCACCGTGTGGTAGATCAAAGATCTCTCTCCTCCTCCTCAGCAGGTGGACGGCGGTCACAGCCAGGAAGACGACAATGCCGACAGACGCAACCCACCACATCACTGGGTTGCCTATCAGGGTCACCTGAGCCTGTGTGTGTATGTGGTGTCAAAATGTGTACGTATATAAAACACATGCCAATAATAGTACGACTGTGACAAATGGATTGAAATTGGATTACGTTGCCTTTCTCGTCAAGCCAATAAGGCAGGAGTTTCCCCATCAGAGGCCAGTTATGAGGAGTTGCTCCAAACTGGTGTTCTCCGAGGTTTCCGTGGGCAGTAGCCATGTGGACCTGCGACAGAGAGAGAGAGAGATGATGATGATGAGTGTATAAGATTGTCGATGCTTACTTGAAGCTCGACGTATTTCTCCCAAAAGTTGAGGGTTTCTTGAGAGTCATCATCTTCGTCTTCAGATTTGGCCGACCCGGTGCCTGGGTTCTGAGTCTTTTCACGGATTACTGTGTGTGTGTGCGAGTGAGTGAGTGGAGAGAGTGGAGAGGAAAGAAAAAGGAAAGAGAGAAGTAAAGAGTGGTCTATGTATATACAGGACTGTAGCCACGAGCTCACATCTCTCCTCTTCGGCCCAGGCAGTGGCGTTGGAGGGAGGCGGAAGGACGACATCTTCCAGTGACCAGACTGCTGTGGTGGAGCTCACGTCTCTTTCAGTCACGACCTCGTACTGCTGGAAGGCCCACTCTGGCAGCCTCTTACCTGTACACTGCAACACACACACACACACAATACACTAATCTATCTCGTGAATGAACATAATGGCATAATAATCAGTGACGTACTATTGGCGAGTATGAAAATTTGTCGAATAAAAAATGGTAACTAGACAAACAAAACGACCTTTACATACATACAGTAAGTATATACACTGTAAAGGTGCACAAAACTGCATTCATTAACATTTAACATTAAAACAGCGCAGTGTTTTCGATACATACACGGCGATGGTGTGCTTACTGCTAGTGTCTGTTTTGAGTGCTCGTGGATGAGTTTCAGCTTCAGTTTTCCCCTCTCGTGGAATACGGGACTCCCATCTGGCACGCCCGTCACTTCCTGGAACACAAACAAACGTGTGTCTCAAAACTACCAATTCGTTGCTGATACGGTAGTATATATATATACCAGTCTCCATTCAAGGTGAGGGACGAACTGGGAGGAGTAGTTAACGTAGCCAGCCACTTCCTGGTGTGTGGGTGTCAGTGGAGCGGCTACATCGTGACTGACAAAATAAACGGCGAAACACCCGAATTAAGTCTTCGCGTATATCAATTAGTTCGACACTAATTTCGCAAGAAATCTTTTACTTTGAGGTGTCCCATATTTGGAGATATAATATACTTTTATACTACTATTGGGCACAATAATCCTTTACAGAAACGTTCAGAGGACATGTTTTTAATGCATCAGAAATTCTTTAAAAACACCATCAACCCTGTAGATGTATATACCTGTTCAGAATTTTTGAGGTGTTGATGTGAACCAACTCCACCAGATCTTTGTTCCGTACCGGATCGTGGGAATCGGACCCAGCACCCGCCACGCCCCCAGGACCGAGCGGTCTTCGTACCTCCCACAGGTTGTTGATGTCGGCAAACTCGTAGCACGTGACCTGTTGTTGATAGGAGGAGCCCCTGTCGTCGGGGTATTTGAGAGGGTAGAGATGTGGGTGGGAGTGGAGCCAGCACAGGGCGTCTGTCGACTTGAGAGACACATGAGACCCGTAGCGGAGCACTTGAGGAGGGGGAGGAGAGAGGAATGGATTGAGGCACTTTATGGATGGGTTGGGGCAATTGGGAGGGAGAGCAAGGAGAAGGACAAAATAAGACAGATACCCTGGCAGCTACATAGCATTATTTGACAGCCTAAACTTTTACATAGAAGTTGAAAGGAGGATTCAGTACAGAGATATTGAGCTCCCTATAAAAGTGTGGGTCAGAGAAACACAGATTTTCTCTATAGCCAAGACCAAACACTATCTGGACGTGAATGGAGTTATAATGTAGAGCACTCACGTGTGGTATTAGGAGAGAGGTGGATTGGCTCGGACGTCGTCTCAACAGTACCCTGCACAATGACAGACTCACCTCACAGAGCCATGACTCTGAGAGACAGCGTGACAATATGTCGCTGCATTCTCAGGCAGGCCCCCCCCTCCTACATACGTAACTAATGTGTAAAAGGGGCAAGGGGGCTGGGCTAAGAGAGATGCACACTGCATAAAAGCTCCCAAAGCCTAGCAACACATATGAGCCAACCAAGAGTTCAAAAGATAGGGAGAGAGAGAGAGTGTGTGTGTGTGTGCGCGTGCGTGCGTGAGACATACTATGAGGGTGTTCCTGAATGGTTTGGAGACAAAGGCGTTTCCAGGGCCCGAGTTGGTGAGGACGGTGAAATGAATGAAGAATAGTATCAGGCTAATCACCAGGGGTATCCCCAACATGTACACTCCCCTCAGGAGAAAATGGAGGAGGAAATCGAGCTGAAACAAAGAGTTTCGATTACTCCCGGCACATGGGAGGGGTCGGGTGGCTTACCAGGTCAATGGTTGTGTCAGCGATGAGTTGCCAGAGATCGCAGAGTGTGAGGAGACCGACACACCCCAGTCCCAGTAGTCCCGTGTACTTCACTCTACACACAGGTGGCATATGGGGAGAGGAGAGGGAAAGGGTGAGGTGAGAGGGAGAGGGAGGAGGGTAGGGTGGGGGAAGAGGGAGAAGGGAGGAGGAGGATGGGGGAAGAGGGAGAAGGAAGAGGGAGGAGGGTAAGGTGGGGGAAGAGGGAGAAGGGAGGAGGGTAAGGTGGGGAAGAGGGAGAAGGGAGGAGGGTAAGGATTCAGCTCAATCTCGTCCGATTGAGACAATAGCAACAAGATGTGTTAACGGCAAAGGAGAGTTGTTAGTGTGCCTCTTACCCTAGTAGCGTGCCCAGAGAAAGACCGGTGTAAATGAGCCCTCGGTGCCACTCCCCAGAGAACGGCCTGCAACAGTAGCATAAAGAACTACAGTGGAACCCCTCTCTAAGGACACCTTCCAATAAGAACACCCCTCAATGAGGACACCTTCCAATAAGAACACCTCTCAATGAGGACACCTTCCAATAAGAACACCCCTCAATGAGGACACCTTCCAATAAGAACACCCTCAATGAGGACACCTTCCAATAAGAACACCCTAATGAGGACACCTTCCAATAAGGACTCCTCTTCTTTCCCCAAGAACAGTTCTTGCATGATATTTAACCCCAGAAATTAAGTTATTATTGTGTGAGTTGAGTGTGAGTTGAGTGTGAGTCATACCTGTGCCTGAGGTGGTAGAACTTGAGGTAGCAGAGAACGGAGAGATAGGAGAGAAAGATGACGAAGGAGTCAAGCATTATCACCCTGCTCTGAATGATGAGAGAATTGTCTGTGTGAAAATGAGAACGGAGCAGAGAGAGCACCGAGAAAGAAGTAATGTATGGTACTATGGCAGACTGTCTCTAGACACTGCTCACCTAAGATGGTAAAGAGGCTGGCTAGAAAGGCTGCTCTATGTGAAAACCCCAGCTCGACCATGATCTGCAACGACAACAGTTTATAGCCACGAACACAACTATCACAGATATAAACAGTGGAACCCCTCTAATCCAGACACCAATGGGACAGAAATAAGTATCCTTATTAGTGAGGTGTCCTTATTTTCGGCGATTAAACTGGACGCTAGAAACTGTTCTCGGTGAAAGAAAAGGTAGAGAGAGGTGCTCTGCTTTCAGGGGTTCCACTGTGAATTATCCACACACCTGGTAAATGCAAGGTACTAATAGTGATCCTGCCAGGCCTGACGCACTTCTCATGAGGACAAACGGCACTTCGTGCGGGTACTCTGCACGCAATGCACAAGTCAACGGCCACTGAGAGAGAGCTACAATATACCTCATCTACGGACCACTGACCTAATCCTATTGTAGTGAATAGAAACGATCCATTGAAACCTGTGCTATAACCTGCGCAGAGAAAAAGTCAGAGATAATCAATTGGCAAGCCTACACAGTCAGCTCTCATTATGTTTTAACATACGATAAATGATTTTTACCAATGGATAATACGTACATTACCATTTACCTAGTGCTGCAAAGATGAGTTTCCCTAGTGGAGGATGTACGTCGAAGAAAAACGTTCGTGTCAAGTAGTAGCTTGCAAACTTCCCAAAATGGACCTCATCAAACCTGAGACACACAGAGAGCATCCATCAGTTAAAAACAGAGTATAATGTATTCCACAGGGACCCATAGTAAGCCACTCCTACTGACCGGTTTATGTACAGAGGTGAAGATGTTCGAGTCTTAACAGAACATTTACTGTCATGGTGCATTCACTCATAACCGAAAATTTTACCAGGCATCATCTTTTATTGTTCACTACCATATAGCAGTTATTTAATGGGACCAAAATTTTTTACCGGGTGCAATTTTAATTCAACCTGAATAGCAATTTTTTTCCCCCAAGAATAATGGTTTATTGTAGACTGACACGACGTAGTGAGGGAAGTCGATTCTCCAGAACCTGGTGAGGAAGGAGAGGGCCAGAGCCAGCCACCACAGGAGGTTGACCTCTGTGGTGAAGGTCAGCCACGGTCTCTCCCTGGTGTAGGGGAACCATATGGTGACGGGGGAGGAGGAGGAGGAGGGGGAGGGGACCGGTAGGCGATGGTGGGGGGAGAGAAGGGACACACCCTATGAGAGAGAAACACACAATGATGGCTGTGGGTTCACATATATACCTGCTTCGTGATGTATACAGTGGAACCTCCCCTATAAATAGGACACTTCTCTAATATTAGGACCCTTTCTCTCTACAAGAACAGTTATTGAAGAAGGTCACTAAATATGGACACTTTCTTCTGTCCAATGTGTCTCTAGATTAGAGAAGCTCCATTGTTGGAAAATCTGGGAACAAGACTACTTGCCTGAAAACTAACAGGAGTTACAGCGTATTTATGGCAACAGTGTACGCCGTGCAACTGACCGGTTGAGGAGATCTCGTTACCGGCGATCGACTGGCGGGAGAAGCGTCTTCTCCCGCCTGCTTGGACTGTCAGGGACGACAGACGGAAGTGAGGCATCACTCTAGCAACTGTATTCCTCACCCGAGGAAGCAGTCTCTTTCTCATCACGCCTTCTGCCTCCATTTCAGTTCACCGGCCCGATCCGGCCGCGACCCCACGCGTTCATTTGCGCATGCGCATGTAACCCGCAAACAGTTCTGCTGATGCATGCATGAGCGAATATTATGTCGGCTGAATTTGACCTAGGAGGAGTGGGTAAGACTTGTACAGTGTAGCTATTGCAAAAGAAACTGAGCACACTGAGCTATGTACTTCTCTGCAGTTGTAGAGGTAAGCACCTCATCTGAGGAGTGCCAGCAGTGGATCAACCGTGGGGCGGTCCAAATGTTTGGTTTTAACCCGGAGGAGGCCATCAGATGCTTCCGCAAGGCCCTCTACTTCAGCCCAGACTGCGCCATGGCTCACTACTTCATTGCACACTGCTGTGCACCGAACTATAACGACGCAAGTGGGCTGGACTGCAGTCAAGGTCTCAAGGAGGCTCAAATGGCTCTGGAGACCGCGTCTCAGGCACCAGCAGGTCTCGAGGACTGGGAGAGTGCCATGATAAAAGCCAAACCTCACCAGTTTACCGATGAAGAGTCTGGAGACGGTGTCAGTCGCTCGTACTGCAACGCCATGCGTCCCGTTTACGAGAAATTCGGCGAAGAAAACACACTTGTTGCTGCGGTGTTTGCAGAGTCACTGATGATGTTGGCTCCGTGGACTCTCTGGACCAGCCAGCCCGATGTAAAACCTGCCATTCCCGAGACCGAGGGAGCTGGTGAGAGTTCTGGAGAAAGGTCTAGAGAAAGACCCCACCCACCCCGCCCTCTGCCACTTCTACATCCACACCATGGAGCTGTCGGCCAGTCCTGAAAAGGCACTCCCGGCAGCCAACGTACTGCGCTCCCGCACCCCCGACCAAGGTCACCTACTGCACATGCCCAGTCACATCGACATGTGGGTCGGGCAGTACAAAGAAGCCGTTGAAATCAACAAATTGGCCGTGGTGGCCGATGAGAAGTATCTTCGAATCACAGGTCACGAGAATGAAATGTACAAAATGTATCGGCTCCACAACTATCACTTTACCGTGTGGGCTGCCATGTTTGACGGACAGTTCTCAATTGCAGTGGAGTACGCCGAGGCAGCATGTCGACAACTAGACCTGAAAGCAGTTCAGTTTGTACTTGGAGACATTCCGGTCGGTTCAATGTTTTTCGAAGCGTTTGGCATGCTACCCTGGCATGTCCTGGTTCGATTCGGGAAATGGAAGGAGATCCTCGCTCGTCCACTGAAAGACGACGCAGACATGTATCCAGGCACGACCGCTATGTCACACTACGCTAGAGGTGTTGCCTGCGCCGTCCTGGGTCAGCTAGAGGAGGCAGACAAAGAATGTGAAAATTTCAGAAACACCCTGAAAAACAAGAAAATAACCAACTGCTACCTCTTCAACAACGTGATGCACGACCCTGAGAAAAAGAGTGGTGTACTGGATGTAGCCGAGGCTGTCCTCTACGGGGAGGTGGAGTACTTCAAGGGGAACAAGAAGGAAGCATTTGAACACCTCCGCCTGGCCGTGCAGCGAGACAACTCCCTGGTCTACGACGAGCCGTGGGGGTGGATGATGCCAGCACGTCACGTGTTGGGGGCCCTGCTGCTGGAGGAAGGAGAGCTGGAGGAGGCAGAGAGGGTCTACCGACAAGACCTCCAGCAGTACAAGGAGAACCTGTGGTCTCTGCTGGGACTCCAACAGGTCCTCGACCAGGCAGAACAGGACCCAGGAAGCAGCCGCCACTCGAGCCGCTTTCCTGAGAGCAAGCGCTCGTGCTGACATCAAGATTGGAGCTTCTTGCTTCTGTGCTACAAAACTATGCTGCCAGTGATGAACAATTTCCCTTGTGTACTAAACGTGTAACATATATTAGCTTGGTCATATTATAATACACCACCAAAAAAATAGTTTTCTATCCTATCAGGAATTCTCCACTTCCTGGTGCCTGAAAAGATGTGTACAAAGGGAGCATAAGGCGGGAAATACAGGTGTGGGGTAGGTGTGAGGCAAACCTGCATTTTGGACAAGTGTAAAACACTGTTTGCCCTTCGTCCACCGATCTGGTCTGTTGTGTGGTGTACGTCATTTCTTCGTTGCCACATTTCTCACACAGGTGTTCAACCTGCAGAAAGGCAACTCACCACCCAAACACTCAGAATGAATCAGTCTGGTGATTTACCAGAGGACCATCTCCCTTCTGAACCACTTTCTGGTGCTCCTTCCTCTCTGTGAATTGCTTGCAGGAGTACTCTTCCACTCCTTCAAACACTGGGGGAAAGAAAAAAAAACAGAAAATTAATTCATGCGCATGCGGTTCGCCTCTGCGCGCGCACCCTCCGTATTCTGTTTGAAGCAGCAGAGTTTGCAAGTGATGACGTCCGTGAGGCCAGGCAGCGGCAGGATACAGCCACAGAGCGGGCAGAAGGACGGGTCGGCTACCGAAAAGGGAGAAGTCGCCGGTTTCTTCTTGGCGGCGTTGGCACGCCTCACCGGCAGAGACCGAAGATTACGGACTTCGGAGGAGGACATTTTTCGCGCATGTGCAAAGTAAGGTCAAAGTACAGCGCACAGTATTTTCACAAAGCTTCCAGCCACTGCAGTGGGGATGATGGCAACTAACAGATGTCCGGAGGTCTTGGAGGTACTAGGCAGTTCTTCAGAGGACGCGCCATCGACAGAGACGCCGGGTGTCTCCTCACTGAACGCGACAGCTCTACGGGAAAGACGTCAGAGGAAAAAGCTACGGCTCAAGAAGCTCGAAAAGCGGCTGGAAATCCTAGACAGACAAATAAAGAAGTGCGCGGAGGCAGAGCTGAGCCTGGACGAGATGAACAGCGGCTACAGCACCTACATCAAGGAGGACCTGCTCAAGAGAAAGTTCATCAAGACGTGGCAGGAGCTTTGCGAGCTCCAGCACGTCAGCGACAGCATCGTGATCGAGGACAGAGAAGGTTACGAGGGGACGCCGTACCCCGAGGTAAACCGCAGAGTCCAGAGACTGCTGCGACTGGATGAGTTTCCCGACTACCTGGACATTGTGCAGCTGTTGGAGCGATGTAATTCGAAGCACAGTCTCCGTATCGGCACAGAGGAGAAGGGCCAGCTGGCGAGGAAAGTCTTCAAGGACGTGGGGAAGATCATGAAGCGGAGTCGACACAGGGACTTTGTGCACCACTTTGGGTCCCATCTCACCGACACGTTTTCCACTGCATCTGACCCTGCAGAACAGGTGTGACATCATCAGTTGGTAATCAAAATATGGTGGTGTTAGTAAAAAAGGAACCTCCCAATAAAGGACACCTAAGGACACTTGGTTCTGGAGACTTGAGGTGTCCTTTAATCAGAGGTTTCACCGTAATAAAAGTATGGAGGCATGGTTTATTTTCCACAGGACGAAGCTCTGTTGAAGACGCTGCAGGAGAGTCTGAGGGAGGGGGAGAAGAAGATGCAGGCGGTGGTGGAGGAGTTTGCCGTGAGACAGGAGAAGCTGCAAGAGACCAGCGGCCAGCAGAGTCTGGAGGGAGACTCCTGCTCCGCCAACGAGGAGGAAGACGAGGAGGACGAGGAGGAGGGGAAAGAAGGGGACGGTAGGTTTGTGTAGGTTCCAACTCCACAGTTGGACACCACTCGTGGAATGGGCTATTAGAAAAGTACTATATACACACGAACCATTGAAAAACACTGTTAATACTTGAACCAGGTCTATCAGTGTGCTATATAACTCCGTTGTGCCAATCTGTAAAAATGAGTTCCAGAATGGTGTTAAAGTGTGGAGGGTTCAGAGTGTTGATTATTGTATGTAGCTCCGCTGGTCAAGGATGAGAGTGGGTGTGAAATGGACGTGGCTCTCCAGCAAAACCCAGAGCATCCCTACCAAGATAGAAGAAGAGGAGGAGGAGGAGAGGAAGGAGGAGATGGGTGTCACCATCGCGGTGTGTTCAGTCAAGTCAGAGAGGGAACCAGTGATGGCAGACTCCACAACCGTTCAGTCCGAGTCTCCTCTAGTCACCTCAACTCACCACCAACAAGGTCCTGGATTTCACAAAATTCAAATCCTCAAAAATCCCGTGGAAACAAAATGTTGTAGATTGGGGCCCATCAAATGTGTGAAAATGTTCTCCCTTCAAGTTTCCTGCTCTTTCGGTGCTGTTTAATATGCTGTGTGTACTTATGCACAGGCCTGGCAGAGCCTGGACCATCAGGTCTGAGTGCCGCTACCAGTTCCCACATTAGCTCCACCTCTGACGTAGTGTGTCTGGACGACGACGATGATGATGTAATTATTGTACTCAGTGACAGTGACCCTGCCTAGCCCCCTCTCTCAGAGTTTTTATCTTTTCTCTTTTCATTATCACCCCAACAGTCGTACATTATTATTATTATTCTGTTTTCTTGTATATACAACTGACAAAAATATAGGGTTATGCTAGCTATCCTCAATGTGTTCCATTAGCGTTCTGTACTGCTGATGAGCCACCTCACTTTGCTGAGTGTAACACAATAGCAGAAATAAAAGAGAATGTGGCAGTATATTATATAACCATAAGGGAAACCTAGTTGGACTTTTTGCAAAGCCCTTGATATACTGACTGTTCCCTTTAATGACCAAAATGATTTAAAACGACTGAAAAACTGTATTACAGTTCAATCATCAAGGCAGGAGGCGAATTCTTTGAATTACAAAACAGTTGGTCATCGAAAGCTCTAGTGACAATTGTGGCACTGGGTCTAATGCTTACCCCATCTCCCGGCTTCATTTCGTCGAGAATCTCCTCCAGAATACCGGGGTTAATCTTGGAGTGTAGACCCCAGAGGAGGTGACAGAGGTGGAGTAGAGCAGTCTCGCTGCTCTGGGCACACACCAGCCAAAACTCGCGGAGTATCGCCTGCATCGTCGTCTCCCTGATGGAGACGGGGTACTCCAGTAACCCCACAACGAGGAGGTGGAGGAAAATGTCGGGGAGCTGGGCGCTCTCTGATTGGGTGTACCCCTTGGCAACGAGGGGGAGAACGAGGCTGAAGGATTTGAGTTCTTTCTTGGCGAGTAGACCCAGGGCGTAGAAGCAAGTGATGTGCATAGCACAGGGATTAGAGAGTGCGGTTACAAAGTGTGGGGATGAAGTGAAGGGGCGGTATTCTTCCTTGAACTTGTGGGCAATGGCCCGCAGCGTGTTCTCTGACATGATCGAGAGCAGTTCCGGCAAAAACTTTATGAGTAGTTCCACATCCTGAAGTAATACAAAGAGTCATGAATGTGGCTCTGAGACTAAGTGTTTACTCACTAGTGCAGTTTCGTGGTATGATTCCGAGTCCATGATGGCGTGGGCACTGGTCCCCAACTGTAGCAGTCTCAGGAGACACTCTAACTCACTGCTCTCCTGGACAACACACAATTCCTTACCACATGTGACAGACTCTGAGAAAACAATTCTTATCGCACTACTTCGAGCAGCGGTACTTGCCTGATTACCTGGGGCTATAAGTGTGGAATGGAACGCATTCTGCTAATCGCTCCTCTCCTCTCTATCTCGCTTCTTGTCCCCCCCTCCTCCCTCCCCCCACAATAAAAAAACTCACTCTAGGGAGCTTGTAGTTCTCGTATAGCTCAGTCAGACATTTCAGAATACTGCTACATATGGCATTGAGGGCATACGGATCTCTCAACAACATCGCCACATCTCTGAGGCGAAGAAACGGGAAAACAAGAAACAATAAACTCTGGGTAAACGCTCAAATGCTCACCCAAGTGTTTCTCTGCCTGGTTCTATCCCTTCCAGAAACGAATACAGTTCTCTCGACTTTTTCTCGTCGACGAACCCGGCTCGTATGCAGGCGTCGAGACACCAGGCAAACTTGTGGCAAGGATCACACTCGCACAGTCGCCCCGTGCTGTCCAGTTCGTGCAGACTCATGAGAATATCCGCACGCAGCGTGCAGTAGTGACTGACTTGCGTCCGGAGGAACAGCGTCCGTAGGAACTGCAGCAGAGTGTTGTAGAGGTCCTGCGAAGAGCGCACCATGTGGACCAGGTCCTGCATGACCTGGCTCTGCCGACGGATTTTTGGAGGGATTGAGAGAAACGAAGTTGGCGTTTTCTTCTCCCCCGTCTCGTGGGTACTGAACAGTATGCTCTCTTTCTCTGCAATGTAGAGGTCAAGTAGAGGGCTGACTGCCTCTCCAAAGAACCCCTGGTTGGTCTGCCAAATCTGCCGCTTCACTTCGATGGGACAGGCCTGGTAGAGCTCTTGGTTGTCGGAGATATGCAGGAGGTATTTCTCGTCGACCTCAGGCAGCTTCTGCATGATCTGCAGGCACACGCCGCGCAGCTCCTTGGAGCTGATGTGACGGAAACATTTCTCCAAGAGCTTGGCAAGTCCCTTCTGGTCCAGTTCGTCGACTCGGCCCAGGAGCTTCGCCTGGAGCGCCGCGAACAGACTGTCGTGAACACCAGTACGAGTAACGCCGTGCAAGTCTAGGATGGGAAGAGCCGGGTGCATGGAGGAGACGCGCACCCTCGCCTCATCCTGCACGCTGGAGATGGTGTCCAGGCCATCTTCCGTCTCCTCGAACACGCGCTCGATGTAGTTCTCTTCCATCTGAAAAGGTGCGCATCAACTGGAGACACGCTCGCAGTACTAATGCGCATGCGCACTAAATTTCTCATCGCATGCGCACTAAATTCTGCCACTGCTGCTATAATTTATATACATATTTACAATAAACCTGTGCATCATAAAATCTACGCAAAAATAGCATCATTTGTTCTAGCACATTACTGGATCCTAATAGAGTTGCAAGTGAGAGAACCATCGGCTTTAGCCATCTCTGAGTTGGGGACCTCGACTCGCGGCAAATTAACAGTCTGCCACACCTTGTAGCTCTCTGGGTACTCATCCTCTGGAGGATGGAGCACTGTTCCATTTGATAACGAGGCAATTTGCTCCGTTGTCGTCTGGAAACACGAGGGGCTTGTAGCGTTTGAAGTGAGCGAGGGATTCAATCTCTCTCCAGGCCTTTCTCCCAGCGTCAGAGTCACTGATGGCTATTGTGTCCACCCCACACATGGAGCTCATTGACTTGAGGTGGAGAACTGGATGATTGACAGTGACACCTGTCACTGGCCACTCGGGAAACACTCTCTTTAGCTGATCAACTCCAGCCTATATACAATGAAAAGCACTGAAGTGCAAACCCTCGGCGCATTGTGACATGACGCGCACCCGTAAGCAGCATGCGCCGTACCACTAATTGATGGGCTGGGTTTAGTTTTAGCTGTTACTCGTGGTCTCTTGCCAGCTCGCGCAGAGTCTGACGCGGACTAACTACACTGTAGATAGCATGCGAGAGGCGATACACACCCTACGTTGCATCTCTGGTGCCTCCGAGGTGGCACGCGGATCGATCGGACTGTGGTAAGCCATCCCGTCCGTTGTGTATTTGCATATTGGCTTTTTCGCGCTCAGTTTTATGAGCACCCATATAGATGTAGGGTGTCCTACTAAACTGCAGACGTGGAAACTAACTCCAGCATTTCACAGCTTAGCTGCAGCATTATTCATGGCATGTTTTGCACAAGTCGTATCACATAGTCACAGTATGTACGTCAGCCGACTTGCCTTATTAGTCCTCTTGGAGAGCCCTACGAGAAACTCGCGTCCAGTAAATATGACATCCCCTCCGTCGACAATAGCCTCAGGATCATCAACCTCGTAGATTTGAAACCCCATTTCTGCGAGCACGGGGCGCACGTGCTTGATCTCTCCTTCACGCGACGCCTGGCCCATCCTCGTGATGAGCGCTTTGCCGTCCAGCACAACGGCCGGGTCCTCCACGTACACCAAATCGGGCAAGGCGTCGTCTGCCGCAATCTGCACCGCGTGCGGAATCAGGTTTTTCACCTGCGTCATGTAGTTTTCGTGCTGTCGCATGGCCTTCTCGAGGTCGATGGGCTTTGCAGGCTCCTGGTGTCGGAGTGATTGAGCCACGAAACTAGGCGAGAGGGTACCGAAAACGACGCGGGTGTAGTGGAAATAGTCGGCTGGATCCGACGAGACGGCCCTCCGCTGGACGGCGCATTTCCCCGCCGCTCGCCCCCTAGAGATGCGCAGAAGAACGGAGGAAGTTGTTCTGAGCCACTTGGGTAGCATATCGTCGATGTAGCAGCAGCTCTGTCTGAGAAACTCCGCGGCTAGCTAATTAATGTGTATCAAGTGATCATGTGGTGGCCGTGGGTGTGTCGGGGGCGAGGCCTGCGCATGCGCAGTTTGCCCACGCTGCAACATCTCGATCGCCGCGCCCTCTGATCTCTTGCTCGCTCGCTCTTGCTAGCTTTACCACACGCCCGAATCCAGTTTTCGGACTGTGGTTCGCCTCCAGTGGTACGCGCTCACTTTATATGCTGGAGCCATGAAGATCACGGTCAAGACAGTCGACTCTGCGTCAGCAGAGCTCGAAGTGACGGGAGAGGTTTGTATGACGGAGCAAAATGGCCGCCGAGGGGCGGTCCCGAGATTTTTTAACTTCTGTTCTCTCTCCTTAGATGACAGTCCGTCAGCTCAAGTCGGAGATATACAAGAAATTGGTGAGAATTCTTCGTTACTGCTGCACCATGCAAGCCGAATGTAGCTAACGTGATAGTATGCAATCTTCTCATTCTGCAGTCGATTCCACCTGGCAAGCAGCGGTTGCTGTTCAACGGAAACTGCCTTAGAGTGTCGAACAACACACTGGACCAGTACAGTACGTTTTATGCCCCTCCTAGCCGCCGAGCCTGTAGCTCTAGCTGGTTAGCTCGTGATGATTGCAGCAGCCATGTTGGTTATCTGATAATAAGTTGACCGCTAGGAATGAAGGGGTTTCCCCCCTACAACACCCTGTAAAGCCACATTGTAGTAATACCCTCCCCTTTCAGGTATACAGGATGGGGCAGAGCTGAAGCTAGTGCTGGAAACTCCTCAACCAGAGGGTATGTGAATACAGTAAATATTTTCGCTTTGTGGTTTTTAATTTTTAGTTTCCTTCTTTCAGAAAAAGTGGGCACATTACCTCAAATCCCAGTGAGTGACTATTTGTACTGTCCCCTCCCTTTTTGACACAACTCGATCTCTTTCTCCCTCCCTCCCTTCCTTACCTCCTCCTTCCTATTCTCTTCAGCCCGATGAAGAGGCTGAAGGAGGGGAGGCTGGAGGCGAAGGGGAGGGGGCTGTGGGCGGACAAGTGGAAAGACAGCAACTTCAGGAGGAGCAGGAGAAAGAAGACGAAGAACACGAAAAGGAGATGAAAGTAAGCAGAATCTGTAACCGTCATCTCCCCAATCGTCCATCCCTTCCTCCATCTCTCTCCTCTATGCTCTGCATCTCCACCTGGTTCTTCCTCTCAGGAAAAAGAAAAACGGGACTTGAAGGACATCCATAAACATGTCACCAACACCAAAAAGTGCACAGAGTGGTCCATCAAGATTTTAGATCGCTACGACGTAAGCTCCCCTTTTTAATGCACACCGTCCGATAGCCCATACAATGCTCACGGTACACCATTTGAAACAGAAACAGTGTTGTGTGTTTAAAAACGTATTGCCAAGTGCCTTCTTGACAGTCTGTTTTAAGTCCTCCTTTTAGTAGAGCGTAGAGAACAGAGTATCTTCTCATGTCCTCCAGTAAGGCTGTTTACTGTCTCTGTAGAGAGCGGAAGCCAAGAGGTTGGAGTGGCAGCAGGCCAGGGAGGCAGGGGAGGACCTGGCCGGACTGGACAAAGAGGACGACCCTGACGAGAAGCCAGAGCCACGCAAACGGCGGTTCCCGTGGCGTGACGACGACGACGACTCTGCACTCCCCCCCTTCGAGTGAGGTCTTGCATCATGTGGTATGGAGGTTAATGTTCCAGAAGTCGGCCATTTTGGAGGCAAATCCACATGTTCTCCGCTACGTGATTTGCCGTCCAAGATGGCCGCCATTGCTACGGAAACGCGTGTTAATTACTTATGTGCAAAACCTCTCTGAGCTTAGCTCTCCCTGGTAGCTCAGTGAGTGTGCGGTGTGTCTCTCTGAGCTTAGCTCTCCCTGGTAGCTCAGTGAGTGTGCGGTGTGTCACAGTGAGTGTGCGGTGTGTCACAGTGAGTGTGCGGTGTGTCACAGTGAGTGTGCGGTGTGTCACAGTGAGTGTGCGGTGTGTCACAGATATATACAAAGTCCCACACACGGGGCAGCTATTATCTTTCCTGATTACAGACTGCGCCTATATTTACATCATGCATTCAGGAGACTTTACTTGTGATTTCAAATTCGTTACACACTGTTTAGACGGGCTGTATTGAAGTGGTGTTCTTTCAGTTCACTGTTGTGCCCTCAGACCCAGCGACTACGTTGCTCTGATGACCAATATCCAGGCGGCGCAGGACCGGGCAAGACCGATGATTGAACGCTACCAGACGCTGGTCACCACTGATCCCACACTCTCTGTGAGTCAACAAATACACTGACTAATTCAGTTCACATGTTCCTCTCAACTTGTAATGGTGTTCTCGCTGGAAATTTCCTGCCGTACATGATTGGCCACATTCTCGAAATACTTTAACACAGTTTGGAAGCTTTGCTGTATGCTTGGGCTAATAGTCATGTAGCATGATCTCTATTATATGGGGACTCTATATTATACCAAACATTCCTTGTGATTTGTGTGAAATTTGCATAATTCGGAGTCTTGATAGATGAATTGTCTGCCACAGGTTGAGGAGGGTCTTCAGGCTGAGCGACTTGCTCAGACGGTAAAGGAATTCAATTACTACATCGGCCACGCCCTCATCTCGCTCTCGCGACTCGAAATGACGATGAACGCCCCGCCGCCGCGCCCCGTCAAACTGGCCCCCACCCGCCGGACGGAGATGAGGAGGGTGATGAGGGACCTGCGGAACATGCCCCCCCGTGCCCCCTCCGGGTACATCATTGACATTCAACGAGAGGGGGGACCCATTCCCGTGGGGACCAGAAATGCTCCGGCCCCCAGTGACCCCTTGACCTCCGTTGCACTAGGATGTAAGTAACTTCTCCAGTTTTCTTTCCAGCTCTCCATTTTCCTTCTTTACTTGCTCTATCTTCCCGTCATTCTGTCCTCTTTTCTCTCCCTCCCTCTTTCAGCAAAAGATAAGAAGAAGAAGAAGGACGATGACAAGAAGGATGGAGCCGATGGAGCCGAGGGCTCGGATTCTGCTGCTGGAGCTGACAAGAAGGAAGAGGGAGGAGAGGGAGGAGAGGGAGGAGGGGAGGAGAGGGAGGAGAGGGAGGAGAGGGAGGAGAGGGAGGAGGAGGGGGAGAGAGAAGGAGGAGAAGACAGGACAAGAGCCAATGGAGCAGAGTAGCGAGGAGGGAGCTGTGAAGGAGGCCAAGGAGACCACGGCAGAGGAAGGTTAGTTGCTTCTGGAAAAGTAGAGCAGTTTGTAGTGAATTTCAAAATGTAGCAGTTACATTTCAATTGTGTATTTGTTATGGTGCCTTTGTAGTTGAATGTTTAAGTGTTGAGCTGGCCTTTCTGTTGTGTTGTTTTCTGCATCATTTTCAACGGTAGCATTTGTCCCTCCTTCCCCCTCCCACTTCTCTTTCCATCCCTCTCTCTCTCTCTCTGTGTGTGTGTGCGTCCAATACAGGTAACTAGGCCCTTAAAGCCCGACTAAGAGAGAGAGGGGGAGAGAGAGAAAAATAACAAGAACTCTTTTTCACTATGCACGAACTAAACCCAAACTGTTTTTTTGTTCAATTTCGCACATCTTTTTTTCTGGAAATGATTTGTTTTTTGGCCTCTTCTGTGGTGCTTTGCGTGGTTGTCTTTGCTCGCCACTCACTGATCACCGATCACGCTTACTGACAACAATAATGATCCCAACCAAATCACTGCGCTGTGCATAATGCATGAAACTTATAAAAATTGATCTGGTTTTCAATGTACATACTGTTACAAATGTGGTGTTAAACCAGCAAACTGGGATTTTTTGAAATGTTGCTAATTTAAGATGCTAGCAACTTAATCGAAGGAAAACCTATGCAGGATATGCATTAGCCTTTGCTTCTTTCACTCACACCTGGTGTGTTGTTGTATGTAGGTGAGCCGAAGAAAGAGCGTACTCGTGATGTGTTGGCCAAGCTGCTAACTGGGATGGTGTCGGGAATGATGGGCTCTGAGGAGGAGGAGGAGGAGGGGGGAGAGGGGGAGGAGGGGAAGAAGGAAGGAGGGGGAGAGGAGAAGGAGGAGAAGAAGAAGAAAGAAGAGAAGAAGAAGGAAGAGAAGAAGAGGAGACCCAGAGACAGCGATGATGAAGACGATGATGACGACCCGAAGAAGACGTTTGCGGAGAAGTACGTGGGACCACCGGGGACCATAGTGACCATCCAGTCGATCCCCCAGCCGCCGTTTGGGATCCCGACGATGAACCCTCAGCCGGGACCCAGTCTCTGCATACGAAACACTGGAGACCCAGGCAAACCGGACGTGAGGAGTGTTTAACTTAACAAGATGAATGTGTCCAGAGCGTCCATAGGGGTCATAGTACTAGGCGCTAATACTTTATACGTATATACAGAGCGAGGACAACCTCCCTATTAAGGCTGCAATGCCCAGTCTCAACCTAACGTGTCCATTGTTCAGAGGTTCCACTGTACTTGGCAGTGGCTGAGGTGAACTGGACCCATTCATAATGTTCAACCCTTTGGACGCCATGAGTATCTCCTTAAATAAAAGCAGAAAATGATGGGCTCAACGTGTGTCTGAAATGTAGTTTTCTTCCGTGTGTGTGTGTGTGTGTGTGTGTGTGCGTGTGTGTGTGTGCGTGTGTCTGAAATGTCGTTTTCTTCCTTGTGTGCGTGCGTGTGTGTGTGTGTGTGTGTGTGTGCGTGTGTCTGAAATGTCGTTTTCTTCCTTGTGTGCGTGCGTGTGTGTGTGTGCGTGTGTGTGTGTGTGTGTGTGTGTGTGTGTTGCAGGTGAAGGTGAATTTCCCGATGCCACCAGCACTCCAAATGCTGCAGGACCTCCTGGGAGGGGACAGCAGCAGCGAGGAAGACGAAGTCCCCAACAAACCCGAGTCAGGTGTGTGCTACCGTGGCAACTCTCTTTGTGTATACCTGTGTATGGGTAAATTGTAGATATTGACTGCGAGATAGGGTGAAAATGGGGCAAATAGGGACAGCAAAATGTTATAAGGGACGATAGGGTGGGATATTCATATGAATTGTGCATGTATCCTGCAAAGTGTGTATATATGTAATGTTGTTCAGTATTACACCTGGTGGGCCTTTTCTCCTTCTCTATAATAATATAGAACTGAATGAGGAGGAGAAGGAGAAGAAACGCAAAAGGGACAAGAAGAAGGCGGACAAGGAGAGGAAGGAGAGAGAGAGAGAGGTCCGCCGCCAGAAGAGAGAGCGGGAGGAGAAGGAGGCCAAGGAGAAGGAGAGGGAACTGAGGCGGAAAGGGATAGAGACGAAGGCCTTCACTCCCAGAGAGGAGGCCGACATTGGGGAGCTGTCCGATGCCGGGAGTGTCGACTCCCTGGACAGCCAGCACGACTATCTGGAGACTCATCACGTGGACAACCCAATGGTTCGGTTGGCTCTATCCGCAACCAACGACATCGAGGGAGGTACACGTGCCCTGCTCTCTTTCTCCCTATACGAAAACACTGGTTCTCTCTCCCCACCCTTGCTTTCTAAGTATGAAAAATGTCGGTCAAAGTACCGGCTATTTCACCATGTCTTAGTAATCAAGAATTCAGGATGGTTGGTTGGTCTGTCCTTTTCCCACGCTTTTGCTAAAAGTACGAAAGTTTAGATCACCCATTCACAGTGGTGCTTTTCCACTTCATCCACTTCATCCTCTCCCTCCCTCCTCCCTCCTCCCTCCCTCCACCCAGGTATACATGAGACAGTGTATGACTCAATGGTGGATGCCTACGCCCATATGGGCCAGCCTCCCCCTGCAGAAGTGGCCGAGGAAACCGGCATTATGGAAATGCTGTTTGAAGCTCTCTCGAAACACCTCTCAGTCCTGGAGACTATGGCACTCATGTGGGGTGAGTAGTTCTAATTAATCCGCACCACACAAAAGGTCGCCAATTTGGATTATCGTTACCAAATGCTGTTAAACATGTGGCAGTTTAAAAAAAGATAATTTTGTTGTTGAAATGAGCAGTGTTTTATGGTGTGTTCTGTGTGTGACAGGAGTCGAAGCGCCAATGAAGAAACTGCAGCCATGTCTCTTCCAGTTTGTCAAAACGAGGCTCCTCAAGGGGGAGGACCCCACCGTTGCCCCGGAGATGAAGAAAGCAGCTGTGACCAAGCTCCTCGCTCCCTTTATTCCCTCCATCGCCTCTACCATGGTCTGTGGCCGTTTGTAGATTAATAATATCGGAGGAAGGCTTATTGAGGGGGGGCTCCAACTATTTGGAGAAGAGTTTCCGTGAAACCATTTTTCTATGGAGGATGAATGCATTAGAAAAATGTATAGCAGTAACTGTTCAACTTCTTCTCTCCTTCTTCTGTCTCGCCTCTCTCTCTCTCTTCTCTTTGTAGAAGACGATATTTCCAAAGGAGGGAGTCGACCTGCCGCGTACGCTCTACAACTCCCTCTACACAAGCATGGAGGCCGTCTATGACATCATCGTTAAAAAACACCGTAAGTTTAACCTGTTTTAGAGAGAGAGAGATGTTATTTGGACACAGAGTATAGGAAATTGGTAACATTATCTTACAGTTTGGATGTCAAATTGCAAGGTCTTAGTATGGACATTGTACATTATACCCAGAACGCATTTTCTGTATAAGGGCACTTGTGGAGGCATCTATGTATATATGTGAGTGCCACAATAGTCTTTCATAATACTATTGTGTTTAGTTGCAGCTATGATGAGTAATATATAGCACACTAGTCAAATCATAGTGAAACATGATCAGCCTCAAATGCCTATTGAATAGTGCGACTATAGCTGCATAGTGATGAAAGGACTGCTGTTGTGTGCGTGTTTCAGAGGACAGCGCTGCGTTTGCCAAGCAGCTGCACCAGTGGGGGTCCAGGACGTCTCTCCTGTGCGCCGCTCTCCTCCATCACACCTCTCGCAACGACGACCTCTACGAGGACGCTGCCAAACAGCTGTTTGTGAGTCTTTCCACCTCCCCCCTCTCCCCCACTATATACCTCTCTGTTTCGAACCATAGTACGAGGGATGTATTATGAAACTTAGATGCTCCTGCTGTTGTGAAGAAAGCTATCCGTGCCAGTGCTTATACCTTAAAACTTAAAAAAAATCTCGAGTTGGGTGTGTTCCCTGCATATTTAGTACTTTTAGCATTGGTTGATGCTCACAAATTCTGTTTGTTTCATCTCTCTCCACATAAATAACTTAGTTTACCCCCTGAATCTCTCTCTGTCTCTATTAGACTGTGTTCCTACCAGGAGAAACTCCAGCCATGGCGATGGGCTATCCCTACGCCTCCCTCGGCCGAGAGCTCAAGAGAATGAAAACAGCTCACAAGTTGACCACTGAGGAACTGGACAAGTTGGTTGTCTACAAAAAAGGCAGGGGTCCTAACAGGTGATCAGAACACATACAAAACTACCCTGACACTCCTCATGTAGCTGTGAAAAATGTTCTTGTTGTGTACGTTAAACCGAACTTATTTTTCACTTCCTCCGACAGAGGTAAACCTAAGGATGGAGGGAGTGGAGGAGGAGGAGGGCTGACTCCGCCCCAAAACAGCAGCCTCCTCCGCAAGACCCGAAGCCAGGCAGCGACGACAAGTCTGAAGACGGAGGAAGAGGCCCTGAACAACCACTCCTCCTCCTCCTCCTCCTCCTCCTTCCCAGCCGCCTCCTCCCGGCAGCGAAGAAAAGGTAAGTGGAGACGGAGCGGACAAGAAGGGAGGAGAGGGAGGGAGAGGGGGAGGAGGAAGAATGGAGATGGGGCAAGCACTGCACCTGAGAAGTGGCCTGATGCCATGCCAAAGGTAGATCGCTCTCTGGTATCAAAAAAGTCAAGCCTAAACCTTTTGAGTGCTTTGAGTAAAAGATGTGGAAAGGCTGCTGGGAAACGTGACTGTGTTGTGTGTGTGTGCGTGTGCGCGTGTTGTGGTTGGTTCTCTATCTCTCTTCCTCTCCTCCTCCTCCTTGTTGCCTCTGTAGGAGTGGGTCCCTTCAATCAAGCGTGATCGAGAGGCGCTAGCAAGCATGAGCCCCCAGCAGCCTTTGTCTGATGCCTATATCTCGGGAATGCCAACCAAGAGGAGGAAGGTCGGTCGGTCGGTTGGTCCTAGACACTCACTCTCGTCTAGCGAGAGTAAACTTACAGCTCACGTTTTATATAAGAAAATGAGCAGAGAATGATGAACCCTCGGTTTTAATCAGCAAGTGACAGAGAGCTATCTATCTGTGCAACCTATATCTCAATTGCTCTGCAGTGTTTTTTGCAACAGGTTTAGCATTGGGATTGTATAATACCAGCGTTTTAATGCTGTGGTAGAAGACCCATCGCAGTAGTTACAAGCACAGAAGTTGTACATAATATTACGTGCATTGATTCCATGTGAATGAACTGAGGAGGTGGTGTGTGTGTGTGTATTAGTGGAGTGTTGCTCATTGTCCAGACGGAGGCAGAGGAGCTGTTGTCAGGCGGCGAGCTGATGGAGAAATCTCTCCGATCAGCCATCGCTGAGTCTGGGGCCACACCCTCTTCCGGAGTCACTGTTGATGGTAAGTCACTTGTGCAATATCTTCCCATTTTATTACCTATCAGCCCTACTTACTAAACTTGTCTTGTGAATTTGCAATAATTTCTGAGAGTGAAAAGCAAATGCTTAATGAAAAAACTCCATAATATTGTAGCTTTGTTAACAGCAATCATTCCTTCTTCCTCTCTCCGCTCTTCCCCAGCCATAGTTAACGAGGCCAGTGCCTGTGGTGGACTGGTGGAGGAGCTGGACCAGGAGCTCCAGAAACAGCTGAATGAGAGACTGAAGAATGACCCCGACTACAACCCACGCCAGTTCCCTGCCTCGGAGAAGGTCTTTGAGCCTGGCAAGTAGGCCAACAGGCTGCCTGAATTCTTCGACCCTGACATCCTAGGGATATTTTTGCTAACGTACTAATCTCTTTTGCACGGTTGACTGCACAACACTTTAAAAACTTGAACTGAAGTGTATCATTTACCTTTTGACTGATTTGCACACTGTTGAATTGTGTTTGTGGAAAATGATCACAAAGTTCCTGGCTATATACCTTGGTGACAGATAGACCATGCTTTAGGGGGTTTGTTCAGACTCTATCTGGAGTATAAAAGCAAGATTCTAGTGTATATACCTTGGTGACAGATAGACCATGCTTTAGGGGGTTTGTTCATGAACTCTATCTGGAGTATAGGAGGCAAGATTCTAGTGTATATACCTTGGTGACAGATAGACCATGCTTTAGGGGGTTTGTTCATGAACTCTATCTGGAGTATAGGAGGCAAGATTCTAGTGTATATACCTTGGTGACAGATAGACCATGCTTAGGGGGTTTGTTCATGAACTCTATCAGGAGTATAGATGCAGTTCTAGTGTATATACCTTGGTGACAGATAGACCATGCTTTAGTTAGGGGTTTGTTCATGAACTCTATCTGGACGTATCAGGAGGCAAGATTCTAGTGTATATACCTTGGTGACAGATGACCATGCTTTAGGGGTTTGTTCATGAACTCTATCTGGAGTATAGGAGGCAGCTTCTAGTGTATATACCTTGGTGACAGATAGACCCATGCTTTAGGGGGTTTGTTCATGAACTCTATCTGGAGTATAGGAGGCAAGCTTCTAGTGTATATACCTTGGTGACAGATAGACCATGCTTTAGGGGGTTTGTTCATGAACTCTATCTGGAGTATAGGAGGCAAGATTCTAGTGTATATACCTTGGTGACAGATAGACCATGCTTTAGGGGGTTTGTTCATGAACTCTATCTGAGTATAGGAGGCAAGATTCTAGTGTATATACCTTGGTGACAGATAGACCATGCTTTAGGGGGTTTGTTCATGAACTCTATCTGGAGTATAGGAGGCAAGACTTCTAGTGTATATACCTTGGTGACAGATAGACCATGCTTTAGGGGGTTTGTTTCATGAACTCTATCTGGAGTATAGGAGGCAAGATTCTAGTGTATATACCTTGGTGACAGATAGACCATGCTTTAGGGGGTTGTGGTTCATGAACTCTATCTGGAGTATAGGAGGCAAGCTTCTAGTGTATATACCTTGGTGACAGATAGACCATGCTTTAGGGGGTTTGTTCATGAACTCTATCTGGAGTATAGGAGGCAAGATTCTAGTGTATATACCTTGGTGACAGATAGACCATGCTTTAGGGGGTTTGTTCATGAACTCTATCTGGAGTATAGGAGGCAAGCTTCTAGTGTATATACCTTGGTGACAGATAGACCATGCTTTAGGGGGTTTGTTCATGAACTCTATCTGGAGTATAGGAGGCAAGATTCTAGTGTATATACCTTGGTGACAGATAGACCATGCTTTAGGGGGTTTGTTCATGAACTCTATCTGGAGTATAGGAGGCAAGATTCTAGTGTATATACCTTGGTGACAGATAGACCATGCTTTAGGGGGTTTGTTCATGAACTCTATCTGGAGTGTAAGAGAGTGCTGGTTTGATCCTGTAGCCTTTCCGTTTGGGCATGTGTGTCTGGAGAACGTGAGGCCACTCGTGACCTCTGTACACATCCAGCAGCATGCTTGTCACTGTGCAATAGAGAGCGGCAGTAGATAAACAGTTCAACCTACAAAAATGAACACTCAAAGCAAAGCTTATAGTATAAGCTGAGAGAGAAGGAGAGGATTTTTTAAATTACCAACGTTGATAGGGAGATTGAGGTTGTGGGGTGAAGGTTTGGTGAACTCCATGAACCTAGAGATGGGGAGACGAGCTGTCTCCAGCCCAGCCACTCTGGCTCTGTGCAGTGTCAGATTCTGCGGAAGATGAGGTGTTGAACTGTGTACACACCACCCGCCACTGCACACAGTCACAAGAGCATTTTTGTTGTTGTTATGTACCTTGCTGGGTGATGAGCGGTCCACGATTCCGCCAACGACGTACACCTTGCACCTGTCAACTTCCTCTAAATCTATTGAAACACACAGCAGAAGCACGACCGTTCGAATTTTCCATACACTGTACGTGACCTGTACTTCACTTATATTACTGTAATGTTAATGTGACAATCCTAAAGATTGGATTGCATTCGATATAGTAGGTAAGACTCTAGGTCACCGTGTTCAGAGTCTGGAGATAGGTAGACAATGTCTCGAGGACTGAACAGGCTATCATGAGCTCTTTCAGTGACCTCCATCTAAAGAGTGTGTTAGAAAAAAAGAGATTGTTGATCTGCAGGCAGCTACAAAAATCAGTAGTTGCTGTGAGAAGGGCTATAGAGTGGGAGTTTGACGTAATGTGTGAGGTCCCAGAGCTTGCCGGTTAGCTCTAGCTACATTAGAGAGTGAATCGTTTTGAGGCTAACATACACTGCACAACTTTATCTCTTTTCCAACATGTTGCGCAAGATATGTTTGGTTTTAGTGTGGACGTTTATTATAAGGGCCAATCATTGCCTGGTAACTGTTGAAATTTGGGATGTTATTGGTCAGAGTCTGGTGTAGCTTGCTCTGTGTCCCCAGTCCAGTCAGGTAGAGCTGGAATGGTCTGGGGGCACTCAGGTTCTCAAAGTATAGCAGTCTGATCTGCTCTGCCAGTGACTTCAACTCCTGCAGTCAGAGAAGTAAATCTAATATTCAGACGGAGAGATGAATAGTCTTTGGGAAGATGAGGATATGTGTTGAACATACACGTTCGTGAGTCATGAGGTGACCAAGGCCGCAGTCCACCACCAGTCTGGGTCTGTGCTCGTGACCCCATTCAACAGTACCAGTCCGGGAGAACACTGACTGACTACACGGCCTTGCCCTCCCTGCCAATAGTAACCCCCTTCTCACCAGCATTCACTGACTTTCTTGGCTCACACGTGACATTACCGCGCATGCGTACTGGCGCCGCGTAACGTACTAGTCGCGTCGGTGAGGATAAAAACTGTATCATTTGAAGGACAGGTCCTGTATATAATCGTCCAATTTTGCTGCAAACAGTTCGCTGTCTACGTGCTCTCCAGGCCGCGCCACCGGGTTTCGTACGACGTACTCGACGAATATCCGTGCGTATATATGGCGCAGAACGTCTTGGACGTTTCCGACGCTAGTGTCTGTGTTCATGACGAACTTGAACCCCGTCGGCGTCTCAAAGTAGTGGAGTTTGTAGTTGCTGGCCGTGTAACCGACGAGGCCCTCCTTGGCGCTGATGATCGAGAGTCGAGAGATGAGGGATTTGAGGGAGAATATCATTCCGTACATAAGCTTGAACTCTTCTTCTCGAGGAATTCCGGCTTCTTTCTGCCTCGTCCACTCCTTGTAGTAAAGACAGGAGCAATTTCTGTCGAATATGTAGAGGTTATAAATCGTCATCTCTCCTTCGCAGAAAAGTGGGTTGGGTTGGGTTACTATCTCTAAATGACGCGCACCGCGAGGTTTTACACGCATGCGCAGTGTTCTCCATTCTCTTTTGGCTGCCTCATGCACACACGTGGTGGTCGTCGAAGAGGGGAAAGTAGCGCTTCTGTATCTGGTTGAGCTAACCCTATCAGAGACCGCTGCAATGGTGAGGCATGCCCAAACCACCCAGAGCGGGGGTATTTTGCTATACGTGCTAGCCGAAGTTTGCGGAAGACGTCTATACCGTTTTACAGCCGTTCGTGAAAGTGGTCAAGAACAGGGCGTACTTCAGGCGTTACCAGGTCAAGTTCAAGCGGAGGCGGGAGGGGAAGACGGACTACTATGCCCGCAAACGTCTCGTGATTCAAGACAAGAACAAATACAACACGCCAAAGAACAGGCTCATCGTTCGCTTCACCAACACCGACATTATTGCACAGGTTAGTCGAAGTCTCGTCGTGTGCTTTATTCAACTGTACGCCTTCACTTCTTGTTCAGGTGGCGTACGCTCGCATCGAGGGCGACAAGATCCTAGCTGCTGCGTATGCACACGAGCTTCCGCGCTACGGAGTGAAAGTCGGACACACCAACTACGCCGCTGCTTACTGCACGGGGACTGCTCCTTGCCAGAAGAGTACGCCAACCAGTAGTCGACACGTGTGTATATAACAGTAAACCTTTCTCCACAGATACTGACCAAGTTTGGTCTCGGCGACAAGTACGAAGGTGTTTCTGAGGCAACCGGGGAGGAGTACAATGTGGAAGCAATGGGGGGTGGCCACCGTCCGTTCCGTTGTTTCCTGGACGTCGGTCTCACCCGCACTACCACCGGGAACCGGGTGTTTGCTGTCATGAAGGGAGCCGTTGACGGAGGACTTGAAGTACCCCACAAGTGAGCTATGGGGTGGGGGGTTTGTCAGTGGAGGGAGAGAGGGCTTGTGATGATACCAATAGTTGCTACTCTTGACACACCGTGTGTGATGAGACAACTCCACCAAGATCTCTGAGGCTCATTATCCAGTGTTTTGTAAACTTTTTATCTACTCTCCCTTCTTTCCCTGTCTCACCCTTCTCATTCTCTTAACGGTGTTCTGAAATGAACACTAGTAAGTAGATCAACAGAACTGAGTTGTGTAACGGCTCTTTCCTTGATCTCTATCCCCTCCCTCTCTTCCTTGCACCCTCGACCTCCCCCCTAGCATGAAGCGACTGATAGGTTATGACAGCGACAGTCAGCAGCACAGTCCAGAGACCCTCCGCCACTACCTCTACGGAGGTCACGTGGCCGACTACATGAAACATCTCATGGAGGAGGACGAAGAGAAGTACAAGACACACTTCGCAAGGTTCATCAAAGAGGGCGTCACTGCTGATGGGGTGAGCATGAGTCCTAATGTATTGGTTGGTACATTAGTGTATAGGGGTGTCTCTGAGTATTACATTGTGATGCCTATAATTATAGGCATTGTATGTTGGGGTGCTCGATTTATCTGTGTTCTGTGTCCTTTTCAGTTGGAGCAGATGTACAAGGATGCTCATGCTAAGATCAGGGAGGACCCCTCGTTCACAAAGAAGGCACCGCGAGAAGACATCAAGAAGAAGAGGTAAAGTGGCCGACTGACGTTGAACACCTCAAATCCAGACACCAATGGGACAGAAGAAAGTGTCCTTGAATTGAAGGGGGGATCAGATGTGGCCTTGTTTTAGGGGCGTCCTTAGATAGTGGTTTCCACGGTGTACTTTGCAATGTGTCTATACTGTGACTGGCTGCAGGTGGAACAGAAAGAAGCTGACTCTGAAGCAGCGCAGGGACAGAGTGAGGCAGAAGAAGGAAGCCTACCTGCGCAAACTGCAGCAAGAGGCTGCCTGAGATTGAGACAAATTGAACTATGTATAATTATGGCCAGCATGGAAAAATGATCAGTTTGCCTTAGTTGATGGAAATTGCGCATGCGTGCCCATTAGATGAAAATTGCGAGAAGCTGGGTGTAGCTTCTCGCGGCGTGGTATAGATAGCTGCTCATGTGCTCCGTCACTACATTTGAGATCGCACAAGCACCGGTGAAGCCTGCGGAGAGGATCGCTTGCACGCGCTATGCAGGTGAGTGGTCTACAGATCCTAGATCTGATCACAATTCGCTCCCTCCCCTCTGTGTGTGTGAAGAGATGGGCAAGGGCCGCCATCCTAGCGGCGGTGGTGGTTGGCTGCGTGCTGCTCCTTCCGTTCCTGAGGCCCTCACTACAAGGTAGCAACGCCCTCCAGGCACAGGCGGTCAGGTACGATGGCAAAGATAATTTAGCCATAGACGGGCCGGGGCCGTCCCAACATCTGGAGGCAGAGGAGCCTGATAGTAGAAACATTGAGAACATACGTGGTGATTACCGCCTCGCTCGAGGGAGTAATGGTGGAGAACAGGCTGCAAACAGCAGTGGGCTGACACAAAGGCTCACTGAAAGGCAACAAGCAGTTGTGGAGATGTTCAGACACGCCTGGAAGGGCTACACCCAGTTTGCCTGGGGCAAAGATGAGCTTCTGCCACTCACCAAGGAGGGAACCACATCCTACGGGATGGGGCTGACTATCATCGACTCCCTGGACACCTTGTGGCTAATGGGACTGACCGAGGAGTTTCAAGAGGCCAGAGACTGGGTGGCACAGAGTCTGGATATTGCAGGGAACCACAGAGAAGTCAGTTTGTTTGAGACAAACATCAGAGTTCTTGGCGGTCTACTGGCTGCTTACCATCTCTCGAAAGACGCCATTTTCCTTGAGAAAGCGGTAGGTTTTTGTTGGGTACGGGAGCTCCTAGAAGGTGTTAAGTGTTTTGACAAGAAAATGTACTAATAGCATTCTATGTGTTAGGTTGAGCTGGGAGACAGATTCTTGCCGGCTTTCAAGACACCCACCGGTATTCCCTATGGGACAGTGGTACTCAACCAGGACTGGCCCAAGAAAACTGCTAAAGTGGCCTGCATTGCTGAGCTTGGCAGTCTCCAGTTGGAGATGAGGGACTTGTCTCACTCGACCGGAGACAGCAAATATCAGACTGCAGCTGACAGGGCTCTGGATGTGGTCCAGTCCCACATGACCAGTGCTATTGCCACCCAAGAAGTCTATATAGAGTCCGGAGTTCCCAAACCCACGGAGATGAACGTGGGGGCCAGGACCGACAGCTACTACGAGTACCTCATCAAGCAGTGGGTCCAGAGTGGAAAGAATGAGGAAAAGTACGTTGATTTGTTAGTACAACAGTTGGCCAAACAATGAAAGTGCTATACTATGTATCACCTGATTCCATATTTGCACAGGATAAGAGAGTGGTACGAGAGAGCTGCAAATGCAATCATCTCAAAATTGATAAAGTACTCTCGTCCAAACCACATGGCTTTCCCGGCAAAACTCTACTCCCCTGATAGAACTGACTTCCGATCGTCCATGGATCACCTCTCCTGCTTTCTCCCGGGTATGCTAGCCCTCGGGTACCTCCACGGGTTCCCCAAGTCCCACCTGGACGTGGCCAGGAACCTCACGCACACCTGTTACCAGCTCTACCACCAGTCACCCTCCGGTCTCAGTCCCGAAGAAGTTATCTTCTACACTCATCCACTCTCCGGAACCGACTTTAATTCTGTTGTAAGTATATAAAAAAAACAGCCCTGCTGCATACACTCAACTTTATGGTCTCTTGCGATTGCAGAAGCCCACACTATTATATACTGCCACATTAAAAAATCAGCCCTGCTGCATACACACTCACTGTTAGTGACTATACTTTATGGTCCCTTGCGATTGCAAAGAAGTCATGGCTACATAGTATGCTATAAATATACTTTTCATGGTGATAGCACTGAAGTCCAGCTACCGTATAATCATAATTATTATGCCAAATAGTCACATGTCTGTATTAAAGTTGACACTTGGCATAATAATACAACACCTCTCCATTCAGGTGCAAATGGTAAATGTTCAACCTCTGAAAAAGGGCTACGGTATTTTTTTTGAGTTTCCTACACGTACACACAACTCCGCCTGACCTCTCATTTGTACCTGTATTAAAATTCTCTGTTTCCCCTAATTATATAGACACCTGTCTACATGTTGAGACCAGAGACAGTGGAATCACTGTTCGTACTCCACCGTGTTACGAGGGACTCTGTCTACCAGGAGTGGGGTTGGGAGATCCTGCAGGCCTTGAAGAAGCACTGTCAAGTGCGCAGTGGAGGCTACACCACCCTCAGGAACGTCAATTCCCCCGTCCCGAAAAAGACCAACAAAATGGAGAGCTTTTTTCTCGCAGAGACGCTCAAGTACTTGTTTCTGTTGTTTGCAGACGACGACCACCTCTTACCACTTGATAGATGGGTTTTTAATACTGAGGCACATCCACTACCCGTTTGGATTTCATAATGCATAACTAGTCATCGATCATTTTACTGTTGAAGAATGATATGCTCACATTCATCATCAAATTTTACAAGAACACATAAAAAGAATATTAGTTATTTAATGCCAGTCCCCCTCATGGTTGCCGCGCGACACACACCCTTACCATCCACGGCAAAGGGGATTCCCCGGTATGTAGCCACGCCCTCCTCGTTAACCAGAAAGTTGGGCTGCACCTGCTCAAACACCTTTTTCTTTGGATTAAGCTGTGCATCTGGTGGACCTAACAGCAGAACACGAAAAACCGATACAGCAGAGGTCCCCCAATCCGGACACCAACGGGGCAGAAGAAAGTGTCCATATTAGTAAGGCTACCATATTTCAGGGGTTCGAATTGCATGGATAACTGTTTGGTGGAAACATTTTTAGAGAGGTGCTCTCATTTCAATCCTGATGTTCCAGTATAATATTATATACGCACACCTGTGTAGCCTTGAAATGTGACCCGATCCCCAGGCACACAGTCCTCGGGAGGGTCTAGGATCTCGACGTTCTCCGGTGAACTGGCACACATGACCATCGCCTCAGAGACCACACCACGCATCCTACGCAATAACAAATACAACAGCAGTGAAATGAAAGTGTCAACTAGTGAAGTTAGTCAAGGTGTCTTTTTTAGAGAGGGGTTCAGGGGTGTCCTTAGAGAGGGTTTGCACTGTAGAAGTGACAAAGGAACTGTGATAATTAGTAAGCCACAGCTAGTCCCAAGACCCAAGAGAGGAAAGAGAGAAAAAAAGAGAGAGAAAGAGGAGGAGGAAGATATCTCACTTGACTGGTTTCAGGTTACAAAGGACGACAACAAGACGGCTGTTCATGCTGTCCATGGCGACATGGGCCACTAGTCCACTGCACACCGTCCTCGGTTTCTCCTCCCCCACATCAACTATGACAATACCAGAGATCACAGTCAGATTTCTTATTGGTGCATATGACATGAGATAGACAGACGACCTAGTATCTCTGAACGTAGAGGTGTGTTTATCGAACTCAATATCACGGAGTAAAACGATAGTTTTAAACAGGTGCTTACTCTGTTCGACATAGAGTGTGTCAGCATCGGGATGTCGCTCTACAGACACGATCCGACCAATCCTCATATCTAGTCGAGAGACGTCAACAGCAGCACTGGCTCCTCCCCCTTCTCCTGTCTTCTTCTCTTTCTTCCCCCTCGCCTCTCCTTCCCCTCCCTTCTTCTTACCCTCCCCCTCTCCACCCTTCTTCTCTTTAGCCGGGCCCTTCACAGGTGCTTCGGGCGACTTGGTAGTAACTGGTGGAGGTGGGGAGACTCCATTAGCAGCTGGAGGAGAGGCTGGCTGAGCTTTAGACAGTAGAGGAACACGCTTTGGGCTCGGCACCTGCTCAACTGTTTAAAACAAGAGTACATGAAAGATGTATGATTGGGTAGAGTTATCTGCCTAGAGTGTCATGGGTTCAAATCCCACCCAGGACATAGCTCTTGAAAAAGCGTTGCAATGGTTGTAGTTTCATTTCGTTGACGTATGTAATTTTTCAACAGTTACCAGAATCTCACTGGGAAGACAGAAGACAGTGTGTGAGAGTTCTAGTTCTCAACTTACTTCCGTTCCTGACTTCAAGTTCCACCAGCCTCTGCTTCAGTTGCGTCACTTGGTGGCAGAGTCGTCCGTTGTCTGCCTCAACCTTCTTGCACTCTGCCTGCACATGCACGCAGAACAACAGAATGGACAAACCATGATGTGCAAACACTTAACCCCACCTCCTGAGCAGCTGCTTGGGGACTACCTGCATTATAACAGAACAACCAAGAATCGTGTAGTGAAGAAGTTGTAAGAGAACCTGCTTTCTGCTTCAGTAGCTGGACATAACTCTTGAGTTGCCTGAGAGTAACGTCAGCCTCCTTGGCACGCGTCTCCAGACGCAGCATCCGCTCCCTGTCGCTGGGAACAGACATCTTTCCTCCTCTACCACATGTGGTAGTATACGGAGAGTCTGTGCCACCTACATATGAAGGTATACGGAAGCGAGGTTTAAGACTACTGGCATAAATGCGGGGATAAACGGACGCACACGCGCATGAAAAATTGCCGAGTCAGCAGATTCCAACCTCCCGCGAAGAAGGTCCCCGCGAAAGGCGCGCCAGCGCGCTTTTTAGGCTCTCGAGCCGAAGCCGAGAAGAGATAGACCACCACACGTTTCTCTCTCGAAGCATGGAAGAGTTGGTCAAGAGACTAGAGTCAGTGGACACAAAGGAGTCGGCCAAGGCCGTGGGGAGGCTCCAGAAACGACTTGGACGCTCGCGGGAGCCTCAGTTGCTCGGTGAACTGGTGGACTACTTCATAGCCAGCGGTTCCCCGCGAGCTCTGAGAGTCCTGTCGTCTTTGAAAGACGTCCAGTCACAGGTAGGACACGGGGGAGAGCCAGTGAGAGGGGTATAGCTATACTTACTCTTGTTGTGTATAATTAAAAAAAAACGTAGTGTGTTTTTATAATCAGTGTTTTTTCCTCTGCCTCTTGCCTCTGCATCCTCCTATGCTCCTTTTCTCTTTTCTTGTCCTGCTGCTCTGTGTCTACTTTCTTCTTTTCTTCTGCTCCTCTTCTTTTTTTTTTCTCTGTGTCTTCCTTTCTACTCCTCTCTTTACCTCTCTCCTCCTCCTCTCTATTCTTTACTGCTCCTTGCCCCCTTTCTTTTTGTCTTCCTCGTGTGTCCTTTTTCTATTCTATTCCCTGCTTGCTGCCCTAACTCTTCTCTCCCTTCTGCTGTCTCCTATCTGCCCCTCCTTTTCTCTTTCTCCTTTTCCTCCCCTGCTGTCTGTCTCTCCCCCTTCTTTTCACTCTAATCTCTCCCCCTCCTCTCTCCTGCCTGGCTCTCCTTACCTCCTTGCTTTCTTCTTGACTCCTTCCTGCCTTGCTTCTTGCCTTACTGCTCTCCTTTTGTCTGCTCTCTGCTTGCTTTTCCTGCCTACGCTGTGCCCCTCTTCTGCCTGTGCCCCCTCTCTCCTCTGCTCCTGTGTCCCCCACCTCTCCTCTGGTCTGTCTCCCCCTTTTTGTTTTTTTCCTTTCTTTCTCTCCTACCTACCCTCTCTCCTCCTTCCCTTGCCTTGATTCCCTGGTGCTTGTGCTCTTTTATTGTCGTCTGCTGGTTTTTTTTCCATCCTTCTTTCCCCCCTCTTCTCCTGCTGCCTCTCTTGGGTTCCCTCGTCTCCTCCCCTCCTTGCTGGGCTGCCTGCTCTCTGCTCGCTCCCCGATTCCCTTCTCTTCCCCTCCTCTTTTTTCCTGATCCTCTCCTGCCTGCCTGTCCTTGCCCTCCTGCTGTTCCCTCTGCTACTGCTCTTCTTTCCCCTTTGCTGCTGCTGCCTCTTGCTCTCCCTCTTTGCACTCCTTTTTTTTTCCCTCTCCCCTTCTCTGCTCCTGTTCTTCTCTTCCCTCTGCCCTCTTTTCTGTTGTTTTTCCTTGTTCTCTTCTTCCCTGTTTTTTCCTCTTTGTTCTCCCCTCCCTTTCCTTATCCTCTCTGCTTTTTTCTCCTCTTCTCCTTTTCTTTTGCCTCCCTGCTTTCCCCTCCCTGTCTCCTTTTTTTCTCCTGTGTGATCCCTGTTCTCTCCCTCTACTCTCCTGCTTCTTCCCTACTGCCCCTCCTTGCCTGTTTTTCTCTTGCTACTTGTCGTTCTCTCCTTCCCTGGCCCTGCTTCTTCCTACTTTTCCCTGTTCCTTTTTTCCTTCCTCTGTCCTTTCCTTTTTCCATACTCCTACCTCCTTTTTCTCTGCTGCCCTCTCTCTTTCCTCTTTCTTACTGTCTGTTTCTCTTTTTTTTTCTTTTTCCCTCTTTCGTCCCTCCTCCTCCTTTTTTTCTCCTTCCTTCTCCCTGTTCTTCCTGCCCTCTTTCTCCTGTCTTTCGTTCTCCTTGCTCTCTTTTTTCTCCTCTTCTTGCTTTTTTCCTGCCCCCCTCTTCTGTTTTTTCTTTCCTCCTTACTGCTTGCCTCTCTCCTGCCTCTTGCCCTTGCCCTGCTCTTTTTCCCTCCCTCGCTCTTGCTCCCTTGTCTTTCTTTTTGTCTCTTGCTTTTCCACCTCCGCTGTCTGCATCTCCTCTGCCTTTCCTTTTCGTTTTTTTTTTTTTCTTGCCCTGCGCGTGCTCTTTGCTTTCTTCTGGTTCTTCCTCTCTCTCCTCTGCCTTTTTCTGTGTCCCTGTTGCCTTCCCCTGTTGCTTCTTCTTTTCTTTTTCCTGTAGTCTGTTTGTCATGCTCTTCCCTCTATCTCTGCCGGATGTGTCTTCTTCTGTCTTCCTCTTGCTTGTTTGGGGTCTTCTCCCTGCTTCTCTTTTTTTTTCTCTTCCTGTGTCCCTTCTCTCCTCTCTCTTGCATCTCTTCCCTCTACTTCTTTCTCTTTTCCCTGTCCTTCTTCTTGCTGACTTTTTGTTTTCTTGCTTTCTCCCTCTCCCCTTTCCGTCTCCTGTTTTTTTTCTTCTGCTGCAGGATTTCTTCGCCAAGCTGAACGACTGCATGCACAGTAAGGTCCCGCTCCGTCTCCCGGTGCTGCGGCTGCTGGCACACAGCCTTAACAAACAGGTTGGCACATCCTCCACTTGTACTTGTTTTAGCTACTTGTCAGTCAGTCTGGGTGTATAACTATGTAGCTATAATACAAGTGAGGCATTTTGCTCCTAAGGTACCTAAGTGTACCTACATAAGCTACCTTCAGCTGTGTTCTTGTGGGCACTGTTGTTCAGAAACAGTGCTGCAGGGCAGAATGACATCTCTGCAAGTTGCAAATTGAGGGTCCATTGAATACGCCACTACCATAGCTAGCGAACCTTGTCCAGGTGATCGTGAATACAATTGACCCACTAAGTAAAGCCACTTCGTTTCTCTCTCTCACTCATCTTTCTCTTTCAGACTAGCTGGTTGTACAAGATAGTGCAGCATTCTCTATTCACCAGCATACTCCACTGCCTCAAGGTTGGACTGTGCACTTACAATGTAGTGCCATCGTAACACCTGAATCTTTCTCTCCCTTCTTCCCATTCTCTTCCTTTTTATTTCCTTCGCCTTGTCCCTTACTCACCCTGGTCTTCTCTCTCTCCCTTTCCTCCCTCTTCTCCTCTCCTCCTCCTCCTCCTCCTCCCCCTCTAACAGATGAGCCACGATATTCTAGTGCTCACCAGTGGTCTACTGGTCCTAGCTGCCATCCTCCCCCTTGCCCCTTGCCACCTCTCTCGCCATCTCCCCGACATCTTTCAAATCTTTGCTGACCTAGCCACCGTCAGAGCAACTGGCAGACTCAGTTAGTAACACACACACACACACACACACACACACACACACACACACATGGATGTATGTTATAGATGTCAGATGGTGCCAACCGTTTGTAAAATGCTGAGTTGCAGTGGTTCTAACAAAAGGAAGCACTGTAATAGTCGCACAAAACTGCTTCTACCCCACAAAATCTGATTCCCTTTGATTGGAGGGCTAATTATGGTACTACTTACCTCATTACCAGAAGCCGTGCCTTTCATTTCTACTGATTCTGTTATTGGCATGCAGACGAATCTGTACAAAACACATTTTATTTTTATTCGAAGCCTTGGAACCACGTATAAACCAAACCTGCTACTCCCTGATTGCAGGGCTCATGCCGAAACCGCTGTACCTTCACCTCGACGTGGCCGTCTACTATCTCTTCCTGCAACTCTACGCTCTGTTTCCGTGCAATTTTTTCACGTTCCTGCGAGGTCGCTACGGCCCCACGGGAGAGACGGGCAACTTCTATCAGTTCATCGCTGTGAGTTGCGGCAGTTGCAGACGTAATATTACGTAATCAGTGGCAAACGTTCTTCGAAAAAAAATTTGCTGTCAAACCACAAAATTTGTGAAATTTTGGGTGTATATACTTTTTGCGAAACTTTGCAAAGGACGTATGTAATATAGGTTCAAGTATGGGTAGGTTTTCACATTACGCTGTGCATGTGGTGTATAGGTATATATAGTAGTTGGTCCACAGGACTGGAAATGTAGTCAGTATGTTTGCATAGTCACGTGTAGGGTTGGCAGACCTAGCATCAATGAGAAATGTAAGGGGTGGGTTTCCTGATTGGTTGATTGATTGATGCAATTGTGATGATTATATCTGTGGGAATTTTGGACCATATTCATTCAAGTTGATTTCCTATGATAATCCTGTTGACCACATCATTAGTTAATTCGTTGCTTGTAGTCTGAGGGTTAATTTGAGGATCATTTGCGTGCAATTACTACGTGTGGTTTTTTGCCTATTCCAGTGATTTTGTTTGACAGCTGTAATGCCCTAACACGATTGTGCATCATGCTAAAATATGTATGTCGCAATGTATGGACAAGTAAAAATAGTTGATCCAGTACATTCCATGTTTTGTACCGTGACTGTACATTCCCCGTGACTGTCTACTGATAGTAAGAATGCTGCTCCTTGTTGCAGCCTCTGTTCAACTTTGTCCGGTTCCACCCTGGCCTCGTGATGGACTCTGACACCATTGAATCACAGGGAGACAAGTGAGACACCTTCTATACCCACCCTTCTCACACACACACACATGGAGTTGCTATTCCACCATCTCTCTCCCTCTCTTTTTTATCTTACCTCCTTCTCTCGCCCTCTCCTCTTTTCCTTTCTCACCTACTCCCTCTTTCTCTCTTACCTCTTCCTCTGACTTTCTTCTCCACTCCCTCCCTGTCAGGTGGAGATCCATGGAGCCCGATGAGATAGCTACTCTCAGTCTCACCATGTGTCTAGATCTCTCCATTGCCTGTCCTCTACAGGAGGAGCAGAAAGGTCAGTGCTGTGATCTCACTCACCAGTCTCCTACTACAGCTTGTATAGCTACATATATAGGCAGGCAGCCAAGGTCTTCACATATTCCCCCATTTGAGAGATGTGCTGAATCACATGATCTAGTGTTAGGTGTAGGTGGAAGTCTGTGACCTTTCTGCGTGTACTGCACACCGAAGCACTCTGCTTTCCTTTAATCCAGTGCCACCCCTCATGTGATTATGCTGATCCATGCACTAAGATATTGAGCAACTAGTGCTCTGAGCATGAGACTCAAAGGAACCTGCATAGTTATACATGTTGGTAGTATCCTTTTGGCCTTTGATATGTAGCTGTTGAGGTGACATATTTTCATGGCCGGGTTCTTCCTGTTTCGGAGGAATGGGTTTTAGTAACAATTGGTTGTTTTTCACGATTGTTACGCAGGTGGTGACCTCACTTCGTCTATTGCGGTGCGGCCAGCCGCCGTCCCCAGCTGGGAGCCCACCACTCTCGCCACTGAGTTCTTCTCGTTGGCCAACCAACAAGATGAGAGTCTGTCGCATCAACTCACCAACAGTCTCAGAATCTTCCCTCCCCCACTTCCCAACCCTCACACCCTCCCCCCTCTCTCGGACTCGTCCGCTAGCTCGGGACCGCGGCACAGTCGACACTCCAGCTGTTTCGCCTCAGGGGGTACCCCCTCCCCCGTGAAGGGCGTCAGCCCGAGAAACACACGCAGACAACAGTCACTGGTGCTGCAGAGTGCCGCCGGAAAGAACGGGTCACTTCGGGATGCCCCAAATATGGATGGGGCAGTCCCGTCTGCCGATGTGACTGGTAATCCAATGAGTGTAGTGCCTGGGAAAGACGCAATGTGGAGTCCGTCGACAATGTTCGATTCTTCTCTATCTGCCTCTCGTCAGCACAGCGGGATAAACACAGTCCACTCAAACATTGCCACACCCTCCCCCGAAAACTCCGCCTCCACCAGCAGATCTGGCACCGCCCACCACACCCCCCGACCAATGACAGCACCCACGTTCACCTACATGAACTACTCGCCCACGGCGTCGCTGCGAAGCGAACCTCCGTCACGTCAAAACACGCCGTCTTCCTCGCGCTCTACCACCAGGCAATCCTCACAACAGCTCCCCGACTTGCTTGACGGGGGAGACCCCTTCGTTAGCAGCAGTAATAGGCTCTCGAAATCGCTGTATTCGTCGCCGACTTCCGGTAGGAGTGTCGAAGTTAGCAGACAAAAATCGGAGTCACTCAGAAACAGATTCGATAAGTTTTTTAGCTTATTTTCCAGGAAAAACTCATCGGGGGATCACAACGGTGAAGAAGAGCCATTTACTGAGGTTTCTTCGTCTGATTTGTTTGTCGGTCCTTCCTCGGCTGCACGGAGGGGGATTTCAGAGGGGGCGGGGTCTGGTGAGGGTGTGAGGGGTGTGGAGGAGGAGGTGGGGACTGAAGCCGGTGAGGAGCTACTCCTGGGAAGCGGAGAGGTGGTCTACACCTCTCCGGGCGGTGAATCCCGGGAAGATGGAGAGGTGGAGGAGGAAAACGAGGACACAATCGAGTCAACGACAACCGAAATGCCTCACAGTGTCACAGCAGAACCTCGGCTCCCGGCTTCCTTTCCTGGGGACGGTGGTAGGGGGCAGGGGGAGGAGGGGAGAGTGGGTCGACGACGAGCCTCTCATTCGGACTCTGCGACGCACACGGTGCACAAGGTGAGGGAGAGACTGCGGGAATTGGCAGAATCACAGAACCTGGAGAACGATGGGCGGTTGTGTCAGAAAACCTCTGCTAGAGGGTCAGAAGCAGAGGAAGAGGGAGGAGAGGGGGGAAAGGGAGGGTGCGAAGGCTCCACAGCTAACTCTGAGGCCCGACAGGAGACTGGTAGAGCTGGATTCACGGGTGCTCATCTGGTGACTGATCCAATCTCGACTGTTGACAGTGCACATACTCTCGTTGGCTCTCTCTCCAACTCCAGTCTCTTCTCCAGTCAGCGTCTCACTGACATCGGCAAATCGTTAGACACCAATGAGGCAGGGGAGACCCCTCTGCCACGGTCGTCGTCTCTGCGAAGAAACAGCTGCGGTGGGTTAGTGATGAGAAGAGTATCGGTATGCGACATAAAGACCACACCCCGAGGAATCGTTGGGGACGACGACCACACCCCCTCCCCGGTGGTTCTTCTCGACAAACTCATCCAACACGGAGAAATAGTCCACGAGGGGAGGCCCCAGGACATCCCTCTCACGGAGCTGGAGGGAGTTGACTGGTTCTGGTTCGGTGGGTGTCCGCACGGCGAGGAGCTGGGGCAGATGCAGAGCCAGGTGGCCCTCCTGCACAGTCAGCTCCTGTTTGAGAGGCACCAGTGTCTCCAACACGACAGACGGAGTCGCCGGCTGCTGAGTCAGGCCAGGACCACTCACAGAGTCAGGGAGGAGCTGGAGAGACTGGTACATACATACATGTACACAGCTGGTCTTTAGTTTAAGTCATGGTGCATAAAGTTTGGGGTGGGTGCAGACTGTACATGGGCAAAATTCGTGTTGAATCTGACCAAATGTTGCATTTAGAAGCTAGGTCCTCTCCCATTTAGGCACCTGTATAATGTGTGTTCCAGGAACAATTTGCATCTACAATTGTTCTGTCATTATAGTCTCTTGGTACAGTATATACTATCAAATGGGCCCAACCCAGTAATGGAAGCACAAATTGAACTGTTGGCCCATTGACCATGTTGTGTGTCATTTCGACATTGGGATCGTGTGTTGCTTTTGTGTCGGGGTGCGGTATAAAAATGAGGCCAATCAAGTAATGGCTTGAACTGTTGGCACATCATGTGGTGTGTCTGTTTTGATTGTGTGCTTGTTTCCATGCAGCGTCACCAATGTTGGGAGGAGTCTCTCGTGAGGCAGTGTCTGCAGCAAGAGCTGCAGGAGGCCAGGAGGGAGGCGGGGGAGGGAGGGAGGAGGGAGAGGAGGGAGAGACTGCGAGACGAAAACAGAGCTCTGTCAGACAAGAACACGACACTGGAGGCTGAGAACCGCAGACTGACTGTTGAGCTGGCAAGACTCCAACAGGAGAACCAGAAACTGAATCAAGTAAGTAGAAATGCAGCTACTAACCAGTGGTTTTGGTGGGTAGGATAAGTCTGAGTAGTTAGTAAAGGGGCCTTCAAAATTACATCACCTGTGAAATTTTACATATCATATAAATGTACAGCTATATACCCCCCAGTCTAAGTACGTGTATGTAAAAATCCCCTTTTGGGAGCCTCTGCTCAGAGTTGTCGTGGCTGTACTATAATTCAATATGTTCAGGAGGCAAAGGAGACGAGAGAGAGGGTGTTTGTTCTGGAGAGTGAACAGGCCGACGTGGAACCGCGACTCGCCCAGAACGACACCCTGAGGGAGAAAGTTTCCGCCCTCGAGAGAGAGTTGTTGGTACTCAGGGGGCTCTACCAGAGGCAAAGAGAGGAGGCGCGGTCACTGCTAGCTCGCGGTCCAGCCAGGCAAGAGTTGACTCTACTCACCAGTTCCCTCAGAGAGGAAAAAGAGGGTGAGTTAAGAGACGAGCAAAGTGGACAAGGATAGTCAAGCTCCCTTTCCTTTCAGCTGTGGAGAGGGAGAGAGACAAGTTAGGGCAGGAGGCAAAGGGGCTCAGAATGATGCTGAGTTCACAGGAAGAAGAGAAACGGAAGGCACAGGAGGAGAAGAAGGAACTGCAACAGATTCTCCAGCACGTTCAGAGACGATGCCAGGAAAAGATCAGGGTACAGCTAACACCCACACACCACATACATCCTCGAGTATAATATTGTCATTTGACTTCTTTCGCCATCTGAAATAGTAGTACACCTTTGCTCACCTATATAGAACACAGTACTGCACCGCGTGTTTTTTCAATCACGAATAGACCATGGCACACATACCACTCAACCACGTTCACAAAACCATTTTCATGTGAAGTTTCTTTTACACAATTCGTAAAAACCTTCAGTGTTATATAGTTATTATCATATGCAGTCTGTCTCTGTTTCTAAAGGCATCGGAGGAGAAATATGATGCAATAGTGGCCGTTGCCCACCAGCTGGAGAGCCACCTCACGGAGCTCCGAGCCCGCAGCTTCGCGACGGCCAGAAAGAGACCCAGTCCGCACAGGCACAAACGTAGCAGCAGTCACCCCACAGTTCCCAGGTCACCACCGGCACCAGCTGCACCACCCTCACACGTCACAAGTCACACTCCCACATCACTTAGAACTGTATGATCACTATGTTTGTGTGTCTGACAAGGCCTTTTTTTGCTGCCTCATGTTGGCAAAATTTCATGTCAATTAAATTTAAGCTAAGCGCATGCGGTAACTTTGTCCGAAAGCATGTGCGCATGCGCATTTCCCGCGTCGCATTACGTCATACGTGGGCAGGGCTCGTTGCGACGCAGCAGAGCTGTGATTGAGTCGAGGACGCTAACACACGACCGGTAACATAGAATCGGCGGCATGGCTGGGTCAAAGAAATCCACTTTGATGACTCCAGATCCTTACCACACTCCTGGGTAAGAAGACACTTTCACCCACGAAAAAAGTTCTGATATTCGCGCGATCTCCAGGTACTGCGGATATGTCCCGCAGTTCAAGTACCAGATCGGACATACGTTTGGGAGCCACACGCACCAGCTTCTGACGGACCCTTGGGTCCCCTCCTCGTCCCGACCCGTGCTGAGCGACACCTCGCCGCCGGCGAGACCCACGGCACTCGCCAAAACCAAAGAGGATTTCTTCTCCAGCCCCGTCTACCAGCAGAGACAGAGGAGCCTGGGAGATCAGAAATACGTGGCCCAGATGGTACCCGGCTACACCGGTGAGTCGCCGATCATCACATAGAAGCTTCTATCATCATTTTTTCACTCTTCCAGGGTTCATTCCGAAGCGCATGCACCATTATGGCTGTCGCTACGCAGAGACGTGTCACTATGCCGTCTCTTCCTTCGAGGAGGACCAAGCGCGCCACAAGAGCTCGCTCCGGGAGCTGAGGACGCTCTCCAGATCCCAGGAAGACCCCGCCACTCGGGAGCGGTCGACTCGAGCGCAAAACACCACGCCACTGAAGCCGGTCTCAGCTACGCCCATCTTTTACCTCCCGCCCTACGCCAAGCAGCACTCCATATCTCCGTTCTACATGCCCGACGACCACCCGCAGAAACACTTCATGTCCGGTTACACGGGCTTCGTGCCCAAGGCCCAGAAGTACTTGGGTCAGAGCTACCCCATCATCACCAGACGAGCTCTGCAGGACCTCGCGGGGGAGGAGAAGCGCATGCGCGAGACGACCGACGCTCCAGTGAGCGTGTTTCGTCCTGAAGTGAAGGCGAAGGCGCTTGCAACCGTCTACCCTCGTGACAGCGGTCTAATGCCACACTACACCGGACACATACCAGGTATATATATATACACTGCCTGACAGTAAGCAGTGTGGTGTTACGTATGTGACTTTGTTTTTTGCAGGCGAAAAGTTCAAGTACGGCACAACATTTGGCTCCAGCACTGCTCGAATTGGAGTGCCTCAAGTCCAGGCCTAACACACTATACCCTACGATGCTATAGCTATTGACTTCACTGACACTTCAACAGTAGTTTGTGTTTTATATATTATTATCGTAACACAACTTTCAACAATTATGCTGTGAAGAGGGCCAATGTATATCACCCACAGAGACAAAAGAACATAATTATACAGACTACCTAGCAACACAAACAACCTACAATAATACACAATAATAATAATGATTTATGCAGTTGCCCTACAAAATTCTCTACACACTTTAATTTATTTATAATGAAGCAAGCCGAGATGCCAAAACTATGTAGCGACTAAATTGACGCCTACTTTTCCTTCTGCTGTTGAAGTAGAATGTTCTGGTGCAGTTCTGGCTTTATGTCACTCACGAGTTCCAGCAATCTCTTTATGACTGCCTCCTTGTTGGTGTCGACCTGTGCCTCGATCTCCTTGATCTTCTTCTGCGTGTCCTCTTGCATCAACTGGGCAAAGTCGTCCTTGGAGCCGGCGTACTTCTGCTGCTTGTCCTGGAACAGGGTCTCTCTCTGCTTACGATACTCTTCAATTTCCTTTGCCGCCTCTTCCTTTGCTTCCTTGAGTCTCTGGGCCTTCTCTGTGTGTAGACGTAATTATACCGGGATAATTACCAGGGGCAACCACAGAGTTTCATGTGATTCTCTGCACCAGTATACTATGATAATTGCAGGGACAACCGTAAACAATGTCAAGTTAATATTAACCACACATAATTAATGACAATCTTAGGGGGCCACCTTAGAGAGCCACCACGTGAGGTTATGCTCATCCAGAGGTACAAAGAGAGCCAGTTATTTGACTGAGACACTCTCTATGACAGGCTCACAGAGGTCCTTCTATAGAGCACCCATGTCGGCTTGTTCTTCTACATCGTCCCACTCTTTGTGGCCAGCATTGTGTGAACAGAAGAGGAGCTATTGATGCTTCAATCGCTAACTCTCCACTCACATCAACACTCTATCAGCCAAACAACCCGGTTTCAACTGGCAACTGGCAACTATTGCTTTATTCTCTCAACAACACTCCAAACTGTAAGGTATGGAGCCTCTTATTGCTCAAGAGAGGCCTGTTTGGAGGGAGTTTGCGACTATTCACACTGCAATACGCCTAGTCTCAGAACGCACACACGCGGGCTAAGAATGATTATGTCGTCACTCACTCTTTCTCGCTGAGGCCACGACTTGAGCGGCCTCCTTCTCTGCCTGCATCAGCTTCTTGATCCCCTGGCTCTGGGCTGCCATCTTCCCTGTCGTCTCGATCGCCTACTGAACGAGAGAGAAGTCCTTCGAGCTCGAGACCTTGTCATGTGAACCAGGTCTACGCATGCGCATAAGTAACGAGACCACGCCCCCAGGATATTTGTCCTTGTTGACACAACACCGAGACCCACTGGGCGCATCTGCGAGGAGCGGAAAACACAGCTAGAGAAAGAAAGAGCTTTGCTACGCCATTGGTTCGAGGTGCGGGTCCGGAGATGAAGCTACTGGACGTGTCCAAATGTCACGAGGACAACCCCCAGTTCAAGAACTCGCTGGAGAAAATGGAGGCGAGTTCGGACAGCCTGCGTGGTAGTGTGCACGAACAACACATGTGACCATGTCCGAGCTGCATGTAGCTTTGCTGGAGCTTTCGCAGCGTCAGTCAGCGCACCATGTAGGTAGTAGCTACCCCCGTGACCTTTCTCCGTCTCTCTCCGTCTTTCTCCACCCGTAGGAAGGGATGCAACAACTGGAGCGACAGATGAGAAAGATCTGCGCCCTGTGCGAGGAGAGAGAGGCCCTCGCCCAAAAGGACAGGCAGCTCTACAACGGTGGGTAGCGGGAGAAAGTGGAGTAGCTATTACTAACACATGATATGGATTCTGCAGTTGTCAGTTTATTTACTACCCATACGTAGGCTAGATGAACTGCATGATCTGACTTCTAAGCTTCACGGCTTTAGTGCACTAGTTACCATGCCTGTCTCTCCCTATCAGCTATTCTGTGTGTTTTAGGCAATTGCAGTAGTCATTATGCTAAATTCAGGTTCACCCGTCAAATTTACTGGTTCCGTCAGGATCCCAGGTGTCCCGTGTGCGTTTCTGCTATAGCTAACTCTGCTGTGGTAGTCAACCAGCTTCCGTCCTGTACCAGCGAATGTACTGTAACAAGTTGAGATTTTAAAGCCGGGAGAGGATTTGGCAAGTGGGTCGAGGTGTGTTCCGTTCACAGTAATTGCGTGTTGCCTTCTCAAAGCACGGGCACATGCTTTATACATTACTATATACTGTACCGAGTTAATGATGATTGATGTTGTTTTTTTTTTTTCATTCAGAGCTCATTTCAGAGTTTGAATTCTTCCTGAAGCATGAGGTTGATACTGAAGAGCCAAGTATAACAGTGAGTCCGTACCACTAAAGAGTGAAGTACGTATAAACCTCTGTGTCTTTTGGACTAGAGTCTGACTGAAGTAATGACTACCGGTCTCAGACAACTTGTGGACAACAGAGAGAGAATGTTTGAACAGATAAAGTTAGAAACTCACCACCCTCCGTCCTTACTCCCCCTAACACCTACCTCTCTCTCTCTCTCTCTCCTCTCTCTCTCCCCACCTCCTTCTCTTCCCCGGTGGGTCCCCAGACTGGGAATGTTGCAGCCGCTGCATCATTTCCTAGACCACGAACTGGAGCAGGTGAAGACGACACAGAAAACCTACCACAAGGCCAAGGCTGATTCCCTCCATGTTGTCGAGAAACTGAGTCAGGTGTGTGAGTGTGTGTGTGTGTGTTGTATGTCTGCCAGGAAGTGGTATATTATGGAAAGGAAGACCACTTTTGGCCAGTGCTTTGTGCATGTTTTGGTTTTGCTCCTGAGAAAAGTTTTGACATCAATAAAGACACACCCAACAGAAGTCCCAGATATAATGCACGCTATAAGCACGTTCTCTTTTCTCCAACCTGCAGTGTAAGAGACATGAAATTACCGGAATGAGTGAGGTATGTAAATCTTTTATATACTGCTTTAAACCTACAACCTTCTCACCTTACCTATATGTATATTATATACCAAGCTAGACCAGATCCTCTCTCTCTCTCCACACGTGCTTTTCCAGGCACGTTAATATTAAGCACCTTATTAAAATGTGCGCGGAAGAGCATGCATTTTGAGACATGGTCTAGCCCGATGAACCAACATCTTTCCTTTTTCGATATCTGTTGACAGCTGTCCCTGCAGCTATTTGACAGCCGCTATGCCCTCCACAAGGGAGCGTGTGCCTATGCCATAGACCTCAACCATCTCCACGCCAAAAAGACCCCAGACTTTCTGCAGAAACTGGTGACGTCACAGCTGTCTCTCCCCATACATTTCAGTGGGGGTTGACGATGTAATGCTCTTATTTCCCTCTCAGGTTGATTTCATGACGTCGCAACTCTCGTACTTCCATCTAGGGCAAGTCACAATTGACGATGTACGCCCTTATATGGAAAACACATACACTATTATGGAGGTACAATTATGTCATTAATTTGCTGCTAGGTTGGTTACTCTGAATGAGGTATGTATCTTGTTACAGAAACTTCGGTCAAAGGCAAGTCTTCATGATGCTCAGCAACGTACACAGACCACTAGCCTTTTAGGAGAGGTACAAATTACCCATTACATCATCAAATGTATTGATTATGATGGGGACGAATTGTGCACGACGTCATAGGTTTTATTGGTGAGAGCTAAGGACCTGGCAAACTTCCACACCCACGATCTCCACTTTAACACGGACACGGCCAAGTCGACTGTCATGTGAGTGTCACCTGACATCATGTGAGCTCATGTGACCGTCACATGACTGAATGCAGGAGACACCTCAAAGAGCAGCACTCGTCAGTGGCGGTGGAGGAGAAAGAGCTGGACAACTTCGACGAAAAGATGTCCATACCACCAAGTATGTACACTATATACACACACTGAAAACCACTGTATATGTGATATTCACGCACTAAATATCATAGAGAATGATCAAATTTTGTTGCCCTGTCCTCAAACCATGAGATTTGCATAAGGTCCTCCTAAGTTTTCAGCTACTGTCAGTTTTGACATTCTCCGCTGTGCATGTGTATGCACCGTGTCATGGCGTTTACGTACTTGTATGCTACAAAGTACATGACCTGTCTCAACACTTAGGTAACGAGGTGAAAGGCAAGGCAGGCAAACAAGTAACTAGACACCCAGGCAGTTCTGTTAAGAGACTGTCCTGGGTGAGATTCGATCCCACGGCACTCTGCAGTCTAGACGAGGACTCTACCAACTGAGCTACACACCATGTACTGTATGTCTCTCCAGATATCCTGACAAAGAGTGGGTACCTGTGGTACGCAGAGACCAAGACGTTTGGAACCCACTGGACCAGACTCTTCTTCTGCATCAAGAAAGACATGCTAGTCTCTGCCGAGGTCAGCTGCTATTAGTTCACTTTGACATATGTACAATTTTGACGTTCTTTACACATTGCAATATAATTTAATTACATTCTTGCACCTGGCCATAAGGTTATAATTATAGTAATGTTTCTAAATTTAGCATTGTACGCTGCCACATTCCTTTCACCAAGCTGCCACCTGAAAGTGCATTATCAGCATGATTGCAGTTTAAATTTGGAAACTTGGTACCATAATACGTTCTAATAGAGCTTATTAGTTGTGTCTTCTCTCCCTTCACTCCCTTTCCCTCCCTCCTCTCCCTCCCCTCCCCTCCCCTCCCCTCCCCTCTCCCCTGCAGTCGACAGCCAAAATCAGAGTACCCATATCCCTCAATCTCAACCTGTGCAGTGTGAAGCCGGCACAGGTGACCGACACAGAGAGGAATTTCTGTTTCAAGGTCATATCTCCCATCAGATCTCTTCTCCTCCAGGCCGAGAGCTCCAGAGGCAAGTCCGTAACAATTACAGTGGAACCTCTCTTATTGAGGCACGGCAAAAGAGAGTGAACCCCTCTAATTCAGACACAATAGAAGAACGTGTTCATATTTTTTAGTGAGGTGTCCTTATTTCAGGGGTTTTAATTGGACGCAAGGAACTGTTCTTGGGGAACGATATTAGAGAGGTGTCCTCATTTCAAAGGTGTCCTTGGAGAGAGGTTCCGTCTGAAAGAAATTTTTTCCCTTTGTAGTTGTGGGTACCAAATTATGCAGCGCACAAGGGCGAGAATCTGCTGACATTTCTCTGTGGTTGTGAATTGCAAACACACCCCCCCCTCCCCCCTCCCCCCTTGAATGTTTACTGCTAATGTGTGCGTACTCCATATATAGCATGGTGGTGTCATGTGTGCCCTAAGGTAAACCTGTGCTGTGGTGTTTTAGTCTGAGAGCTGCATGTGGTCTCTGTTCTCCCACCACAAAACTCTCTTCTATAGCTATATCAACTGGAGCAATCATCTCAGGCGGTTCAGTTTGTTTAGGCTTTGATTTAGCAATTTTGTTTACTTTTTGTTGTTCCTTTTGTTGTGGTTGGAGATAAACAGGCCAACGATAGTCTGGGTGCTATTTGCTTTAGTTGGTCTGTTCAAACATTCATGCTCACAACGTTGCGAACTAAGATGGAGAATCTTAGCTGTAGGAGCCATCGGTCCAAGTTAATGTTCATACAGTTGACTTGTTTGCCTTGCCTTGCCTTTCTACCTCGTTACCAAGTTGTTGAGACATGTAATTTGGAGGTGGAAGAATTTCGACTACATATATACTGTGATGGTGTTGCATGAAGGTCATGGTGATGTGCACGTTTCCCATGTGCAGACATGCAGCAGTGGATGGAGGTGCTGCAGAATGCGATATCACACGCCCTCCACTGCCCGAGCACACCAGAGAAAGAGAGAACTTTTACCAATCTCGCCTCTACCTCCTCCTCCTCCTCCTCGTCTGCTCCTACCTCCTCCTCAACTCACACTTCTCTTCCCTCCAGTTCCTCTCCCATCCCTCCCGTGTCAGTTTAAACACTACATCGTAAGGCGTCTTCAGACACCACACACAGAGGGTGTTTTTATCACGTTGTTGTGTTTGAGCGAGTGAGAGCTGACGCAGAAAGTATTACATTTAACAGGTGTCCATAGCTCAGACGAAAAGGTGCAGTATTAGCAGATACATAAAGAAAGACCTCTCTCTTTGTGGAGCATAATAGGGAAATAATGTTAGCATCAAAACATGGCGTAATTCCCTGATTTTGGAGCATGCATACTATTCTCGACCCCTACACTAAGGAGTGTCTGGTCTAGCCATTATGAGTAGGACATTTCCTTTATTGTACCGTTGTGGTCACCTTGTATGGTCATGATGTGTGCAGGAGACGGAAGACGAAGAGCAAGGTGAACGTGACAAAGGAGCTGTACGCCGTGGCAGGCAACGAGGCGTGTGCAGACTGTGGAAACACCAAACCCAAGTGGGCCAGGTACGACGTCAGTTACTACCATCATCAGACCAGGGCCGGAGGGTTAACACTCCATGTATGGGGGACCCACGGCATGCATTACTTAGTGAAGGAGTGGGGATACAGCACTGTGGTACGTACTATGGTTTTGAGGCAAGGAGTATCTGTGAGGTTTGGCTGTTTAGAATATGTGCTCCTTTTGTAAGGACAGGTATTTGGATTGGATCCAGGCAGTAAGATATGGCTCCCCCCCCCCCTCTCTCTCTCCCTCTCATTTCTTTCTCCAGTATCAATCTTGGTGTTCTGGTGTGCATAGAATGCTCTGGTGTTCACAGAAGTCTCGGTGTCTACGTTTCTCAGGTACATATACACACCCTCTCCCTCTCTCCCTCTCTCTCTCTCCCTCTCTCTCTCTCTCTCTCCCTCTCCTCTCCTTCTCATCGTGTTCTCTTACCTTCCCGCTGATCCTCATCCTCACTTCCCCCTCCCTCTCTCCTCTTTCTTCTTTCTCGCCCTCCCTCCTCCTACATTTTCCTATCCTCTCTCCAATGATTCGTGCATCTCCTCTGCCCAGGTTCGCTCTCTGACTCTAGACACACTCAAGCCGGAATGGCTGGAGAAACTGAAGGAATTTGGCAACAAAAACTCCAACGGCATCTATGAGAAAAACCTGCCCGAAGACTTTGATAGAGGTATATACTGTGTGTGTACATATTATATGTAGGCATAATTATAGCATTAGAGTGGGAAAGTGTGAGAGACACAAAATTTTTGTAAGTTGCAAATTTTCGTGGGAGACACAAAATTTTTGTAAGTTGCAAGTTTTCGTGGGAGACACAAAATTTTTGTAAGTTGCAAATTTTCGTGGGAGATGCAAAATTTTTGTACGTTGCAAGTTTTCGTGGGAGACACAAAATGTTAAATTTTTGCGGAGAGAACTATAACACATCACTCAGTTTAGTAGTGTTTGTAGAAGAAAGGGGAGAGGATCCTCTTGTTGTGTACGTCCATACAATAGACACCAGGGACAGGTAAATCTGAGCAAAATATTTAGTGTATGTGTAATGAATGGTGATTATGGGTGGTAGAGAGAGGGAGAGAATGTGTTGGCTTCCCCCCCTGTGACTGACAGAGGCAGTTCGTACGGAGGAAGGACGGCAGGAGTTCATAACGGAGAAGTACATTGAGCTCAAGTACACCGGGGAGGAGGAGAGAGAGACGATTCGTGAGCAGAGGAAGGAGACCCGGGCCGAGAGCGTTCGCAGATCCAACAAACTCATCTCACACACAAGTATGTGAACTCTACAGCTGTTGTACATGCCAGCTCTATCTATGTAGACACAATAACAGGTGATAGAAGAGGTTTAGGTATTGGGTAATCGAAGACATCGTAATATTATTGACAACAGCTCATATTGTGTATTTGCCAGGTAATTGGGGATCGACACCAAATAAAGTGTACTTTGACCAACAATTATCAATTGAAGTCGCCTTGTTCATGATATATAATAATTGTCCACTGAAGCATAGAGATCCTCTGTCATTGCAGGCTGTCCCGCAGGAGCTGAGACCCAGAAACCAGAGGGAGCCGCAGTGGCACTGTCATCGTCTCAGGCGACAGGTGGCGCTAGCCACCCAGCGACAGCACGCAGCAACTCTTTCACCAACTCACTTCTGTCTTCGCTGAAATCTGATGCGGGGAACAAGCAGTCGGGGAAGAAAGATCGCCGCTGTCTAAGAGAAGGACGAAGAAGGAGAAGGAGAAGAAGGAGAAGAACGGTGGGAAGAAGGGTCGCAGGGGAGGGACGTTTGGAGGGGAGAGTGAGGGAGGGGAGAAGGGAGGAGGGGGATTAGAGTGTTATAGGGAGAGTGGGAGGGATTGAGATTGAGAAGTGGGGAGAGTGAAAAAGCAGGCTAGGACTTGTACTAGCGTGCTTGTGTGACGCGATGTGTGGCGACTGACAATATCAGTGCTACTGTGACGGATGGAAATTAGGACTCTAAACACATTATGTCAGTCTACAGTGGAATTTTATGATCACTTGAACGATATAAAGTTGACGTACAGATCAGAGCATGCAGAGAGCACAGGTTTCATAATGCGCATGCGCAGTGCTGTGCGTGGTGCACAACGAGTCGAGTGCGGACAACGCTGTGCTGCGGACATGGCTAGTGCTAACGCCCCAGCATCAGGAGATGAACACGAAGAAAAACCTCAGGTTCGTATTCAGTTCTCATCTACGTAGTTTCTTGATGAGGCGTCGTGAGCCGGTGGATGATTTTCCAAATAATCCCCACCCCAGGTGTTCCTATCCCATTCGACGTACCGTAAGCGAGTGAAGCAGGAGTACACGCGGATATGTCAGGCCAAGCGAGCCAAGCTGCTCTCCGACCTCCGCTCGGAGATGCTGGAGAACCGGGTGTTGCTGCGGCAGCTGGCGAAGGAGCTAGAAGCGAGACCGCCGCCTGCGGTAAAGCCGTTGTTTCCGGAGCCCTGCGCAGGCATGGAGCCACTGAGGACCGTGTCAGTCAGTTTTACCAGCGCTGGCAGCAAGACCACCTATGTGAAGGTCGGTCTGAAGCTTCCACTCTGTCTCTTCTTTCTCCCTCTCTTTCATCTCCCTCTCTCTCTCTCTTCTCAGGCTCCTCTGGCCCTAATCCCAGCGATCCCTGCCCTCCCTCGCTACAACATGTGGTGCTCGACACAGCAGAATTTCTTGGTTGAGGATGAGACTGTACTCCACAATATCCCGTACATGGGCGAAGAGGTCTGTCTGTATTCACTTCCTATGTATATCTAATACCATCACTTTTCCCATTAATCCTTTAGCACATTATGCAGTACCTATGTAGTCCTAAGCCAATATGCTAATTAGAACAGGCTTACCTCGAGCGGGTCCGCTCTCTCTGTGTGTATCTTGAAGGCACAAGAAGTCACAACGAAGGGCGTGTATCGACTCCCGCGTGCTATCTACTACTGTAGCTAGCCCGTGTCAGACTCTCCGCAAGCTACTAGCGGGATAACCACAAGTAAATGCAGTCCAGCCCATCCATTAGTGGTACCGCACATGCACAGTTCGCCGAGGGTTTGCACTTTAGTGCTTTTTCATGAAGAATGTTGTACGGTTATCTGGTGTATTGTATGGCAGGTGTTGGACAAAGACGACAGTTTCATAGACGAGCTGATCAAGAACTACGACGGCAAGATCCACGACTCCAAACAAGAGGCGCGCAGTTCTCTTTCGGACGACGATCTTCTCAATCTCGTGGACTCCATGAAGAGGTTTGAGGACCTTCTTCTGGATAGTGACAAAATACAGTGAAACGTCCGAAAGGGGACCCTCTGAATAAAGGGCACTCTAAAGTTTAAAGCTACGTGTTTCTCTGCCTTCAGGTACCATTGCAACCCTCCTAAGATGACACGGGGACCGGCTAAAGCAGGAGATGTACCTGCTGTCACGTCAAAAGTATGTAAACCTTTTTCTTCACAAATACTTTGGTTTCAGTCTGCCGTGCCAACCGCTTTCGCAAAAGGTTGCATTAGTGAAAGTTTTTTGTTGCATTTTTGCTATCACAAATCCGTTTCTCCTCCTCATTTCGCTGTATAGGAGGACCGTACGAACCAGGCGTTCTCAGTGATAGCACAGGTGGTGGGGGTCAACGAGAGGCCGTCTCTGCTGAAGGAGAGACACAAGAAGTTGACCAGTGGAGGGGGAGCTTCGCAGGCCATCCCAAACCTCGATGAGTGAGTCTGAGTTTGAACTGTCATCACGTGTGTGGCTACAGTGGAACGTCCTCACCAGTCCAGACATACCTCCACTGTCCCGGTCCCAGGCCCTACACTCCTACCAGACGCTGTTCTGTCGATGCTGCTACAAGTATGACTGTTTCTTGCACGGCTGGCACCCCACCCCACCACCCACCACACATCTCAGTCACCCCGAGGCCCAACCCAAGAAGACACCCTGTGGGCCCAACTGCTTCCTCCATCTCTTCTCAGTCAGTGCTCTCTATTGCAAAATTAGTGAAACTGTGTAAAAATCTCAAATGTCAGTCGGCATAATGCTGGCTCATCCTATGTAAGACGTTACGTGACTGAGTGATGCGAGCGGTGTGTGTGAGTGTGTCCCGTTTATTCAAGGGTACGAACGTGTGTCGTAGGCTTTCACTGGCTTAGCAACGCGTGTGTGGTAGTGGTAGCATGAAGGGCAGCGCTCTCATTAAAATTTAGATAAAGAAATCAGGACAGTTTTGTTAGGAATAGACCATCTCTGGACACACAGCCCAAACGTGGGAAGCTAGCAAGCTTATGCAGCATGAAACTTTTTTCTCTCCTCAGTCAGTAGCAGAAGCCCATGCCACACTCTCACGCTCCCAAAGACGGCAGTCTCTCGACCACGCCTAGGTCGCTGGGGTCACCGCCACCACCCGGGCGGAGTCATCGTCCCGCCCTCCGCTGTCCCATCTTCAACCTCCACCCACCCCGCCTCTTCCCTACCTTCCCCTGCTCTCATCAAACCCGGCACCTCCGGTTTCAGACCAGCCTCCATTCAGGAGGACCCAAACACTCCCGACATCTCGTTTAGTAGCAGCGACGACGAGTCCGATTCCGATTCTCCATTCCCCAATTCCAGCGACTCTGGAACCGAGACACCCGACCCCGTGACCTTTGAAAAACCGACAGCTGCTCCCCTCCCTACCGTCAAACTAACCGACGGAGCCCTTGACTGTGAGGGGGAAGGGGAGACGTCAGCTGACGATACTGTCACCACTAAACAATCAGCTATTACTACCTCTGCTAACACGTCGATGGCACAGTCTGAGAACGTCGTAAAGGAGACCGAGAATGAGATACCGGATGGTTGGAACGGATCCGAGGTGACAATGTTCAGAATGCTTCATCCGTTGTTTGGTCACAACTACTGTACGTTGGCTAGAGATGATCAGGACAAAGACATGTCGGGAACTGTACAAATATGGACTCTGTGTGTCCGCCGAGCTACTGCGCCTCAACGGAGAGGCCCAAGAGAGGCAGCTGCTACCCAGCAAGAAGAAGAAAAAGAACATGAGGTAATGTTATTCTGGTCAGTGAAGTGAGCCTCTCTAGTTGTCCTAGTTGCACCATACACCTTGTTGCAGAAGTGAATGGTTAAACCAAACCTCAAAACATGCTAATCTGAATGAATATTTTTGGAGCAGTGCTCGCCAATATTTAACATTCGCGTTAAGACCAACTTACAGGAGCCAACTCATTTGTTTCGACAAAAGTTGCAGAAATTTCCAAAGTACATGTATTGGTATGATGGGTCCAGGCAAAGAGTTGACAGAAGTTGCCCCTTAGCATGTTTCGGTATACAGATCCTGTCTCACATAAGTCAATTCATTATCGGTGGTCTCCCTCTCCCCACCAACAGAACGTGGTCCCATCATCACAGAAAGATTCAGTCAAAGCTGGAGGGACAGGCCAGCAGTCGGTACCACTACACCCCCTGCCTCCACCCCGGCAAGCCATGCGACAGTTCCTGCCCTTGCGTGGGCACGCGCAACTTCTGCGAGAAGTACTGCTACTGCAGGTGAGTGACACTGTGTCCTCAAGTCCGTCCTGAACAGCTGTCCTGTCTCCCTGGCGACCAGTTTGGAGTGTCAGAACAGGTTCCCCGGGTGTCGGTGTCGGACCGGCTCCTGTAACACCAAACACTGTCCGTGTTTCCTGGCAGTCAGGGAGTGCGACCCTGACCTGTGCAACCTGTGTGGAGCTGGTATGACCGGTTTTTGGACCCTGTTAACCTCTCCTTATAACCACCGCCCCCCTTGCCTTTGTTCTATCTCTTCTTTCTATATACAGCACCTCCTCTTTGTCTCTCTCTCCTTTCCTTCCTTCCCCCCCTCTCTCCTCCCTCTCTCCTTCCTCTTTCCCTCCCTCCCTCCCTCGTTTTCTTATTTCTGCCTCCTCTTTCTCCCTTCTCCTTCCTATAATATTTCCTCCTCCCGTCACTCTGCCAGGAGAAGGCATGGAGGACAAGTCTGTGGTCTGCAACTGTAAGAACGTGGCGATCCAGAGGGAGTATCGGAAACACCTCCTGCTGGCTCCGTCGGATGTGGCCGGTTGGGGGATCTTCATCAAGGAGGGGGCAGAGAAGAATGAGTTCATCAGTGAATATTGTGGAGAGGTGTGTAAGACTCGCTTCTTCACAGAAAAATGGTCATTCACATTCATAATAAGCCAATAGAGTACTGAATAGTGAGATTTTGGGCTGATTTGTCCTGTTTATGCCAAAACGCGTAAACTCGTACTAAAAGTGTTTGTCTGCCAGGTGATATCGCAAGAAGAGGCAGACAGGAGAGGGAAAGTCTACGACAAGTACATGTGCAGCTTTCTCTTCAATCTCAATCACGGTAAGTCCCTTTTCGCAGTGGGCCTTTTTAACCCTCGGCGCACATGCGCAGCAAGGGTTAATGTAGTTGTGTGTGTCTGTCCGTTACCGTAAGCTAATTTAAGGAGCATTAAAAGTTTTATGTAATGAATGATCCCCCTTTGCCTGCAGACTACGTGGTGGATGCGACCAGGAAGGGGAACAAGATTCGATTCGCCAACCACTCCATCCATCCCAACTGCTTCGCCAAGGTGATGGTCGTCAACAGCAACCACCGCATCGGGATCTACGCCAAGCGTAACATTGAACCGGGGGAGGAGCTCTTCTTTGACTACAGGTCAGGTGACTGTCAGGACAGTAGCCTCCTCGGGTGCGTTGTTATCGCGTGTCCTGATTTGATTTCTGTGTCTGTGTAGGTATGGCCCCACAGAGCAGCTCAAGTACGTCGGTCTTGAGAGAGAACAGAACAACTGATGTGTCATGTGACACTCATTATGATCTTCCTGTCACATGACACTCACATGATCTTTACTGATTGATCATGTCATGACACTTTTATCATAATTGTGACTTTCATCACTATCTCCAACATCTGTTTATTTTTAGAGGTGCAGAGAAATAGTTTGCTACTAAATTAATTATAGTCTATAAATCTTGTGTCAAGAATTACAACCTAATGTTCCCATTGGCAATCTCAGCCTGTAGCTCATTGGTAAGAGAGACGTATGTCTTCAACAGTGGATGGAGGAAGAATACGGGATCCGGCACTTTGTCAACGTCATATCCCTCGTTACGGAGGTCAACTTTTTTCAACTTTAGAGTCCCCGTGGTGGTCGCCGACGAGCTGAGCCTGACGAAAAGAGGGACGGCATACGCTGGGAGAGAAAGAGACAGCTGTTGCAGGAGTTTGGCGAGGTTGACCGTCTCTTCGGTCCCGACGATTGCGGCCATACCGGCCCGGCCCTCCATCCCTGGCACCTCCACCCCATAGACCGTCACATCCCTGTGGTCCAGTATCTGTTGTACGACCCCCTCCACCTCCATCGTAGAAACATTCTCCCCTTTCCATCGGAAAGTGTCTCCGGTCCGATCGCAGAAATAAACGTAGCCCTCTTCGTCCATCTTCATTATGTCTCCGGAGAGGAAAAACTCGTCTCCCGGTTTGAATACGTTTCGAAGGACCTTTTTCGACGTCGCCTTCTTGTCTTCGTACCCGTCGAAGCGTCTGTGGGTGAGTCTGACGCTGATCTGCCCCGCCGCCTCCCCTCTCTCACCCACGTCCGCCAGAACACAGTACCCGTTTGAGTCTCTCACGTGTTTGCCATTTCCGTCGACTTTGAGCAGTTTCAGGGGGTTTAGGGCGGGGATGATGACGGACACAGTCCCGCAAGCCCCCGGTGTCCCCTTGTAGTTGACTACGTTCACGTTGCCCTCTGTGGACCCGTAGAACTCGATGATTCGTTGAATGAAGAACCGTTTCTGGAACTGCTTCCATATCTGTAGACGGAGTCCGTTCCCGATGGCCAGTCTGAGACAGTGTTGTGTGTCGGTGGGTCTGCCTGGCTGGGCCATCAGGTAGCGACACAGCTCTCCAATGTGGAACATCACCTGTACATACATACATACATACACATAGACCACCATAGTAGGTTCAGTTACAAGTACATAGCTGAGCTTACTTTGAACAAAAGTTCAAACACCTGAGATAACACAGATTGTGCACCACAATCGTGCAGTAAAAATTTTAGAACTCTGAAACATTTTTTAACTGCCTACCACTCATAAATTAATCTCCAAAGAGCGTGTACAAGCCAAAAACTCCCACCCAGCCACCACAGTAGTTAGTAGAATCTGTGGCTCACCGTACACTTGTGTTTCACGCAGTCGACGAAGAAATTACTGGCAGAGAATTTCCTCCGCAGGACGAGGGTGGAACCCCAGAACAGCATCTGCCCGGCGGCCAGGATCCCTCCGCTGGTGTGGTAGAGAGGGAGTGAATTGTAGACGACGTCGTCCGGTGTAACGGCGGCAAACAGGTGGATACCATGAGTCATCATAAAGAACCTTCATTATAATATAATATAGCAAGCTGACATATACACTTGGTAACTAGCTCTTAATTAGAGACCATAATATAGAGAAAAATACACAAGTTAAACCTTATAAAGTAGAGGGAAAATCTTAGATGTCTATGCAGCCATAATGAAAGGTAAGTGTTGTATAACAGTGATGCAGTGTGCTAAGGACACGTATATTATATATGTGTGGAATAATTGACTAAATAGAGTGGAACAGAAGTATGAGGATTCAGTAGAGTAAGAGTGGATCTTCACCTGGTGTGTCTGATAACACATGCCTTTGGGAGACCTGTAGTCCCCGATGTGTACACAAAGCAGGCTTTATCTATAGCAAGGTAAAGAGAGATGCAAAGGTGAAAGGAAAAGTACTCTTCACCTCAAGTATGCTATTCTTCACATATTATACCCCTGAAATAAGGGGAACCTCTTTAATTAATAAGTCTTTCCTCGAGACAATTTTCTAATTTAACCCCTGCAAAAGGACACCTCACTATTCTTCTGCCTCATTTGTGTGTTGATTAGAGTTATAAAACACCTGCAACTGTCATTACCATCTGCCTCCTTGCCGGCCAGCAGGGGAGGAGGACTGGTGGACATTCCCTGCAGCTCCTGATCCAGTCTCTTGAAGGAGCCTCCTCCATGTCCAGCCGGCTCTCCGCACACAGCGAAACACATCCGACCGACCTCGATCCCACCTCCCGCCTCCAGTTCATCCATGACGTCAGCGACGGCCGCCGCAAGAGACGACGAAAAGACGAGAGCTCTCGATTTCGCCACTCGGACGCAGTGAGTGAGGCTCTCGTGTCTCAAATTGTGGTTGACAAACGCTACAACAACTCCGATCTTCCAGAGCCCCAGATAGAGTCCGATGTACTCGGGTGAATTTTCCATGAATAGAGCAACCGTGTCACCCTTACGAAGACCCAGCCGGGAAAAGTAGTTGGCGACAGAGTTGGCGTAGGAGTTGAGGTCGCGGAAGGTCCACCGGTGGTCGTCGTTGGCGTACACCACCGCCATCTTGTCGGGAGTTCGCTCCACCTGCTCCTCAAACAGGTCCGGAAGGATCTTTCTCTGCCGCTTGTGCATCCATGCATAGTGCAGCATGTGGAACAAGTTTTTACCCATCCTGTACGGAGGAAAGAGTGGAGTAGAGCTGAGCGGAATCGAGAGACGGATAACTATACCAGAGGTCCCTGGGGAAAGTCTTGATGAAGAGTCTCAGGTACGCCCGCCCCGTGACGAGGAAGGTGACCAGGCATAGTCCGACCGCGGCTCTGAAGGGGAACCCAAAGACGTACAGGAAGAGAGCAGTCACAGCTGTGATAACAAGGGCTCTGCTGGGGAACGCCATTATTTTTTTGCAGGTGTTTTCTAATAGGAGCACACTCTAGGCTCTCCAACAATGCGCATGCGCAGAGGGTTAGAGCACGTGGCGCGCGCGGGTATAAAGGTCCGCGCTCCGAGCACGTGGCGGGGAACGGGGAAGATTCGCTCTCGGAGCAACAAGCGAGGGTCCGCTCTGCGTTCTCTCTCACTAAGCTCCGGGGAAAGTCTCCGGACCAGGCGGCAGAGAGTGCCGGCTGTGAGCGCAATAGCCTGGCAGCGCGCCACGCGGCAAAGACGCCTCGCGCGGAGCCCAGGCGGGCTGCCAGGTGGTTTGTCGAAGCACAGTAATGCGAATGGTGGCTTAGCGCCGCTAACACAACGGAGCTTACTCTCTCCGTACCCCCACAACATTTTTTCATAAAGAACCAAACAAAAATTTGCACAGCAAGGTACACAGTAAGGTGGCAGATAAGGAGGGTGTGCAACAATTAGAACATCCTCGTTTTCTTCCTGAATCTGTCATAGTGGTAGTCGTCCGTGGCCATCTGTGCCTGCTCCAGTTTCTTCTTCCTCTTGTTATCAACCCCCTGTCCAGCGGGTACCAGCTCAGGTTCATTCTCCCCCACCACAGGAATGAATGCCGGTTTTGCAGGCTCCACCTCCTCCTCCTTGCTTTTTCGCAGGTGTGGCTCTTTGCTGACTCGGTGGACTAAAGGCAGAGGAGGAGTTCAGTGGGAGAAAAAGCTTTAGTGAGAGTGAACGTACATCTCAGGCTGTGAAGGGTAAAGTTTTTGTTGGGTGTGTCTCCCGGCTTACTGTGAGGTGAAAAAAACAAGGTGTTAGGAACAGTTTTGGTTGTGTGGATATGCAAATACTGTTTGAGTTGCTCCTGTCTGGCTTGCTCCGTCTCTTCAATGTTGGAAAATCTTGCTCTGCATAACACGATGCTGTCACATACTGTTCCGAGGGTAGTACGTACACAATGCTTACTCTAGCCCCAGGTCCACTTCGGGTATGCCAGAGAGCATCTGATTGGACAGCATTTCCTCCGACTGTTCCTTCTTCTTAACCTGGAGATTCTCCGGGACCTGGTAGAGGGCCTTGATCTTCTGGTCATATCTTCACCCAACACCCAACCACCAGTTATATACTCTCCATACACTTGGCATAGTGTGCTGTTTAAACAAACCTCGAAATGTCTTCGTCTCTGTCAGAAGCCACCGGTTTTCTCTTTGCCATCTCCTTCTCTATGTAATCAAGCCTGGTGTATACATAAAAGAAGGTATATGGCTCATAAAATGCTATGACATTACATGTGTTCCTCGTTGTCCAGTTTCTTAGTCTCGGCAGAGAAGTTTGCACTTAGTTTGACAACTTCATCGTCTGCCCTGGTTATGGAAAGTCGTCATGTGTGGAGAGAGGTCACAGAGGTCATGAGACTCCACCCACCCCTGCATGTCCGATGTTTTGATGTCTCTCAGCTCTACAAGACCTCCTGTCGTTAGTTTGAAAGGGTCTGGCTGTGTGAGTGGAAGTCAGTCGTTGGTAAATGCACCACCCCTGACTCAGTATAGCTACAGACTTACTGCTATTGCTTCCTCATCAGAGAACTTCTTCCCAAAGGCAAGGCCCACAGCACTAGAGTGGGTGAGGTGATGAGTGTGCAGTGTTAGTTGAGGGAGCCTACCTGACCCCTGCAGGTCGCCGGCGGTACTTCTGAGCCTCTTTGGCCTCCTGAAGGGTCTTGCTGGGGTCAGGCAACAGGTAAGCTAGCCTTCTCTTCCATTTGATCTGGTGGTGCTGCCTCACCTGACCGTCTCATCTTCTCCCACGGATTTCTCTGGCTCCTCTGATTCCTCCTCACTCCCTCTACGCCTTCTATACTGCCGTCTCTTCGACATCTAGGCTCTAGAGCTAAAACGAGGTCCTCCTAAAACGGTCGGTAAGCTCTTCAATTTTACGCGCGCGTAGATAATGACGTCATTTATTTACAACGCTCAATTAGAGCGCGAAAAGAAAATGTCCTCCGACCCTCTCAACTTCTTCGCAGCAGGAGACGATAGCTCTGATTCTGAGGAGGAAGAAGACGCTGGAGACTCCCGTACAGACAAACCCTCTGAGGCTGTGAATGACGGGGCAGACAAACTCCCTTCACCCAACTCCCTCTTCAAGTCGGTGGGCCGGCCTTCCTTCCTTAACAACCCCAACGAAAAGTTCATCGACTGGGACAAATTTGTTAAGAAGAACACGGAGGTAGAGGAGCCCTCTGTCCACGAGAGAGAAGGCTACGTCGCCATTCCTCCACCGGACAGCCTCAAGGAGAAATCTGGCCCCGTCACCAGCAGCCTGACTCGCACCATTCTCGGTACCGGCACTGTTGAATTCTCTTCGCCTCCCGTCAGGTACGACAACGGGCCTGTATCCAGCGGGACTGGAACTTCGGCGGTAACTAGTGTTAGAGAGACCCCAGGGGATACTCAGCGGCAGGTGAAACGTGCTCAAGAGGGGGCAAGCGAGTCCGAGACGTCTGAATCCCCAGCGGCGAAGAAAGCAAAGGGGGCACTATTTAGAGTGAAGGAGAAGAGAAAGAGGGACATTGGGCAATCTTCTCGAGGGAAGAACTATGTCGAAGAAGAAAAGAGAATTCTTAGACAACAATTTGGCTCTGATCCAATACTTAGCTAACTCCCCACTCACCGCATTATATCTGTATGCTACATTTCTTTGACTCTAGGTCTTTTGAAGAAAAAAATATTGGAAAAGATGGCGCAATAAAACTATGTACAAAAAGTGATGGACATTGTAACACGAGAATGAAAATTTTCTTGAAAGTGACTAAATGTAGTTGAAATGATACATGGCCCAGAGGTATATACAGTGAGTGGGGGGAGAGAGAGAGAGAGAGAGAGCTAGAGTACACCTGAACAAGTCTGACAACAGAGCAGTTTGATGAAATTGGTGTTGTCTTCAGAGCAGTAGCCATCCTCCTTCAACTGGTTACATTTGACCCCAGTGTAATCAGTGCAAGTCTCTTCAGTGGGAGTGGATGAGGTTGGCTGGTCTGGACACCATGGAGAGGAGAGAGAGACAGTTTCTGACACGTTTATATCTATTATATATATATATACAGTGGTACCTCTACCTGAAATGAGGACACCCCTCTATTAAGGACACCTTTTCTTTCCCCAAGAACAGTTGCATTAAGTAAGCACACCTCATTAGAGGCAATCTAAATCTATTTTAGAGAGAGAAGAGGTAGAGGTGGAGGAAGGTTAGACTAACTACCAATCCCCTCCGCTGTTACGTCGGCCTACCTGTGGTAAAACAGTCACACATGTCTGCCTCTGGAGGTGTACTAGTCTCCCTCTGGAAACAACACTCGTCCAATCCACTGCTGCACAACACGTTTCTGATCTTCACTTCTGCTGGACAATAGCACTGCACAGAGAAATGAGAATTCATATGTTTTGAGGTGCTTGCACTTGAACCCATGAAGTTTTTGGTGAGTTTAGTATTTACGGTGGAACCCCTCTCTAATCTGGACACCAATGAGACAGTAGAAAGTTAGTGAGGTATCCTTATTTCAAGGGTTAAAAGAACTGATGAACTGTTTGGGGATGGGTAAGGTCCTCGTTTGAGGGGTGTCCTAGGAAAGGGGTCTCCAACTGTAAGGTCCTCACGTCACTCCAAGGAGTTGTCACCCAACTGCAGTTTGCACACAGGCCGTCGTTGCGAGTGCAGTTCTCCAAGGCGGCCGGCTGGCTCTGGTTGGAGCAGAACTGATGCGGGAACTGCGCACGTAAGTCGTGTCTGTTTTCTGCCCAGCAGTTGACTGGCCGTGACCTTTGACCTCTCCCCACCCCACACTCACCCCTGCACTGAAGACAGAACACACCACACAATGCCTGATTTAGCTGACCTACAGGTTATTTCTGAAACCTTTACGAAAACAATGACAATCTCTCAGTTTCCGTAAGACCAGTGAATAAATACCTATCCCCACTATGTCTGAAGGGATTTAGATTTAGCTACCAGAGAAAGTTATGAAAATAATGCAGTAATGAAACAGGGAATAGTTATTCCAAATGTTCCATTATTCATGATTTGTGCATACCAAAAATGCATAATGTAGCAACGTACAGCATGCAGCTATTTTATTAATACGACAGTTATCATCCTCGGGCGATAATTTAAGGTATGTCGGTGTAATTGGGTTACCACCTACCTGCTCCCAGCTCCCGGCGTGCCACTGAGGTCGACACCAGCTGGCCCTATCGTCGTAGCAATCTCTCTGTAATTGAGGCAGGGGCTTCTCTTGACAGCAGTACCCCGGTGCGGCCTTGTTGTCAGAGTTACGACGACATCTCACGTTCCGCTTCTGGACGCCTCTTCCACACGTGTTGTTACACTGCATGTGTTGATAAGTCACACGATTAACTACAGCAATGCAATAGGATGGGTTTACACAGAACAAAGTCAGCAACACGCGGTGTTTATTCGCCTTTAGAGATGGCATGTTTCACATATATATATGGTGTTAAGGACTCCAAAGCATGCCAATCAAGGTTGCATCACATGCCTGGCAAGTACACCTGAGGACTATCTGGGGAATTATCAAAACCATATGGACTTATCATCTTACATTCAAATGAGGTGAGATGGTATGCAGTTAATTGGCCAACACTATCTTAAAAATGTCCGGTCAACCACATCTTGTGTCGTGCGCGTAAACCACAGGCTATAAATACTGATGCAATTTTGCCCATTTCTCGGTCAAATCGAGAGGGCCTCTTAAAATTGCTTTGCTTCTGTCCAGGTCAGGACTTGACCTTTTGCCTTGTTTATCCTTTCCCAAATCCCAACATTAATCTATACATGAGCGTAGTACAGATACCAACCACAGAGGCACCTGGTAAGCTCGTGGGAGGCTAACGAAAGTCTCTCAAGTGTGGACGCTATCCGTGCTGTTTGTGTAATTGAGTTCAAGGGGGGGGGAGGGTTTAAACCCAAAAGCTTCAAAGGTTCCGCAACTTTGCATACGAGCAATGCATTGCATTTTAGACGAGCAAACAACCAACACGGAGCGAGTAAGGCGACCTTAAAGGATCTAAAAGGTTTACGATTCGCAGAATTCAGACTACAAATCTCTGTGCTCGCCAATGACACCTACTTGGCCTTGCCATTCACATACAGTGAAACCCCTCTGCTAAGGAACACCTTGGTGACGTTGCCCTTTATTCAGAGGCGTCCTTATTTTGGAGGTGTATAATACACTAACATATCATTAGTATGGGGCAGAACCATAGTGTCCCGATAGAAATGTGGCGTCTATTCGGAGGGTGTTTTCGGAAGTTTAACTGTACTCTAGTGGAGTAACGTACGGAGAACCATCTCTTGGGGATCCAGGAAGCAGCCACCGTTGGTACAAGGTCCCTTCTCACAGGGACGGAGTGAAGAGTTGCGGTGGAGGTGACTGCAGAAGAAGGGAGGCTGGACCGCACCGCCTGAATCAACACATTGGATACGGCGCTCTAGTGGCTCTGTTGAGCAACACTGGCAGAGGGAGAGAGATAGAGAGACAAGGAGGGAGTAAGGTGGGGGAGCAAGAGGGAGGCCAGGAGCGAGAAGAGGGAGAGAGGAAGAGGAGAGAGACAAGTCAGTCAGCCCAGGTTTAATGACACTTTGGCTCCTATCTCCACCTTCCTCAATTAATGAGGGAATACTCTCGATTTTTTGGGTACACTTCTCAGTAAAAGGGTATCAGCCGGATGATATGTTTGGGTAGATTAAAACCTGTAATTTTCGACTGGAAACACTTCCCACTGCAGGAAGTCCTCCCCTCTCTGCCTGGTGTATAGCATACCTCTCCCCACTCGTCTTCCTCCCACTCTGTGCCGCATCCGGTGCTCTCTGTCATAAGACACTCTCTCTCGTGGCGAGGCTTGGAGGCCAGGGGACAAAGGTCATCGGTCACCATGGAGTCTCGTCCATTGGCCTCCAGGACCATACACTGCACCAGTCTCTGCTGGGAGCCGACACCACATCTGGTCTGTGAGCACGGGAGCCAGTCTCGCGTCACCCACCTGGAGGAGGTGTGTGTGTGGGGGGCAATAAGGAGAGAAAGCGAAAAGCAAAAAGCGTAAGAGAGTGTTTAACACATTTTTTGTGTGTAAGGCAACAGCTTCAATTTTTTGGTCGAGTTTGTGAATTTCGTAGTTTACTTCGGGTTTCTGTTGGAAATTGACGTCCCCCGTGAGGGTGTAGAGGTCAGTTCCTCTCCTCACCTGGGTGCACAGTTCCCTGACCCACAGTGGCGTACTATGGGCGTCGGTTTCTCTGAGCCACTGCAGTAGTTGTCGGGCAGAATACGGTTATTGAAGTCGAGGTCTGTACACACCGCATAGGCCACCTGGATACCTGTGTACATGTGGCCAGAGAAGGAATGTTGACTTAAACTTCTGTAGAGTCTGATTCTCACGTATTAGTATAGTGATAACAAAACTGGGTAAGTTTTGCTTTGCTTTCTGCTCCCCTTAAACAGGCTTGACATTGTGTCTACTACACTCATTTCCCAGCATGTTTTAAACCAATTACGTAATGATTACATCACAGTAAATGGGAGAGAACCCCACCCACCAGTGGTGCAGGTTTCGGTGCAGGAGAGGAAGGGTCCGTACGACCAGTCAATGTTGTTGGGTGGTGACAGGAGTGGGGGGCCCCTGTCTCGCGTCCCCGTCCTACCCCACGTCTCCACATTCTCCAAACTGTGGTACTCATAGCTAATTGAAGGGGCAACCCTCTGTGACGGTATGTATACCTACAGACAGAACGACAGAAATTGGTTAGTCTTGCCGTGAAAAAAGGTGGCCTAAACAGACAGACGACACACGCACCTAATTCATTCAATTACTGAAATTCCCTATGTATAATATGTTGATGTAATAAGGAGAGTGAGAGGGTATTGGCGAAACGAGATCTCGCTGAACATAATTTATATTAACTATTGTACAAATTGGCCCTCCACCCAAGCCCCATTGCACTCATGACACATTATTACTTCATTACCAACTCACCTCGATAGTGATGGAATTATTAAGAGTCCCGTTGGTCGTAAGGCTTTCTGTGAAGTTGCCTCCTTCAACTGACACGTGGTACTCAAATTCGGTTCCCCCGGCCTCAAAAATGTGCCCCGGGGGGCCCACCGTGAACAGGAAATCCCCCGTCTCCGATCGAACCACTGCGAAGAACCAAAAAACAAAGTATTAAATTGAACTACCAATTTAGGTCAACGAGTCTATTTTTGTTTGTTAACAAAAACTCTCCAACAAAAGTCGTTGAATGTAGAGTAAACGTCATACCACGAAATTCCCAGAAGAGTGCGTGGGTTTTTGTAAAGCATTCCTAAGATACTTGATATGCAGCTCCAAGATTGTGATCAATGCACCGATTAATCCCAATATGGAAAATATGCATTTGGGAATTCAATTGTGTGTGTTGGGAATGGCTCCTCACTAATTGATGCCAGACGAGGAGGGAGGTGGTTGGTGACTGACACAGTAGAGGCACCAACTGGTAGCCTAATCATCTCCACATGACCTTCGTAGTGGGGAAATAAATGGAACACTGTCATCATAGCGGTATCCAAAACTAGCATGTGATACGCCTAAACCTGATTGGGACATCCAAAATAAGGATGCGATGAAATATATGTCGGGAATTCCTAACTCTAGCCACCAAAAGCAGCAGGTGGGATAGCTCAGGGTTTTTAAAGCACCGTTCAATTTATTACCAGTTGTTGGATTTTTCGTGATGGGTCCAGAGTTACGGGAGCAGACTTTATTGGAGAGATTTGGACTGATGCATCTCCCACACTTGTCGACGGCTTTTGTAGAGCCCGCCAGTCCATCGCACCCGATGGGCTGATTAATATTCAGAGAGGGTGTGTGTTATATACGATTGATAGTAATAGAGACTACCGCAGAGTGAGGTGTTCTGGACTCATAACTCAAAACTGTGAGCTGTTGGAGGTCTCACGGTGAAAGCAATAAAAACAGACATTTTGCAACCTCTACGAACTGACTCGTGTGTGTGCGTCAGTATAAGATAAAGCAGCTCTTTTAACGTGTCAACTCACAGTGCAGACAGAGCTAATGCAGATTCCCGGGCCTCCAGTTGCAGTAGTGCAGTGCGTGCCGGGAAAAGCCTCCAGTGGACCCTGTACCACCACGTGTCCATCATCCCAAGTGGTTGCCTTGCATGTCAACAGACACTGGCCTTCGTCTGTATCAGTAGAGAAACGTCAACGTGTTTATACTCCATAATGCTGTCCACACAAGATATATACACAGATATTTGCGTCTGTTTTAACTGCAAGGAAGTGTATTGTATAACATGGGAAAGCTTTACACCTGTGACTTTGAACAAACGGTGCAGTTGTCTGCATACATGCATGCACACGCAGCTATCTTCAAGATTGACTCTTAAGACTTGCGCCGAGCACTGCATGCTCAGTGCAAGCAGGCACTAACTGCTGAGTGGAGAGAAGGTGAGGTTAGCGTTGCTGAATGTGGCACACAGTTCCTTCCTCAAATCAACTTCCTCTTCGCAGGGCTGCAGTAGTAATGGCCCATGAGTCAACATTCTCTGTCGTATAAAGGGTCTTACCTTGTTTGGACAGGAGCGATACTGCAGTCTCGGGCCTTCTCCGCAACCAGGAATCCTATATTGGCATACTTTTAGTTAATAATAAACTATAAATATCGTTACATTGGTTTATTCACACACCAGAGGTAAAAAAATTATCCAAGTGGCGGACCACACATACATGCACAAATGCAGTAGTTGATGCAATAAGTTACCCTTGACTGGAATAGCAATCTGCACTTCACACGATTTTATCTTACGAGCAGTTTTTCTCCTGAACGCTGATGGCAGGACCGCACGTTCTTGAGCAAGCTGACCATTCTCCCCACTCTCCACTACCTCCTGATACACCCTGGAGAAAGGGATTGTGGAGTGAGCTTTTTAAATCCAGCATTACATCTCATCTCATGATGGAGCAGCTAATTGTGCAGTACATTAGCATAATTATCCCAAGAGAGTTATTACCTAGAGCTATAATATACGTCGATGCATTGCAAGTATATCCACGCAGAAATGATTTTTTTACCTCTGCAGAGGCCGTTAGTTGCAAAATCAAGAGCTGCAACAGCAGAGCTGAATATCTGCAGGTAAGAGGCAAAATGATCTGGATTCTAACGCAGTTTTCTTGCAAGAAAGAGGTGATCACCTCCATATTATTATTCCCTCCATCATGGCTCCTGCTCCGCCGCTGTGTGAAGCACGCGGTCGCCCTTTATATCAGCGCGCGCCAGCGTCGGCACGAGATCTAGCTGAGCTGGCAGCGCTGCATGCATGCAGCCTGCCTGTCCGCCGGCCATTATACCCCATTACGCAAGATCGTTCTTCCAGGAAATGACTCATTCAAGTCTTTTGTAGCATAATAAATCGCATATTAGTTTTGCATCTAGCATTTATACTTCCATTCATTTTCCTTTGTTTCAACATCTCCTTACATATGGCTGATTGAATGACTATTCTACGGATTGCTGGCAGCATTTCACTGGCAACATTTCAAGCGGTGACGCAACGCAGCATGACCCACATTAGGAGCAGCAATAACACTCTAATGGCAAGGCATCCCATGATAATTTCTCTTTCATCTCAATGTGCACTCTTTCATAAAGTGCAGTCAATGTAAATACTGAGCATGCTACCTTACTCTGTAGATGGTTCCTATTGTCCTTAGAGCTCTTAGCCAAGACTCAAATTCAATAATAATTTCCTTTCAAGTGGTTATGTTGTATTGCAACTGGGACTTGAAGATTGAGTCAAGTGCAACTTCTAATTACATCTATAAAAGTATAGCAATGACACTTACGCAATGATCAACTAAAGAACCAAACACAGTGCACAAAGACCAAGGGAAACACCACTTACTTTTCGTTGGCATGCTCAAGTACAAGGTCTAGGCAATTCTCTAACACACTTAAGAGGATATTTGCATCTGTTTGAAGAAGTATTGTGCCAGCATTACATCTGATTGAGAATAGCTGGAAAAGTGCTTGAATCTGGAACCGCAAGAATTGCAGTTTGCGCAGGTGTGTCTCTCTGTTGCTACCAATCAATCTGATAACAATATAGTGTAAGGTGTTGGTTGCATGGAAACGAACGACTGAGTCATCAGACTAATAATTATTATACGAGCGTAATTGTGCGAGTGTAGCTATAGCTACTGTAACATCCAAGGCCTCCCCATCCAACACAATAACCAACAGATTGACATAATGCTAACAACTTGGCCGACACAGCTGCGTTATTTTTGCAACAAAACCAAAGTTCAAAGCGGTTGGCCCTACGCCACCTGCAGCCAAGGTATCACTAAGGAGTGCTTGCCTGGCCGGATGACCACATACATTATCTTTCTCGTCAAAACAAAGAACCCCACTTAAGAGAGAAGGCATCTGGAGGAAAATGAAGGGGGGTCGTCGGTGCTTTTCAGATGGCCACAAGCTGTCGTCTGTTACGCCACCTTACAGAGAAATGGCTTTATTTTCTACAGAAAATGCTGGGGTGTGTAATATAACATCACTTTTAAGACAGAAGAAAAGCGACAGAAAAGTGCATGGGCAGTATATACTCAACACAAGCTGCTTACAGGGTTGTTAATAAACAGAACTGTATGGTTCAGACTGGCTAACAGTCAATGTTGACTGCCCGTCCTCCAGACACCACAGTACCTTTTACACTGCCAAAACAGTGCGTTAAACTTTAACCGTGCTTTCTGTGGCCGGGAATCGAGAATATTAGACTTGTGTTGACTGGCATGCAATGATGATGTGCGCATTGACTGCATGGGCATCATACACAAACAAATCGAGCCCAAACACAATCAGCAGGCACTGTAAGTTTTTCTGGTAAGGGCACACTTAGGTAATGAGTGGAGATATGTCAACTGTTGCTTCCGTACTCTCCGTCACAAGGTTGTTTTCCGGAAAAGTGGATTAAGAGACAATACTGCTCTGTTTACGTGGAAACAGGGGAATTGAAATTGAGTTGGAGTATGCATAGCTCCATGGGGCTGTTAGGATATCCCCCCCTGCAACTAAAACAGTAGCCAAATGTTCTACCCTGTCTACATCACTACTTACCTAATGGAGTAAGCTAACCTAATACTAGCAGCTCTAATCTGATTTGGAGTGTCAGAAACAGTAACTGCTTGGTTGGAGGCCCAGCCAGCCTTGAGCAACTATGCTAACTGCATGGCTGGGGACACCTGGTTTAAACTTTAAGTAATATCCTAGTTGCCTGTGCAACGGTCTCCACAGAGACAAACTTGCATATAATCTACCAAGAGTTGTCTTCGAGAATAATCAAATTTACAGTGAGCTCAGGGCACCGGTCAATGTGGTCACACCTGTCCCGGCTCTCCTCCGTTCTCAACTCTCCTCCTCCCCCTCCTCTCTCTTTCCACCAATGGAGGAAGTGTGGAATGGTACAATACACAGTCCGCACAACTTTCCCAGCAGGTGGGATGCTCAGGGGGAAATAGTACGGTGGCTGGGCATGGAAGTAGCAGATCCAATTACATAACTAGAAGCCTGTGGTTAGAAGCTGCAGCAGCCCAACAACAATGGCACAAATTGAAAACATACGCTGAAAGAATGGGACCACACTACAGTGGCTACTAATTGTAATTGTACAATAGCAGAGACACTGGGGGACTCACTAAGTGCAACATACTCCAAGGGAAAAGAATGACCTGGGGTGACCACCACAGTTGGTCGTTCCACCACCGCAGTAAGAGTAGATGGGATTGTTCTTCAATGCCGTGAAACTGTTCCACCCCCACAGTCACGATAAAAGACAATGGCGTATGGCAGCTGGCTCAAACCGCAGCAATGTACAGCAAACCTAGCCTTTGGGGGGGTGACCCTTTAATCACACCATTAAATGCACTGTCCCACGCCAACAATAATTAAAGATAATGGAGTCTATGTAGTGGCTTAAACCGCAGCAAGAGAACCTGAGACTTTGGGGCAGCTCCTTCAATTAGTGCACAGAATGCCAGAAAACTGTCCCATAAAGAGGAAACAATAACAAGTTTATTGGAGCCCAACAATAGGGTCTGGACCCAGCTAAGACAATGGGGATAGCTCCTTCAATATTAGTGCATTGACTCCCCCTCTCCTTTCACCACCGTATGGTGCGAACTGTTTTCACGCTCACCCCACTTGGATCACAGGGCTGCAGCTGGCACAAACAGGACTTGCGTAATTGTGTTTCTCTCGTAGTCGGGAATTGTCTGGGACACCGACATAATGATGCAAGACTTGATAAGGGAGCCAGGGAACATTTCTGATGTCCTAATACAGATTGTCTGAAAAACACCAATTAATCGGGCGTGTCCTCCTATCAAAAGCTATCGACCAACCCACGCACACAGCGACCACACACTCAAATTAATTCATATAATAATGGGAAAATAACGACACAGAGAGAAGAGAGAAAGACAAGATGTGGAGATGGAAAAAGTTTAAGTGTTGTTATGTCTGCGGCTGAGTTCACACTGAGAGTCCTGGAGCATTTCAAGAGCTTGCAGAGTGGTCGGGTGTCCGGCACCATGGGTCACTCTCAGCTGCCGCACGGCCTACACACAAACACACACACAAACGCAGAGCTAGATCACTCAAGGTGGGAAGTTACGAGTAGGGTCTTCGGTGACTCAACAACAGCAAACAGGCTTTGTTTGTGGGGGGGGGGGTGCTATAACCACAACAGGAAGAGAAGGTCACACCTGGGTCAACTCGTGGACCGACTGAGCCAGTTGGGTGGTAGATCCACTCACTCGCAGCAACTTCCCCAGCCGCAGAAAGTGAACGGCGAGCACGGGATGAAACTCCGTGAGATAGCGTCTGAAAACGAACATCGTGAACACTTTGTTTTTTTTAGCAGAGCTTGCAAGGCTCACCGTAGAGGCTCAGTTAATTTCCTGCTGGCTTCGATGGCTTTGGGCCAGTCACCAATAGCTGGGACACAACGAACAACCAACTATACAAAACCAAACGTAGACATACAAGAGACAAACACCCAAATGCACACGTGGGCCACTAAAAACCATTTCCACCGACTCTATCGTCACAACAGTTTAAAACGGAGTATATACTCAAAACATTTCCACGGGATGAATCACAAACGTACTCCAGACAATACTTACCAATAGCGGCATAGACCAGCTGCCGCAGGGTATGGACTGTGACATGGTGAAAGTCGTGCAGGATGCACGCTGCCCCTCTCGAATGCAGCGATGACTCGCATTCCGACAACATGGCCTCATAATCTGCAGTGGGAGATGCTCTTGTACGGCCTCCGCTCGTCAAAACACGCATCGGTAAACACCTCAGAGGCGGGGGAAACACCCGTGACAAGGGAGGGTTATGTTGGCTTTGTTTCGCAAGGCGTGCCTCCTAACATATGCTAGCTCTCTTCCTTCAGACAAACACACACACCCACACACACCCACACACACACACACACCCACAGTGAAGTGAGTACACTATAATACAGACCTCCCTTCCGTCTGAGGTCTTCCATCTTTTCCAGGGACCTTGCCCCCTTTTCAACAGCTTCGCTCACAGACGCGGCCAAACTCCCTTCTACTCTGACACAGAGCACACGAGTAATGATAATTGCAGAGCATAGGTCAACTGTAGGACATTTGTGTTGACAATGATTTCGTAAATCTGAGTATCGTTCTCTCATAAAACAGTGGCAGTAATGACTGCTGTATTATGCTCTGACTCACCTACTGATGCACACAGGGTTGCAAATGGCGAGTCCTGCACCCAACAGCATCCTCATACACAGACACATACACAGACACAATGTGGCAAGGAGATATATAAGCAACAGGAGACAGTAATAGAATGATGTAGTGTAATCCTCTAGTATGGAATGTAGTACACTGACAGGGGGAGGATGGCAGGGTTACTTGAACAGTATCCTCAGTACACAGACACAATGTGGCAAGGAGACAGGCAAGATTTAGTAAGGAATGTAATCCTCAGTAGTACAGTATATATATATAATTATACAGTGGAGTCTCATTATAAAGAACACACTTAGTACGAAATTCTGGATACTACAAACACACTCTCGGAGCCTAGCCCTATAGAACACTGTACATTTTCGCCACACTTGTGACAAATTTCCCCCTCAAATTCTTTAGGTCCCCAGCAATCCATTATAACGAGACTCCACTGTACTCACAAGGGGAGGGTGGTAGGTAGAGCCACTCACAAGGTCCATCTCGGTGAGACATCTCTGACACCCACACTGGAAGCAGTAGGACCTCAGCAGCGTCTTGTTCCTCCGCTCACCAATGTCCAGCAGATCCACATAACTCACAGGAGCTATGGACCCACACATGTTTAGTCACCATGCAAGCATTGACACAATTGGTGGAGTGGGGCACTACCACCAAGTATTATGACCCATATGAATAATTATGGAGCTCTAGACGCATGTATCCGTGGCTGGTTAAGCTCATACGATATTTGTGTACGTATTTCGGACTCTGAGGTAAAATCGCAACAAATCAAGCATCATACAGGTATATAAAAGCTGTATATTGCGTGCAGTATCACTGGAGAGTGGGAGGTGTTTAAAAGAGAAACAGTCACATTTACCTGGTGGCCTTGTTGTACAGGTTCAATAGTCCTAACAGTCATACTTGTCCCATTGAACACAGCAACACAGTTTGGCCGACAAGAGTGGTTCAGCAGCGAAGGTCTGCGGGTGTGTGAATGAGATTAGATTCGCAACGCACTGACCAAAGGGAAAAGTAGTCTCACCCGACATAGATACCGGCACCAATTGGATCTAATCCAGACCCGTGGATCGTAAACGTGTTACACAGAGCCTTATTTAGTTAACCGGAACCCGAGAGGAGAGAGATGGAGGGGGGAACATTAACAAGATTGACACAGTCCCAGTCGAGCCAACGGGACTATTCACCTTACACAATAACGTGTAAGCCCTCCGCATAGCACTGGTCTCAGGGTTCTCCAGTAACAGGCGCACACAGACCATCAGAGTTGCCGCGTCTTCTTTCACCTCCAAACTCAATTTATCCTCGTCTGGAGCCATGACAATAACGCGGTGCAAAATAAACCACCGTTTTTTCGGAGGGTGGCAGCTGGAACTCACTGGAGCAGAGGAACTCTGTCGCCCGCTGGGTCTCTTCCTGCCACAGAGACTCATATGCAACCTTTCTTTCAGTGAAACCGCTGAATAAGGGACACGTTGAAAGTGTCCTTATTCGGAGGTTTCTCCTATTAAGAAGTAACCCAATTCACTATAGTACGGGGATTAACCAAGTGTCCTTTATAGAGTGGTGTTCTTCATTCGGAAGGAAGGTCCCCCCTTACAGATGTTACACTGGATTAACGTACTTCTGCATCGACTAGTAGGCACCGCACAACCAGTCGAGCCAGTGGAGTTGGTGAGTGAGGCTGTGCTCTTGCAATACCTCCGCACTCCCCTTTGTGAAATCTCCAGTCCCCTCTCTGCAGAGAAAAGAGAGAGTTATCAAACTAAACGAATGATCTTTCAGTACCTGGCAAGTTTTGCTGCAGTATCTGACATATTTGCACCGGCCACATTTCAAGAGGGATCTGAAAAATATATTTTTTAAAGTCGAAGTTTGCGGTTTGTTAGTGGAAAACTGAACTGGGATTCTCTCAGACAGAAATCGCATAGCTGTCCTCTGACGTCATTACTCAGCACGTGCACCAGCGGCTCGGCGCGCATCACCTCCAAGCCGGTCGAGAGGGCCGTGGCGGCGTACACACCTCTGCCCCATGCTTCCCTCTCCCTCACTTCCAACTGGGAGGACACTCCAATCTTCCCCCACTGAAGTGAGGAGGCCGAGGAAGAAGAAGCGGCCATAATCCCTTTTGCGCATGCGCGGTTAATTCGAGGAGCGCGTAAACGGTCAAAGGTCAAGACCCTGAGCGGGGCGGCAACAACAAACGGTGAAGGTTACGAAAAACGGAGAGCTGTCGGGAGCTGTACATTGGATCAACAACGAACTCTGGAATACGGGAGTGGGCAATGGAGGTGCGTGGAGGTCAGTCGTCGATAGTTTCGCCGTCCGTGGAGGTGCTACTTGATGAGATGGAGGTGTCGACTGGCTCGGACTTCCTATCTCTGGACATGATAACTGCCAGTTCCGAGGACCTCTTGCTGGGCGGGGAGGTGGAGGTGGTAGACGCCGCGGAGGTGAGGAGCCAGTACAGGGCGCAGCTGGATTCAGAGGCCGCGGCGGACGGGGCGGGGTCCTCGAAAGACGTGGCTAGTGAGATCGGGGAGGAACGCGTGGAGGACGCCATCGGGATGGAGGTGGAGGTGTCACGCAAGTCTACCAGCTGCAGCGAGTCCTGTTCTCCAGGCTTGCCCCACGAGCAAGAGAAAGGTGGAGAATGGCCGGAGATGGAGGTCGGTGCAGTCGAGGTGGTGGGAGAATCAGCCAGTTACGCCGGAATTGGAGAGCAGGACGCCCCTGAGATTAGTAGTCAAGGAGAAGAGAGACGTCGTACGCCTGAACCTGGACTAGTGGAGGGGAAGCGAACTCCGGAGGTTGGTCTGAGGGACGAGAGACGAGTTCTGGGGCGCAAGCGGGAGCTGTACGTTCCACCGGTCACCGAGTGGCGGGACCTTCTAGATTCGCAGGATATTCTACTGGAGTTTGCTAATCAATGTAAGAAGAGCGGAGAGAAGGCAGATAGTGAGAATATGCAAGAGGGGATATGGGGGCAAGAAGAAAGAGAACCGAGCGAAGAAGACATGGAGAAAGAGCAAGTGGAGGGAGAGGGTGTGGTGGGGGAGGATGAAGAGGAAGAGGTACATGTGGAAAGTGGGGAAGATGTGGAAGGTGAGGGGGAGAGGGGTGACGTGGGTGGAGTGGAAGAAGGGGTTGTGGAGGAGGGGGAGAGTGGGGAGCAGATGAAAGGCGATGAAGAGAACGATGAAGTTGTAGACGTTGTGGAAATGGAACACGGAAAACCAACGGAACACTGTGCATCACCTCACCAGCAAACTCCTGAGACGACTGCGGGAGAGACCAGCAGGCTGACGCCTCCCAGCCAATCTGAGCTGTTCCTACCATCACCCTCGGAGCTCTACCGCTGTCTGCCTTGCAGGGGGAAGCCTGTGACCTTGACTGGCAGTGCACTGGAGGTGGGCGAGAGTTTTCTTGACCAAGAAGAGAGCCTTCTCCAGAGAGCCAGGTGGGTTGTTCCTCCCAGAGCAACCAGCTCACGGGCACTACAAGAATCGAGACCTATTCGGTCTAGTGTAGCTCCGCAAAAGACGGTCGAGGTGAAGCGACAGAACACGGCTCATCGGGATCACTCGCCAGCCGGGGCAACCCCTGTAATCAGTGCCTCGTTAAGGCTTCCAGCATCGGTAGCAGTCTCTCAGACTGACGCAAGCAGCTCTGACTCCAGACAATGCATCAACCCACCAGAGAAAAGCTCTTTGTCCAGTAACGGAGGAAGAAGTCGGCATACTCCGAGTGAAGTTTCCAGCACTTTGAAAACCCAAACGAGAGAAAATGTCTTGGAATTGAGCCCCAGAGGACCCAAGATACTGTTGAAATCTAAGCTATGCCCTCAGCCGCGAGAAATGCGGACGCAGTTTTCTCCACAAACAACTGGGAGAGAGAAACAAAAACTGTTAGAGTCACCTATGTCGGGCGGTTCAGCAGTGGCAGTGAGGGGCAGGAGATACGAAGTGCCTGAGGTTATTGACAGCAGTTTCTTTGACCACGAGTCTCAGATGGAGGGGTCGGGAGGGGAGGGAGAGAGGGAGGAGCCTCGCGTGACCCTCTGTTCACCGAGTACCCAGGGCAGCACCAGTGGGCAAGAGAATCCAGTGGAACCCTGTTCAACACCCCAGGGCCCCATCATTAGTGACAGAGATAACATGGCGAGTACCCAGGGCAGCACCAGTGGGCAAGAGAATCCAGTGGAACCCTGTTCAACACCCCAGGGCCCCATCATTAGTGACAGAGATAACATGGCGAGGAGGGGGTCTTCTGCTGTCGAGAGACAGAGTATTTCAAGCCCAGTCGAAGAGAGAAATCTGCAACAACCCACAGGACCTCGGACTTTGATAACAACATACTGTGATAACGTACGAACTGCCGCGGGTGGATCTTCTAGCGTCGACAAGGGGAATAGTTCAGTTGGAGTGAGAAATCTACAACAACCCATGGTACCTCCTGAGACCTCAATCGCCACCTCAACTGATTTGACCTCTCTCCTAGTGATATCTTCAGTGGCTGGTGACGGTGGTGAATCGAGGGGTCTTTCGCCAACAAGGAGAAATCTCGAAGGAACACTGAACTCTGCTCTCGAGGGTAGAACGGAGGAAACCTCAGAGAATGAGGCTGTGAGGGAGGAGGGGGAGAGGGGGGCGAGGGGGGAGAAAGAGGTGAGGGTGAGCAGTGGAGAAAAAGAAATGTCTCGGATACGGGAGTACAATGTCAAGATCCCCAAACTCTCTGTTCCAACTCCAACAACCAGAGCATTGAGGTGCAGGGCAGAAGACGCCAACATTGCTGAGGTACTGAGTGACTTGCGTCTGTCACTGGCATCACAACACTGCGGCGATAGTTTGAGCGAATTCCACGATTTTGTTCTCCGTCTGCCTCTCCCGTCGGTCCGTGATGCACCCACTGCCGGCGACAGGAAGACAACGAGGAGACCGCAAAAGAGAAAAAGGACAGAATGTAAAGAAACGAACCAAAACCCTATTTCTGAGGATCCTCTCCCCTCTACGTCGGTCTCAACCTTGCTCACTCACCTGCGTGACAAACCGGTGCAGACGGGCACAGGCAAAGAGTCACAAGCAGACAGTTGGTCTAGCATAGATCATCTCTTGGACTGTCTTCTTCCTCCTCCTCCTCCTCCTCCTCCTCCTACTCCTCCTCCTCCTCGGGCTCCAGCTGCTCAGGAGATGAGGGAACAGAGAGAGACTGAGTCCCAGAGAGCTGCTTGTTCAGAAAACGAAGGCCCCCACCAGAGAGGAAATGACCCTGAGAACGGTCCTTCCAGCCACTCTGATAGTGATCTACAGGTTAACTACTGCTTCCCTCTCTCTTATGTGTGGCATGTATGCTTAGTGTTACCTTAGTGTCACTCTTCTAATTTACTATCATCCCAAAACTGTGCTTTACCACGGAAAATTGCATCTGCGGAATTATTATGCAGTTAAACCCGCATACTAACACTGTGTATGAAGGTATGCTTTTTACTTCAACACTCGCTTTCCTTATGGTTACTTTGTCTATTATTTTGTCTTACTCCAGCCTGGCCAGAGCCCCAGCGATCGTGTTCGTCAAGCAGAATGTCCAATGCACATCAAAAAGATCATCCACGGCTTCTGGTTTCGACACTCCATAGCACTGACAAAGATGTCCACCGACCACACTACTCCCTGATCCTAATCACATCATTATCATCTTTTTATTCAGACATTGTAACAGAAAAAGTGGGGGTATGATTTTCCATGTTACATTGGCTTGTATGGCTCTAGTATGCGCTTGCGAACAATCGTCGCGCTGCTTCAATTTCAATAATCTTCAAACACATGAAAAGCAGTGCAGATAAGTGAATCATTAACATGTTATGGGGTAAAAACTGATGATTTCAAACAAAATTCTCTATTTCCTGTAGTGTGCTTGAGTTGAGTTGTGTGTTACGGTCTGGGGCTACCAACAACAGTCAGTCCAGACTTGACGTTGATGCAGCTATGAACCAAACAAGAAATCTTTGCTGCAGTAATGAGAGGGAGGGAGGGAGGGGGGAGAAACATTGAAGAAGAGGGTAAAGACACGGTAGAATCTGAGGTGGATATATACAGTTCCGTACATTTACAATGTCACTCTATGCCACAGTACAGTGCAACCTTCAAATAGGACCCTCCCAATAAGACCTCTACTCTACTTGGTTCTGCCTCTACCATGTTACTAAGGGACACCTCTGAATATTATCATCTCCCCAAGGTGTCCTTATTCAGCCGGTTCCCTGTATATTACTGTAGGGACATTTGTTCCTTTAGGGATCACACCACAGCACAAGTTATGATGTTTATTAGAACAACCACCAGAGGGCACAGGTCAAACTAACAAAACAACGCAGCACAGTATGCATAAACCACAGCCACTGGTCTCCCCAAGCAGACAGACCAAATAGGGAAGGCTGGCTATTGCTCAATAGCAAGAGAGAGCAGGGGTTTCTGAAGGAAGCCTGGAGGCCATAGAGCTTTGGTCACACAATGTGTTTGAGGAAGTTTGTTCACAAGATATACCTTAGTTTGGCAGGAAGTGCCACGTACTAATTAAGAGGACCTACAATACTGACAACACACAATTGAAGACGGAACTCCCCACATAGTATTGAAGGGAAACCCGAAACTAAATGGAGCTGTATATAGTGTTAGAGTGTAAGAATTCAGACTAACTGGGAAACAACTCCTGTCACCAACCCTCTACCATTGACTAAAGAAAGGATCTCTCCGTTACAGTCGCAAACATGAATTTTGCAAAGAAAACTTCACTGACTGCTGGTTCCTCGATACAAACCTCACCCTCCCTACAAATTCCTTTGCGAATCAATGGCTAATAAACCGTGAAATTCTGCTCCCTCAACAATTTCCCACTATAATGGTATATATGTGTAATACTGGTTGCTGTATTAATTACCTGAGTTGTGAATAAGTGGCAGGGTTAATTGGCGAGGACAGGGAGTGGGCTGCGCTGGTCCTCTATCCTGGTGGACTGGAGATGCTGGATGAGGTTGAAGAAATCTTCGCTTGGCATTGTGCTCCGTCTGCGACTGGCCAAGCCCCCAGGAGCCGCAACGGGCAGGGGTGGAGGAGGCAGGACATGGTTCTGTGGAAACAGAGAGAGAGAGGGTGTGTGTGAGATGTGAGGGGGGAGAGAGAGAAAAATGATCAGTATCGGAAGTCCAGAAGGTCGTATCGTGTTTCATATACACCAAGGGTCGTGGGATATGACACACAAAACGTCACTTAAACCACCCTCAACTAGAGAGTCTGTGTGGCACGCAATCAATTTGCGAGATGAACTGGTGCAAAGATTATTCACAGGGTGAAAATTCACGACATTCCAACAGTCTGCCAGCTGAGGCTACTGAGAGAGTCTTCCCAGCATTCATAGTTTAGCCTGCCACGGCCAGCCAAGCGGAGGAGGAATATCGAATCATGACCCACAAAGGAAGAAGGACATGATATCAGTCCACTTCCATACAAGGTCGTAAACATTGACCCGTGTAGGCTTTGAATACCAAACCTCTCCCTCTGCTCCCCCCTTCGTATCGTACACGAAAGCAGCCACACAAACACACACACACACACCTGTGTTGCTACTGCATAGAATATGCACACTCAGGCACAGTTCACAGCGTACCCAGGCCAGGCAAGCTCTGCATACCTGAAGGCAAGTTGCTGGACCAGCAAGAGACACGCAGAGCTACCACACACAGTGTGGCAGCCAGTGTGTGTGTGTGTGTGAGTTGCAACAATGAGTCTTGTTCCATGCTGAATAACCCCCGGCCTACACACAATACAACCAATGTACACGGTACTCCATTGACTCTCTATGGAGAGGTGAATGACAAACACCGCCTTCTACAAAACAGCTGAAAAAAGCACAAATTTACGGGTCTAAAAACCACCTTATACACACATGTTTTTGGTCCTTACATGGTCTGTAAAACTCCCGGTGGAAATTCTAAGACTTGGGAACAGTTTACTAAGTGGCAACAACGGTCTACTAGCATCCAAACCATACTCTATCATACACAAAAGAAGGCAGCATTGTTATTACCAACCTGCCTTGGGTGGGTTTCAAACCATAGTGTGCTCATGGTACATTTCTTGTGTACGTGTAAGGTTAACTTGGTATTAGAGTCTTTAGTAAAACATGGTATTACTGTAGTTCACGATTGTTGGCATGTAAGATTGTTGGTTGGTGCAATGTATAATGTTCATACTGTACCTGTGATGGTTGCAGTTCGCCAAGTTGATCTCTCCTTTCCTCCTCATCCTCCTCTTCCTCCTCGGACGACGATACGTCGTCACTCTCATCATCGTCTTCGTCGTGTGATCGCTGCTGTCCCTGCTGAGATCCGCGACGTTTTGCTCCGGACACGAGGTGGGGCGCAGAGGGCATCTCGCATCGCTGCTCGTTGAGACGCGAGTGCTGCAACTTGAACAGCATCTCGAGGAGCTGGTCGTCTTCGGAGCTCTTCTTAGCCGGGACGACGGGCGGGAGGGAGGGTCTGAGGGGGTGCGGGGGGCAGGAGGGGAGAACCGCTCGCTGTTCGTCGAGTCGCTGGCTTTGGTACTTGCAGATCATGTCAAAGAAACCGTCCGTCTTTGCGGCATCGTCCTCCTGTGATGTTACAGTGCGTACGGTGATTACTACAGACTGTACTCTAGGGAAACCGCATACTAATGCTGGGTACGCGCAAGGGAGGCGGACTTGGCTACCACAACACATAGGAACAAGAAACACGGCCAAATACCGCTACGTTCACACGCTTTGTGGAGTCCACCGCGGACTAGTCGGTCCATATTACCGTGAGCTATCGGAACTGGTTGCAGAGGCAACGCCGGCACAATGTAGCAGCTTTTCTGGCTAAAGCGAAGCCCGTCGGCCCGACGGACCGTTCCCCGCTAGCGGTGCGCGGAATCACGGTAGTACGTAGCCCGCCAACTCACGCAGTCCATGCTGGTATACGAGGCTCTTTGCCTGGAGATGCACAGAGGAGCTGCTGCGACGAGACAGGCCATTCTTCCACAGTTTCCGACAAGTTTTCAGCGCACAGCGGACGAACGGACAAGAGTGACTACGGCACAAGGTCGAGCCCTTTTTGGCTAGCAGCGTTCTCTCTAATTTAGCGACACAGGGAAAAATTAAATCGCCCGTCCTTCAGTATGCGCATGCGCAATACAGACTCATAGCTTACTTTGATGGTGGGAGAGACTTCGTGCAGCGAGACGTGCCCAAGACTGATGGAGCTGTCAGGAGATCCAGTGGAATCAGATCTGCTGGAGCGATTATCTGGAGACTGGAGGGACTAAAGGGAGGGAAGGAAAACAAGATGAAAGCAAACATACATTGAGTACGAATATCATTTTCACTAGTTCGCCATCATGGGATAATGAGGAGGTATCACAAGTAACAAGATAGTGCTATTCTAGACACTGTCCCATTCATGGAGGAATTTACCCCCATATCAACTCAGGATCCATCCAATAAAACTGTCATCAATATCTCTGGTTGGCAAAGAATTGCTTGCCATTTATATATATATGAAGATTTCTACACACACCCCACAAAATGACATGCCTTCTGTTAGCAACACACTCAAACGTTCTGTACCCTATACTTATGGTGCAAAGAAACAGGAACATGTCGAGAACTACATTATGCAGGGACAAACCACAATGTGGCAGTAAAAGCGGGTTAGATCAATTTCTAACCAGGGCAGCGAACTAGAACTCAGACTAGACCGGCTGGCTCCCGGCATAGCAACGACCACTAACTATAGGGTTGTCGGTAATTCCTGGTATGTGGTTACACCACTGCAGTGTGCATGCCCTCTCTTACACAATGACTACAGCAGACATTGCTACCCGAATAGCCTATTGATAACAAATTGCCCTGTGGTCTCCCAGATGTCAAAGTGTTGGGAGGGATCTGCATGGGGCCACTCCGGCTAATCATTGACTACTCCTCTCAGGTATCACACAGTAGCACGTGTTCATTGACAACACAAACTTTTCCCACAAAAAAATCGGATGTAAAGCCACACACTCTTGCTTCAAAACCACTCATATATACAAGGTAACTTATTGCTAGAAACATGTCGCAACCAACATAGTTTCCCTGCATTATGATATATAGCAAGTTGCTCAGTTTCCTGTCTCACGCTGTGAGTATATAGAAGTTCAGTGTCTTGTAGAGTAGACGGCACAGTTCTATGAATTTGTTCCTGCCAAGTGCCTGTTATAGTATCGGCTATATAAATCTCAAACTGCAGAAGAGGGTAAAGTGCAGGAGGGAGTGGGAGGGTGTGGGGATCACTTTTCAGGCCTCGGGATTAGGTCACAAGCCACAGTTCATTTGGATGAATGGAGAACCCTAGATGAGTCATAATTATGTAATTAGACTGTCTGGCACCAATGGAAGAGGAAGAGGAGGAGATGATCACCATTGAGGAGGCCTTATTTCCTCTCTGTATATAGCACTGGATCTACTGTGTGGTGGATGCACTCTCATTTACATAAAGGAAGTAACACAGGAACTGGCAGTGGAACTGAACCTTGGAGCTGGGGAAACTGAGAATTATATATAGCTCGGGGGAACACCTTGGAGATCTGAGAGAGACTACAGACCTGACCCACCCACACATTTTAACTGGAAAATTATATTATTAACGCCCGCCCTTATTCTGAGGGTGAATATATTGTACTGCTATAGTTCTGTTCAGAATGGTTGGTTGGTCTGTCCTTCCCCCATGTTCTCACTAAACTACGAAAACTTCAACTACAGTCACTCCGCATCGCACTAGGCCTTCAAACTGCAACATTACCTCTCCCCCCCTTTAAATGTATACAGGTGGAAAACTTCAACTATAGGTCTGCGGCCCTTTGCACTACACATATATACCTTTCCTCCAAAGTTGAATTCGAGCCGAAAAGTCACCTTTTCTCTCAGTTTCTGTCTGAGGCTGACAGAAGGAGCTGTGTGAGAGAGAGAGGGAGGAGAGGTCACGAGGCTATAGGCATACCCAAGGTGACATGTGGGATGTGGAAGTGAAGCGGGAGGTGTGAAAGGAAGAGCAAGAGAGGCAACGAAGTGGTGTCATTCAACCACAGATAGACTGAGACAGACACGGAGGATGTGCAGCATGCAATTTGAGTCCTACCTGGTGAATTTACCGAGCCACCTCCCTTGGTATAGCTACACTCATACCTGCAGCAAAAATTTAATTACAGTCAGTAAGTCAATCAGAGCAACACAAGTGAAAAAGGTGGGCCTATCTCGCTCCAAACTCGTCTTTCCCTATCTCACTTCAAACTCGTCTTTCCCTATCTCACTTCAAACTCGTCTTTCCCCCTATCTCGCTCCAAACTCGTCTTTCCCTATCTCACTTCAAACTCGTCTTTCCCTATCGCACTTCAAACTCGTCTTTCCCTATCTCACTTCAAACTCGTCTTTCCCTATCTCACTTCAAACTCGTCTTTCCCCTATCTCGCTCCAAACTCGTCTTTCCCTATCTCACTTCAAACTCGTCTTTCCCTATCTCACTTCAAACTCGTCTTTCCCTATCTCACTTCAAACTCGTCTTTCCCTATCTCACTTCAAACTCGTCTTTCCCCCTATCTCGCTCCAAACTCGTCTTTCCCTATCGCACTTCAAACTCGTCTTTCCCTATCTCGCTCCAAACTCGTCTTTCCCTATCTCACTTCAAACTCGTCTTTCCCTATCGCACTTCAAACTCGTCTTTCCCTATCGCACTTCAAACTCGTCTTTCCCTATCGCACTTCAAACTCGTCTTTCCCTATCTCACTTCAAACTCGTCTTTCCCTATCTCACTTCAAACTCGTCTTTCCCTATCTCACTTCAAACTCGTCTTTCCCCCTATCTCGCTCCAAACTCGTCTTTCCCTATCTCACTTCAAACTCGTCTTTCCCTATCGCACTTCAAACTCGTCTTTCCCTATCTCACTTCAAACTCGTCTTTCCCTATCTCACTTCAAACTCGTCTTTCCCCCTATCTCGCTCCAAACTCGTCTTTCCCTATCGCACTTCAAACTTTCATCTTTCCCGAAGAGTAAACTGACTTGTTGCTCAGATCGAGAGCGTTGTCGAGATCTCTGAGGTTCTTCTGAGCAATGGCCGCACCCTCCACGTTGCCCAGCTCAGTGGCCAGCGTGAGATGTCGCTCTGCGTAGTGTCTGGCCTGGCGATGCTCTCCGAGACAAGTGTAGGCATTGCCCAGACTCCAGTAAGCCCTCTCCTCACCCACCCTGTGAGATAATGGGGGAGAGAGGGAGGGAGGTAGAGAAGGGGAGAGACATTGATGGGTCTTTGACTTCCCCCCCATCTCCCTCCAAACTCTACAGTTTTGGAGGTTTGTTTTACAGCAATTCCACACTTTATAAATCTAATGCACAGCTTTAGTTGTTGGCAGGATAAGAAGTACAGCAGTAATACAGCAAAGTCGGGCCTTCATCATTTCAGAAATTCAGGGGGTGAGAGTGTAAATTGAAAAAGAGGAGGGAAAACTCTGTGTTTGTTTGATTAATGTTCAGTGCATAATTATACCATACCTGTCCTCCAGTTGCTGTGCATACTGTAGATGAATGGTGTGATACTCGATGGCCTTGCTGTAGTGCCTCATGAGAGTGCAGGTGTTCCCGAGACTGTAGCAGGACTGAGCTACAAACGCCACGTCATTTATCTCCCTTGCCACCGCCATCGCTGTCCTGCACAGGACACGGGATACAGCATGATTATTACCACCACAGCTTCCGGTTACTGTAGCATCAAGGCTGGTGCGAGTAGTGCAGGAGGAATTCCGTACGCAACGATTTCTCAAGGAATTTGAAATTGGGAGTGGCTACACCCCACAATCTCTGTTAATTGCTAGAACCAGTGATAATGTAATATTTAGTTAGTGAAAGTCTTAAAGGTGCAATTTGGGAAGTTTGCAGTTAAGGAATTTCGGATTGTGGAGAAAATCTGATCTGCCTTGAAAATTTTTTTACTTACATACAGCATAGTGTTGTTTGAGCCTTCACCAGTTGTTATATACTTACAGATAGCACTGCTCTGCGTGACTGTATTTCCCGAGGAAGACGTAGGCATTTCCCAGGTTGCTGAGGGCTCTTCTCTTCGCTCCGTAGTCATTGAGACTGGCAGCTATACTTAGTCGCTGTGGAGGGGAGGGGGAGAAGGGGAGAAGGGGAGAGAGGAGAGGAGAGGAGAGGAGAGGAGGGGAGAGGAGGAGAGGAGGGGAGGTGAGGGCATTGCAACAGAGGCTTGTGTGTGTGATGTAAAGTGAAGCCATACACAAACACACACAAAAACAACAAACAATAACTCATGTAAACACAAACATGATATCACGTCCAGGTCCCAACAAAGCCCCTGAGGGCGTCACAATGGAACCTCTGCTGAGCTCTCTTGCTCAATAGAGGACGACTGCTGTCGCATGCCCCTGGCTCAATGGCAGTGTTTGTACCAGGGAATTAGCCTACCCATTCACCACTTGTCAAGAGCGAAACGTGATAACCAACTAATTGGTCAAACTTGCTAAGTCCTCGTGTGTCCGTAGTTTGTACGTTTCCATCTCACCTCTTCGTGGTACTTGATGGCTTTCTTGTAGTTGCCAAGGAGATAGTAGGTGTTGCCAAGGTTACCGACTGTCCGTCCCATTGCTGCGTAGTCGTTTCTCTCCCTCACCAGCTTTAGGTTAGCTCTGGGAATAGGAGTAAGAGAGGGGAGGGAGAGGGGAGGGAGAGAGGGGAGGGAGAGAGAGGGGTAGGAAGAGGGAAGCAGTAAAACGTGTAAACTTGACTGCCGATAGACAACTGTTATTACAGAAAATGGCATACAAAATAGGAATGAAATCTTTGCAGATCGCCCACAACATGATTAGATGGAATTGGGGGGTAGAGAGAGAGTGGGATGGTGGTATACACACAGTGTCTTTCAAGTGCCCATTGGTGGGGAGTCAGTAGTTAGACTCCGCACACACACAAGGCAGTGAGTGGTCTTCGCTCATAGCTAACTGTGGGAAAACACTATTAGCACAAGTCACTCTCCTGCCAAGTCACGGAGGGAAGTTTGTGGGCTTTAGAAATTAGAAATTCAGCGTGATTAACTCAACTCGCTTGGTAACTGACAGAATCCCTGCATAATATATCTCCAGGGGAACTATGAGATGCGTGGAGTAGTATGTACCAGCAATACCATACACATTCTCATTTATTAGCAGAGTTGGCCCGGAGTAGAGATTGGCACTTGCTAACACTTGACCGATGCCTTTTGCCGTCACATCAAAGACCTGTAGCTCAATTTGAGACGCTGGAAAATGCCACCTAGAGAGGTTGGCAGGCGGCCACCCTACTAACAGAGCCCGCAGCTGCCCGGGCATTACCTCTCCTACCTGCACACCACATATCTGGACATTGGCAGCTAAAACATTGTCAACTCCAATGGCTAAAATAGGAAAGATAGGAATTTCCTAATTGAGTTGCAAGAGAGTGCAAATTCAGCACTCGTCTAGCAAGTAAGAGATGTAGAGAGAGAGAGAGAGAGAGAGAGAGAGAGATGTTATGAAGGGACTATCCACGAAGTAAGTCAGAAGGACAAAGAGAGATTGGCCCGCAGGAAGTAGCGTCTTCTTGGAGGGCACACAGCAGCTGTTACTGTGTGGGGACGCCTCGCTGTGCCAGCTAACTGCACCAGGGATCCAGGCAAAACAGCATCTGTTTGCTTTTCCGCACACCAAGGGTAAGTTAGCACTTCTCGAATCGCATCCCCCTCCTCTTCCCTAACTCTTCTCGTCTTTCCCTTCCCTCCTCTCCTCTCCCTCACCTTCTCCTCCTCCCTTTCCTCCCCATCCACTCAACTTGTCAACCGATACTCGTTTCAAGCCCTACCCTCACAAGGAAAGTTCTAAACTATGGGAATTATAGGTTCCTCTGCCAAACGGCACAAAGGTATATACTTCCATATACTGTCGACTTCACCAGAAGGTTTGGCGTATAAGAAGGCATGCAGAACCATTAGCTACCTTTTAAAGACAACGGCGATAGAACGACAGGAACTAAGCTGTAGACCACCTAGGCACCTATTATAGCAATCGGATGTTGCACGACCACAATGACGGTTGATTATATACCTAAAACACCCAAAATTAACCTTTCACCTTATCCCTTACACCAAAAAAACGTCCCAACATTTCATAACCTTAAGCAATCATAATGTCCTCAGTATTACAGGAGTTGGTTAGTGTTTTGTCGGCGGTGACAAAGCAAAAGGCAGATGCAAACCTTTTGCTTAATACCTCAGTTTTGAGAGCACAGATAACGTAATGCACTATGTATCGTCCGAAAAGCTGTTATAGTACAGGTGCAACTCTATGATTATTATAGTGTATTACACCACACATAATGGATGGTGGTGGGACCTAACTCACCCAAACACATAATGGATGGTGGTGGGACCTAACTCACCCAAACACATAATGGATGGTGGTGGGACCTAACTCACCCAAACACATAATGCAAGGTGGTGGGACTCTCTAGGTAAGTGGTAGGCCATTTACTCACTCGTAGTGTCGAGTTGCCTGCTCCAGAGCCTCCCTGACTTGTTCCTCGACCTCGTCCTGACTCACTCCGGCCTCCTCGATCGCCGCAGCCAGAGACACCTGCTTTCCCTTTGAGTGATAGCCATTGCCCAAGTTGTACAGCGCCCTGCTCTCCAGCACCTGTGGGCACGGCAGGATCGGTGGTTGAATAATTATGATGATAGAGTCGTTCAGCCTAACCGTTTTTAAAATCCATATACAATTGATTAGAACAGTTGATTAAAGGTTTCACCCAATGAGGCGCAGTTGTGATTGAAGGGTGATAAAACTTTGTTTAAAGTTCATATATAATATATCCCCATAGAGCACAGATGAGTAATATAGGAGCTAATTTTTTTACAACAGCACCCTCTCTTACGCATGGTTTTTATTTCACGTGCCACCAGCCTCCGTTTAGCGTGTGTATCTTTTAATGATAATGTTGTGAGGAAATATTACCAAACACCAAGTAGCTAATTGGTTAAAATAGAGATATAATGTACACACACACCTGTGGCCCCATACCTAGCCCTGTGTCCAAACAAATGTGGGGAGATACTGTGAGGGGGATCACGTCTAAAACAAACTGTACGGCCTGTGCAGCATCGCAGGTGGCAAAATGTGAAAACAGGGGCAATGTGGGAACTGTCACTAAAAGCATGGCTAGCCTCACTTGTCAACCTGCTCCAATAAGGAGAGCCAGGAAAATTTGATAGCCACGAGAAGCATCTAATTTCTGGGACACACGCGAAGACCCGCAGTTTATGGCAGAGACGTGCAAGTTTAAGGTGTCGATTTATGAGTACAAGTGTCCTTTTCCAACATAGCTGCAATGTTGTCCATTCCTGGAGCTACGAGAAGCTCACGCTCGGAAACTCTAGACGAAAACATCCAAACTCTAAGGTAGCCAATGGGTAACACTACACAGGGGGCAATGTACACTGCGTGTGTGACATTTGTCTCTATGATTGTGGCTGATGTGTGCAGGCATGTGTGCGTGTGTGTGTTGACCTTCCCCGGTGTAGCTAATGCCCAAAACGTGGCAGACAATAATGGCTCTGTGTGACCAGGCGAGGAATAAAAACCATCTCCATGGGGGCCAATAAACCAAGAAACTGACTCGATAAATACCCAGGAAAGAATGCGAAACAAACTCAATTCTTGCTAAACCGGAGTGCTTTATTTGCACGTAACTGCTTCTTGGCAAGTCTTGTGCTCAGACAATTGATGTGGCTCAGTCACCACCCAGGACCGCGCTAGCTGGCAGATAAAAGTGCCATTGTACGTACTAGGCCTTGATCAACAGTTGTCTGAGTGGTAATAGCCTGATAGGACTCCCCGCCAGCCTCCAGCTGTATATATATACCTAGTCCTGCAGCCTAGCACTGCATGCCATGCCAGACCAACACACCAAATCGAGAGCAATTTATTAACTTCTTTCTCCAACTCGTGAGCATCTAAGGAAGCAGTGAATGAAGTGCAAGGGTTAACCTTCTCAAAGATGTAAACAACATTAGTCAATTACATGGCGCAGGCATTCGCTCCTACACAGGACTTATAAAGTTAACCCGAGGAGTCAGGGGTTAACCCATGGCTGTGTGACACAACATGTCACGACACAGTAATGCAAACACTGGCTGTAGGAGTTATTGCGAGGAATGAACGAAAGGCATGATGATTGTGTTTCTAGTCTCCATGCATGCAGCACACACGATTCAAATTTCAGTGTGTCTCATGTGGAGCAAATGTGCGTACACACACACAATTAGATCGTGATACCATTTTCAGGTATTATGGACTATATATAGTTAGAGTAACCGGCGTGTGACAGCTACTGTATACATAATTAACAAAGTATACGACCACTGGTGTAATGTACACACACAATATGTAAACAAAATTAAGTTCAAAAAACACACCAATCAACCTCAAAGGTGATAAAGACTAATGATACTGCAAGCAAATTCCAAGTGTTAACAAACTGGTGTATATACTGTGCTGAAAAATCTTGCATTATGGGGCACTTATTCTTATACCAGCTTATAGCTCGGGGTATTGACCTAAGCATGCACTATAGTAGCCACTAACCCTGTCTCCAAGCTCTCTGGCCAGGTCGAGCTGCATTCTGCAACATGCTATGGCCTCATCGAACTGACCCATAGCTTTGAGCGCACTCCCTATGTTCCCGCAGGCCTTAGCCTCCCCCAGCTTGTCCCCCATCTGCCGTGCAATGGTGAGGTCCTGACGGTGATACTCGATGGCTTTGCTGAAATCCTCCAGATAGTAGTAGGCGTTGCCCAGCTGGCTGTACAGTGCACTGAGGGTCTTGAGGTCGCTGGATCCCGTCCTGGTGGCCTCCTCCAGGCGCTCGATCCCCGCCTCCCACAACCCCTCCTTGCACAGTCGCTCCCCCTCCAGAGCCAGCTCGCTGCACTGCCGGTCGGCCATCCTCCGTCGGGTCCGGAACGATTTCTTGAACCGCAGGCTCGGCCGCCTCGGTCGCAGGTTCACCTGCGCGTAGCCGTGTGCACTGTTGCCGCCGGTGTTGCTGACTCGGGGCGGAACTGCAGCAGCTGATGCGGGGGGCGCTGCTGGTTTCCCTCGAGCCGCCTCCCCGTGCAGCTCAGTCGCTGACACAGTATTCATCGCCGCTGACTCAGAAGGCTCGCTCAGTCGACTCCACCAGTAGTAAACATCCAATCGCTGCAGGCGTTGCACTAACAGAGCTTGTGCATGCAAGCGCGACACGAGGGCTGTTATATAGTTGAATATATGCCGCCTCTTCGGTGACGCCACAGTGATAAACGTGCTCAAATGCCCGTTCCCGTCAGCTGCCAAAATCCTAGTCTATATTTGAAACAAAATACCTCTCTGGAATGAATCCAACAACAGGTCTTCTTTGGCTGCCACAATACTGTGGATAATTGCTGGTGTATGATGTGTTGTCACTGCAGCATGCGGGGAAACCAGTAAAAATTTGGTTGATAGCCAGAAGCAAAACTAGCCAGTTTGATGACGGGAGAGGCGTGGACTATTTCTTGGGTGGGCTGGGGAAAAACCGTTATTGCGCATGCGCAAACCTTTTCGCGGTCGCGGCTGATCCATTTTGCAAGATGTTTTTGTTTTTTTGGTGAATGTCTTCATGTATCTATGTATTTTTCCGATTGATTTTACGTAATAAAGTTTGCAAGGCGAAGGAACAGCAGAAGCTGTTACAAATACTACGTGTGAAAGCGTGATACGGCACACCTACCGACGAGTGCGAGTCGCCGGCGCCGAGGCTCGCGCTCGTGGGGGTGTGGCTAGCTACGGAGCGCGCGCGCAAATTATAAGGGGTGTGGTACTGCGCGTGCGCACGGAAACACCGGGAGTTCAGCAGAGAGAGCTAGAGCGCGACCGACTGGGGGAAAGATGCGCAAAAGAAGGTGTAAACAGTTCTTCTTTCTTCATGATCAACTGCAGCTGGTTCTGCTCATCTCTGTCGCCGCATTCGTCGGATATGCACTCTGCCATCTCTACTTCACCTATCTAGTGGGTCCGGCTGAGTCGGGACCCCATAGTTCGCACCATCTACAAACATCTCCGCCTGTACTCCCGTCTCTGCGCTGGAGACTCTACGGAGTTGCGTTTATCGACGATGCTTTCTCGGTGCGAGAGAAGCGGGAACTTGGTCGCAGGCGAGATGAAACGGTAAAACTGTTCTCCAGCGCTTCAGGAGACACCCACGTGCAGGAACTGGTGGAGGGGCTGCACAATCTGCAGGTAGCTTGCCACGAGCGTCCGCAGAGCGAGCGGCAAGCACTGGGGGAGAAATACGCCAAGTTCCTTGAGGTGCTGTCGATCTACACGGTGTTTCACAAGCGGGAGAGACAGAGAGAGGGCGCGAGGCGACTGGTGTGGGTCTGCGACGCTCACAGAGCGTGCGGGGGCCTGGCGGATCGAGTCAAGGGCGTCGCCTATGCTCTCATTCTCTCGATTCTATCACGGAGGGTGTTACTTCTGGATTGGCGGGACAGAAAGTTCGGAGAGCAAGAGTACTTACAGCCGAACATCATCGACTGGCGGCTCACCACGGAAGAAAAAAAGAGAGCATATCCAGAGGAAGACTATGAAAGCTACTACGACCTAGTAGAACTAGCTGGGCAAGGTAACCTTAGCAAAGAAGCCCAAGCTCCAGCCGATTCTGTCTTGTTTCTTCACATATTCAGTATTCTTGGCGGCATTGGAGTTGACAGCTCTGCAGAAGACCTGCAGAATAACCTGGAAGCAATCTACGGTAGTTGGAATTGGATCTTGCTGGAGAGTAACATGGAGCCCAGTTCTCTGGTGAATGGGACAAAGACAGCGTCTCTGGAGTGGATTGCGCAAGGCATGGCTGGACTTGGGCTCGACAAACTCCCCCCGCACGACATTGACAATATAGTGGGACTGGTGTTTCGATACCTATTCAGATTCTCGGCGGAGATTCTGCAAGAGGCTGCAGCGGCCCGAGAAGTGCTCGGGCTGAATAACGCAGCTTATGTGGGCGTCCACGTGAGAACAGGTTTTGCAGGTTCTGTACAGCGGGAGAGTATCGAACACCCAAAGCTGTACCGCACAGCTCAGCAATGGGGGAAGACCCTCTCCTGTGCATCTAATCACGCCACGGAGACTCTAGGACCAACAGCTCTACTTTTTCTGGCAACGGACTCCAACCTCGTCAAGAGCAAGTCACACAGGTATGGAGGTAGGTACAGGTGTTTGGATAACACGGTTGTACACCTGGACCGGCTAGAGAGGACTCCGCATGAGGCAGGAGACGTCGAGAGAGAAGGGGTGCTGAGTGTGTGGGTTGAACTGATTCTGTTGGCAGAGTCTCACAGCATAGTCATGGGCGAATCCGGCTTCTCATTCCTCGCCCACAGCCTGTGCTTTATCCCAGAAGCTAACACAATCAACGGGTTGACCTGCAACCCTTTCTAGAATTTATTTCAGAAACGAAATAAACTTTCATTTTACTTTATTTAGAAATGCAAAAACTTTCATTTTACTCCATTATTACACTCACAGACCACCTACGCAACGTTGCATCACTCGACTCAATTGTTATCCTTTCCATTTCACACCATCTCAAATATTATCACGAAATTATGAAACGACAAACTTTTTACTTTTACCGCACAGTTTACGACGCGGGGAAGAAGTTAGGGTCCAAGTAGTTGTATTTGCGGTTTGTGGTCTGTGTGAACTGGGCGTAGTCCCTGTCGGCTAGGCCGGTAGAGAGAGTACGCGGCAACATCTCATGGCTCTGGGTGTGATGACTGGTGACGTAATCACTGTTGAGGAAGAGAGAGAAAGTGTGTGACAGAACAGACGGTGCAGATTTTTAAAGGTGGAGATTGTTTGTATTTATAGTACATTTGGTGAAAATACCCCACTGCGATGTACATGTTATTACAATGAAACTTCCGAAAAAGGACGAATATAGAACACCTCCCCATAGTGGACACCTGGTATATACTATATAGTACAATACTATAGCTCCGAATCAAGGACACTTCTGAGTACTTTCAAGGTGCCCCTTATTCAAGAGGTTTGAGTGTATTTATATTGTACCTATTGACACAGTCGGAGCAGAGCAAGGTCTTGACATCAACTGGACACTCGCAACATTCCCAGTACTGACCGAACCTCACGATAGCCTGACACCTCCCACACTGTGTGATTAATCACACCACAATGTTAATGCATCACACACACCCGGGTGTATAGATCAGTGGCACTGTGCCAGACTGTAGTGTATGGTGCCGTAGGTTTGAATCCCACCCAGGGGCAGCTTTTTTCTTTGGAAAAGAAAGTGTTGTTTTGGGTTTAGATGTTGCGACTTCGTTGTTGAAAAAAACATGCGTGGATAGATAAACATCAACGGACGGTACATGAAACAACAGCAACAGAGTTCACAGAACACAGTTGCTGTGGCACAACCCACTCCCATTGAATAATGAAAAGCAAACTGACTTTGACGGAAGAGATGGCGGAGTGGCTTGATGTCCTGGTTGGCACCCATTCGGCCAAAATACTGTCATCCTTGTACAATTGAAACACCACAGGAACATAATGACATTCATCAGTATAAAACACTCCCCTGTCAGCTACTGACGTGTATATAGTATGATTGCATACCTGTTTAACCCCAAAGATAAACAGATGCCATATACACAACAAAAGCAAACACCCACTTACGGAGTCAGTCGAGTCTTCTTCCTCCTCTCCCTCCCCCTCTTCCCTCTCCTCCTCTTCCTCCTCCTCCTCATCCCCCTCAAGAGGTGTGAGGCTGTGGCCACTCCCCGTGGGCGACGAAGCTCCGCCCCTCGACTCCCCACTGGACATGAAAACTCGTGGCGCCAGAGTGGAGAAGAACGTTGACGGGCGACTTAGTCTCTTGGCACGCCCTCCCTACACACACGCACACGCATACCAAATAAGCAAACAAAGAGAAACTAAAACAAAATAACATTAACCAAAAAGTGAAAGAAACACAGCAACCTCCACATTCATAAAGTATGCAACCGGTAAACAACATAACCACACTCTTCTTCAAAATAGGACAATGAACGTGCACCATCTCCCTTTCCACTCTCCCGTTACGCTTTCCAATGTTTACAGTGGGTATCCAGTGGTATTTCCAATTTCCTCCATTCTGGGAACTCCGGTCTCACACCCTACTCCCAACATGTCCTCGTGAAACACACATACAAGGCTCTAATTGCATAAGAGCGGTGGCAGCGCTACTATTGTCTGTGTTCCAGACAGGCTCACCTGTTCCAGACAAGGCTCACCTTTTTCCCTTTAGGTCCGTATGCGGCTATGTTCGGAACTCTTCCGGGAACGGGCAGACCGGCTTTGGCCAACTTAATGAAGTATTTCTGAACGTGGCTGGCCACCTGAAGCAATCACACTTAAAATAGAATTTCCATACTACTCTCTAAGGATGCACGCACAGTGACAGCCACTATATAGCTTCTAACCCACACACTAGGACCTTGTCATTAAGAGGCATCATTTATGCAAAGGTTAAACAGTATCAGATCAAAACAAGTGTCTTTCATAAAGAGGTGTCCCATATTTGGAGTGTCCTTTATATAAGGTTGCACTTTATAATGCTTAAAATGTCGCTATTATTACATTCTTCCATAATAGGCATGGACTTAAAAGGACCCCATAGAGTGAATTAACGAGTGAATTAAGAAGGCAAGAGGCATGTACTTTACCTGTTGAGTGGTTCGAGTGCCGAGTGCAGTTGCAATCTTTTCATATCGTCGCCTCTCAACCGCCTCCGGTGGATACGCTCTGAGCAACTCCTCCAATCTCATCTGAAATGAGGATGAGGATGTAATGATGATGTAATGGATAACAGGTCCCATTAACAATGAATGGGACCACGACGTAATGCACCTGCTCTTCAGGGGTCCAGGGCTGTTTGTAGGATGGCGGCTTAGCAGCTCCGCTCTTCTTGCTGTTTCCACTCACATCCTATACAGCCCAAAGGAGTCAGACGGACAGAAAATAACTTTGTGAGTAAAGTCTTTTAAACAATTAATAGATGCCCTAGCCCAGCGGAATGTTAAGCAGAATTTCAAACATGCATCGCTAATAAGTGTGTGTCTATTAAAAAGTAAAATCACCAAAACACCACCGTCGCAATGTTCAGCCATATAAATTTCACACTCGCTTGTTCACCAATAAAGTGCTCTAGTATAATATATATATATATTATATGTACATACAATGGACAGACGCACCATCTTTGAGAGGGCTGTAGTAGGTTCCTTGGAGAGGGCTCTCCCGCGGGTCCTCTGGTAGACGGAGGAATGCTGCCTCACAATCCTCTCCACACTCTCCATGTAACTCTTCCAGTTTACATCGGGCAACTCTGCCACCTCCTGTCTCGTCGGCAGGGGCTCCAGGGTCTATGGAACACAGTTACTAAATATAGCTTGCAGTGTTCTATATTTAGCTCGTATGCTGTCGTAGGACTCACCCCGTTTTTGAGCGCAGTCACAAATCCGGTCGGGTCTCGGAGTGCCCTGGTTTTTAATACTATTAACTTCTCCAAATCCTGTAGGCGAAAGGGATAATGTTCTCAGGCAGAGTCCATGTTTCTTTTACCTTTGTAGCCTGAATTTTCTGTGCTTCAAGTAGAGCCAATGTCCTGAGCATCTTTTGGTAGCTGCAGAGAGAGAGAGATGAGAGGGAAAAACAGACCGAGAGAGAGTGAGGTGAAGAGATGGAGAGCTCAAGGTGGAGTTAGATGATTTTCGATTGCGTGTCTCACTCAATGTTGTTCTTCAGCACAAGAGCGTCAGACTCAAAATAAAATCGCTGGAGTCTGTCAGGGACACCGACGTCGTCTCTCTCCATCCCACGCCCACCCTCTCCTTCTCCCACCTCCCCCACCTCCCCGGCAACATGACACCCCGCCTCCAGCAACACGGAGTCATCTGGTTGAGGTGAAGGCCTCGGGGACTGAATCTCCACCTCGCTCCCTATCACCTCCACAATTTCTTCCATCTGCTTTCTCTCACGGTATGCTTGATGACCTTTGTCCTCACCGTTTTCGACTCCAAAAAACGGGTGTGGCCAGGCCTGCGGAGGAGATGGAAGTGCTGGCTACCGGCTACAGAGGCCGCCAGAACTCCCTCATATACTTCTGTCCTCCATCTCCGTCCCAGCACGTCGTGTTCTTCCAAGGTGACATGCAGGTACATACGCCAATGCCTGAATACGTGGTCCGTCTGATTGCCCAAACACACAGGACAAGATGGCGAACATGATGGTGCACCGGGCGGAGATCTCGCCCCGCCAGTTGGTGGAGGTGAGCCGCTGGAGCGAGTGGTGTCTGGAGAACACGTGCTCCCTCCTCCAACGCAAGTTCCCGGGTTCCGCCGTGTGGCTGGTCCGACCGTGCCGCATGCTCCGGAAACTCTTCAGCGCCTTTCACAACTTCGTGGAGTCTTCCATGACAGGCGTTCCCGCCTACTCCACTCACCACGGAGCCCTTCTCCATCTCCACCATCTCCTGGCAGATGCCCTGGCAAAAGTAAACGAGAGAACCCCTCTCAAACTTACAGTTGATGAGGCGGTGTGCCTACCTCTGGTACTCATCGGTTTCAGCAAAGGTTGCGTTGTACTGAATCAGATCACCTACGAACTGGTCAACGCAACCACTGAAACTGATGACTTAGAAAAACTCAACCTGGATGATTCGGGTGATGGTGAACACACACCTGATTCTAAAACGGTAGACACACCTGATTACCGAGAAACTGAGACGTATTCTGGAAAGCCCCTCCCCCTGGACCCAGTGGAACGGAGACTCCTGAAAGAGGTGGTATTGCGTGTGAGATGTCTCTACTGGCTGGACTCGGGTCATTCCGGGGAGACTGGGGCGTGGGTGACCGACACCAACCCACTGCAGTCGCTGGCACGGCTACGAATCCCAGTCCATGTGGACGTGACGCCGCAGCAAGTCCGAGACCCCGCCCGGGAGTGGATAGGTCTGGAGGAGGCGGAGTTTGTCTCGAAACTGCGGAAATTAGGTGCCGATGTTTCGGAGAAGATTCACTTTGAACACGAGGAGAAATCGTTGGAGTACCATTTTCTGGTTCTCAGAGAATTCAAACCGTGAGATGGAGAGAAAAAATAATATCATGATTCAGAGGAGATTGTAGGATGGAGGAGACGTGTGTGTTTGTGTGCGTGTGTGTTTGTGTCAGGTTAGAAGTCTGCCGGTCCATAGACCTTCACACTTCTTTTTGATTTCAGTTTTGCCTCTTGCTTGTTGTGTGAGGAATCTTTGTGCCAAAAAAACACCAATAAATATTACGGCATCATGCGATGTATAATTTTCCATCAGCTTACCTCTGTCTGCGGCTGTGGAGAAACCGAGACAGGAATACTGACAGTTACAGAACGGTGAGGTTGGTTTTTGTGACTCACCTATCACAGCCCATGGGTTGGTAGCTGCCTCTGGAGTCAGCTCCACGTATCCGTTCTCGTCGCTAGCATTGCTGACCCACACGTCCACGCCACGAATCATCCCTCCGTCCATCTGCACCACGCACACACACACACACACACACACACACACACAGTGATTGGTGGATCGGTTTCTCTTGCATACGGATTATATACCTCTTTCTTAGCCGTCGTTGCAAGTTGAGGAGTTTCAAAAGTCAAAAACGAACTCCTGCACACACGGCCCAGACGAGTCGTATAAACTTAAGATCATACAAACCTAGTGGTCTTGTTAATTACTTACTCTTTAGTCTTTAGACCACCTCTGAAAGAGAGAAATAATGTTCCATGTAGTATAATAATATATAGAAAATACACTTTACACGCGCCAACATTCTTGGCAGTATTATACGGTGATACAGTGTGTCAACAAAAGTTGCAGCAACTTCCAAAGTATTGGTACGATGGAGCCAAGCAACTAGATGTCAGAAATAGATGGCTGCTCTATTTCTGGCAACTGTATAGCTCCATCGTACCAATACTTTGGAAGTTGCTGAAATTTTTGTTGAAGCAACAAAGTTACCGCATGTATGGCCTGCTTAAGGTTCTGATTTTGATGCTATGTACATAAGTACAGAGCTATGTATGCAGAGGTAACAGAGGTGTTATTAACTCACTCCTCAGGAGATCTCATGAGGACGGTCTGTATGGACCCAAATCTTCCAAAAGCCACTCTCAGAGCGTCTTCCGTCAGTCCAGGAGACTTTTTCCTATCTGTCTCCCATCGTACGTACACCGTGCAATCCTATATCGACACACACTTGAACAGTCACGAGTGAAGTATTCTATAGAGTCTCTCTTCATACTTTGGCCGTGAAAGATTTCACTTCCGGTTCTCTGTGACTCTGCGATGTTTCGGGCGTTTCAGGTTTCTTTGGAATCCTCTCTAAAGTGATTAGTGCAGGTGTTCGTGTGTGTGTGTGTGCGCGTGTGCGTGCGCGTGTAGAATGTATTGTGCCTACCCAAGTCATCTGGTCTGGATGAGGGAATAAATCTGTTGTACAACTTTTTCACGTCGGACGCTGCGTACTTTGGTTTTGATGGAGCCTGCAATGAAGGGATGAAGTGTGTTAGGAGCTAGAAATGCACAACCCCCCACTGGGACTCTCAGACATTAAACCACCCAACTGCTTTGTTCCTCACAAAATCTACAATCAGGGCTGATGTACAGAAGTTGATTTCTTTGCTGCACCTTCCGTTCTTCTCCATCCATTGATTCTCTGCTGGACCCAGAATTGACCTTTTTTGCAGGAGGAGGCTGGGGAATACACCAGACTCTCTCATTTTTCCAGCAGGTATGTCGGCTCTCACCTGTCCAGGGAGTTCTCCAACTCGCTTGAAACCCGTTTTTCTAGTTGGTTGCTTTTGAATTGTCAATTTCTGCAGCAGATTGAGAAATTTATGCAGGTAAGGAGGTCGGGAATGCTATCAGAAGCTCACTCCAGCCATTAGCAATTTCTTGGCAACTTCCTTGGCGTCCTTCGGGTTCAGTCCATCTGTATAAAGAGCCGACATACATGGAGTGATAACTTCCACTTATTTTATCACCTTTTGTTGGGGATTGCTTGATGGGTAGCCCTGAGGGCCCTGGATCTCCCTCGTCCTTCTCCGTCTTATCGCTTCTCTTCTTCAGTAGCTTCCTCTGCAAGACACACGGAGTCCAGGTTGAAGTGTAGCCGTCGAGATTTCCGACACAGTTTGCCTCATGCGGGCATCGATTCAGCGTCTCACCTTCTCTTGAAGCCGAGCATATCTCCTCTTCAGGTTCTTCTCCTCTGTAGTGAGCTGTGCGGGGTACACGGCCATTGCAAAGCCAACGAGTTTAAGACGAGGGACGAGCTCGTCCGTGTTATTAGGTGCGCTTCTATTAGAAACAGGTTCATGCTGGGATTGAATTGCGCATGCGTAAATCAGCGTGCTGCACTCAGATGAAGTTGTTTTTGGAGAAGATAACAAGCTCAGGGGGCCGAGTTGGGAGATTGGTATGGTGTACTGAGAGCGCACAGAGCGTGCTAGAGACACCGCTGTGCCTGCCGTACACACGAGCAGGAGCCATCCCCCATATCGTCCAGTCCGTGTACCAGGACCTCAGCCCCCGACCCACAGCCGCCATGCTGACCCTTCCTTCTCTGTGAGAAATCCCTCGAGACCCTCGAGACCCTCGCGAGAGATAGCGAGGGATTGGTTTGTGCCCCACTGCAGGTACGAGCTTCCTGGTTCAGCGGTTCTGAAGGAATACGATTATGGAATACACAACTTCCTCAACATGAAGGTGAAGAAACTGGGGTATATTTTTCTAGTTTTCATCTCCCTCTTCACAGGACCAGTTTCTCTACCTGTCCATCCAAGACCCCCACTGCCCCCCTCGTAGTGGATTTAACGAGGAGAAGAGTACCTCAGTGTGGACCAATGGCGGAAGAATGAAGGTGAGCATCTACGGCGGGGAAACTCTAAAGGGGGAAAGTTTGTGATTTATTAGCCATCTGATAACTTTTCTTTGCACAAACTTTGTATTTAGGAACCAGCAATCAGCGTGGCAAAATTTACTATGCTATTAAAACGAAAGTGTTTCCTGTTATGTGGTGTTTGGTAGATCCAGCTCTTAGTTGCTGAGTCTCCTCAGGTGTCGGTGGCTGGATACATGGAGTTTGTGAGGGCGTCTCGACCAAACGTCTTTGAGAGTCTGTGTGACAGTGTGTCCTCACAGACAAACAAACTGAAGAGAGTGAGAAAATCGGTCGACCGAACGCTGAGGTTTCTGGACCAGACCTTGGCTATGAGACAGAACTGTCAGGTAATCTCCAGACTTCTCACTTGACCTGCATAATTATTTCCCTCTATCTCGCTCCAAACTTTCCCCTAATCTTGCTCCACTTAAATATGCCCCCCCCCCCCTCAGAAATTGCCAATTGTTGATCCATATTAAGAGAGTTTGACTTGACTGTGTGTATATATAGGTGTTGGAAGAGTGTGGGTTACTGGGGGCAGTGGTTGGAGGAGATGTGTATGAAGAGAGAGTCAGATCTGCCACAGAGACTGTCAAAAGACCAGTGGATGGTACACCACCACCACCATGCCGGCTGCACACACTCACACATGCTGCACACAATAATGATTGCTGTACAAGAATCGTGCATTGTTGCACACCATCATGGATGCTGACGAGAGTCAACTCCAGCTGTATGCAACTCCTCCAGGTTTCGTCATAGAGGGGTTTGACTTGGAGCACAGCCATGAGTGTTACCAGTCAATTCTCCAGTCGGCCACCAGTGTTCTGCCTCAGTCTAGTCCAAGATTCATTCATGGAGTCTACTCACCAGGTAAAGCTCATGCATGATTACTCTTGAAATCGTCTCTGATTTTAGCACTCCATGCACACTGACTGCCTGCATTCACCAAACTTTTACACGCATTGTGAGTCAATGCTATACAGTTAATTGTATATACCTGCTGGTGGTTGATTTTCTCCTCATGTCTCCAGGGGATATTTTGACAGCAGTCGAGAGTGGTGTTGACGTGTTCGACAGTGCCTGCGTCCTGACTGCAACTGAGAACGGCTGTGCCTTCACCTTCCATAACTCCAGTTCAGACTGTGTTGAGAATCGAAGAGAGAATCGTGGTGCCACTGAAAATATCGCGGCGGAGCCCCCATCACATCAAATAGACTTAAACGACGAAAAGTAAGGCAAAAAAATCTTGAATGTGGGTGCAACGCTTGTGTTTAGGTATGCCATGGATTTTTCTCCACTTTTGAGAGGCTGCGAGTGCTACTGCTGTGTTCACCACACCAGAGCTTACATTCACCACCTCTTGATCACCAGGGAAATACTGGCCAGCACTCTGCTCATGATGTATGGGTGTCGTCTACCCTTTACTTTGCTCTGTTATGCCGGGTTTTCTTCTATCTCTTGCAGGCATAATTTCACACATCTTATGAAGTTCTTTGCCAGCCTCAGGGACGTTCTTAGGTCACCTTTAGAATCTGACTATCTCCATTTCAAATCATTGTGTGCCTTTCCCGAGCATTTTCTTCACGCTTGAGATGAAGTATAGTACGCATGCACGCATCGAGCAGGTACGACGCATGCGCACCGAGAAGTCTTGCGCGGCTCCCCGTGAGAAAGATGGTCGTAGCTCGGTGCTTGGGGTGGGTGCTGCTCGTCCACCAAACTCTCCTGGTGGCTGTCTGGGACCCGAGCAAACTCCCACCGAGTCCACTGGACAAGTCGGAGTTCGACTACATCGTGGTTGGCGCCGGTTCTGCGGGTAGTGTGGTTGCAAGTCGCCTCAGCGAAGACCCCAACGTCACCGTCCTTCTCCTGGAGGCCGGGGAAGTGGACTCTCAGACGGAGATACACGTCCCGCTGGCTTACGTGGACCTGCAGCTGAGCCCCGTGGACTGGGCCGAGCAAACGGTGCCCCAGAAACACGCCTGTGGCGGTCTGGAGGGGCGACGAGCGAGATGGCCGCGGGGAAAGGTACTCGGTGGATCCAGCTCCATTAACGCCATGATATACGTGAGGGGAAACCGTGAGGACTACGATCGCTGGCGGGAGATGGGCGCGGAGGGCTGGAGCTACCGGGAAGTTCTCCCGTACTTCAAGAAATCGGAGGATTTCAGAGGTCGCGGAGATGACGAATTTCACGGTACTGGTGGGTACTTGACTGTTAGTCAGTCGACTCAGTTCCGGACGCTGGCTGCGAGGAGTTTTGTAGAGGGAACGAAAGAGCTGGGTTACGAGGAGGTAGACAACAACGGGCGGTCCCAGTTGGGAGTCAGCTTCCCGCAGTACACAATCAAAGACGGCTGGCGTTTGTCAACCGCTCGCGCTTTCCTTCACCCGGTTCGCGGTAACAGGGAGAATCTGTATGTGGTGACAGGGAAATCGGTCCGGTCGCTGTCCTTTGCACCAGGAGCATCCCCGACAGTGGACGGAGTTAGAGTGGTCGACACTAAAGATTGTGCCAACGGAGAAGAAAAGGTGGTAAAGGCTCGAAGGGAGGTCATACTTACTGCCAGTACAGTTGGGACGACAAAGATCCTTTTACTATCTGGTATAGGTCCAAAAGGCCACCTGGAAGACGTTGGGATCCCTGTCAGGGCTGATTTACCAGTCGGGGAGAACTTGCAGGACCATATCATGGTCCCTGTGGGGTATGTGGCTCCTAGGATCCCCATAAACGAGACCATTTCTCTATCGGAGCAGCACGCCAGGTCCGTCAGCTCTCTCTTTCAGTTCTTTCTAACAGGCAGTGGTCCGTTGTCAGTGAGTCCGGCAGAGGCACACGCGTTCCTGGACACTGGCGTCGAGGACGAGAGAATCGCCCCCGATTTAGACATCATCTTCTTCGGAGGAAAAGCCGCCCCGAAGCACATGAAGAACATCAACGTATCGCCGGAGGAGGCACGGCGAATGTTTGGAGAGGGAGCAATGGATGAGACTGACATGGTTGGTTACTCTTTTCTTCCAACCCTCCTCCACCCTACCAGCAGGGGAACCATAAGACTCAACAAGACCTCGCCCCTGCAATCTCCACTCATTGACCCAAACTACTTGGCCGATCCTCGCGACATCGAAGTCCTACTCAAGGGCATCAGGTTTGTTCAGAAAATTGCAAATTCATCCGCTTTCAATTTCTTCAATTCGTACGGTGTTCGTCAACGGCTAATGGCTTTCGGCAGTCGTCACCACACGGATTCCGACGGCTACTGGAGAGATTACATTCGCCATCTCACACTCACCCAGTACCACCCAGCCGGGACCTGTAAGATGGGCTCAACTGATGACCCTACCACTGTTGTCGACTCTAGACTGCGAGTCAAGGGAGTCGGAAACCTGCGGGTGGCTGACGCATCCGTCATGCCAGAGGTGACATCCGGCAATACAAATGCCCCCGTAATAATGATTGGTGAGAAAGCTTCAGATATGATAAAGGAAGATTGGGTTCATTTATAGGCAGTCACATGTCAAATTTTTTATTCTCAAAATTTTTTGATAGTGAGATAGATCTTTGTAAATTCTCTATTGTGTAATTGTTTTGTAATGGAAGACGAATTATTTTTGATGCTGAGGTGATGAAAATCGACAAGACTGTGACAAGTGAGATTGGATGGAGGTGGACAGTTTGTGGAGTTGCGTGCACACTTCTGGCGGCGGCGGGAGTGAGAGAGTGCAAAGTTCATTCCACGTCTCCAACAGCAGCTGAACCTTTGAATGAACCTGTCAAAAAGTGGTGGAGCACAAAATTCAGGGAGAACACCCGCAATAATTTCAGATGTCAACCGTTAAAAAAATTTTCACTGTGAAATTTTGTTGGCAGGAACATTTTCACAGTGTCTGCAAAATTTCACTTTTTTGCCTCTTCTATAGTATTAGTGTTAGAAAGACAGAGAGATGATACCATAGAGTGTGTGTAAGACAGAGGTGGGTCTCCGTGACTCCTCTCTCCCTCCCTCCACCTCCTCTCCCCTCCCCACCCTCCTCCCCAGCTCCTCCACCCAGAACACGGCGTCCCTCAAGTCAGCTCTCTCCCAGGTGAAGTGGGGAGCTCTCTGGAGGAAACCCACCACCACCTTGTTCATACCAGCAGGCACACAGTCCTCAGTCACTGACGCGTACCGAGTGGACTGGAGATGAAAGAGAAGGAGAGAGGGATCAAACATAATCTGGTAAACCCTACCTTTTGCAGGCTAAAATGAATCATTGACTTTTCAATATCCTTCTGAGGATATTAGTTCCTCTGTTTTAATGTGGCAATACATTTTAGGGGGTGTGGGGAAAAGAATTTGTGCGATTTGGAAGCTACTTCACTGATAGCATAAAATTGAGAACTTATACTGCCTAAATTATGGCTTATTTGAGGCAAAATGACTACAGTCTCTGTTACGTGTCACATTCTGTGCATACCTCAGCAAAGGTCTGGAAAGCCACCAGAGAGTGCTGAGTGACCAGCCAGCAGGGGTGACCTAGTAACAGATGAAACACTGGTACCAGACCACGCAACACCGTAGCCTGCGGCGGAAGGAGACAAGAAATTGACTCGCCATTTCTCGTGAAAAGCACTAAGATTTGTGTTTGTTACACACACACACACACACGTTTCTCTAGTTATTATGACCATACATTTTTCTAGGCACAGTAACTATTGCAGACATTCTTTATGTTACGATTCTCTGGCTTATAATATGGTAATAGGCACAGTATATACCTATTGCAGATCTGCAGTGCACGCCCTACGTACAGTTAGACTATACCTATAGACGGCTCTGACCTGTACATTCGCGGGAAGTGTCAGACAGCCACAACGACCGAGAAACTCTGCCACAGTCACACACACTGCCGTGGGGATGCCCCTGGTAATCATCTCTCTTAACGAAGTAAAAATCTGGGCAGAAATAAAGCCACGGCAATCGATTCAACCCCCCCTCCTCCTTGCCAACCTTCTGGAGAATGTGCGGAGGAAGACTAGAGACGTGGTCCGCAGTGATAGAAATGCAGTCACACAGGACAACTGTTCCCCACTACAACAGAGAGAATGATAATCATACACTCGGCCATTACAGCGCTATAGTTGAGGAATGCAAAATTGGCAGTTGGTCTGTCTTTCTTTTCTTTGTGAGCGAAGCAAGCCTACCTATATAGTCGTCTGAATGCGGGATTTTTTCATTAATATGCGGGATACGCTTGCCTTGCGACTGAGGTCTTGTTGAGTGGCCCAGTCCCAGAGCCGGGTGAGGGGGAGAGGATGGGGGGAGGGGAGGTGGGGGTGGGCGGAGCTCAGACACCTCAGTGACCAGTGCTGGAGTGGTCGAGAAATAAGTGTTTGAAAGTCAGGGAAGAAGCAGAGAGATTGCAGACTGTTTGTTTAGCTGTGAAATTGTCCCGCTCATAAATCTCCCTATAAACAGCTTCATAATATAATATATAACCACAGATTTCACTGCTCTCTCGTCATATGATGTGTGGTGCCTTACAACAGCAGGTAGGTGAGGTTGTTCTGACTGAAGCTGGTGAACGAGAATCTCGTGGCTGGAGTCCCACACGCTCTGAACCACCTGCAGACATACTCCATGTTATCGCGCAATCCATACCACCTTCTCAGCTACTAACATTATTTGGTTGATGGGCAATTCCCATGGGGTGCAGGACGGGACTTGTTTTGTAGCAAGAAAATTGCAGCAAAGACTTTACTTTTGAAAAAGTGGGTATTTGCATAGATGTATATAATTATTATACCTGTTTATGTGAGGAGTTGGCTATAGTGGTGAGGTCCAAGTGTGCCCAGAGAACGAGGAGAGAGGAGGAGGAGGAGAGGGCGTGAGTCTCCAGGAACAGTGACAAGTGGTGAGGAGAGAGGAGAGGAAGGGTCCTCCGTAGCAGGGCACACGAGACCCTGTGGGCGTGGCCAGACAGCGGAGGAGACGTCTGCAACAGCTGCAACACAGAACTCGTATCGAGTGATGTGGAGGGAGAAACCGGTTTTACCAGTTGTGCCGACAGGTTTGCGTATCTTTCAGCGATCTTCTCCTCAGTCCTGGAGGCAGAGTATATACAGGGAAACCACTGAATAAGGGACACCTTGGGGACATTGAAAGTGGCCTGTATTCAGAGGCGTCCATTATTCGGGAGTATGAATCAAGTGTCCTCATTTGCAGTGAGGTGTGCTTTATTCAGAGGTATTGATCGATCTCCAGTTACTTCTCTCTCTCTCTCTCTCACACACACACACACACACACCTGGCAACGAATGAGAGAGCGTCCAAGGCCAGGAGACTGGAGAATGCGTCTTCTTCGCAGGAGAGAGCGTGACGGAACATCACCTCCTCCTGAGAGTAAGAAAGAGTGTGTGTGTCCCTAACTCTCTAGAACTCACCAGTCTCTGGAAGTGGTGTTGAGGAAGACAGGCCACCAGGCAGCAGAGGTTAGTCAGGAGATGATGGTAGAGTGAAACTGCACTGCAGAAAGTACGTCGCAACACTAAACACCCTATTGCAAGAAACCTTTAGACAGTGAAAAGTTTACAAGAGTCTGCGACAGTTTTCGCCTGAAAATCATTGCATTTTCTTACCAGTTTCTCCCTCGGTATACTGATTTCATTTCGTGTGCCAGTTTACTTTCCTCCATGACCTACCTCTGTGGCTGTCCGTTGCACATGACTCCGGCCACCATCACAGGCAACTCTAGTTCCATTGAACCTGTGTGTGTACACCACAGGGATAAACCACGGGGTAATGGACACACGGTTGACTCCTACAGCGTTGAATCGTGGAGAAGAGAGCATCCAGCAGTCGACACGACCGGAAACGGCTCTACAGGAAAAATATCAACAGAATTTCAATGCAATTCCTACGTAATTTAACTGTGTGCGCGTGCGTGCATGTGTGTGTGTGTGTGTGTGTGCGCGTGGAGACCTCTCTAGAGCTGGTTGACTCCATGAGAAGGTCTTGCATCCCTCCAGAGAGTTTGGGGAAGAACTTGAGGACGAGACAGAGGGACACGAGTCGTCCGTAATGGCCGCCGTCTCTCTCGCCGGTGTCGGGAGAAGAGAGGAGAGATTTGAAGAACTCGGGGGACCCCAACAAGGAGGAGAAGATTGGTTCACACTGTGGGGAGAGGAGAGGGAGGAGGAGAGAAAGAGAGATGGCTACTCGGAAATTACTGGTATTCAAGTGAAGGTGGGGGTATTGAGAGATGAAAGTTAGTTTACCACCAGTAAAATGTTGCTGTCAATCTCAGACTGAGTGTGGCTGTTGACAGGTGAGCAGTGGGGAGAAGGAGGAACACAACTGTGGACACACACACACAGACAGAGTCAGTCAAGTAGCACACGGTCCAGATCCACTACACACCCACCCGTAGAGGTGGATCAAAAGACCAGCAATATCAGACGCAAACTCCAGAGAATCTTCCTGGAACTCCTGTGGGTTCGACACGAGAGTGGACCCCACATGATGAACCAATTTCTCCCTCTCTCTCTCCTCTCCCTCACCTGGACCAGCTTTACCAGCAGAGACGAGAGGAACCGACACAGCTTCAGCAACTTCAAATACCCTTCCCCACCACCACCACTACTGCTTGTCTGCATAAAGTGTTTTAAAAACTTGCACATCAAAAATTGTCTAGTGCTAAACTATTAAGACTGAAATGAAAATAGATGTGTGGGTGATAAAAGTATGGATTGTGAATACCTCTGCTTCTTGTGGGGCTGATATTACACATTCAACAGCTTTTGTTTCCATGGCAATGCAGACGTCAGATACGATTGGTTGGACGGTCCACCCATCACCCATCACACTCCTCCCCCTGCACACCACCTTCCCTACTCCTCTCCACACCAGCACCGGGAGAGAGGGGTCAAAGTCCGAGGCTGAAGCACTGAGACTCCGCAAACTGGCCACAACTGAGAAGAGAGGGGGAAGGAGGGAGTAGCGAGTACCCTAAACTGCAGGTTAAACGGGTCAAACCGGTTTCAAATGTCTCCTGATTGAGACTCAACCTGTCTAGCAACTCGGCTGACACCTAAACATAAACACAACATGAGACAAGACTGAAGGAAAGATTGCGTCGGACAAACTTTGATGAGAGCGTAGGTTGACTTGAAGATAACAGAGAGATGGGTGGAGAGATCCTGAAACAGCCAGCTGGGACCACTCTCCACCTCCTATATACACCCCACACACAGACACACACCACTAGAGACTGGGCTACGTGAACGCCGGGGCCCAAAGAACCTTGCAGAGGGTGAGGATTTGGGCAGACACACTGAAACAGTGGCAGAGGAGGCGGGACAGCTCCCTCGTCGTCTCTCCCGCTCCTCCATTGCAGCTGTCTCCTGCCCTGTGCCGCTCTACCCCCTGCAGGAGCTCCAGTACACCGACGTGAAGAGCCTGCACGTGACCCAGATGTATTAGTAGTACACGGTGTTTGCTGCAAGTCAGTACAGTAAGCTATGCCTACCTGGCAGTTCCTTATGGCAGCTGCACTGTTGCCTTCCTTCTTCTCCTCTTTCAGCACTCGTCTCACTCTCTCCAGCGCTGCATTCATCGCTTCTCGTTCTTGGCTGCTTTCTTCGCGCCAATGTTTCCGCGCGTGTGCGCATGCGTACGTAAGAATGAAAAGGTGGGTGGGGCTGAATGTCTAGCTACTACGTAGGTACGTAGCTAAATGGCGACGACAGTCACAGTTCCCGTCCCTTTTGAGGTCAAAGATCCAGCCAGAAAGTTCACACCGCTGGGAAGACCCTTTAGAAAGCCTCGCAAGGTGGCCGCTTCTCTCTCTAGGTAACTTCTAGCTTAGCTAGCCGCATGGTGTGTGTGCAACCTCACTCGGTACTTACAGTTTGTCGTCCAGCTGCAACTTGGACGAGTTGTATTTCTTGGAGAAACCTCTTTTGAAGCCCAAAATACGTGTCGGTTAGTTTTCTACCAACCACTGGCTGCACGTGATTTCGCGGCCTCCTTTCTGATCAAAAACAGGGCCCAGTCCGTGCAGCTACACCTTACCTCCTCCTCCGCGCTGCGGCAAGGGAGGAAAGATCAACCCTAGAACCAAGTACGACAGAGGTAATCCAGAGTCTTCCTCTACATACTAACTCAATTCCCAATGACCTATCTGTACCCACACGAAGATCTGCTGCCCAAACCAAACTATGAGCTCTGGACACTGAACACAAGAACACTTGAGAAGGTAGTAAAGTATATACGGCGTAAGAGCAGCGATAGTAAAGGTCTGTAGCTAAGGGCTCAAAAATGGAAACAGAGATAAAGAAAGGAGGCACGTCTCGGTTCAAACAAAAAGGGGGCTACTGTTGCGTAGTCTTGCTGGCAAAACTCTTTGATGATGAGTCTGGTGACATTGCTAAGTGTTTTGGGTGTCCCCAGAGGCCCAGACCCTCTCTCCTAGCAGGAGAGTCTGGCCAGCGTGACTAATAGCAGCTCTTTCTTGTCTGCAGGCTCCCTCGCCATGTTCCTATGCTGTCACCAACAGCATTGGAGGCAAAAGTCTGTCCAAAAAAGCCAGTCCAGCCTACTCTATTAGGAGCCGTCCTCCACCTCCAAGAAAAACAAGTAAACTCAACACTTTATACTCAGCAAGTAATTGCATGGATGAGTACGGTAGATTTAGGGGATGGACATGGTACCTAGATGTATGGGGCTATGATAGGGAGTGTTTTTTTTTCAAATCCAGAAGCGGAAGTGTTGATTCCAGCCCCAAACCTCTACAATGCAGCAAAATCTACTGACTACGTCAGTCGACACTTCCCTTCATTCACCATCAGAACATCCAACACCAGAAAGAAAATTGGTAACTCCTGAAATTCAATAACATTTTTGTCTATCGTCCTCCATGGTCAACTAGAGAGCAGTCCAGGCCCTGCCCACTACCATCCAAAGAACTCGTTTTGCCAGAGCCAATCGCCTTCTTTCACGTTTACCTCTCGCACTCCTACCAGAACACACACCACTTAAAAAACCAGATATTGTACAAGAATTTCGTGTAACAAACATAATTTCTGTCTAGTTGTGAACATTGAGCATGGAGAATGAGCAGTGAGTGAGAATGAGTCATAGAAACAGATCATCAGCAGTATTATGTCGTGTGGCGTGAGGTAATGTATTACGAAGAGTAGTCAGTCTCTCAGGGGCTGGAGGCAGGAAGACTTGACTTGTCGAGGTCGTCAAAGTACGGGTGGCGAAGAGCAGCCTTGGCGGTCATTCTCTTCCCGGGGTTATAGACAAGCATTTGCTGGAGAAATAATAGACACCGCAAGAGAGAGGTGAGTGAGGGAAAGAGGAGGTGTGTGCATGTCTGCTATGTTATTCACCCCAGTGGGAGTGAAATAGCTCCTAGGCATTCCCCCGGTGCAAGAGAGGTGAAAGGCACCACTTGCACCAAAGGAGCGTCAGGGAGCAAAACCTTAACTCGGGTACTGCGTGAGTACACTACAAAGCTAACCAGGAGGAGGTCTCTCCCCTCAGAGTTCAGTTTTGGGATGACCTGAACCATCGGTTTCGGGGCCCAGCGAGGGAAAGTCTGTTTAAAGTCAGGTAGTTCCATCACTCCCGGCCACGTTGCATCTGTCGGTGTGCCCAGAACTCTGTGGGCATAGAGAGTGGGAGGATGGTGGGTATTTGCACAAGGAAAAAGAGTGTGGCTTTCTAAAACTGCACCTATACTTGTATAGTGGAGCATGCACATGCACACCCATACACGCACACAAACAGAACTAACAGACACCTGAATATTCTGAACAGCTGGTCAATTTCTGAGTCGCCATGAAAGAGAGGCTTCTTGAGGATCATCTCTGCAAAGATGCCTGCAATACTCCACACATCGATGGGGCAGGCATAGCGAGGTGAACCCAGCAACACCTCTGGTGCTCTGTACCATAGTGTCACAACCTATACACCAGCAAAATGAAAAGATTTGTGATAATTTCAAAGTTTTTATTTTGGTTACCTCGTGTGTGTAGGCGCGAACGGGGATGCCGAAAGCCCTCCCGAGACCAAAATCAGCGATCTTGATGGCCCCCTTGTCGTCGATGAGAAGGTTCTGTGGTTTCAGGTCGCGGTGGATGACACGACGCGTGTGCATGAAGACGATGCCCTGTAGGACCTGGTAGGTGTAACTCTGGGGGGAAAAGGAGATATGAGCTTGAGAGTTAATTTCTCTAAGTCTCTCTCTTACCTTGAGCAGCATGGGGTCCACTGGTTTGGTGTCTATGTATTTCTTGAGGTCCATCTGCATAAACTCGAACACCAGGTAGAGCTTCACGTCGTTGTGGACTATACACTCCAGCCTGTGTGAGAGGAAACGAGGCAACAAAAAAGGCGGGAAAACATCTTCACACCCGCTGGCTTACGTGTCTAGTAGTAGCTATATAGCTACTGGCCTCCCGCGCGTTTTTGAAAACTGCGGACGGTTCCCGAGCGGCGCTTTCTCCTTACTTTACGATGTTGGGGTGCTGGAGCTCCTTGAGGAGAGAGATCTCACGGATGGCGGTGCTGGGAACTCCCTCGTCTTCCGACTCCAGTCGAATCTTCTTCATCGCCACGAACTGGCCCGTCTTGGTGTTTCGAGCCTTGTAGACGACGCCGTACGTCCCCTCGCCTATCTTTTCTATCTTCTGGTAGTCCCCCACCGACATGTCGACAGCTGAGAGCGCGAGACTAGGATTCTTCTTCGGCAAAACAACGTTCAGCTGCTGCGCGGTTCAACTTTTTGAAATTGGCTCGCAAACAACTGCGCGTGCGCAACGTGTCAAGGTACTGCGCAGATTTCAAATTCAAAATATGCTCATTACGACATTACGAAACAGAAAGAAAACACGCAGACAATGGCAACACAAGGAACCAGTAGTGATATCATAGGCACAAAACCATCAATAATAGTTTGAATTTGAGGGCTCTCTTTCTCTCGGAGTTGTATTATATATAAATAGAGTCTGAATGAGGCGATGTTTGGTGGGTGGGCGTGGCGAGAGAGATATATCAGAAGGGAATAAAAAAGAAGACGACCACAATGACGAGGATGATAATTAGGACGAGAATGGTGATTATCTGGCACTTGTCTGCAGGAGTGGGAAAAAAAGAGAGTGTTGGGAGAGAGTTATTCCATTTTCCATTTGTACTAAGAGCTTCCTTGATGGTACAGTTTGTATTTAAGACATACTACAAATTGCCTTCTTTGCCAAACATTGTGATAAAAGTCTTTAGAGAAAGTCCTGGCTAGTGATAAAGGGAGGGGGGACCCAAGTGGGGACCCAAGTTGCCATGGAGTGCAGGAAAAACTGTCAGGAACCATTTGTAGAGGAAGTCAGTATTTCCAGTGTAAATTCCAGTGAAAGTCAATGACATCACTAAACAGACCACATGTAGTACTGCACATTACACTTGTTCCCACTAGGTGTGGTCTCACATGCGAAATAATCACACTCACAAACCCATACATGAATACCAGGAATGAGGCTAAGTGCACTGTTATACAACGGTATGCAATTCTCTCTCTCTCTCTCTTACCTCCACTTTTTCTGATAGCAGTCTGTACTCGAGAAGTAAGAGCTTTTAGTCGTGAGTCAGTGTGATCCAATTCCTTATCCATCTCCTCCAGCATTCTGAGAGAGAGAGAGGGAGACACCAGGTCACATGACCAGGTCCCACAGGACATGTGTGTGTTCAAACACGCAGGCATTTCTGCCATATGCCACCACGTGTATCCACCTAATTACCCAAAACATTGCACCACACCCTCCCTCCCCCATTCTCTCCGCTTCGCCTACTGTTTGTTACTTATACTCACATTTGCTGGCTGTCTAGTTCATCTCCTATCGTCTCTCCAATCTGCTTGAGAGTGTGGATGCTGGACCCGACCTGGTCCAACTGGTTGTCCTGCTTACTGATTATTGCCTGCAACACACACACACAAAGAGGAGAGAGAGAGGAGAGGGAGAGAGAGGAGAGAGAGAGAGAGAGAGGAGAGGGGGGGTAGAGATAATATAGTCAATACAACAGGGGAAAACAAGTAAAGTGTGTAATTAGAGCTATTTGGCATGAATGGCGAAAGAATTCAATCAAGCTGTTGTTTTGGCGACGCCTTTTGATGAGCATAACGTGTACAGTGTGTTCTACGTAGGTTGATGCTCAGTTGGCTATCAAGAATGACACTAGACTGCACTAGACTTTATACGTCGCAACGTAAAGTTCAGAGGTGGGGGAACAGAGTCAAGTGCTGGTGGTGGCAGGGCTATCGTTTACTCAATTAGGTTCAGATTCATTCACAAAGAATTTAGCACGTCATGTCCCCTTGGGAATTGAGTAGATCTGATCATTAGGACACAGAGTTGGCTCACAACCCTCTCTCCTCTCCTCTCTTTTCCCCTCTCTTTCCCCCTCTCTCCTCTCCTCTCTTTCTAACCTGCTGCTGATGTCTCTGCTGGTCAATGAAGTCCTGATTACCTCTCTCCATCTCGTTGTCCAGCTTGGCGTACCTCCCCACGGCCTTCTTTTCCCGTGCACTGCTCACCAGTTGCTGTAGATACGACAGACACACAAATAAACAACATACCTCACACATGCATACCAACTGCTTTCATGATGTAACAATGACGTAATGAATTTGTTTTGGGATTGAATACAGCTTACACGGTTTGTATAGACAAAAACCTTTGTTGGAATCAAACTCAGTATAGTGCATTGAGACATACTATGGAGACCCAGAGACAACCCATATATACATAGTTGTTTTGTGGTCTATGGTCTTTGTTTGAGGTTTAGCTTGCTGTTAGATATCTATATTGTGGTGTAGACAGATCCACTCCACTGATCAGCTACACATGTTGAGACAACCACTAAAACTTTATCAAATTGTACAGGGGGAGTTGATAGCCCACTACGCTCCATTAGCACCTTGTCAACAGTAGCAGCTTCTGGTGGGTTAGTCAACAGGCAGCACACACATGCACAGGTGTCTAGTTCAGCCTGCCATATATACAGTATACCTACTCCATATTTGGCTAGGGGTGGGTGTTGTCAGTAGTAAGCACTGGCACACACTCACACAGATGAAAGGAAGAGGCTGGTCTTCTGCCTACACTGTTGCTACCTGTGCTGACTAGAGCACAGCCTAATCCACTTGTATACTCCACAAACAGCATAACTACACAGTAGTTGCTGACAGACCATAATACTGCACACAGAGCAATAAAACTCACTTTTCTCTTCAACGTTTCCATTCTCGATCTGGCCGCATCACTGTTCATATAGTCTTTTATTTTCTAATTGAGAGAAAGAGAGCGGTGAGGGAGGGTTGACATCATGTACCAATACACCAGATGCTGATGTATGCATGTCGGTCACGTAAGGCAACCGCCTGTGTAAAAACAGAGGACAAAGGAGTGGCAGCTAAATGGTCACAGACAAAGGGAAGCATTTGTCAACTCCATTGACCAAGGCACGCTCTGTGTGCCAACCAAGAAGAGAGAGGAGGCGGTACAAAGGGTAGGTGTGAGGGGGAGAAAAAAGAGAAGTTTGAAAAAAGGGTAGAGCTTACTTTGATGACGGCTCTGGTGTCCCGAATGAATTGTTTCCTGCTCTCAAGTTCGCCGTAATTCAATCGAAACTTGGCCGGATTTGCTTCTGCGATTTCTAGAGAGAACTTTGGTTAAGAGAAAACTGCATGACCAGCAACATCAATGAATACACGCACAGTTGACTTAGTTAGACTAGAGCTAGTCACAGCAGGTGGGAAATCACCAGGCCCTGTCCCTTTCAACATTGCCACACTGATGACAAAGCAGTGAGGTCATTCACCGTGCATGCACACATAACTGGCCCAGGTCAGCCCACATGCCATATTTGCCTAGGATAGTGTCCTTTAGGAAGGAACTGCCAATACCCTATAAGGCCACCCTTCCCCCTAAAAGACCACCACTCAACTGAAGTTTATTTTCCTATGACACCTGAAAAGCAACACGCTGCTTTACAGTCCTTCTCTGCTACAGCAAACTCTTCCCTTTTTCACACTCACTACTTCTTACACTTGTGTGTGAACTCTACATACACCCATTCAAGGGCTAGAATGATAGAGGGATACTGATAGTCTGATCCAAGTCCTCCATGTCCCACTCTATGCTCTTGATGAGGTTCTTGAGCTCAGAACCGACGCTCTGGACTTTCTCAGGGTCCACCTCGCTGTCAAGTAACATGGACCACTGGGAGTACTGCTGTTGGGCGCTGGTGAGGCTCTGTCGCACCTCGCTGGGGGGAGACGAGACACACGCACCATAAACACGTAGCTACACAACTGCGGAAGGCGGACCGGTCGGGTAAAGCCGAAAAGGCACACGCTTTGCGTTCCGTCCCCCCTGTGATGGACTAAACCCGAGGGTCCCTTATAAACTCAACACAACTCACTCTCGGACGACGAAGAAGGGGTCCTCCAACGACATGGCGACTGACTGTGACTCTGTGTGGGTCTTTTGAGTTCTATATAGAAGTGATTGGCAGCGGCGCGACTTTAGCAGCTGGTGATTGGGCTACGGTGGGTTTCTCCTCACTTTGTGCCAGGTACTCGACGGCGCCCTCAAACAAAGAGATTCCTTGGTGTGGACGCTCGAAGGTGAGTCGGGGATAACTAATAGTACACGATCCTACGACTATTCTACCACCAAAGAAGGGTAAATTTAGTCCTATTTATTGCCTCTAGAACGTCGATTGTCCCCCCATTAGTCACATCAACGGAACCTGTCCGTGCTTTCCCTTCCTTTCATTACTCATCGCCAAGGAAATCCCAAAAATAGAAGAGACAAAACAAACATCATGTGATCGACACGCCCAACTTCAGGAGTTACCCAATGCGCATGCGTTGTAGCCCCGCCCCCTCTAGCTGTGCAGGAATGGCTGAGCGACAGAGGCCGAGGGTCGGTGAACGGCTTGCAGAGTCAGTGCTTGACGCGGCAGGCAGTCTGTTCCAGTTGCAAGAGGAGCTGGCCCGCATAAGCCTCCGCCATGACAGCTTAGCAGCAGGTATTAGCAGTTGTGAACCACGCACGCCCCCTTCTGTCAACCGAGCCCACTCGTCGTCCAAGAAACACCGCAGCAGAAAGAAAAGAGAAAGGAAGAGGGCACCAGGTGTTTGCGGTGTGTTTAACGATCGAGGGAGAAGAGATGGAGAGCCTCACGATGCGCTCAGCCTAGGAAGTAACGAGTCGTGCGAGCAGCAATCTTTCTCTGCGAGTTCGAGTTCACGTTACGATAGTGCCATCGGATCCCTACACTCGCAGACCGACAATGATTCTCTGGACTCTCGTCTGTCGATCTCTGCAGCCCCAGAGAGGGGACCACCATCGCAGAGTCTTTCATCTCCCGTCACACTTCTACAAACTGCGAGTTCAGCTCGCAACACTTCAGTCACCAGGGAGGCTATAGTGAAGCATTACTACTCCCCGCGGCCTTCAATTCCGACCGTCATCATTGCTGAAAATGGGGAAACAAAGGATCAACTAAATGAAGCCTCCAGAAATGGAGCTGAGTCTCTGAAAAGTCAAGTCATGGTAATGGGAGAAAGAGTTCAACTACGACAGAAGAAAAACAGGGAGAAAGTGCACAATCCCCTAACTGCAGGAGATGTCAAAAAACATTTTGAGTGGCTTGAATCGTCTGGGAAAAGTGTGGGCCCTACGAACGAAACAGATCCAGACAAACGCAGTCCTCTTACAGGTTTTGAAAGTGAAGGAAGCAGTAGCACAGTGGTGGCAGAGGAGGAGGAGAAGGAAGAGGGAGTGAAGGTGGGAACTCCGCACGAATACCGTGTGAGACCAAAAAGCGACTCAGATGTTTCAGAAGAACACTCTCTAAGCCTGAGTGAATACCTACCACAAAAAGAGAAGCAAATTTCAGTTCAGGGCCCGCACCCTCCGAGCAAACAGGTGAACATGCCACAAAGATATAACACTGGGCTGGTTCTGCGAGAGAAAACTGGCCAGCAGCGAAGACCCCCACAGAGAGCACCGAGCATCCTCCAGCGACTGAGGAGGCGACAACACGGCAGTTTCAGACAAGACACAAGGTCACGACCCCGTCGAATGCCAGTGCAACGGTCTCTCTCGGACCGGTTTGTGTACCATTTGAAGAGAAAATGGGAGACAAGTCATCAGGGAAATCCCTACCCCATAAGCACTCCGTCACACCTTCGACCCATTGGGCGGTTGCTGCGCACATACACTGGAAAGCTGCACGTAATTCAACTGCACAGGCCTGCAAACGGACAGTATGGTATCTACATAACTCAAGGAGTAGACAGAAAAATTTTCATCTCAAGATTTGCGACCCCCACTGCAGAAAAGTTCTATGCTGGGTTGTTGAGCCCTGGAGACGAACTTGTGTCAGTCAACAAGCTCAAAGTGAGGGGGAAATCACTCGACTTTGTGTACAGCATTCTTTCGCAACTGGACTCTGTCATTATCGCTGTAGTTCCTGTAACTGCACACAGAAATTGGTAGAGTTCGGTTTTTGTTGTGTAAAATTACGCATGCGCACATTACTGATCAAAGAAAAAAGAGGGTGGGGCTGAGTTATCACTCTTTTTAATGAGCACCACCTCAGGCGCGCGCAGAAAGCAAGCCGGCCGGTGCTGCAAGGAGAATGAACGTTACGGTGGACAGAGAGTCCATACTTCTTCTACTGTGTGACTACTTGGAGAAGAACGGTCTGATAGCGACGCTCACTGCGCTAGAGACGGAAGCCGACGTGCGGCCGAGCTCGCCTGCCCTGACAGCGGTGCGCGGTCTGGCACTGGGTGGGAAGTGGCGAGAACTGGAGAAAGCGTTGCTGCACCGACACGAAGAGGAGAACCAGCAGCACCGGCTCTTCAAGAGGGCGCAGTACTCGCTCGCGAAGCAACTGTACTTGGAGACGGTGGCCGCGCTGGACGAAATTTCGCCGCACCGTGAACCGTCCGACGGAGAGTTGGACGAGGTGGAGCGCTGCCTCGGACGCCTGGAGCGACTAGCACCCTCCAGGGAGGAGTACAGCTCCCTCCGCGCCCTCTCCGAGTCCCCCACAGACTTCTTCCGCGACTGGAACCTTCAGAAGGCTCGGAAGGAGACGTGCGGGGACCTCCTGGCCTGGTGCAGAGCCGACTGCTTCAAGGGGAGAGAAGAAAAACGAGGGAACGAAGAAAAAACTGGAGAGATTTATCAATTGACGCTACTTCTAGTGAGGGGGAAGATGTACGAGCAGTGTGAGCAGATTATTGCTAGGAGATGCGGGAATGCAGGGTCAGGTGAGCAGTCGAAGAAGAAGAAGACGTCATCCATTCAGGACCTCCCCAGCTGGCTGCAGACTCGGCCTGACTCTGTGTTCCAGGAGACTCCCAGATTGGTTCAGGTGATGGAGGCAGGCTGGGATCCGGGAGCCAACACACTGTCTGGAGGTGTGGGTGAGGGACAGACACTGAATGCTCAGCCCCAGGCTGGAGAGGAGCCTGCTATTGCTCTAGCTAAATCTCCACACACTGTGCCTCCACGAACATCCACTGCTACACCAGAGGTCACTAAATTTCCTGCCACTTCCCCGCCAAAACCCCCCATTCTCTCTAAGAAACTGGGCCAACACCAAACTTCACCCCCAGAACTGGCAAAATTGTCTTCACTTACATCTTCTCCACCTCTAGCTCCCCCTGCCCTTCAACCAAACAAATTCACATCTGAACCACCCTCTGAATCTACCACACCAACACTCCCAGCCAAAGAAACAAAGACCAAAGCAAAGAGAGAGGTGAAAACGACTAGACTTGAACAGAAAGAAGGAGGTGTGTCTGCCAGTGTTGAGAGAGAAGATGGGAACCATCGAGAGGGGAGGGAGGGAATAGAATCCTCGAAGGGAAGGCAAGGAGGAAACTGCTCTGGTCCCAGAGAGTCAAAGTCAAAGAGGGACAGAGTCACTGAGCACAGGGACAATGTTGAAGTGGCCACTGAGGAACTGAGGCTGAGTCTAAGAGAGGAGAGCACCCAACAGCCCTCTTCCAGCTGCACTCCTCCCGAGAAGGCTCCCTCCTCTCCTATTCCTCCTCCCGAGAAGGCTCCCTCCTCTCCTATTCCTCCTCCCGACCAGCAGACGCAGGGCCTGACAGCCGACAATGACCTTCGCACCCCAGCCTGGGCTCTACAAACTACACCGCTGCACAGGCCACAACAGAAGAAAGACAGGAACTCCTCCACACCCAAACCTTCCACCCAACACTTCATCATCTCGCCCCCCACTTCTCCCGTACCCCGCCAGTCCTTTGCCGGGTTGCAGGCCACGCCCAGTGGGTGGAGTCACGACATAGGAGCCCCGAGCGAGAGAAAACAGATTGATTTTGACGGAGCAGCCAGTCAGAGCTGCGTAGCTGAAGAGCTATTGCCAACTGCTAGCTGGCCCACGGCAACTCTGACTGGACGAGTAACTGACTCACAGGTAAAATTGTATGGTCAGCATCACTTCAGTTTCAGAAGATTTGGCGGGCTCTTAAACCTCCAAACTTTTATTTACACAGGATTTTATATATTTCCTCCCCAATTTTCCTACATTCTGAATTATGTTAACAACATGCAGGCGGTGAGGTCAGTGGCGTTCTCAAAGTCAGGACAACTCGTGGCAGTGGGAGCCAACTCTAAATGTCTCCGCATCCTCTCCACTGCTCCTCTACTGGACAACTGCCGGTCAGACCAACCAGTACAGTTGGAATTGCCTTTACAAAGAACATGCAACAAGAAATGTGCCATAAATTCGTTTGCCCCACACAAGCTCATTGATTGTATTTTCCATATGGCATTACACTCTAAATACATTGTTTGGACTGTCTTTCACCTGCTTTTCTGATCATTAAAATATGATTTTTTCCTCCACAGTGGTGAAGAGTTGAAGGCACTTCAAGAGCTTCCTCGCTATCACCGCGGCTCCATCTACTGCCTGGCATGGTCGCGAGATCGACTCCTGGCGTCAGGCTCTAACGACAAATCAATCAAACTTCTCATCTGCCAACCCAGCACGGACCCCAGTAACAGTGTTGTGTGCGAGGCTCGAGGAAGGATGAACATTCACCAAGGTACAGTGAGAGAGCTGGTTTTTCTCACCGAGACACTCCTGGCCTCCGGAGGCTCAGGGGAGCCGTCTCTACTGATCTCAGACTGTGAGACACTGCAAATGGTGACCAACCTCTCGGGCCACGAGAGGCAGGTGTTATCGGTGGCTCGCGGAGGTCAAGGGTTGACTATAGTGTCGGGAGGTGAGGATGGGACGATGAGACTGTGGGACTGGTCGTCCGGGAAGTGTATCCACACACTGTCTCTCTCTGAGCCTGTCACTTCTCTCTCAACACGTGAGCAGACTGTGGCCGTGGCAACTGTTGACGGCTCGTGTGCAGTGTACGACGCGAGGAGCTGGGGCCTGGTGACCAGCTACCAGCCGCACTCGGACGAGTGTCGATCCGTCCGTCACTCTCCCTGCGGGAGATGGCTCCTGACCGGCTCCTACGATGGCTCCGTGTGTCTGGGCGAGGAGGGAGGGGCGGAGTGGGTGGAGGTGGCCCAACACGAGGACAAGGTGGTGCAGGCTCGCTGGCACCCCAGTGGCGAGGTCTTTGCCTCCACCAGCTCCGACAAGACGGCTTGTTTCTGGTCTCTCCGATGCTAGGACAGTGTTCAATGAATGACAATGATTCACTATTGCAATATTGTATGTATTATCATTCATGGATCATAACACACACCATCATTAACCCTCGGCGCGCATGCGCAGCGAGGGTTTACAGTACTTGGGTCTGTGTGTCTGTGTGTCTGTTACTCTCAATCTCACTTCTCGGGTGTTTGTTCGTCTCACAAAGGATACCACCTACTGAACGGGCAATGAAGGTCAGAAATTTCGAACGGTTTTCTCTGAAAACGCTCCGTTGCAAAGCTAGAGCGCGAAAAAGCCAATATGCAAATACTCAACGGCTTACTACGGCATGATCGACCCGCGTGCTCTGCGTACCTCGGAGTCACCAGAAGATGCAACGCAGGGCGTGTATCGCCTCTCGCATGCTATCTAGTAGTGTAGTTAGACCGCGTCAGACTCTGCGTGAGCTGGCAAGAGACCACGCGTAACAGCTAAAGCTAAACCCAGCCCATCAATTAGTGGTACGGCGCATGCGTTTACTTACGATTCTGCGTCACAGTTCGCTGAGGGTTTGCACTTCAGTGCTTTTCATTGGTTTGTATGAACAATAGCTCGGATCACTACAATCAACACATTAATGACTACAAATGTGGAATGTGTGATGAATTATGTAAAGGCTTTACACGAGCTTTGCGTGACAGACCAACTCTAATTAAAGGGGTTCCACCAGTTCTCTCTGTGGACCCAAGGTTGTCATCTCTGCAGTTGTTTCCTCTGTTGGCTGGGCCCGGAGGTGTCCACTTTGGCATCTTCCTCACCCCCAGCCTTGGAGAAGAGGAGACGGGGGGAGAGGTTGGAACAGTGGGTGTGAGCCGTACAGTCTTAGCTGTGGGCACAGCCGTCTTCAACTTATTCTTCGTTTCTACTCCAATTTTGTTGGCTACTTTCTTGCTAACACTCTTTTCTTGGGGGTTCTTTCGTGTTGTAGAACCCACGGCCATCGAGTGACTTCCTCTACCAGGTGGGGTCTTGTTTTTCCTTACTTCTCCCTTCGACAATTGTGGGCCAGCATCACCGAAATCACTGTCTGAGGAGTCATCACCTTCACTGACGTATTCCTCCTCCTCCTCCTCCTCTGGAGGTTGGTATTCAGTTTCCTCCAGCTTGTGAGTGCTGGCAGCATTTGGCGAAGATGCATCCATTGCTGACTCTCTCAGAGCAGTGTCCGTGTCTTTACCGAACTTTCTCTCGTCACGAGTCTGTCTGGTTTTCTTTGGCGGTGGTCCAACATCACCAGGCAAGTCTTTCTTTGGTTTCTCAGTGGACGCCTTCTGACTTGTCCCAGCTGCTGTTGGCACGGGCGTGTAGCTGGGCTTGGAGCCCCTACCTGTGCCCTGCTCTCCCCTTACCGCCTTCCTGGGCAGCACGGGAGAGCTCTCGAAATCGTCTAGAGTAAAGTTTAGGATATGAAGTTAGTCCAAACCCACCCTTCTTTAGCTTACCATCGTCGTCTGAGCCCCCGTCAGTGAATTTCCGGTAGTCTACGGTTCGCTTTTGCCTGCGAGGAGAATAGGGAAGCTTCTGCAAAGAATGGCTGAAACCGTAGCTTACCTGGAAGATCTCCGTCCGCTCATGCTCCCCTCTCGCTAGAGCTCTAGCTCTAGCTCTCGCGCCTTTTTCGCGCCATACGCATGCGCAGTGTGAGCTTTTCACATTGGAATCAAAAATGAACGATGAAGAAGGGATCCGGATGATTATGATTGATGATGAATCGACGATGCATTACAGAGTCAAAGTTATACAATGGATATACAAACAGCTATTTAAAAACAAAGGGTGATACAATGAATGGGGAAATGACACCACCACGGGAACAGTAACCGGACTACTGAGGCTGGGATTCCAAGACTTGCCAGGTTCCTGGGCAGTGTAGAGGTGAAGGGGCAACAAGATTGTACACTATACGCCCTGGTCTGTAAGGCTGGCATTCAGGGTAACCGGGAAGCATGAATGCTCGAGGGTTGTTTTCTGGCGTTCCTCGGCCTAACCCAATCAGTCGCTCGCTGGCCCACTCCACTGAAGTTGGTCTGTAGAACGGAGGTGGGATTCGCAGTTTGACAGTTTCGGGAATAAACGACTGCGGCTGTGAGGAGGGGAGGGGGTAGATAAGAGGGAGGGAGGGAGGCGGGGGAGAGAGAATGGACGGAGATGGAGAAGGAGAAGGGATAAGAGGGAGAGAGAGGGGAGGGGAGCTATCAGCGGAAGGCCTTGGAGGACTAATGTAGGGAGAGGAGCTACGGATGGGTAGGGGAGGGAGCGAAGAGCTGTGGGGGTAGGTGGGCACAAACTCTTCGGTGACTTTCAGCGAGGAAGAATGGCTGGGAGTAGCAGTGGTTGATTTGGGAGGGGCAGAGGAAGGGGGAGAAGTCGGGATCAGAGCAGGTAAAGGAGCCGAGAGAGGGTACTTTGGCTTGAAAGCTGTTGTAACTGTCAGGGAAGAAGGGGACGTTACAGTTGGTTTCGGTTTGGGTTTTGGAGGGGAAGGCGGGCGGTGAGTAAGACTTGGTTTAGTGGTTTTGCCGTCACTCACAGTAGACCGGGGTTCTTCTTCGTCTATCTTTCTGTGCTGGCCAACGGCTCCAGCTTGCTCATCTGCCGGTGCACTCTCATTTCCTCGAATGTCAGTTGCAGCATTCTCTAGAGGAAGGTTCATCTTGATGTTCTTCAACGGCAACGTGCCAGTGTCCTCACTATCTTCGCTCTTATCTTCATTGACAGGTCCTGGCAGTGATAAATCCACTAGCAAGTCAGAGTTACCGACGGTACCATTGCCTCTCGGATCCAACACCAATACTGAACCCACTTCTCCATTGTTGTCTGTGAGTTTGGTTGGTTTCAGTGAGGTCCCCCTTTCCTCCATTTCCCTACACCATTCCTCCAACCCACTCAGACCAAAGACCATCTTCACCTCTTCAAACACCTCCTCCACCTTTTCAGCAGAAACTTCTTTCGTTTTCTGTGCCACAAATTCCTCTTCATCGCCTCCTTCAACTGGAACTTCAGTGTCTAGGTCAAAAGATGGGTCGTTCTGGTCCAGGTTTTGCTCTGTTTCTTCCACCTCCCTATCATCTTCTTCACCTACATCTGTCAATTCTGAATTGTTGGCTTCGTTGTCAGCCTCTTCCTCGGATTGGTCCACCTTCTCTTTGTAAGCCGACCCCTCTTCTCCACTTTCTTCGACAACAACAGCCAATTCCGCATTCCCGGGTCTATTACTACCGTCTACTACTTCCTCCTTGCACACTTGTTCAGTTTCTGGCTTCATTTCCTCCGTGTTGGCTGTTTCATCGGCTACAATGATGCCGTCGTCTTCAGCGGCAAGGGTTGTGTTGCTGGTTTGATCCCCGAAGGCTTCCTCTACATTCAGATGAGGTTTCTCCTCCATTTCTCTAATAGCTGCTTCTTCTTCTCCCCTCTCCCCCTCTTCTTGGTCGACGCTGACTGCTGCTCCTTCTCCCCTCTCTCCTTCAACAACTTTCCAGGTCTCCCCCTCTTCTTGGTCGACTTTGCTGACTGCTGCTCCTTCTCCCCTCCCTCCTTCAACAACTTTCCAGGTCTCCCCCTCTTCTTGGTCGACTTTGCTGGCTGCTGCTCCCTCTTCAAATAGTTCTCCTCCATCAACATTGTTACTTGCTATTCTCTCTTCTTCTATTACTCCACTGAAAGCTGTGCTCTCTCCCCTCATCTTCCCCTCATCACCTCCACTTGTTTCTTCCCTCTCTCCACCATCTCCAACCACAACTGTCAAATCTGCAGTGTTCATTTGGTCACGATACGTTTCTTTCTCAACATCTTCCGCACCATTCAGTTGAGGTATCTCTTCCATTTCGCCGACTGTGGCCTTTTCTTCTCCGCTATCTTCACCGGTTTCCACTTCCTCTCCCCTCTTTCCATCATCTTCAGCAACAATTATCAATTCTGCTTCATCTAGAGAAACCTCAACCTCTGTCCCTTCCCTGTCTTCCTCCTGAGCTTGTCCTTCATCCTTATTCTGAGCATCTCTCTCCATTTCCAGTCCATAATCTCTCGTCTCTAGATCAGCTTCGGGAATGACATTTAATTCTGCAGTGTTACCTTTGTACTCATCTGCTCCGCTTGCTCCATCGCTGGTATCTCTCTCTGGTTTTTCATTGTCAATTGACTCAATCCCACCGTCACACTCCACAGTTCTAGCTTCATCACTTGAAGCTACCTCATTTTCTACGCTAGCTGACTCCATCTTTTCGTTACTTTCCCAGATCAGGGTTAACTCTTCATTGCAAGCGTCGTCAGCAGAAGCTCTCACTTCAGCTACACCCCCCGGGCCTTCCTCAAGAGCACCATCAGCTGCCTTCTCTGTCTCAGCTGCCTCCTCTACCTCAGCTACCGATTCTGTCTGCCCTCCATCATCCCCTACAACAGCCAACTCTGCAGTGTCAGAAACCTTCGTCTCCACCACCACCACTTGAGGCACATCTTCAACCCACTCCTCTTCGGCCACACGCTGGGTGTGCTGTTCAACCTGCTCCAAAGCGAAAACCCCCCCGAGAACACGGCCTGACCTCTCTGCCCCAGCAGGCACCAGGTTCTCATCAGATACACTTCCCTCTGCACACACTTGTTCTTCATTCGCCTTGCCCCCACTGCTTTCCTTCTCACCTTCAACAGCCACATCCCAACCAATCACTGCGTCACTCATTTCTTGTTGAAATCTTGTTCTTTGAGCTTCTTTGCCCCCCCAACCACCACCAGCTAAACTTCCTTGAATCAAGTCTTCGTTGGTCTTTCCAGCATCAACAGCCTCCAACACACCAACCTTCTCTCCACCTTTCCCTCCTTCGATTCCTTCTCCACCCTTCTCTCCCTCAACTTCTTCTTCACCCCTCCCTCCTTCATCATCTTCACCTCCTTGCGTCACTCTGCCACCCTCGACTGGGTCAATGTCCCAGGTCTCCCACCCCATATCGAGGTCCTCGTGTCTCGCAGGCGGAATGCGTGACTTTCCAGTCGCTCGTGGGTCGTCACCTCCGACGTAAGATTGCTCGAGGGACCGAGGGTCGCCATGGAGGTGAGAACCTAATCTGAAGTGGGATACCAGTTCAGATGGAGAAGAGAGACTTTCCGAGGACGAACAGTTGATTGCATCTTCCTCCGTCACAGCAGACCTGCGTTCAGAGTATTCCGCCTCTTTGTTGGACTGTCGGCCTGAACCAGTGTTTCTGGTTCCTGGCTGGTTTGGTCTGCTGGCTGGCCTGTTTCGCAGACTCCCCCTCCCCCCTCGTCTCCTCTGTGTCGACCGCTGTCCAGAAGACCCCCACCTACCGCCACCACCAGTTCTATCACCATTAAAACCAGTTGAACCAGTTCTGCCTTGCATACTGCCAGGATAAATGGTCCTGCCTTGCATGCGGCCAGTAAAACCAGTTGAACCAGAACGACTCCTATCCTGCTGGCTGCCAGTAAAACCGGTTGAACCAGAACGACTCCTATCCTGCTGGCTGCCAGTAAAACCTGTTGAACCAGAACGACACCTGTCTTGCATGTTGCCAGTAAAAGTCCTGTCTGGATTGCTGCCACTTGAACCAGTCATGTCTCGTAAACCTCTAGTAAAACCTGTTGAACCCGACTGACCAGTCGTGTCTTGCCCGCATCCAGATGACAACGGGACCCTCTCTGAGCCACCAGGCCTGAAAGTCCGGCGCAAACCGGCTGGAATGCACATAGGCTCTGCGCTCACCTGCTGGATCACTTCCCTCCAAATGCTGCTGGTTGGAGCAGTTGAACCTCGCCCGACAGGCACATCACTGACTGGGGAGCAAGAACGTCCAGCTGAGTCAAGTCTGAAAGAAGATAGAGGGCTTTTCCATGCGGGAGACTTTGTTGGAGAAGACATCTCCACATGGTGTTGACCCGCGGGACTGGGCTTTGCATCGTCAGGAGTATCGCCTTGGAGCGGGACTAGACGTGGCTTACACACGTTGCGGAAGTTGTTAGCGAGCTGTTCAGAGCGTTTCTCCGGCCCCAAATTCCCAACAGTCACTGCATCATCTCTCTGTACTGGCATCTCCTCTCTCACTCCTCGTGGAGTGTCTCTACCAATTGAGGTGTCTGTGAGGTAAGGGATGCGAGGAGCACTCCACTCTCGTTCAGTGTTGATGTCTCCTGTTGTTGGGCCTTGTGGCAGGTGAGGAGGACGAGAGAGGGCGTCGTCAGAGAGCGAGCTAAGAGATGAAGAGGGGGAGAGGTTAATGGGGGAGAGGAAAGCAGCAGAGGTCTCGGGGTACGTGGGGAGAGCCTGAGAAGCGGTCAAGTCGGGCGGTTCAGGCGTAGGGGTTGGTGTAGATTGAGACGATGCACAGGTGTAGAACGGGTCGTCGAAATCGGACGCTTGCGACGCAACTCTGCCACTCTCGCTGTGATCAAGTGAACTCATGGAGAGAGATGAAGGAGGGTGCCCTGTGTCTTGATGATTGTCAACATCGCCACTGGCGGACAGTTCTGCCACCAACACTGCCTGCTTGGCTTTCAGTTTCGATATGGCTTTAGTAACCTTGGCAAGTGATTGGATTCCTTCCTCAATCTCCCCCTCTCCACCTCCATCGACTTCCAGGGAACTCAGGATCTCTTTCCTGCAATAGAGGGGGAAAACAGTCACTACAGACCATTTAGTAGGAGTTAAACATGCGCTTTTTATAGATTGTTTGAAGTCGAGAAAGATGCACTCCACATACACACGAGAGCGGAAAAACTGTTTACCTCTCGGAGCGAAGTTTCTCCAGTTCAGCGGCGACGTCATTCAGCTCACACACTGGGTCGGTGAAGTAGTCCGGTCCCTTCCTCAGCCACTGCTCCGATTCCATTCTCACCGCCGCACACACGGGACTCGGCGCATGGAACACCGACGCAATAGTCGGAAGACTGCGAGAGAGGAAGGGGCGGAGTCAGGGGAGTCAAGGTAACGTTAAATAGTCTGTAAAATGAATGAACATTAGAAGACAGGCCCTTTGCACTGTAAACTATGTAAAGAGCATGATGGACGGCGGGCTGCCTGACCTATTGACTGCATACTTAAATTGACACAAACTCCTCTTCTAGCCATGCGGATTGCATACCGCAGGCATTTTGTAGTAATGAAAATGTGAGTTCTTCACAGAAAATGCATGACTCAGTCAACTATATTAAAGTAAAGCTTACTCCTCGAGGGCGTAGATGGTGACTTCACAGCAGCCATAGAGAAGAGCGCGCAGCTGCGGGTCCCTCTTCATCTCTCTGAACAAATCCTTAGCTCTGTGTTCCTGCAGCACCAGTCCCCACACCGGTCTCGCATTCTGGACCTGAGATGGTGGCACAACCACACCGCCATTATGTTCACTTGGGCTCAAGCCTTTCAACACACAATTTCTTAACTACTTGGTGTAAAAAAGACTCTTTATGTAGGTTAATGTGCTAGGAATGGAAAAAAATAAGCCAGCCTTCAAGCTGAATAGCATGGAAAACATATGTTGGTGCAACACTACCAATTCATCTGTAGGACACTCGCATAAGAGGCAAAAACATCAACATGTACACAAATCAATGTGGGGATCCAGCCACCTGTCTGAGCATGGACTGGAGAAGGTCCGTGTCCCAGAACCATTCTGACACCTGTGGACTCAGGATGTAGGCTCTACTGTTGTACTGGACCACGTGGAGACTGCGATCTGTCGTCAGTTGACACCTATGTGGTAGAGAGAAGTATATGGAGAGGTGCAGTGGAGGTGGGGGTGAAGGGTGGAAAGTCATTAAGGTGGAAGGAGGGAACTGCAGTGGAGGGCCAATGGTAGATTCTCCATGAAAATATCACACTGTTTCTCATTAAGAACTTATATAGTAAAGCTAAGCATTATATACTGGCCTACACATATCACACACTTGTGGCTAATGCAAAAAGGTGTGGTTTCAAAAGATTTTTCTTATGATGTGGGGTGACATGGAAAATTTGGATGGTGGAGTTCTAACTTTTTGATTCTCATCTTGGGGAGGTTTGATGGCTTCCGTTCCTCTTTTTCCTCCTCCTCCTTTTCACTTTCAGTCTCGGGAGCCGTGGGGGTGTGGCTGGTGGGCGGGGCCTGCTGGGTGGAGTCAGCAACGGAGGAGAGGGAGTTCAACGGTGGAAGTGGTCGGACCGAGTCAACCGGTTTGACCGGGTTTTGATTACACGCTGAACTGGTTTGGGGAGTCGGGGTAACAAATTGCTGTGTAGTGACTGTGGGTTGCGGTGGTACTGCAGGATTTGGTGCTGTTTCCAGTTGTGGAGCTGCAAACGGGAAATTGAAACCGGACTGTCCAGTTAGAAGCTGGGCGAGACTGGAGGGAGTGAGACCAGCCATGTTGGGGACACAGGCCGCCTGCTGTAGTAACAGGTTTAGCAGGTAATTCTGCATCAACGGCGCGGTGATTTGGGGCGTGGTCAGACCGGGGAGACCGGGCGGAGCCGGAGTGTGCGGGGGAGTTTGGAAGGCAGTGGGAGTGGGGATTACGGAGGGGGTGGGGAGGGTGTGAGTTGTGAGTGTGGGGAGAGTTGGGAGGGAAGTGATAGTTGTGGAGGTGGAAGAGGGCGTGGCAGTGGGAGGAGTTTCGACCTTACTTGACGGCATATGGACATCAGGAATGTTCTCAGTTGCCTAGGAGAGAGAAGAAAGGAGTAATAATTATATAGCAGAAACTTTACATTAAGTGTCTAAAAAAATCCGTTCTTGTATATACACTTTTAGTGCATTTGTGAAGTCAACGTCTTGTTGTTAACACACGCAACCCTAATGAGCACTTTTCTGACATTTAAAGTTGTAAAAACGTCCATTTTTCTTTGGAAGAGTACTCACCCCTATAGGCAGTTGCTCTGGTTTGTAGCCATCATATTTCTTCTCCTCCTCTTCGGTGTCCTTGACGAAGATGGCCAGGCCTTGTGAGACCAACGTGTCATTGATATGAATGTCTTCTTCTGTCGTAGTGTCACACAGAGTTGCAGATATCAGCCCACCCTGGGGGGACAGGGGGGATTAGTGTGTGTGTGTGTGCGCGTGTGTGAGTGTGCAGCAGGAGGAGGAGGAGGTACTCACCACTACGGACGAGACAATGGCTACAATTGGCTTGTCTTTTGTCATCTGAAAGAGGAGGCTGGATGCCTGCCTACTCCACCTCTGCTCGGCGGAAAAGAGAATAATACGATGAAAATAGAGAAAGAGAGAGTGGAGAAGGAGGAGGCAGAGAGGGAGCAAGATAAAAAGAGAATAATACCAATAAAATAGAAAAATAGAGAGTGGAGAAGGAGGAGGCAGAGAAAGGAGAGAGGGAGCAAGAGAAAAAGGATGAAGAGAAAAGAGAGGATAGATAGTGAATACAGGAGGAGGAAGGTAGAGAGAGGTGGTGGGATAAGATGAGGATGAGAAACACTCACACTCCCAGCAGGCTTCAGATGGGCCAGGCGACACTTGATTGCCTGGGCTGGTAGAGTCATATAGTGCGGCCTTGGTTTCCTCAGCGACGTAGCAGGGACCTTCACAGAAAGAGAAACTCAATACAACCAGTAGTGTGGAGTGCTGCTCTTACTCTGCCAGTGTTGCCATAGTCCACGTACAACACCTCTGCGATGTCACTCGTCGGCATGCCAACCACCTCGGCTCTGTACCAGTAGCCATCGTTGTTGAAGAGAGTACAGCACGGCTGCAAGAAAAAGAGGGAAAGAACAAATCTTTCATTTTCTCAACACATCCTCTTCTTCCATTTCTTCTCAAAAACCATCACTACAGTTTTGCTGTCTGTCCCTGCATTATGTAAATTTATTGGGCAGGATAACCAGGAACCAGCAACGGTTTTCTCTGCGTAAAACTCTAACTTTTCCATCTTTCTTGAATGTTCCCAGCTATATATACCTGTCCAATGATGGGCTTCTTGAGCACGTAGGAGTCCCCACCCCTGCTGTTGTAGAACTGCGTGAGGTCCTCCAGAAGGTACTCCAGAGTTCTTGTCGTGGTCTCTCCTATGATCTGGACACACAGACAGCCCGGCGTGTGGACGTGCGTCATGTACACTCCCAACATCTTCTCGGTGGGCGGAGCTTGTCTCGTGTAGGCCGAGGCCAGAGTGCCTGGGGGCCTTGGTGCCTTGTTGGAGAAAAAAATGACAATTTGAGAAAATTTCAATGTACAACTGCTTGAGCAAGTTAATATTTGTGTCATGGCAAGATAGTTTTATCAAATTTCTGCCTGAGCATGTTTGAGCAAGAAATTTGAAGGTGCAGTAACAGTAAATGGGGTTGGTTAGTTAACAAACAGCCACAAAGTGTCAGTTCACCTCCTCAGTTTCAGAACCACAACTGGAACCTCCCACTCCTCCTCCCTTTTTCCTTGGCCCGTAAACCATCATGAACCCTGCGTCCGGAGGCTTCATGACTGCCACTCCATCCACCCTCTCCAGCAACTGGACCAGCGTGTTGAAACCCAGCTCACGTATCTCCAGCTCCTTTCCCGCCTTCTCCTGTGGGGACACACAAGAGAAGTAATTCAAGGAGAGTTCCATATTACCGCAACGCATTACTTTGTAGGTGCGGAGAAACGAGTTGAGCATGATCCCCTCAGGGGCTGGTGCTAGGATACGGTGGATTGTTGCTGTGAGCTCATCAGAGATGTAGGCGGACGACAGGAACGCATGGTTCGGAGCAACTGATGGAGGAGAATAGATTGGGTTAAAGTTATACTGGGTTTGGCAGGGAAGAGAGGGGAGGCAAACCTTTGACAATGGCTCCGACTTCGGCCACCAGCCAGTCTCCGTTCCCGAGATGCGGTCTCTCTATGGAGACGACCTGGGAGAGAGAGGAGAGGAGGTGGAGGGGTGTGGAGTAGCCCTGGGTGAACACCGGGAGTTCTTCTCCGTAGTACTCCTGTGGCACGACAGAGTGAGGAATGACGTAGGTGAGTGGAGGAGTGAGGTAGGTGAGGGGGGAGTGAGGAAGTGCAGATTTCCAACCTTGTACTGGGCGGAGAACTGTGACAGCCATATACCAGCTGGGTGGGCCTGCAGTAGCTATGGAAACAGACACACACCTCCACTGACACTCTCCGCGCGCTAGCTACCATACATTACCTCCCGAATGTTGTTTATGAGTCTGTCAGGTATAGGTGGCCTAGCAGGCGGCGTAGGCTCCTTCTTCTGCTTCGCTTCTCGTAGACATTTCTCGATGCTCTTTTCCCTCACAGGGCTAGTCTCCAGCGCATTCAGACTCTCTTCTGGCGGCACTGGAAAGAAGAGGAACATATTATGTGCAATAGGTCGACCTTGCAGCTGTGTGAGGAAAGGTAAAATTTAGAGAGCAACCTTTCTTGGCAAGTTGGAGACTCATGTTTTTTCGCCTCGATTTCACCATGGTCGAGCCTTTGAGGGGATTGCACACGAGTTCCACGCCGTCCATGTCTTGAAGCAGCTGCTCCAGCGAAGAGTAGCCCCACGGCTGAAACTGCAAAAAGCGCCCGAAACGTCGAGCGTAGGCTTCGTTGAAGTTCGCTAGCGGTATTCCCTGCGGGTAGCAGCAGAACAGCTGCCTCAGCTGCGCCGAGAACTCGCGAGGAGCGCGTCTCGGTGGCGGCTTTCTCGCCGGGGGCGGCTGGGTGTACAGAGCGCGGGTCGACTTTTGTTTGGAGACGAGGCGAGAAATGTGTTCCGTGCGCTGGTCGGCCACTGCGTGAAGGGTGGTGCTCCCGTCTCGATTCTTCCTAATCTCCACCACGTCGGGTAAGTCGTGAATGAGCTGGCTGAAGGTGCTGTAGCCCAGCTCATCGAAGGGAATGTCATACCCCATCACCTGCCGAAAGTCCATAGACAGCTGCTTGAACGTGCAGCCGCGCTTCACGGATTGGAGAAGGGCGCGAATCTGTTTCTTTAGATCGCTTCTTAGCGAGCTTTGGGCGTCGGCCATGGTGGCTGCGTCGAGACGGGCTCTCGCTCCTGTCCTACTGGCCGTGCGCGTGTTAGTTGTTGTCGTGTCACACACACACACCACGTGCTTTCCATTATGCGCATGCGTATCATAAGGAAGGCGGGGCTGACGTGGTGCGCACCATCTAGAGAGCCAGCATGGAGGAAAGTGAAGACGACGCTGCCGAGTATCGTGAGGCCGAATGGCTGCGGAACTGGACGCCGCTGGCAGTGGACTACGGGGAGTATGACCCTCTGAGAGCAGGCAGCATCGATGGAACTGACACCTCGCCTCATGACCGCGGAATCATCCGCGCCGTGCGCGCCAACTGTAAGACTTTTATAGACCCACCAAACTCTCAAGGACGTTTGTCGCTCCACGCTTTAGACAAGCCGCTGAAGAATGTTGGCAGTGATCCAGAGTGCACCTTGTTCGTTGGTCGAATCAACCACGACACCACAGAGGGTAAGTGTAGATATAGATGTATACTATCCTGTGTGTGTGGCAAAGTGTGTCGTCCACCAGACACATTGCAAGCCATCTTCTCAGAGTGTGGAAAAATCAAGAGTCTACGATTGATCCGTGATATCGGTGAGTGAGCGTAGTCTTGCACTGTGGCTAACAAGAAACTGCCTTCAGTAACTGGGAGGTCCAAAGGATATGCCTTCGTTGAATTCTCTCACCCTGACAATGCTGAGAAAGCATACGACGTAAGTCTTTCTTCCTTCTCCTCCTTCCCTTTCCTACACCTGTCTAGTTTTAATTTTGCCTTGTTTTCCTCTGTATAATTTATGTATAATTATATGTATATATGTGCTGTCAAACGATGTGTTGTAGAGATGTCACAAGATGAATGTGGATGGGTACCAGCTACTGGTGGAGTTTGAATGTGGAAGGACTCTGCCCGGCTGGGTACCTCGAAGACTAGGTCTGCTATATAGACCTTCACTTTGAATTATAGCTGACCTTTTACCCGGTTCACAGGGGGTGGTTTTGGCGGGAAGAAGGAGTCGGGCCAGCTGCGTTTTGGCGGGAGAGAGAGACCGTTCAGAAAACCTATGTGAGGACCACCTGTGAGGTGAAATGGAGTTTCAGTGTTCTGTTTTTCTTCTCAGCGTTGTGGGGAGCAAAATGTTGGGCTCAAGAGGAAGAGAGAGAGGTAGTGGAGTCCCAAGAGGTGACTGGAGGAGAGGGAGGGAGGCAGAAGGGAGAGATAGGGGAAGGGATGAAAGGGAGAAGTGGAGATATGGAAGAAGAGACTCTATGGACCAGCGGCCTGGTCAATCTGGTAGAGAAAGACATGTTGACAGAAGTCCAAGAAGAAAGAAAGAGTGACGTTCTCGCTCGCCGATATAATCCATTGTCATGTATAATTGTCTCTTCATGATTTCACATCCAGCGCGCATGCGCAAAACCAGGCAGGGATTTTCCTCTGCTGAGCTCGCAAAAGACGCGCAAGGCAAGGGTCTCTGTAGGCTACCATGCCTCCCAAGAGGAGCCTGAGGAGTGTGCCGTCCAAGAACCGCCGAAAGCCGTTCAGCCACAAGCAGAAGAAGCTTCAACTGCAGCAGAAACGGCAGAGGAAGGGAGACAGACGCGATGGTAAGCCCACGACCAGAAGAATAAACCGTGAACTCGCCGTAGTAGGGACACCTCCGACGGTGTCTGCGGAGGACGGAGGGGACGAGAGAGGCGAGGGGAGCTCCACAGAGACTGGGTCAGAGGGAGAAGCTGTGGCGACAGTTGAGGTAGCCAGACTCAACCTCCAGCCAGCGACAGCAGACACAGACACCCACTACGACCCCAACAGGTGTTCCCTGGAGAGCAGTCCAGCTATCTTCACTCACCTTTGTCTTTCTCTCTCACACACACACTCTCTCTTTTAGGTATAAGCTACACTTCCAGAGGGAGTCAGCAGAGGAGATTGAGAGGAGAAAGCTGCGGGCCCAGACTCAGCCCCTAGCCCCCGTACCTGAGGTATAGTATTATCATAGACACACACACGCACACACATCACTACTGGAATAACGCTCCAATAAGATTATAGCTGCTGATCTTTCATGCTTCTTATTGCTCTTGTTTGCTGTCGTCTTGTGTGTAGTCGGAGATGGAAGTGAGTGTGGAAGACATTTACAGACCTGGCTCAGATCTAGACATACCTCGCCGGCCTCCCTGGTCATACTCCATGACCAAGGAACAGCTGGACCAACAAGAGCAGTCCGCATTCCAGGACTACCTGTCCCGGATCCATTCCAACCACCGTCCACAGGACCTCAGTCTGTTTGAACATAACTTGGAGGTGAGAGTTGGGTTGCCTCTCTCTTTGCCAAGTTCCTATCTTACAACACAGTGCACTAGAGACTGGTTTTAAATGGTGCTGCATGCTTGTCTATATTATATACATGTACGGTTGCATTCGCTACAGCTTTCATGTTCTGTGTGTCCAAATTAGCAAGTTTCACGATCAAAATGTCTTACAATTTGTCTATATAGGAGCACACCCATTTGCGGAAAATGTCACTTTGATTACTTTTGTACAACATTTCCGCGTGCTTTGTGAATCACGATAGAATACTCTCGGATTGCGCAAACTGGCAATTTTTGAACCACTGTATAATAATATCTCCCCTCCTCCTTCTTCCCCAGACGTGGAGACAGCTGTGGAGGGTGCTGGAGATATCGGACGTGGTTCTGTTCATCACGGACGTCCGTCACCCTGCCCTCCATTTCTCTCCGGCCCTCTACAGCCACGTGGTCGAGGACCTCCGGAAGAAACTTGTCCTAGTCCTCAACAAGGTAGCCCGCTACACCACATTATTATACTACAGGTTGTAATCTCTGGTTGTTGGGGGTTCATGTACTATTAGCCAATGAGGCTGCAAGGCAAATGCAAAGTGGACAAGTCAACTATATACAACTACATACGTCTGTCTCAGTATTATGTGTGAAGGACATAAACCGAGACCGTGTCCGTAGCAATTAGAAGCTGACTCGTCACTTTTTGAAACCATTATGTTCCTGAGTTTGGTTTTCTGTTCAAGTTTTTTGTCTCTGTTCAAAGAAGCAACGAACAAAACCTTTTCTCTCCGGTTTCCACGCTGTGTATACATACATACAGGTAGATCTGGTGCCTCCAGAAGTGGCTGTTGCATGGAGACACTACTTTGTGTCCAAATTCCCCCAACTTCACGTCGTCTGTTTCACGTGTTTCCCTAGTCACCATCCCTCCTCCACACCCTCCTCCCCCCACCCCCACCCCTCCTCCGGTAGAGGTCAGTGTCAACTGTATACTCCTCAGTATGTGTACTATAGCTTCACTTCACTGTAATACCTTTTGTCTTAACTAGACAATGTACACTTCTAAATACTCAGGTGGCTGCCAAAGCACCTTTTGTCTCAAAGTACACTTCAAACTGTACACTAAGTTAAAGACTAATGCTAAGCATATCATCTGAAATTGACATAAGTTTTTACAAAAGCGAAATGAAAAAGTCGCTAAATGCAATAGTACGGGCTAAGATTTCATTCAACACACCTCAGTAGTGGGATCCACGCATTGTGTGTGTGTGAGAGAGAGAGAGAGTGTGTGTGTGTGTTTGTCTGCAGTATCTCTAAGACCAAGGAAGAGGGTAGGAGGAACTCTGCCGTCTGCTGTTGGGTCCCGAGAACTCTTTGAAGTCGTGGAAGAAATGTTTGCGGGAAAAGGTAAGGTATATACATTGGAACTTTGTTGTTGAAAGAGACAAAATCGTTAATGCTTTATGTCACTGTGCAGTTGACCTGAGTGGGTGGAGACAGAGATTGGAGGGAGGAGGGGGAGGGGGAGAGGGTGGGGAGGGGAGAAAGGGGGGAGGGGGAGGAGACTCTGGTGTGGACAATACTGACAGTGACAGTGAGAAGGAGTCAGGCAAGACAGGTGTGTGCCAGGGGACCTCCCTGTTTCATTAGTATCGTTTGTGGACCTGCAGGCAAGAGGCAGGCGGAAGTGGAGGAAAACGATGCCGCTAAAGTCCAGTCTGACTCTACAGGCATAGTCACTATTGGGATGGTCGGTAGGTCTTAAGGGTTAATAACTCTGAGCATTCAATAATGCTGCTCTTTTGATGATTTAATGTTTGCCTCTTGGATATGTTAGATGCTCCTTTGACGAGAGCCAATAATATATACACTCTTTTGATGAGTTGATAATATGTAGTATGGCCTTATGACGAATTTATTGTTCCTTTGACAAGTTATTGCTGTGCGCTAGGTCATCCAAATGTGGGAAAGTCATCTATACTGAACGGTCTGGTGGGAAAGAAGGTAAGTTCCAATCTTCTTCTGTTGACTCTTAGCATGTATCCATGAGCTACTTGTAATCGTGTGTGATGTGCAGAAAGTGAGCACATCCAGGACCCCGGGCCACACCAAACACTTCCAAACCATCTTCCTCTCTCGCTCGGTCCGGCTCTGTGATTGTCCCGGACTCGTCTTCCCTTCCCTGGTCAACAGACAACTGCAGGTCCTCAACCACCCTCTCTCTTCTCTCCCTCTCTCACTTCTTCCTTTATATTATGTTTTCAATGCTTTTGAAGCCCAGATCATGCCACATGCACAGTCTGCAATGAACAAGCTGTGTTGCGCGAAGTATAATCCTAAACTGCACGTTCAGTTCGTTAAAGGGAATGTGGCAGTATATAAGGCCTAAATGTGTAGTTAGGACAAAACAAAGGGGCACGGTGAAAGAGAGTTTCTAATTTATTATACTGCCACACTCCCATGATGGTGTGTTGGTAGACAAGCCCACAAACTTGGCAAGAATGGCTAGATAAACAAGTTCAGAAACACTCACAGGCCCATCTCTATAGATGGTTATAGTTTTCTTTCGGTATAGATTGCAGTGGTGATGTATTACTGCAGATAATGAGTGGGATGTACCCGGTGGCTCAGGTGAGAGAGCCGTACACGCCTGTCGGCTACCTGGCAGAGAGGACACCTCTCACCTCTCTACTGGGGCTGGTAGAGGAGGAGGGAGAGGAGGGGTGGACTGCCTGGGGGGTGTGTGAAGGTTAGTGTGTGTGTGTGTGTGGGTGTCAATGTGAGAATTCATGTTGTTGTGGTGCCACCACAGCCTGGGCCAAGAAGAGACGATTTTACACATCCAAAGCTGCTAGGCTTGACACCTATAGAGCAGGTATGTATGTATGTATAAAGTGGGACATCTCTCTAAGGAAAACCTGTGCAATCCAATCCAACCCCTGAAACAAGGACACCTCACTAAACGGACACTCTTCTGTTCCGTTGGTCCCCAGATTAGAGGGGTTCCACTGAAGTATGTACGTAGAACCAGACGCAGCAGGTCCAGCATCTGATTTCTATCATACTGCAGCCAATAATATTCTGAGACTGGCAGTGGATGGCAGGGTGAGCATGTACTTCAGACCTCCGGGGTTCAGCAAGGAGAAAGGTATGCTACGACGTGGCCAAGACCATTGGTTTTACTTCCTCTAGAGGGCAACTGGGTGTCAGTGATTTTTCGCATGGTTGACCATGAATAGCATTCACTTCATAGCTTCTGCCTTTTGCTTGTGTTATAATAATACACTGCCGTTCCATTTTACACTGTGAGTCTATCAAGATTACTAGACCTAACACACACACTGGGTAGGTTCAGTGTTAAAAGTGTGCGGGCGTTCCGTTTCTACTCAATGTGTTTTCATGCTGTTGTACTATAAGACTAGCTTTGCATGCAGCTAATGTCGGAATGACGTTCTTGGCAATGGACCAAATTTAACAGTACGCCTCATTTCAGACAAGTGGAAGGAGCATCCTGAAGTGAAGGAGATGATTGAGCTGCAACAACAGGGGCTCACACGGGGTCAGGAGTCTGGGGGAAGTGTGGGTGGTTGTACTCACGGCAACGACCCCAGTGACCCCGAGGAGGGGGAGGAGAGGGAGGAGGAGGGGTGGGAAAGTGGGGATGAGTGTAAGTGGAGTAGTGAGGGTGGGGAGATTGGGGAGGAAGTGGACGAAGAGGAGAAAGAGACGGTGTAACTGACTTTGCCATTTCTTCGCAACATCATATCATCTGTCATACACATAACCACACAGTATCTATTTGTATCAGTCATGCGATGATCATGTGATTCAGTGGTGGGTGTGGCTTGATGCTAGCATTGGTGGTGGTTTAACTACAGGAGTCTGCTGCTGTAGAAAGACAGTGAGAGCGTAATACGTAGGGTCCAAAAGTTTTTGTAACAAAGCAAGTAATCACCTGCTCATTTTGATCTAGAAGACCGTTGGTGTGAGGATGGGAGGGTTGTTGGTGAGGGTGGTGACTGGGGGGAGGATGAGAGGTGTGATGATGGTGAGGGGTGTCTGGTTCTGCCATCATGGGGTTCTGGTGGAGGGAGAGCCTGCGCTCCGAGATCTGCTGGGACTCCAGGGCCTGCTGCAGCTGGAGGTGGCGCTGGCCGGGAGCCCCGAAGGCCAGCGGAGGAGGCTGGCGAAACTGCGCCAACTTCTCTCTTATGTCAGCATGTTCCTGTGAGGTGAGGTGTGAGTGTAACCTCTGAACCTTGGGGCATCGAAATTGTTCCCATTACTATGTGTTACATACTCATAGGATAGTAGGAAGCATGGGGGCAGAACTTTATATATAGAGAGATGAGCTTTCTCTTAGGTTCTAATGTGGTATACTATGGCAGCCATGGGACTTAGAGACTTGTTTCTCACCATTCTGAGTTGGAGTTTCAGGTCCTTGTTAACTTCCTTCAGAGCACTGGACATCACTGCATAGTAGTAGATCTGCAGCCTACATACACAGAGGAAAGAACGACGTGTGAGGTGTTTGTCTGGTGGTCGTCCTAAAGTGTGTCTCACCCCAGTAGAGCAAGGATAGGGACAATGACAGTGGCTGTCCTCATGTTGTCAATGGCTATCTGGAGTACTTGCGGCCAGGTGTCTATATCATCCAGGAGTATGTACAGCATGTTCTCCAGCCCTCTGTAGAATAAACACGTAACAGATAGAAGATGATGTTTTGCCGTCTAATATTTAACTCCAGCTGTGTAAGAAATGCTAAACCCTTTGGGGAGGTTATATTTTGCATGTGTGAATGCACAGAGTAAAAGTTAGACCGTATTCACACTACAAAACCATTTGCGTATGGAAAAAAACCCCCAGACCCCAGGAAATTTCAGATATTTCTCAAACCTCACACACTGATATATCTGTAGCGTACACTAACCTAAATGGACCGCAGGTGTTGGAAGGAGAGATGCTGAACATGGCATACCCCACTGGGAATGAGCAGAGGAGGGCAGTGGCCAGGAGGATGCCCAGATAGAAATTGAGAGTCGAGGACACGCGGAATACGTTTCGCGGCGGCTGGTTGCAGTAGTAGACGACCACTGAGCGGCAGTAGAAGATGAAGATGTACTTGACGAGGCCGATGAGGGGGAGGAGGGGGCAGAACAGGACTCCCAACAGGACCAGAGCCTGTCCGTAGATCAGTTTGAGGACATTGTCGGCCAGTCGGAATTCTGTCGGTCCTATCTGCAAGGTGGGGGTAGAGGAGAGGGGATTAGTGCTAAGGTCCCTCTTTCCCCATTATCACTATTAATTATCCCAGGGGCACTATTCAATACTGTGTAGTCCAGATCCTTGTCGAAGGAAAGCTCCATTGGACATAATAATGGTTTGTGGTCTTCAGCAGTAGGGGTATAATGTACTCTACCATTTCTGCCAGTTTTCCCAGCTTCCCCATGTGTGGTATCTTTGGGAGGACCCAGCGAGACACGTCTACAGTCATGGTGGCCGTGTCGGCCAGGAGGTGAGTCAGGTTCAGCTTGAACAGCTCCTGCCCTATGTTGTTCTCCCAGCAACAGCCACGCCCATCTTCCCCTCCCCCTCCTCCTCCCTTTAATATAAAAGTGAAAGACATTATGAGGATGCATTCACTGAAAACCATCAAAGGATTGGTGGTGGTATATTTTACCTGACCAGCTATTAACCATCGGCGCGCATGCGCAGCGAGGGTTACAGTACTTGGTGGTTTGTCTGTCTGTCTGTCTGTCTGTCTGCTGTACTGTAGCGACACCAACGGGTTCAGCGCTACACTGGCTTGATTTTAAAGTCTCGCTGGCGGATAATGCGCATGTGCTTATATTTAGCACTGGGTCCGTCTAGATCTTGAAGGCACAAGAAGTCACAACGAATGGTGTGTATCGACTCTCGCGTGCTATCTACTACTGTAGCTAGCCCGTGTCAGCGAGCTACTTCGCCGAGGGTTTGCCTTTAGTGCTTTTCATTTACACTGCCCATTCAAGTAATGGGTGGGGGTCTGATGGATAAGCACCCCCTCTCTTGATCGTGAGGTCCCTGGTTCGATCCCGGGGGTGTGCGCCTTTTTTACAACGATGTAATAGGAGTGTTGGTATAATTATATGGAACGTTTTTTCATCACCTCTCAAGGCCAGCCCGAGTGGCTAGGTGGTTAGAGTCGTGGGGACTGACACCATAGGTGCCCGGTTCGAATCCTCGATCCCGCACTAAAGTGTCAGGTGGTCCAGAGCATTGGCTGGGAACAGCTCTGGTTCCTCCCCTTACCCACAAATCTACCACCGACCCACGTTTCTCAAAGGGCAGCGTACAGTTCGGCATAGCACTGCGTCCGTAGACGTCTGTCTGGAGAGATGAAGGGCTGGGCGTTAAAAAATTTTTTTTGCCACTAAACAATCCACGGGTAATACGAAAATTAATAGAGAGATGAAAGGTTGGCAATTTTTCAACCATATAATATTTTTTTGGGCCTCAAACAGATATAGGGCTGGCCATTTTTTTTCAATGGTGCTGTTCTTTTTGATGCATGGTCAAGACCATCAATTGTGGTGGTGCCACACTTCCACATTTCTATAGAGTGTGCCGAGGGTTTGCACTTTAGTGTTTTTCATGTATATATGTAGGTTCTTTGCTAACTCAAAGGACACCTTCGTGCTAATATTGACACTTTCCTTCTACTGTGCTATTTTAAAGAGGTGGTGAGTGACTCACACACTGAGAGCTGAGGCTGAAGAGAGAGATGATGAGGACGTAGAGGGAAGAGAGGTAGAGGAGGAACAGTCTAAACAGCCTCATTTTGAGCGCCGTTCGAGGGTGGAAATTCTCCAGCCACTCTGCCATCTGGAACATGTAGGGCAGGGCCAGGTTACGAGCTGTCACCACTCCTTGGACCTTGACAGAGAGAGAGAGAGAGAGGAAGAGAGAGGGAAACAGGGAGAAAAGTAATCTTCAGATTGACAGCTTTCATGCTTGAGATTTGACGTTTTGTAATGATTCAAGTTTTGTCTGCTTAGCTGCCCTGGTATATAGCTTAGTTCAAAGAAAGAGTCCTCTGCCTAGAAAGCAGTGTGGTGGGTTACAATCCCACCCTGGACAACTCTAGTTGTGCTGGGTTTGATTGACTAGCCTCACAACCTCAATGTCACGCTCACAAAGGTGGACTATTATTGCTGATATAACGGAGGTGAAGGGTGGTGTGCTAACCTGAAAGGAGGCCAGGAAAAGAACCAATCCTTGTGTTCCGCTGTTGAAGGCCCCGTGGAAGTCTCGGCGGTGAACTTTGGCCTCTGCATTGTCGACAGCGAGGTAGATGGCGTAGCTGGTCCCGGCCAGGGTGATGAAGATGAGGAGGTTTGTACACACCCTCATCAACATCACTCCGATCCTAACACCGCCACATGCGAATTGAACAGCTCAGTCGTGAGAAAGACTTATATAAAGTAGGGCTATCATCAAAGTGGCAGAACGTAACTTAGAGTTAGCATCATTCAAAGGAGAAGACTTCGGTGTTTTTGAATTTTGATAAATGCAAACGGTTGCAAAAAGTTATTCTCACTTTAGTTTATGTTCTACTGTTTGTCTGGTTTCTGCCAGAGTTTCCTGTAGAGCAGTGAGGACGATAGAAGGCGGTAAGATCATGTTTGTTGCCCAGACCTTGAGTGAGATGGTGATGTCGAGCATCTTGCTGGTGGCAGTGGCAGGCTTCGTGATGGCAAAGTCCCAGCTGTTGAAAACCAGCCACGAAAAAGGGAATCGCTCGCCCACTGACGCCTTCTGCAGCGTCCTGTACTTGATGGCCATTCTGAACGATTAGAACGAGGGAGACAGAACCAGCTTCACTGTTAGTCATTGAAAAGGTTTTGGTAAGCAGTTTTCACTTAGGGGACACGGCAGTACCGGTAAATATATAGGAACTAAACCAACAAGGCCCAGTACAATTATGTTTCCGTTTGTAAAACTAATCCCTTATTTCTTGGTTAAAAGCATTTATGTCTGTGTAACTGGGGCTTAGGGGGAAGGAAAAAAATTGACTCCAGTATAATTATCAGAAGCTGAACTTGATAAGGATGGCGATGCAGTAGAAGACAAAGACCCCCAGGATGACGAGTGCATAGGCCAGAGGGAGCTTGTAGTGGAGAGGAGAGAGGTAAGGCTCCGGGTTTGGGGGAGGAGCTCCGTACGGTTCATTCTGTCCAGAGTCATAGTACCCGTAGAACAGTACAGAGTACTCCAGGAGGTACCCCTGCAATTAGTATACTTCAGTCCATTGCCGAGAGGGGTAAGGGGTTCATATGTATACCTTCCCGTCCAATAGAAATGATAGAGCAGTTCCGTTCTCTCTGACTGCAGGAGGCACGTCCAGTCCGTGACCAAAGATGGCCTGACAGAGAAGGCAAGGAGACACATGATATGGGGAGAGGGAGAAGAGAGAGAGGGAGGGGGGGGACCTGGGGTATGATGATGAAGAAGAGGATGAGGAGAGACAGGAAGCAGTTGAGGGCACACAGCCAGCGAAGAAACACAAAGAAAGAGGCCACACTTGTACCTGATTGACCTTCAGAGAAAAAACATCAGCCCAGAGTAAAATATCCCATCTATATATATATATATATATATATATATAATCTTGCAGCAGGTGGGCCTCAACCCTTAAAAATTAATTGTTAACCTTTAAAACTGACCCTCAATATGTTTGATGATGGATCTCCAGAGAGTCATCACTTCTAACAGGACCTGTAGCTTTAGACGAACCTTCCTCCCCACCTACACACACACACACACACACGCAGAGGGTCCTTGTGCAATATTACATCCTTGCAAGAGTGTGTCTGATAACGTTACCAGAACTTGCATAGAGTTTTCAGATCAGAATGATAGCCTGACAATTGCATACACACACAGCATGAAGCTGTTTACCTTGCTCACACAAGACCTGCAGTAGTCTGCCATCTTCAGCTGTGAGGTGTGTTTGTTGATATTCCCATTGTGACTCCTGTATATAAAAACCAGCATGATGAATTACCAGAAGAAATGGTATGCAGCTAGCTAATGTCCTGGTTTGAGCAAACAGTGGAAGCAATAGTAAGCATCTTGGCCCAGAAAGCCCCTGAACACACTCCCCCAAAAACTTTAGCAGTAAACACTGTAGAGTGGGTTGCTGACTTGACGGCCGCTATCTTCATCTGCATGGGCCATGGCTGAGCCCTGAACCCCGACACGATCTTCTGTTGCTCCTGGAGGAAATTACGGAGGACGTGACTGGAGCAACCAGCTGGCGGGAGGCTTGGGTTGCTGACTCGACTCACAACCCCCTGCACCACTTCCGGATTTCTGTGGGGGGGGAGGAAGATTTCTTGGGGGTTCTGGTGCATTTTGTCACATCACCTTGAATTTTCAAAGTATCTCTGTCGGCCCATGATGTCCGAGTCGGAGAGCCCGTGCCCCTTGCTAACCTGGCTCCATCTGCTACTGATTCCGGGCCGTCCCGTTTCAAACGGGGCAGGCTCCATTATTAACCGGTTTGTGGGGCTGCAGCAATTTGCGGAATGTTCGTTAATGTGAATCCACTCGAGCGTGTCTTTGTAGTGGAATTGGTGAGCGGAAAGATTACGGAGTTTTGCTAGCCACCAGGCAAGAGCCGATCAAGAGAGGGGTTGGTCTCTCAAGCTACAGTCTTCCTTTTGTCCGCCGCAAGAATAGCTGACATGTCGCTCGACAGAGGCAGCTCCACGCGCATCTCTCTGAAGAGCATCACTAAAAGATTAGGTGAGTCTTTATTAGGCTCGCTATGGTGAACGCTACGTCTCTGCTACCGTTGGTTAAACATTGTGAGCGACTTTACAAACAGAGCGAGTAGTCCGTTTTTGCTCTCTGGACAAGCAGTTGCTTGTTATGTACACGAGCGCAGGCTGAGCTGCTCACCTTTTACGCACTCACAACCGACGTGAAGCCAGGTAAGTTTACGCTCACTCACACACGTAGCGAGCTGCGTCCCTTTGTTGTCCGGGAGTCTGCAAAGTCACTGTATATACTAGGGTCAGAGAGAAGAGAAGAAAGGGCGTCCGGATGATCAGCCGTCTACTGCGACTTGCGTGTTTCTGGTGTCCGTGTGTGCGTGGTTGCCTGCCATGGTATCTAGGCAGCAGCTAGAGAAAAACTGATTGGTCTGTTTCAATTTGATTTCAACTATCTGATTGGTCAGTCCACCAGACCTCCATCATTGCCTCTGGGCAGAGGCTGGGTAGAGGTAGCACAAATAGAACTGTAGCTACAGTTTTCGGGGTGTGTTGTTTTATGGACAGGGTGGCTAGGCTTTGCAAATGCAGCTTCTGGCAAATGGGCTTTTGTTTAGGATAACTTCCCCTTACAGCCCCAAAATCATTGGCAGGTCATGCACCAGACAGCTAGGCCCACTTGCTATTTTTGGGAGACACAGAGTGTGTGAAATCTTGTATCTACCATTTCAGGTGTTCGCAGCAAGGACTACAGCAAGGTAGAAGACCTGTACGACACTCGTGTCCCGCTCCACAACGAAGATGCCTTCACTCACGGGCTCAAGTTCAAGGCAAAAGTGAGATAATCCACACCCAGACAGCCGAGAGTGTGTGTGTGTCAGTGGGAGTGACACACTCAGTTGTAGAGTAAAGAGAGCCGTATACTTATGCATCCAAGCCCCTCTTGTGGTGAAAGTTGAGAACATCTAGCAGTACATTTGGCATTTCCCCCTATTCCTGTCAACACACACACACACACATACACAGTTCATAGGAAGTCTGGAGATCAGTAGACCGACGTGTAAGGTGGACATCATCACTGCCATGAGGAGGATTCGCGTGAGCAAACACACACACACACCCTCTACTGGGCTTTTGGGACCGTTAACCCTCGTACCCATCCCTCCCCTTTTGTCTGTGTACATACCCTGTACACTGTGGTGGTGTGACATGGTGGAGCACGTGGGAGTGGATTTGTAGAATGCATGCTGGTGTAAGTTGTTCCGATGAAGATATTTTTGCTGGTATGGTGACAACTACGACGAGAGGATCCCATATTTTGCTCCATAAAGATTGCTATGTGTGTGTGGGTGGCAAGGTCTTGATAAAACCACGATCTCCCTAGGGATTATTATGCAAGTATGAATAGTGGATTATTCACCGATCTCTCTATCCCTCCCACCCTCCCCCCTCTCCCTCTCTCCCTCTGGTCCCCAGTATGAATTCAAGGTGAAGGGAATTCGGAAAATTCGATCAAACATCCTCGTCTCCACCCAGGGTGTAAAAGTCATCAAGAGAAAGAGAAAGAGGGTAAATCTGCCTTTGAGCCTCACTGACTAAAACTTACACACACTTTATTATATTTCACCGTGTATGAGCTAGCAATATCTCTCTCTCTCTCTGCAGTCCAGAAAACGTTATACGGAGGAACAGTTGTTTATCATGCAGCACCCCATCTATCGGTGAGCGTACAAACCAACTATCGGTTTTCATTACCGAAAACACTGCAATATTTGTGGTCTGTGACTGCATATTTGTTGATGGGGAGTCCTGTGTACGTACAGGCAACACAGAGTGTAGTGTTATTGAGACGTGGTCGCATTTGTCCCCACCTGCATGGCAACTGTTGTATTGGTTGTATTGGTTGAAGACAGTACTGGTGTGAATGCCCCCCTGGTCTTCTCCATGGCTTCATACATCAACAGAGACTCCATATTGGCTGCAGGAATCACTGTCTGCTTTGCAAATCGGGATTTTAAGCCTAATATACGCGATGCAACTTGTTTGCGAGAGATTAAAGACTTTGTATGTGCAGCTTCAAATATGATATATAGCCCATGCATGTGTTGGCAAAATAATTATGCTGTTTATGATGTGTTATGTAACTAAGTAATGCTAATTGTCTCTCTGTCCGATGTGAGTGCAGGATATTCTACGTGTCCCACGACTCGCAAGACATGAAGATATTCAGCTACATCTCCAGAGAGCTTCCCAGCAGCACTTTCCGTTGCAACGTCTTCAAGGCCTACAAGAAGGTGTGTAGTAGGTGTGTAGGTACGGAGAGCAGACAGCAAGTCTGTGTTTCCATGTACAGGATTACATGTATTGTTTCCATATAATAATATTTGTCTACGTGTGTGTGTGTATGTAGAACATGGCACTGCACATTGTGAGGAGTTTGGGCCAAGCTTTCGATGTCTGTCACCGGCTAAATCCCAGGCCCAAGAAGACGAAGAAGGAGGGGGAGGAGGGGGAGGGAGAGGGAGAGAAGAAGGCAGAGGAAGGGGAAGGAACAGCTGATAATGGTGACGAGAAGGCAGAGCTTGGAGCCGATCTGTCGGCCGGGTTGAAAGAAATCTCGCTGGAAGAAGGAGGGAAGAAAACAGAGCCAGCTCCACAAGTCGACCTGATGGGTCTGGACTTTGACCCCTTTGTTTTCAATTTCGAGACCCCCGGAAGAGTGGGGGCCACACCCAACGGGGGCCCCCAGAACGGGTTTGACTACTCCAGTTTCCCCGGAGGTGGGGGAGGTGGTGAAGCCGCTGGCTTCCCACCCCTCATGGTCAGCAACAACCCATCTGGGTTCCCAGATCTACCAGCTGGGAGCAACTCTGCCCAGACTCAACTGCAGCTGATGGGAAGACCACGCCCCCGACCTGCAGGCTCCTCCAACCAACAGGTATATACTATAACTATATAGACTATTGAGTGAATGTGTGAGTGCTAAACGTTACACTTACTTAAAACATTACTAATTAAAGTGCCTTCTAGAATGATCACGTCAGACAACTATGTAGGTATGCTTGATTTGCTTGTCAATACTCAATATGCATCCATTCCTCAGTGGGTAAGACTGAGGGGCTGGTGAGGGCTTTTGGTACTGTCCACTCATACCTTTGCCTGGTGTCTGTGTGGTCTATCAGGTATCCCTCATTTGCCCTAATTATGGAAGGCCACACCCATTCCAGCTGCTGAGTGCATTCATTCACACAAAGCTCCCATATCTGGAATTTCTATATACAGTCTCTGAAGTGGGAATTAACCCAATATATCTCCCTCCTCACACACACACACACACACAGAACATTATTCAGGAGAATCCGTTTACTGACACCCTAAGGACAGGGAGTGCCTCACCCACACTCTCCATTGGCGAGGCAATCGATGGTCCAGTAGAGAAGATGATCAGTAATCCGTTTATGGCTGACCCAGGAGGCCAGCAGGCACAGCAGTGGGAGATGTACCGCCAGCAGGTGAGAGGGTATAGAGAGTGGGGGGAGAGGGAGGGTTGGAAATCTGGGTTATTTTGCAGATGGCGGCACATATGCAGCTGATGCAGGAACAGCTCAAGCAAGAGAAGGCAGCTAGGATCGAGTCACAGGCAAGCCTCCACAGACACGCACACATGCACACACAGCTATAATCTATTTCTTCTCCAGGCGAGAGTGGAACATCTCCACCAGCAGAACAATCAGCTCCTGACCCACGTCCAGAAGCTGATGGTGGAACTGGAGAAGCTGCAGTCCCTCCAGATGGCCCAGCTCCTTGCCAGCGGAGCCGTGCCTCCTACCTCCACCGCCGAACCTTCCTCCTCCTCCCTCCCCGTCATACTTGAGGCTTCCTCTGATCAAGAGCCCACTAGCATCGCCTCCATCGTTGCTGCACCCCCTGCCGAGACTCCACCCCCTCCACCTGAAGCCACACCCACCACCTCGGAGACACTCCTCTCGACAGCAGCCAGCAGTCCATCTGCCACGGTTACCTCCACCTCTTCTTCCAGTACCACGACAATCACAACCACTGACAGTGAGCTCCTTTCCACTCCATTTGATGCCCACCAACCTCACGAACAGGAGACTTTCCCACTGATCCAGCCCAACGAAGAGGGGCTCCCCACTGAAACGAGCACTCCAGTTGCCCCCTCCACCGAGTCTCCCGCCAAGGTGGAAAACGAGGGGGACACCCCAGAATTCCCCCTTTTCTCTGACACTGCCAACCTGCCTACAAATGACCCTTTTGCTCCCCAATAGCAACATGACATATGATTACAGCTGTGATAATTATTGTGACCACGTAGTGCTAAAGTGAACAAGCTATTTTAGATATACTATCGCTACACTATCTTTTTTAATACCTTTTTATTGCCATTTTGTACAATAATAATATTATGGTGATTCTTTTTGTACAAACCGTGTTGCATTCTTGTCACCAAAACACCTGTTTTTTTATCAATAATTCCACAATTGCGTGCCAATTGGTTGAGACGCGCCGTAACTATTCTTAAATCTTGGAGTTGAAGGGGAAAATCTCAGGCGGTTTTGTAAAGCTATGTCATACTGCTGTAGTTCCTCATGTTGCGGGTCTTCTTGAGAAAATAGGACCCTTCTGTAGCTCTCTGGCTTGGTCGTCGGTTGCTGCTGGCAACGGTAGCCTTCTCGTCCTCACTCCCGCCACCAACCAGGTCTGAAGAGGAAGACCTGCTCCCGGAGTCAATTCCAACGTTTCGGGGTGGAGTTCTGGAGTTGGGGGAATTGGTGGAGTAGTTCTCGGGGTGTAAGAGGCGGTCGGGAATGTCTGGAGTAGAGGAATTGTCTGATTGGACGCTCAGGGTGCTCCTTCTGGCTGTTGGCTCTCTAACGACGGGGACGATGATTACAATCCCCCGCCACTTGAGGATGAGGTACACCACGTAAACAGAGATGTAGAGAAGAGGAAGGAAACCGAGAGCGTAGTTTATCGCAAACAGTGCGCGATTCATTTCACCGTCTATGTAAGAGTTGACAAAGTTTGCAAAACTGAAGCTGTTCATGAGGGCGAGGAGAGAGAAAACGCTCAAATCGACCTTGTTGAAGAAGGCTTCCTTGTATGGCTTCACGAGGGCAAACACGAGCACGGCCGCAGTGCAGAGAATCTGCTGCATAAGCAACTGAATGACCAGCGACGTCTCCACAGCGTAGATCAAGAGCAGGACGACGCGCAGGGTGAGGTAGAGCCCTGAAAAATAGCGGTAGTCTCTGTTATTGTTGGTGTGGTTCTTGAAGCAGCCCTGGAAGGCGTCGGCAAAAGTGTGGACCGTCTGCCAGGAACGTCTAGAGCACCGGTTGAGGCAGCGCTGGAAAACCTTTGTGGGGTAGAGGAAGAGGAAGAGAGGAGGCACCAGAACAAAGACCACGCCGAGAAAAAGTGCCAGCAGCCCCAAAGGAAGATGAGGGCCCCTGAAAAAGGAGTACTGAGGGTCAAAGTAGAACAACAATTCTCCTGTCTCCGAGCGTCTGTCGTGGAAGACATAGTACTCTCGGGTGGGTGTCAGCAGAGAAATGGTGATGACAGTGACCTTTGTGTAGGAGATCATGAGGAACGTCGCAAAGGCGTCGATGATGGAGGTGCGGGGCTGCCAGCTGCGGCGGAACTTCTTGAGACAGGCTCTGAACGGTCTCCAGAGCCACACTATCGCCCGATAGTTGTGGTCGTACAGCTCAATGCAGATGTAGCTGACGAGAATGAGCAACATTGGGTAGAGCGCCAGAAGGTACTTGAGCAGGAGACTGTACATGGGGGTGAGGTCGTCGCTCAGACAGATGACGCCGGTGAAGATGAAGAAGTCGAGGTTCCAGATGGCGTAGGGAGAGAGGAGGAACGTGCGGAGGAGCTGGCTCTGTTGAGTGAGACCGAAAACCCAGGGAAACCGGTTGTGGAAGTAGGCCACAGTCGTCACCTGTGCAAAGAAGACGAAGGCGTACATCGGAGCAGACGTGGTGCTGATGCGGAAGAGTGTCACGATGACAAAGAAGATGGTGATTGGAGCGATATTGGTGAGGAGGTAGATAAACCAGCCGTAGTGATATTCCTCGCTGTGACATCGGACGCAATTGTGGAGGTCGTTCACGTCCACCGTAGAGCCACTGACACATCTGCTGCAAAAAGCCCCCCTGCGACTTATACTCTCACAGAACTCTTCTTCCAGAAGACAATCGCCAGAATGGTTACAACTGGGTAGCCTTACCAGTTTCCCTGTTTTGAGAGTGGCCGGACACTCTACTACAATCATAGTTTGGTTTGCAGCATTTGACCGCTGCCTGGTATGGCCAGATGCACTACTGTTGTGATAGCGGACACAATACCCCGGTTGTATCTGGGCCGACATGTCGCTTGTGTTACAGGTGAAGTACATGGAGTAGGCACACTTGCACTTTCGAACCATCCCTCCTCCGCTAGCGGTGTCTTCGAGGTACTCCGGAGTGTACCCCGGGGGACAGGGTAGGAGAGAAACCTTGAGAACGGTGGTAAGGATACGTGGAGCTAGGGTCTCCAGGAAGAGATCCGGGGTTTTCCCCTGAGGATTCGGGATTCCGTACAGAGATATTTTGTTGTCGGTGATGTAAACTGATGTGTTTTTCACCTCTACTCTCGTATCGTTTTTGGTGACGTGGAAGACCACACGGTCCACGGGGTTACCGTAATCGTCTCTCATCAGTACGGGAATGAGCGTCGTGTGGCCTGGGTACAAGGTCATAGTGTACATTTGGTCTGCCTCATTGTGGTCGAAGCCGGCTGGGGCAGTAGTGATGTATGCTGAGCAGTTCCCGAGGCCCGCTGCGTCTTGACCATCATAGGACCAGCCCGGCCAGCAGAGCGCTCGACCCACATTCAAACCGTCTTTGTCGGACCAAACACACGGAAGCAGTGATGTCAAGTGTATCGTGCTTTCTCCTTCCTCACCATCGGCATAGTTTCTGGAGAAGACCATACTGATGTTCCATTGGGAGGGGTGGACGGTGGGCTGGTAGTAGCGAACGAAGCACTCCTGACCAATGAGGTCTCCTTGTCCCAGCTCACCTTCGACGTAGATAGCGCTACCTTGTTCAAAGGCTCGATTGAGACTAAAGTTCATGAGAGCCCCGTGGTGCATTATGATGGAACCGCCTCCCAAAACGACCAGGGCCCCTCCTCGCTGTCCGTTATTGCGTTCAAACACGAGAGAAGATCCCTCGCTCACAAAGATATCGGCACCAGACACAACAAGACCACCGCCCTGGTTATCTGAGAAGTAGTTCCTGCCAGAAAAGTTGGCCGAGATGCTGTTGAGGCACAGGGCACCAATTCCAAACTGGTAACCGCGCAGGTTTGGGATATGAGAGCTGGAGTGACTATAAGCCGTATTGTTTGAAAATACGCAGTCGGTAATAGTGGGAGTGAGCAGTTCGCCTCTACTGGCGTCTGGCCTCAAGACATTGATGTCCATTGCAGCAGACGACACCGCCTTGTTCTGCTCAAACGAGCAATTATTGAAGGAGACTGAGTTGGTTTGGGGAGAGCCGGGGAGGGAGCGAGAAGAGAGAACCGAGACTCCGCCTCCCCAGCAGGCTCCGTTTGAATTGATGTAGGTCCCACTAAACTCGACCACGTTGCCACTGACGTTGGCATAGTAACCAGGCCAGAGGAAGGGGTCCGGTGGGTAATAGTAAAAGAGAACCATTACCCCACCCCCCACGGACTGCGTCAGACATGGATTCACTCCGGCAAAAGGACCATTTAGACCAATAACCGAGAGGCTCTCTCCATCACTGGTGTGCCTGAAAACGTTTCCCCTGCTCTCGTCTCCGAAATCAACATACAGCCCTCCGCCAAACTCGGCCCAGTTGTAACTAATCTCGCAGTTCCTCAGTGTGACTGAGTTGTTAATTGAACGACCCCTGAAATAAACGGCCAATCCTCCACCATTCCCAAACCCCATGTGCTCAGTTCCGTGGGGATACACAGAGAACACGTCCAGCCCCTGTGATGAAGCATTGTTGCCCGTAAACGAACAGTCGGAGAAATCAAACGAAGCGTTGGAAACTTCCACGGGGTCGCTGTTATTGCAGCTGAGGTATCCCGGACGACAGAAGCTAAACTCCAAAATGACTCCCCCGCCTCCATACCCACTGCTCCCACTATCGGACGGTGGGTGGAGGTTACTACTGAACACGGCATTGCTGAATGTGTTGGTCCCATAGTTGTTGAACATTGCCAGGCCGACGGCATTGGAGCTGGTGACTGTAGTGCTCTCCACGTTAATGTCGCTGCAGCTCTCGATGTAGAGGGCAGAAGAGAACTCGACAAAGGACAAGTTCCCCGGTTCCCTGTCTCTTGTAGTGGTACTGTTTTGCAGAGATGAGCAGTTGGAGAAGGTGAGGTTGGCGAGGGTCAAGTTGTTCACTTCTCTAAACACAAACCCAGCCTCCCCTCCTCCGTGGATCACCGTGCTACCCTGCTCTTCCCCCACTATGCTGATGTGACTCACATTGTAAAACGTAGCCAAAGCAGTTGCATTGGGTCCCGTAAAGTAGTATTCACCATTAGCAATGGCTAGACGGAAGTAGCCCCCACTCCCATTGACTATATACTCCTGGATCTCCTCCAAGGTGGAAATTAGATCTGAATTATTGCCGCCTACGGAGAAGGTCTTTATTTCATTATCTGATGCGAGGGAGCCACGAGAAGAGAGAGCGAGGAGGAGACTTGTCAGCCATACCAGTAGCTCTGCTGGCTTCCTCAACAAGTGCATGTTGATCTGGAGCAAAAGGATGAAGGGAGCGAAAAGGTAAAGGCAAGAAAACATACCAAGACTTACCTAACCACGGCGTAGATAAAGATTCACACTGTCAGCGAAAAGTTACGGGACACGCACGACTTCTTGGAGTGGAGCAGCGCATAGTAAATTAGCAAGTTTTGCCATTTTTGGACCCTGCGTATGAGAGGATCTAGGATCACTTTAGCACACAAACAAAATATTTCTCTATCCGCCACGTCGCATACATACCCACCACCTGGCGGGGCCTGCAACACGCTTTTCTGAGTGACACTGCAGACGCTGTGGGTAAGGGGATTTCCCTTGCATTATCTCCAGCGGACCAATCAGGTGTGTTCGCGGGGAAAAAGCGCGGGAGTCTCCCACGAAAACTGTACCAGACTGTGTTTGCAAGCGATCGCGATTGCTTAATTGTCGCTGGATCTCTTTTAGATACTAGTCGTACTTTCTGAGCTGCTGATAAACTTGTGTCGAGATCATGCTGGGAGGAGCGTGCGTGGAGACGGAGGACGGCTCGGAGGGCTCGGAGTAAGTCGCTGATCCTCAAACCGGCTCTCTAGGTACACACCGTGTGTGCGTGTGTGCAGGAAGAGAGCGGGGGAGGAGGAGGTGGAGACGTGCTCCGTGAGAAAGGGAGGAGGGGGGAAGACGCCGCGGTCCAACGGCCGGAAGTCCTCCGGTGGCTCCAGGCAACCCTCCATTGCTGACATGTTCTCCAGAGGGTGAGCGTCTTCCCGCTGACTCCATGAGTGTGTGTGTATGTGTGCAATGAATTCAGGTCTCAGAAGAAGAGAAAGAGTGAAGAGAGCACAGCTGGCAATGGTAGTCCAAAAGAGACTGAGGTATACTATCCTAATGCTATAGATAGTACGTGTATGGTAGTAGAATGTGTTAGTTAGCAATTGGTTCCTGTGGTGTAGGATGCAGAGCCAGCGTTGAAAAAGATGAAGAGAGAGGAGACTAGCAGCAATGGGGGCGAGGTGGAGAGCAGTGGAAGTGGGGAGGGGGAGGGAGGGGTGAAGGTGGGGGACACAGTGACAGGTGCCAATGGTAAAGAGGCTGGTGAGGGTGAAGGAGAAGCCAGAACTGAGACCAACGGAACGAGGAAGCCAGCAGAGGTGAGCGTGCACCACATATCATTGTCTTGTTCTCATGGTGTCCATCTCACACGCAGCCTCCGAGACGATGTTTGGACTGTCGACAATTTCTGGACGACTCCTCCCTCAAGATATTCCTCGGAGACCCTGAAAATGCTGTAAGTTACACACATATTCACCATCAGTTTATATTTAGCTGGGTTCTCAATTTTTATCCTCCCCCTCTCTATCCCCACGTTACGGTATATATGTGTGTGTGTAAGATGGAGGAGTTCATCACACTGGCAGACCCCAAACTGTGCATGCTGTCTGAAGGAATGGAGATGGAGGTCACTGAGCTCCCTCAGCACAAGATTACCGATTTCACGTGAGCCGTAATTCTGAACAAATAAAAAACTCGCACGTTTCACTTGCAATATTCGCTTGACATCTGTTCTTCTGAGGCATCTCTTTCGTCTAGTTAAATACTCCATCTTTACTTCCTCCACCCACTCTCCGCCCACTCTCTCTAGGGTGTATGACAAGCACATGCACCTGTGTCCATTTGACACCAACCTGATTGAGAGGAACGTGGAGCTCTACTTCAGTGGCTCGGTCAAACCAATATACGACGAGAACCCCGACCCCTCAGGTTGGTCCGTCAATAATTATCCTTTGTTGCATGCCAACTACATAGCGTCTCCTGCATTCCGTTATCATTACAAGTACACGTGTTTTCGTGTATAGTTTTCTGTTTTTTGTGTGTTTCGGTGTACGTTCTCTTGTACCACTGTACAAGAGATGTTGTCATTGTGTCTCCGCATCTCCTGCCAGATGGTCTGCCAACCAGACAGCTGGGTCCCATCAACGTCTGGTGGATTGCTGGGTTTGATGGTGGAGAAAAGGCTCTCGTCGGCTTCACTACAGGTAGGGGCAAACGCCATCACCCCCTCCCCTTCCTCCTCCTCCGCTCTCTCTTCTTCCCCTCTTTCTATCTCTCTGCCTTTTTCTCTTCTTTCCCCCTCTGTTTTTTATCTGCTGTGTTGTACGTCCACAGCTTATGCAGAGTATTTCCTAATGGAGCCTTCCCAGATGTATGCTCCCATTATGGCCACTGTTCACGAGAAAATATACCTCAGCAAGGTGAGCCGCTCGCCCTGCAGCCCAGGTCATGTGACAGTCACATGACCTCTCAGGTGGTGATAGAATTCTGCGAGGAGAATCCCGACGGGACGTATGAAGATCTACTCAATAAAATCGAGGTTTGGAAACACTTCACTCATCGACCAATTCATTTCTCTACTAACCCACCAATTATTCAGTGTATAGGGATTGGCATGGTACCTAGCACCATAGATGTATGGGGCGATGATAGGGAGTTTTGTTTATCTTCTCCTCCTTCTCCATAGACCACTGTGCCTCCTCAGTCCATTGGATGTACAAAGTTCACTGAAGACACTCTCCTGCGGCATGCCCAGTTCATTGTGGAGCAGGTATCAGACAGTCACGGGTGTAAAAAATCTATTTTTAAGTTTGTTTGTTAATTACCCTAGACCGACAGATATTAATTTTAGCAATTTGGCAATCAGATGTATGGACAAAGACTGCCAAATGCTTTTGAGCCTGGTTTTGGGGGTTAACTGTATTGATTGTACAGTGAACTATATACAGGTATATTCTCCCTGAGGTGTAACTGTATGTCGAGGCCTATAATGGATGATGAGCACACTTATCTTTATTATACGGATATCGACGTCTCTAGGTGGAGAGTTACGATGAATTTGGAGATGACGATGAGGAGCCGACCCTCGTTACCCCCTGCATGCGAGCCCTCATCAAACTGGCCGGAGTCACCCTCGGGAAGAGGAGAGCTGCCCGAATGGCCGCCCGCGAGAAGAAGAAAGCTCAGAAACACACCATGGTCTGTATCTCTCTTTCCCTCTACCTTTTCTCTTCTTTACACTCCATGTTTCTGCCCCAGCACTTATAACTTCATCCAGTAGATATTTTAGTGGGTGCATATGAAAAAAAATCCACCTGGGCGGCGCAAATGCTTGCTGTTTTGGAATATCAAGGCCTAATGCAGAGTGTCCCGTACAGGCCACCACCACTCCATTGGTTCGAAGTGTGTTCGAGCAGTTCTTCAAGGACCAGATTGCTGACAAGGCGGCGTCTGCGCCCAAGAGGAGACGGTGTGGGGTGTGCGAGGTGTGTCAGCTGGGCGACTGCGGGAAATGCAGCGCCTGCCGCGACATGGTCAAGTTTGGTGGGAGTGGTCGGTCGAAGCAGGCCTGCGTCCACCGCCGGTGTCCGAACATGGCTCTCACGCAGGCCGAGGAGAGCGAGGAGGAGACGGCTGAGGTGGAGGCTCAGATTCTGGTGAGGAGACGAGGAGGGGAGGGAGTGAGTCCATAAGAATTTATATGTGGGTTATAATACTAGGCGCTAATACTTATTTAGCAGATAGCGTCCAAAGGGTTAAATGAAAAACCAACGGAGAAAGAAGTGTATGTGCAACATACCTGTTCTTTCTGATGAGCTTTGCTTCGTCATTTCTCTCTATGGCTGCCTGCCTGCACCATGCAATGAAGACCGAGAGAGCTTGAAATCCTCAGTGTATGAGAAATTTATCTGCTCTCTCTATAATATGCAGAAGGAGACGAGGAAACGAACAAAGTCAGAGAAGAAGATGAAAGTAAGTGAAATTATTCTCATTCGTCTGCTCTGTTGTTAGAGGTATTGTATATATGTCCGTGTGTCTCTGATCTCTGTCAGTCCAAGGTGGAGTGGGTAGGTGAACCCAAGGAACAGGTGGGCAAGAAGACATTTTACTCTGAGGTTCTCATCAGTGGCAACAAGGTGATTAACCCTCGGCGCACTTTAGTACTTTGCATTGGTTCCTTCACCCAAACACCCACAACATCACACACATCTACGTATCCACAAGCGTCCGTTACTTGTAATGTGAAGGTCTTTCTTGTGATAAGCCCACATATTTTACTTACTACGTGTACATATGTATGATCCCAAAACGAATTAAGCTTGATGCTGATGCAATAGTTGGTGAGGCTTAACGGCCAAGGATTAGTTTTGGCAGCGCATACACTCCAGAAGTATGCCATGAAATGTGTCGATCAATGTTTGCAGGTGGGGGTGGGAGATTTCGTGTCGGTTTGTCCCGAGAACGACTCCGAGGCGGTGTACATCGCCCGGGTGGTGTCCCTGTGGGAGGACTCTTTCTCCACGCAGCACCGGAAGCAGTTTCACGCCCGCTGGTTCTCCCGCTCTTGCGACACCGTCCTCGGAGAGGTGGGCCCTCTTTCTCTCTCTTTTCTCTTCTCTTTCTACACACAGCATCCTCGCATTTGGGTATTAAAGTGCAGAAAATAACTTAGTGAAGTGTCCATTTTTCAGGGCTTACCGCAAGAACTGTTCTTGGAGAAAGAAGAGGTGTCCTTATTAGAGAGGTGTCCTCATTTCAGGGGTGTCCTTAGAGGCAGAGGTTCCGCCGTACTTGCACCCACTTCAATAAACTGTGTTTGCTAAAACTGTTGGTGGATTGTTTGACTGTGTTGTAAAGGTTGGAGATCCGATGGAGCTGTTTCTGGTGGATGAATGCGAGGACATACCTCTGGGGGCGGTCCTGGGACTGGTAAAGGTGGAGCACCGCCAACACCCTCCCGACTGGGTGGAGCTGGGCGGAGTCGAGCCAGAGGGCGGGGCCGAGGAGGACGAGGAAGGCTCTCATTTCTTCTACCAGATGTGGTTGGTTCACTTCACCTCTAATGTTCACAGTCTCTGTTCCGTTCTGGTCCAGGTATGATCCCAAGTTGGCACGGTTCCAGGACCCGCCCCCCGACGACGACCGTACAGACGACGATGGCCACGCCCCCTTCGTCTGCCAGAGCTGTGTGCGAAACTCTCGAAGGGAGAGTGAGAAAGTTGGCACTCCTGGGAGCAGGATGACAGGGGAGGAGTCTGACACGGTCAGGACTTACTACAGGTAAACTCCCCTTCTCTCTCCCTCTCCCTCTCCCTATAGTATGAGTTGTAGTTGCTACATTAACACAATTAGGTCTCTTCCAGTTCCGAAATGTGGAATGTTTTACCAACCATCTAAAAATTTTCCCTTAGACAATTTTTTTTTTTTTATAGGTTGCACATTAATTGTTGGTGGGCCATGAAAATAAACAGTGATGTAATGTGTATTCTGGGATGTCTCGCCATTCGAGGGTTTGAAGATGTCCACTGTATCACTGTGCCTCCTCAGTTCATTCTCCTACAAGGGGGCGATGTATGCAGTCGGAGACGGTGTCTACCTTCCACTTGACAAACACCGCTTCGCCGTGAAATCCCGCACCACTCCGAAAACCAAGACCAATCCGAGTGTCAGTTCGTTAATTATTAACCCCATTGCTCCACGCCGAGACGCGCCACGTTAACCCCGTCCCTCCCACAGATCTACGAAGACGAGGAGAGGTATTCAGAGCTGTATCGTAAATCCGACTACGTGAAGGGTAGCAACTCGGACGCTCCGAAGCCTTTCCAAATTGGTGTGTGAACTCTGAACTCTCCCTCTTAACCCTTTGGACGCCATGGGTGTCTGTCCGCGGCTGGTTAAGTGTGAACTGTGTTTGTGAAAACAGAATTGTGCGTGTTACGTATGGGTCTGTAAAGTCAGTGGGTCCTTTGGCCTGAATGTTGTCCTCATCTCTAAAGACAACATCATACAGTCGTAGTCTATACAAGTAAATGAAAAATCCTGCGAATTTAAAAAAGAAGGAACCCGTCCCTATATACTAAGTACTACCGTACTTAGTGATTGCACTTGCGCTAATAGGTATGCGGTGAGTGTTGTGTGGTTATATAATCTCCACTGCTGCAGGTCGTATCAAAGCCATTTACCAGAGGAGTGGGAGCAAACTGACCCGGAACTCTCAACTCTATTTGAAGCTCGCCATGTTCTACCGGCCAGAGGACACCCACAGAGGGGCTGCAGCTGGGAGAGAGTCCGACCTCTGCCTCCTCTACTGGGGAGATGAAGGTGAGACACTGATTCCTCAGTTACATCATAATTACGTAATGTTTCGTCATTATGATGTAATTGGACCTAATTCCCCACCATCACAGAGGAGGAGGTGGAGGGGGAGGTGGTGTGTGGGAGGTGTGAGGTGGTGTGTGCGGAGATGATGGAGCCTCAAGAGAGAGACGCCTGGTTCAACCAGGCCTCGGACCGATTCTACTTCCTCGAGGTAATGATGTATCCACATGTTATGTATGGAGCCTAATACATTCATAATGGGGCAATGTAACACAATTGGTCTAGAACTTTAAATTTTTTATGCACACATATATAATATTTGGTTTAATGTTGATCCACATTAAAATTTTCCTCTACCACCGCGCAGGCCTACAACAGCTCCACTCAGGAGTTTGAAGATCTTCCCTATGAGGCCAGAGCCAGTGGAGGGAAAGGCAAGGTACGGATGTATAGTCCATTTCGTGTCTGCTGCCATTACGTGTGTTGGTTCACTGATCACAGGGAAAAGGTAAGGGAAAAGGGAAGGGGAAGGTTCGAGCTGCCGGGGAAGAGAAGATGGCGTCCTTTGACTCCCAGCAGTTCACTCCTCTGAGATGCCTGGACGTCTTTGCTGGCTGCGGAGGTTAGCACCGAGATTGTCTCACCAAACCGTTGTCTTGTGAACGGGGGTAGTACGTCTTGTTACAAACTTACCCAACACACAAGAATTTTTTAGGATTTTTATTTCAAAAACCTGTGTTCTAGATTTACTGTTTCAGTACGGGTACAGTGAGTGGAAGGGGGAAAAACAGAGGGAGGGAGGAGGGAGAAAGATGAGAGAGGTTCGTCTCTCCCACCACAGGTCTGACGGAGGGGTTCCACCAGAGTGGAGTGGCGGAGGCCCGCTGGGCGGTGGAGAAGGACGAAGCAGCTGCCAACGCCTTCAAACTCAACTACCCCGACTCCATCGTCCTCACGGACGACTGCAACCTCATTCTGCGCTACGTCATGGACGTGCGTCTCCTCACCTCCTCGTCTCTTCTTTCATCTCTCTCCCTTTATCTCGCTCCAAACGTTCATCTTTTTCCCCCTGTCTTGCTAACTTTCATTTCCCTCTATCTCGCTCTTACCTTCAGCCTTCCCCCCATCTCATGCCTGGGTCATGTGACAGTCACATGGTTGTTCCCCTGTATGTCTGCTATTACAAACATCCACCACCACTGAATGTGGTATTCCTCTTCCCCTGTCCCCTCCACACTAGGGTAAAGACACCAATGACTCGGGCCAACCTCTGCCGAGGAGGGGGGAGGTGGAGCTGCTCTGTGGAGGTCCTCCGTGCCAGGGCTTCAGTGGAATGAACCGCTTCAACTCTAGAGAATACTCCCAGTTCAAGGTCAGTGGTCACATGATCTCGTCGTGGATCACATGATCTAGTCAGAGTTCCCATACGTCACATGTACGGTGAACAATCAGCTCCATATAGAACACAACTAAGCAGGCACTAAACAAGGATACCAAATTCCACTGCGTCCCAGATTTCAGGCTCGGCTGTTAGGCTCAGCGCTCTGGCTTAGAATAATGATCTCTTCATGTATGTCATGCCTGGGTCATGTGACGGTCACATGGCTGTTCCCAGAACTCCCTGGTGGCGTCTTACCTGAGCTACTGTGACTACTACCGACCGAGGTTCTTCCTGCTAGAGAACGTGCGGAACTTCGTGTCGTTCAAGAGAAGTATGGTTCTCAAGTTGGCCTTGCGCTGCCTCGTCAAGATGGGCTACCAGGTACAATATGGGAACCTGCATAACTACTATACATATCCTCATGGATCACATGATCTCGTCAAAGATCACATGATCTTGGCACAGATCACATGATCTTGACCGTAGACTAGTGTGCTGATGACAATGTTTAGCTTTAGTCCATTCCTCAAACTGTTCTTTTAAAAATTCTGCACAGCCAGTAAAAATATCGGGTGGATTCAAGTCTATCACTATTTCTTAAAAAAACCTGAAAGTGTTTGCGAAAATGAAAATTTTCAGTATTGTTTGTCTTCCTGGTTACCCTCACTTCTCTTTCTTCAGTGTACATTTGGAGTACTCCAGGCCGGTCAGTACGGGGTACCCCAGACCAGACGAAGGGCTATACTCCTGGCAGCTGCTCCAGGAGAGGTCCTACCACTCTATCCAGAGCCCACCCACTGCTTCAGTCCGAGAGGTGTCCAACTCACCGTCATCCTGGACGAGAAGAAGGTATTCACCGCACCCCCCCCCCCTCTCTTCCCACCTTAATCAGTGAACCAGATGGGGGGAGGAAATGATCTGAACCATGCCTAATCTGACGACTATGAAATGATAAATGTCAAACATTGCACAATTCTAAGCTGACCTAGAGTGTGTTGTGTTCGAATCTCTCTTTTCTCCTCTCCCTCTCCCAGTTCAACTGCAACATCACGAGGATGTCGTCGGCTCCCCTGAGGACCATCACAGTCAGAGACGCCATGTCCGACCTCCCCGACATCAAGAACGGAGCCTCCGCCCTCAAGATCGGCTACTCCGGCGAACCGCAGTCCCACTTCCAGAGATTGGTGGGCGGAGCTTTGTATATGCCCTCCATACAGTCAAAAATTCACACACGTTTTTGTACCATTAGGTATTATTCTCAGAGTCCCTAGGAAACTTGGTGTATTGAGCATGTGCGTAGAGCGTTTGTCAATTGTGTGTCCGCCAACAGGTGAGGGGGAGGCAGCTGCAGCCGATACTCACAGACCACATCTGCAAAGAGATGAACCCTCTGGTGGCTGCGAGAATGAGGCACATCCCCGTCCTGCCCGGTGCCGACTGGCGCTACCTTCCCAACATCGAGGTCCGACTCTCAGACGGAGCATGGGCCAAGAAACTGTTAGTCTGATTATCACACATTGAGGCACTTCGAGGAAACTTGCATTGGATGATTACAAAACCATACCCTCTCATTACAGCTCTAGTTTTATCCTTTCCTTGAGAATTTTACATTTTACTACACATGTGGGTATAGGTTTATTGAAGAGAACGTTGTCTTATGTATTGCACCTTGCACTGGGCCCTAATGATCTTGCGTTTTGTATTTCTAAATTATAGCAGTTATGTACTTGCTTTAACTACAGGAAGTACACCCATCACGACAAGAGGAACGGACGTGATCCGAATGGTTCCCTGCGTGGCGTGTGCTCGTGTGCGGAGAGCAAGTCGTGCGACCCGGCTGACAAGCAGTTTGGCACCCTCATCCCCTGGTGTCTTCCCCACACCGGCAACAGACACAATCACTGGGCAGGGCTCTATGGCCGATTGGAGTGGGACGGATTCTTTAGCACCACCGTCACCAACCCCGAGCCAATGGGGAAACAGGTTTGTCGACTTTGAGTCTATGGGTAAACAGGTTTTTCCTGTTAAAGAACAGTTAAGGGCCACAGTTAATGAGGCAACTTTCAGTTTTAGTCCAACGAAGTAGAAGGCATTTTTTCCTATTGTGTGTAACATGTTGCGTGGACCATCATACATATTGAAACTTTGTCTAACACAAAACAAAGTTGCGGCCTTCATAGGGTCCTGTTAGTGAAACCGTCCCGATGACAATGATTGATAATATTATTCTGGTGACCGCCACCTACAGGGGCGTGTCCTCCACCCAGAGCAGCACCGGGTGGTGAGTGTCAGGGAGTGCGCCAGATCTCAGGGCTTCCCCGACACCTTCCGTTTCTTTGGCAACGTCCTCGACAAACACCGACAGGTCAGCTCTCAACCTCAGACAAAATTGTCCACGTACTGAATTTGTAGTACATACGCTTTACGCTAACTGTGGAACTGTCTGTTCAGTTCAATTTCTGGTTCGCACTCACACACACACACACACACACACACAAGGTGGGAAATGCAGTCCCTCCGCCCATGGCAAAGGCCATCGGTCTACAGATCAAGAAATCTATCGTGGAGAAGAAGAAAGGGCCGGATTCTAGCAACAACACTTCCTCAAACACCCACTAAACTCAACCCAATTATTATATTTCACTTCACCTACGCTGCACATTAGCACTATTTCTGAACTCCATTATAATTATATATACTTGTAAAGGTATTTTGTATAGAGAATTATTATTATTAATTTTTGTTGCCTCAAAGACACTCAAGCAAAACAATGTACTCTAGACTATAACTAATATTCTCCGTGGAGGTCAGAGGTTGGAAGTCTCGTTGTCTGGGTGGGTGTGGTCTCATCGTCTCTCTCCTGCGGCTGAGGCTGACAGTGAGAAGTGAGGCTGAGTTTTGAGAAGTCCACCTGCCACCTGCCGTGTCTGTGGCTGATGGTCGACACAAATTGACGGTCCAACAGAATTTCATCACCCGTGTAAGACCACAGGGCCTGCAACAAGATCATAATATCGCATCACTGTGTGTGATTTTACTGGCAAATTTTCTAGTTTCGCTAGTACAGTAGCAGTGGCTTACAGGTCCAAGCTCTACTATCTATGTTGGCACCACCTGAGGTTAGCACAGTGTGTGTGTGTGTGTGTTTAGTTTGATTGTTGTAAACAGCATCAGCTGATTGTGCGAGAATGGGGGAAACTCCCCAGCAGAATACCTGTGAAGTTAGACCTGTGACCTCCACGATGCCCTCTAGTATCACGACCAGCTCCAGTGTGGAGGAGGCAAGGTCCTCACAAGTGAGGCCGTAGAGAGGACTCTGCTCAGTGATGTAGTGGAAGACTGAGACTGGAGTGAGGAGGAAGATGCGGTCCCTCCCCTCGTCGTACCCCACATCCAGGTCGTACTGCCGCAGCTCCCCTCCTCCTCCTCCCGCGGACTCTCGGTACCAGTAGAGCTGGAGACGGACGTGCGCCTCGACGACCTGTGACCTCCTCACGTCCGCTATCTTGAACTCCAGAACTCGCACCCTCGCACCCTCCCCGTCTCGGATCACCGCGTAATCGCTAAACAGAAGTGTCCTCCTGCGATTTCGTGGTCGACTCAGCTTCGTGAAGATCAGCCCCAGTAGAAACGAGTCAATGAGCAGACCACATACACATTGTACTATAATGATAAAAATAGCTGTTCGACACTCGTTGGTGATGTATTTAAAGCCGTAGCCTATTGTCATTTGGGTTTCGATGGAAAACAGAAAAGCAGACGGGAAATCGATGACGTCAGTCACACACGTAACGTTCCCGCCTCCCCCAGAGTCCAGCGCGGTGTTTAGTCCCAACCAGATGGAGCCGAAAAAGAGCCACGAGGTCACGTAGAGAGCGCTGAAGTACAGGATGAGGCAGTACCAGCGGGAGTTGACTATGGTCGTGAAAAAGTCCCTGAAGAAACCGACGCGGCGTTGCGGAGGCAGGTTAATGTGCTGGACGAGGGACCGGCCGCTGGATCTCTTCACCAGCCGCCCTCCGGCCGCGTCCATCTTGATGGCAAGCTCGGTGGTGGGGGCGATGAAGTAAACAAGGTCGGTCACGGCCGCTTTTGAGCCGCGCAAAAGCTGTTTGGAGCGCGGCGGTGGAGGGTCCATGTTGATGGACACTTGGTGCGGATTGAGCGGCTCCAGGTCCGTCATTGTGTGCACCCAGATCAGAGCTTGCAGGGAGATCAGAGAGGTGCGCACTATTTGGAGTAGAGGTGCGCGCGCACCTGAGCGGTGTGCACTTATTGGAATGGGACATTTCGACTTGACTTCTTAGGTTTTGTGGCGGTCAGGTTGGGGATCGCAGGGAGTCAGTGACGGACCTGCACCGTTTGACGATAGCCACAGGGGAAAAGTCCCGTAGCCTGCTGAAAGTAAGAGAAAAAGTAAGTAAAGCAAGGCTTTCTTTGCCTCCGTTTCAGAAACGATACTAGCTGCCGCACCAAACGATTCTACGTCCCTCTTCACCCTCTTTTGTCAATGGTGGTGTAAATTGTTGTATGACCAGTGTGAGTATGTAATCATGCGGAGGAGTGTCGGTATCCGGTCATACTGTGTGTCAATTGCTAGAGCTATTCTTGTTTGAAATCTTCTCACAACAGAAGACCACCATGGCTGAGGAGACATCAAATGGCTTCCCAGAGAAAGAGGTATGTGGATGAATAGTGGTCCTGCGATTAGATGAAGGAGGGATGAAATTGTTATTCCGATAGGCACAGGGAGTGACAGAGATTGAGTTGCTGGCTCAGGAGCTGACAAGGTAAGTTGGTGCCAAGTCATGTTCCATGTGGTTGATGACTCTGCAACCACAGAGCTGCTGAGAACTGCAGTGACACCACTCTCAGCGAACTGGAGAAACGGAAACTGAAAACAGAGGAGAAGTGAGTAAGACTGAACAACTCTTTCACCTCTCCACACGTCTTCCTTTGTCTTCCTTCTCCATATGTCTCTCCAGCTATGCTGCAGCGCTGGACCAGATAGCAGCAAACATGGCCGCCTGGCGTTCTCTGTTGGACGAGAAGGAAGAAGTAAGTTGTTTGAGAAAGGAAAGTGTAATCCTCAACTCTCCATACCTATGGTACTACAGTGAAAATAAAGGAGACCTCTTTATAAGGGACACTTGGTTCTGCCCCATACTAACACATTGGTGTATTACACTACCTCCAAATAAAGGACACCTCTCTATAAAGGACACTTTCAATGTGAATGTATTCTGATGTGTCACTGCACAGGAGCTGCGTCAGTCAGTGGAGGAGACCAGAGCCAGAAAAATGGCGGCCTTTGCCGAGAGAGAGTCACTCTTCACTGGACAAATAAACCTGGCTAGGAAAGTACGTATTTAATGGGCTAGCTAGTGTGTGTGAAATTGGGATTGTGGACATTTCAGAGCACGAGTTTGGAGAATTCTACACACATTCTACGAAGGCTTACGTGTATATTAACTTGACTAATACATATGTATGTATGTATGTATTCACCTTGATACATGGAGCATTAATGTAAGAATGTGTCATTTCCCCCTCCAACTGACTATATTGATGCAGTATTGCAACCCGAGTCTCTCTCTCTTTGTGTGTGTGAGTGTGGTTCTCGCAAATCTCTCTCCCAGCTGGTGGCAGACTCGGGGGTGTCAGAGACGTCATCTCGAGAACTGCTGGATGAGGGACCCTCTCTCCTCACCTCTCTCTCCTCCCCCCTCTCCCCTCACCACTCCCACCTCACGGCCCACCCGGGTCTCGGGTTCTGCTCCAACATCCACGACTACATCGTCAAGGTACGTCTCCAAACTCCATCTCTCTCTCTCTCTCTCTCTTGCTCATGACCCATGTTCATAACATGTTTTTCTTATGGCATACTATGCATTGGGTAACCAATAACGTTGTATTTCATGCGTCAAATGAAATAAACAGGCAAAAAACGTTTTCTTTCTCTCCTTATCCATTCTCGCTCTCTCTCTCTCTCTCTCTCTCTCTCTCTCTCTCTCATGTCTCAGGCTCTCTCTATGGGGATGTGGGTAAGTGGTGAGGATGTGATGGTGGGAGAAAGGGTAGTGGTGAGTGCAGTGGGAGGACTACAGCCCAACGGAACATTCTGGGTCCGCTGCGTCACTTCAAACCCTTGGAAACTGGAGTACGCCCTCCAGTATATATCTGACTCACTGTGAGTAAGCCCCTGCTCGTTAAGAATGGTTTCACTAGTCCATATGTATGTACATGAATGCTGCTGATGTGTTGTTGGTGAAAAGCATTGATGTTGTGTATACAGGTCTGAGGTCCCGCAGTCGTGTGACCCACTGGAAGAGTGTTTGCCGGGACAACTATGCGTCGGTCGATTCTCGCAGGACGGTCGCTGGTACAGGGCCGTCGTCACCAGTCTGCCCAGCCCGGGAGTGGTGAGTCTGGGGAAGTTGTAACTAGTCTGCCCAGCCCGGGAGTGGTGAGTCTGGGGAAGTTGTAACTAGTCTGCCCCGCCCGGGAGTGGTGAGTCTGGGGAAGTTGAACTAGTCTGCCCCACCCGGGAGTGGTGAGTCTGGAACAGAAATTGCAAGCTTATCTGTTCAAGATAACGGGTCTCTTTCTATCAGTCTCTGTGTGACCTTTCTAAACTTGCATTTGTGTGGGACTGCAGTCTGTCTTATAGGCTTCGTCCATTTGGCATAGATGGAGTAAAACTGAAACATGTAAAGTAGGACATTTTCAAAGTTTTGTATTTGCTATCACTGCCAACTTCTCCCATTACTCCTTATCTCCCTCTCACCATAGGCGAAGTACTTCTTCCTGGACCATGGAGGAAGTGAGGAGGCCCCCCTCTCCTCTCTCTACCCCCTCCCCGACAGGTTCCGAGCCCTACCTTTCCAGATGATCCACGTCAGACTGACCTCTGACCTCTCCATCGACTTCAACACCAGAGAGGTGTTTATACACAACAATACTATATACCTCTGAATAAAGGACACCCGAATAAATGATGCTTGCAAGTTAAGCCCTCTTGATGATGCTTGCAAGTTAAGACCTCTTGATGATGCTTGCAAGTTAAGACCTCTTGATGATGCTTGCAAGTTAAGCCCTCTTGAATAAGGGACACTTGGTTCCGCATTATTATAAACTGACCACAGCTGTGAGCAGAAAAAACGGTGGTGGTATTGTTGCTCTCGTATTACAGATGAGGTGGAGTTTTACTGACTGCACCCACAACAAGCACCTGGTGGCCGATGTTCTCGGGCGGAGCGAGGTGGACAAGGCGGGGCCGGTTTATCTGATCCGTCTCGAGGACCACACCCAGGAGCAGGTGTTTGACGTGGGGAAGATTTTGGTGACTGCCGCCAGAGTCAAGGAGGTGTGGCTTGTAGAAATTGTCATGACATAATGCAGTGTAATCCGGGGCCCGCTATATGGGACTGTGTAAATTGTCCTTTACACTGAGGTGGCCTCCTAGGTTGAAAAGAAGTGTCCTTTACTCAGAGGTTAAATAATGCACTGAGACATTCGCACGTGATTGACAAAGCTATAGAGGGTTGTCCTGTGCTTGAAGTATGCCCATGTGCTAAGTGTTCTTTTATGAAGGGAAAGCACCAGTGTTGCCTTTGATCTATATACCCATGCAAAAATATGACATAATTTATGCAATTTGTGTTTTATTCAGCCAACATCAAAGTTCAAGTCGAGGGATATACGTTTCACAGAAAAGATGGCCACACCCACTACAACCACAACTGCTAACGTGATTACTCAGAGGGAGACCCCGCCCAACGATGTCGTCCCGTCCTCTCAACAGAACGGTGAAGAAAGAACTATTCAGATATCCTCCGACCCGCCGACTGAAGCCATGAATGACGAGAGGGAGGTGGGAGGAGCCTCGCAATCTTTAGCCCCGCCTTCTGATGTTCACACTGTCCCACCATCACTAGTCACACATGGCACCTCCCCTCCTCCCTCCACTGTATCACCATCACAAACCACGCCGCAGCTACAGTCAGACTCCTCCTCCCCTCCTCGTCTCCCCACACCCTCCCCACTTGTCACAGGGTCACCAAACTCACAACGTTCCACATCTGCACTCCAGACCGAAGGAGGTCTCGATTCCGTTCCAAATTCCGATACCACTCCAAATGACAGTGGAACCGATATGTTCCTACCTACTGATGACAGTCGTGATTCCATTCCACCTCAAGATATCCCGGATCTCAATTCCATTCCACATAGTAAAGACCCTCCAACCAGTTCCGATTCAGGCGTCAGTCCTCATTCCATTCCACTGACAAAGGAGTCACAAACTGGAACCAAACCAGGACCTCTGCAGTGAGTCTAATTAGTGGGTGTGGTCTCTTTACCCACGTGTCATCATTATGATATGCCCCCAGACTGGACGAGGTGGAGGGAGTGTTGCGCAATGCTGGTGTTGCCAATGACGACAAAGACCAGGCAGGAGAGGATGAAGTTGTGGAGGCAGTTGAGAATATTCATCCATCGGTGAAGATTGGTGAGTGTTTTGGTTAGCTGGTTCAGTGAAGAGCAGTTCATGACTCATAACCACCAACACAAGTAGCACACCATTTTTGTGGAGCATGGATTCCAATTTAGTCCTTTGTCTTCAAAATATATCAAATCAAGGCTCGTTTTTCACTCCACCAACTGCCACTATGCCACACAGGAGTGAGACTGGAGGTGGAGATTGTTACGGAGCTGTCTGCAGAGGGCAGCTTCTGGTGCCAGCTGGTCCTCTCCTCAGAGATAGGAGCCTCCTACGACCGTCTCCAGGAGACTCTGCAGGTCGGGGCAGGCCGCGGAGACAACGAGGCATTCACACCAGTCTTCTACCACGAGGGAGAGCTCTGCACTGCCCGGTTCTCAGAGGACGAGGACTGGTACCGGGCCCGGATTGAGAGAGTCTGTCCTGGAGCGGTACGGACTCAGCATACAGTGACAACATCTGAATAAGGGACATCTTTGCCATTTCAAAGACCTATATTTAGAGGTGTCTCTTATTTGGAGTAATGGTATTAGTAAGGGGCAGAACCAAGTGTCCCTTATAGAGAAGTGTCCGTTATTTACAGAGTCCTTCACAGAGTCCTTCCACTATAATTCACTCTCTCTCCTTCCCTTCCTTTCTCTTCTCCTCCAGCCTCTCATGACATTCACTGTCAGGTACATTGACTTTGGAAACTCCGAGGAGAGACAGCAACACGAGCTCATACCTCTAGGGTCAAAGTTCAAACTCCTCCCACCTCGAGCGATTCACTGTAACATAGCGACCACCGATCACGTCACGTTCACACGAGAGGTAAAAGTCGCTGCATTTAACTAGTCCTGATTATTTTTCGAAACGGTGTTGTTTTTTTGTAGGAATGTGAGAAATTTGACGATGTCACTACTACGGAAGGGCTGTCTATTGAAGTGGTGAGTTGACCAACCAGCACTGTCTCGGGTATAAATCCACTCACTGACTTCTTATCCCCGCCCAGCTTGCAGTCAAAGAAGAGTTCCGTCAACCTGTGAGTGTTCGTCTGTTCAAGACACACACCAATAATCCGCCGGTGGAAGTGATGGAACTGATGTTTACTGCAGGTTACCGTAATACTGTCACCTTCAATGTCTTTACCTCACGTTCTCTGACAATGAAGGCAAGCCAGCTGTCAAGCCAGTCCCCAGGAGACAGTGGTCCAGTTCCACTGACTTGGAAACACAGACAATTGGGGTAAGATGGTACCCACAAATTGTGTGAAGTATTGCTTGCTTTTCCCTCTTTGCCCAGCATGTGGCGGACTGGGCGTCCCACATGGAGGACCAGCCAGAGGACTCCGTCTTCCTCACCCTTCCCGGACACGAGTCATCACGAGAGACCACGCCCCTCGCCCGTGAGGCCACACCCACCAATGACATCACTTCCTCCTCCCAGAGAGAAGTCACAACCAATCAAAGGGCTGATAGTAACTTACTTAGAGAACCCAAGGAGACCAGACTCACCACCCGAAAGGAAGTCAGGCTCAGGGAGACCACACCCACCATGCCAACGGAAACCACACCCAACATCCGAAGGGAAGCCATGTCCAGGGAGACCACACCCACCGTTCAAAGGAAAACTACACCCATCATTCAACAAAACACCACCTTTAGACAACAGACAGCATCGCCTGTTGCTACGGTCACATCGGCAAGAAGTGTGACTCCTCAGCGGGAGACCACACCCACCCATCAAGAAGCCACACCCACCCAGTGGGCCCCCCTAAGGTCTTCAAACTTCCTACAACGTGTTCCTCCTAGCAGCAGAGATTCCTCACGGTAAGAGTATATCATTTGGTAGCAGTCAACTGTTCAAAATGTGCTGTATGCAGTCCGAGACAGGCAAGGCTCGACCTCAGTAGAGCTAAACATAGCATCATGTCCAGTCTGGGAGGAGCCAAAACTGTGCCCCGCCCCCTTCGCCATGACGACTCTGGTAAGATGAAATACTAGTATAATACATCATTGTAGTATTTCTCTCTCTTCAGAAGGTTCGCCCAACTTGAGAAGGACAAGACACTCAAGACAAGACCATGCTAATCCGGTAAGATTGTTTCGCTCCATCTCATTCACCTCCTCTGCCCTCTCTCACCCACACTCCTTCATCTCATTCACCTCCTCTGCCCTCTCTCACCCACACAGCACGGAAAACTCTACGTAAAGTGTCCAACAGAAGACATGTCCGACTCAAAGATAAAAGAACTGTTTGGTCGCTATGGCGATGTGTTGGATCTTGATCCCCACACTACTGACTCGTCCATTGTCTACGTGGTCAGTGACCCACCTCACTGCATTCTGAACTCTCTCTCTCTCCCTCCCTCTCCCTCCCTCTCCCTCTCTCTCCTGGCAGACTATGGATGTGAAGGGAGCAGAAGAGGTGGTGGCCAATTTGAACGGCTACCAGACTTCCCCGGGTCACCGTCTAGTGGTCGAGAAATACGTAAGCCACCCCATAGCAGCTCTAAATTTAGCGCGCGGTCATCATCGTTTCTGCTGCGTGGCGTGCGTAATGTCTGTTTGTTCTACGCATGCGCGAAGACACGTGCGGCCGAGGGACGTCGGAATGGAGCACGAGGTAGGTGAGCGCGGTCATCGGCTTGCATGGCGTATAGTATGACGTTCACCTACCTCTGCGTAGATGAACTCTGTAGCGATCTGGAAGCGACTGCAGGTCTTACTTGGCGCAAGGCATCTGCGTACGACCGTTGCATACTTATACATCAAATGAGTGCCACGATAGCCATGGTATTTCACACTGATGCTCTGTTTTCCCTCCAGAGAGCGCGTTCTCCCTCCCCTCCTCCCCAACCGCCCGCTGCCGCCAGCGCCCTCGCAGACCTGGCGGGAGTGGATCACGTGAAGCTGTTCGTCAAGAACATGTCCGCCGATCACAACCCCGCGAACCTCAGAACGGTCTTCAGCCGCTACGGCCAAGTCCTGAAAATGGTCTCTGACCCCAAGAGGAAAAATGTCACTTACATTGTGAGTATATACCATGTTATTTCATTGGTTGGAAACTCTCCTATATACCCTGAGTTTTCAGCTCTTGTCACATTCCCATTCATGATGTGAGCACTCTCTGCAGTTCATGGATGCCGAGGGGGGAACTAAGGCCGTCAACAACCTTCACGGAAAAGCCATTTCAAAGAACGGAAAACCTCTGGTTGTAGAGCCAAGCTATGATGTAAGTGCAGACCAGCTTACTTTTCTTGCTTGCATATCAATTAATATTTTCTCTTCTATTATACTCAGCCGAGAAATAGATGATCCTCGTACATTTTTGAACTGTTTACTCCATCAGCTGTCTCTGTATTATACCAATTATTTAACACCATAATAAATATTTTTCTCTTTGTATCATCAACCCATAAATTTAAATTTTAATTGACCCTTGCCTTTAAATCTGATTTTTAATAAGAAAACAATGACAGTGTATTTCATGTGAATCGATCACTTCTGTTGCCAGAGGAGCGGTCGTCTGGATTGTGGTCTGGGGATATGAGTGCATGTGATGATGGCCGTATGGAACCGAGACTGTGCCTGGAGTAGACCGAGTCCTGGGGCCTTAGTCCCTGCCCCGCCAGCCGCCACCCCTGGGGTGTGGCTGTCTGACTTAACTTTGAAAACGGACCTCCGAATCCCAGTCTGCTCCCTCCCTTCAGACACCTCTTCTCCCTCATCGTTAGTAGAGGGGCTCTCTCTCCTCTGTGGCAGGCTTGAGAAGGCCTCTCCCTCGTCGGAAGGGGGGCCCCTGTGATAATGTCACAGGGAACTGGTCGCAGATACTGCCTGCTGCGAAGAAGCACAGTTTCCGGGCTCCAGTTTACATTGTTGCCGTCGTGTGGAGGAGGGAGAATCCACTGCTGTTGGCTCTTGCCACGAGTGGTAATAGGCTTCAGAGACTCCTCAGTAGAGGGCAGCTTGCTGGGTGAATCCTCCACCACTCCGTTCTGTACTATCTCTATTTTCTTCTGCTCCTTACCACTGTCAATGAACAACATAAGAGTGTAAGATGCTGATGTTTTTGATGAAACTGACCTTTCTAGATTGCTGGTTAGTTTAGAGTTAGGTCGAGAAAAGTCTAGAAACAAAAAACGGTGTAAACAAAGAAAATGATGTATAGACAGTTTTTGTTTGCCGAGTCTGCTTACTTTGAAAAAATTGACTAAAGACCACAAAATTGTTTCCCTATATACACACAGCACCAATCAGGGGAGATCATTGAGGGGTGAGTGGCGATCAGGGGTAAGTGAAGCAGGCTCACCTGTTTGACATGGAGGTGAAGACCGTAGTGCTTTCTAAGGAAAGAGAGGAACTTAGTGGAGGGCCTGTCGATTGCCAACTCTGCTGCCTTCAGCCCCTCAATCTGCCAACACACACACAGAATAAAATGGGAGGTTGTATGTACAAAGCGGCTCACGTCCAGCATGGTCTGAAATAGTCTGCGACCAAGCCCTGCCCTCTGTCGGGTCTCGTGGATGTAAAAATCGAGGACACACATTGGCTCTGTCTCTCTCTGAACACCGAGGAGATCCTGCCAGCCATGAATACAACATCTTATACTGGCCAGAGAGGCAAGTGGAGTCCCAGGAACTCACTTGAAGAAAGAGCTTTTTTCTGCCGACCTTGAGAAGACCAACCACCACTGGCAGCTCACTGTGTGTGACGAATAAGAGAGTGAGCGAGCTGGAAAATCGAACTAACCCCTACCCATCGTCTCTCAGTAGGTAGAGAGTGTGGGAGGACGCCATTAGCTTCTGGTAGGTCGTCACTGCAACCCGCAGCCCCTGAGCCTGCAGAGGAGCCAGTCATGCAGTCTAGTACAGATTATCTTAGACCTTGGAAGATGCTGCTCCGAGTTTATGGACGATCGTGGCTAGTTGCTGGCTCCGTTCGTCTCGACTCCTGCGAGTGCAGGGATCAACACAGCTACCTATGGCGGCTCTGATCCCCTCACTGGTTGTTTCTGAGGCCTGGCAGCTGGTCCCTCGAGACACGAGTGACTGCATCGGGAAGGACGCCTCTCACATCGAACGCAAACTCCATCTTTTCACTGCAGAAGCCCAAATCGTGGGACCAGGATCTCTGCTTTTGGCTTCGACGGCGGCACTTTTGCCTGATACGTTACCGTGACAACAGCACCAAAGACCACTCCCCACCACCAGCATGTTGGATTGAAGTTGTGAATGACATTATAAGCATTGAATGGCAGCGGTGGTTGTCTGATAATATGTACACATTAGAGGGAGAGAGAGGGGAAAGAGGTGTGCGTGTGTGTGTCATGCAGACTGCAGTCTTGTCTTCTCCTCGCTCTCGCTCTCCTCTCCTCCCGAAGACGCCTGCCCGTCTCCCGTCAGATCTGACCACCTCATTCTGTCATAGTTCTCTGAATGCTCTCCCCTAAACACACACCAGTGTACACGGACATCACCACCCTGTCAGAGAGCAAAGTTCTGAGTGACTTACTTCTGTCCAATAGCAAGAACAAAATTGAGTGCTCCAACGATGAAGGTGAGACCGAGACCAATAATGGTGGAGGCAGAGAGACAAAACAGAGCTATTGGAATACAAGCCAACCTACAAGAAAAAGGAAGAAACAGCCTCTCATACAAATAGTGTATACGCAACAGTCTTTAGTAAAAGCTATGAGGGCAGAGTTTCCAACTCGAAAACAGTGTCCTGAAGGGGTGGCAACAAAGTGGATACGAAACAGTGAAGTACGGAAACTTTGCACGAAATACGAAAATTTTGCACCCAATGTATACCAATCTAAAACTTTAGTTTGAAGGTGCTGAGAGAAGGTGTACTGACCCCAGGTATAGGACAGCCCTCATCCAGTCGCGGATATATTTGTTGACAATGAGTAGAAATGAGAGTCTGTCGACGCAGTGGCCCATCACACTCCCCTCCAGGAAGAACATGACGACTGACGTCACTCTGAGTGTAGAAGTGGGACCACCACGCTCAGTAATGGGGTCCAAGGAAATGATAGTGTGACTTACATCATAAGAACTCCTACAACGAAGCATCTCCATATGCTGCCGACTAGGTAGGACGGGATGGGGATGAGGGAGATGAACCCACACACCAACACAACTGCGGAGTCAAGATACAGGGGTAAAGAGACGTCAAAACACGAGACGAGTGCTAAACTAACCGAGAGATGCGAAGATGCCGAAGCTTCTTGTGAGAAACACGCACACTCTGCCGTATCCGCTGCTCTTCTCTGACTCTGGCATAGCTACTGCTTATTGTAGACACCAGTTTCAGCGAGAATAATCATCTGCTGACTCTAGTCTAAGGCATTTTTCCTGGACACGTCGACATCATGACTTGGCACCGAGTTTCTAAATAAAGCCTAATACAATGACGTCACTCTACGTAGTTAAGACGTAGAGTTCAAAGTGCGCGTGCGACGATTTTATACGACTGTCGCTACAAAATTCGACCAAGGTAAGAGGATCTGGGGTACTTTTGCTGCAGTTCAGGCCACTGGACGACTAGATGATCGGCCAGGTAGTAGAGGAGTTTGCCAGAAAGAGACAGAGCCTTCACGCGACATATGCTCTCCACGTAGACAAGTCTGACATTTCGGAGACCGGTAAATTTGAGTAGGAAGGCGACTGCACAAAGCGGGATGCATGTACCGGGTCCATTACACAGAACCAGATCGGGCCAGACCCCGCAGACGAGCGGGAAGCTGTACGCGAGAGAGAAGAGCGTTGAGAAAACGCTAGTCACGTAGGACTGGAGGACTTTACGGGCTCGAGGGATCCTCCTGATGTCAGCTTCTCGATTCTGCCGCGATTCGAACGCCTCGGCTTTTTTGACGCTCATATCGTCGCCCTCTGCTGCCACGTACACCCTCGGCTGGTAGTTGTTCAGCTTCATGCCGGCCAGGAGAGCCAGCATCTCTGCCGTGTGACCACCCGACCCCAACACCACCAATGTCCGACACGGGGCGGATCTGCGGGGACCTCTCCGTGTCTGACCTCTCGTTGAGACGAGGTAGACTAGTCTGAGCACGCCTAGAGCGCACACAGCCAGCAGAGCTGACAGGAGAACCTTGAGCATCGTGTGCGGTTCGAAGTTCTTGAGTCTGCGCATGCTCAAAATGCGACGAGCTACGCCCCCTTTTTGCTAGCTGGAGCGCTAGCTAGCTAGCTACGTACACGACGACTGCAACGAAGACGGTCGCAAGATGGGTTGTGGTGCGTCTCGTATCAGCAAACGCTCATCTAGAGGTAAATATAGACTCTTTCGTCTCTAAAGGCGCACAAAACTCATTCGATTCGCCTGCGTTTTGTTTAGAGCCAGGGAAGGCACGCGTCGTGCCGGTGACTTCTTCGCCACCAGTCCGAACGGTCGAAAGCGAACCTCCGCGGGCTGCAGAGACATACACCGAAAAGGGATATGTAAGTTACACGCAGTATCAGTTGGAAGGAGAAATTATGAGCCGTCTCTTGTAAATGTAGGAGCGACCCGAAACCTACGGCCGTGACGAGTCCTCGACCTTCGATTACACTGCAGGAATTACGACCACCCAAGCAGTGGTCGAGGTTCATTTAGCTCCTCCTGACGAAGACGGGACTCACGTGAGCAGCGACCCAACGCCGCCAGAGCCAGCCTTAGAGGAGCCGTCACCTGCAACAGAACTCCCGACAACCTGTGAACCCGAGAAAAACGTGACCACAGCTGAAACAGCCAAGGCTGTTGAAGAAGAAGAAGAAGCGACCAAGAAGGCAAACACCACGACAAATATTGAGGGAGCTCCCAAGAAAGAGGGAGAAGGAGTAGAGGTTGAGGAAAATGAAGAGGAAATGCTAGCAAAATCTGAGACTGTGGCCAAGGAGGAGCCAACAGCACCGAGTGAAGTGGTGGGGGAAGCAAATGAAGAGGAAAATACAGCCGAGCCATCGGAGATGAAAGAGGGAACCGGGGGTGATCAGTTGGGAAAAACAGCAGCAGTTGAAGGAGACAAAACAGCAGAAATTACCAAAACCGACGACACAAAGGCAGATGAAGCGGAGACACCAGGGGAAGTCAACTCTGCCACAAGTGAAAAAGACAACAAGACAACTGCAGTGGCAAATTCTACTGCTAGTGAAGAAGAGGAGACAGACACAGAGGCGGTGGTACAGAACACAGAGCTGACTGCTGGGGAAGAAACAGAGGGAGAAACAGAGGGTGCCACAGCTGAAGAGGAAAAGACGGAAGAGAAACCAGTGGCAAGTGAGAGTACACCAGTGGCCAAAGAGGCAAAGCCAACTGAGAGTGCTTCCACACTAGATACAGGGGAGATGAAAGAAGAAACAACAGCAGCAACATCAAAAGAGGAAGGAGCAATGATCAGTGGAACCGTGGAAAATATGGCAATAAGTGAGCAAACCACCACTGACAAAGAGACAGAGAAAGAGCCAGAGAGCGAACAGACCACTACCAAGAGCGAACAGACCACTACCAAAGAGCCAGATAGCAAACAGACCACTACCAAAGAGTCAGAGAGCGAACAGACCACTACCAAAGAGCCAGAGAGCAAACAGACCACTACCAAAGAGCCAGAGAGCAAACAGACCTCAGAGGAAGAGACAGAGAGTGATAAATCAAAGGAGGGAATTATTGAGCAGAAGTCCGAGAGCTGTACCAGCTCCCATGCCAATCTATCCCAAGCTCTGCTGAGGGGAGTGAGGTCCAAGTCCAGTATGGACAAGATGGAGGGGGTCCAGATGGTGGAGAAGATGGAAATTGATCACAGCACGGGGCAGTCACAGGCCAGCCTCGTGGAAGCAGTGGAGAAGGCAAGCCAGGAACCGCAGGCACCGCCTGTGACTGCCAACCCATAGACTTTTCATTAGCTGATGTATGAATGCAATTTAGTACACTGTGTTTATGTTTGTAGAAATTCCTCATCCTAGATCCTGGAGGTACCAGCCCCCCGCCCCCACGCAATAATCTGCGCATGCGTTCGAGTAATTCCCCGTGTTGCCACGGCAACGTTTACTCCTCGTGTCGGTGTAGTCTTCGCTGCTGAACATGAGTAGGAAGGACAAGGTGGCGCTGGGCTCCCAGCGAGAGTCTCTCTCCGTTAACCCTCTCCTCGTGCAGGTATGTGTCTTCCGTCTGAACTGCTCAACCCTCCGTTTAATACATCTGCCTACAGTCGGAGCTGGGGAGGCCGAGGAGACGCTGCTTCACTCTCCCTCCCGCTGACTTCACCTACGGCATGAGGAGCGTTTGTCTCGACGGAGGAGCATCCGAAGGTAGCACGCTCCGCGTTCTCACTGCATTAGCTAACCGCTCCCTCAGCACTCTCCAGTTGGAACGCCCACCACCCGACGCGAGGACCACTGAAGAAGGAGCCAGAGAGGGATTTCATAGCTCTGAACAAGAGGTCCGTCCAGTGCGGGCTGACGACAGCGCAGGAGCAGACGCATTTTCGGGCCACTCACGACATCCGGCGGCGGGACGACGAGGAAAGAAAGAAGGCGTCCTCTGCCAAGATGCGGTTCCCTCCAGACACGGTGTTTGGAATCTCAACCAGGTCTCCCTCTCTCTCTAGCTTTCCTTCTTTCTCTTTTACGTTCTTTTCTTCTTTTTCTGTCAAACTTTCCCTTTTACCATCTGTTCTCCCTCAATTCCCCAGGCCTTCAACACCAGTGTTTGACCTTCTGGAGCACCGCTATGGAGAGCGATGGCTGGAGGAGAGGAGAGAGGCTGAGAGAAAACAAAGACAGAAAAACAACAAGAAGGTACTATATAGGAGTCTTTCTCCCATAACAATCTCTCTGAACGTTGGTGGTATTTCTCTCTGAGCAGAAGTTGCAAGGTGTGTATGAGACCAGGGCCTCGCTGATGAGACGTTACTCTGAGCCAGTTGACTCTCCTCCTCTCTGGAAGATGAAGAGATGGCAAAAGGTGAGACATTGTTCTCTTCAGAACCCTCAATGTTCAATTTACGTCCGTTGTTTCATTTTTCTGAGTGGTTCGGTCTTCTAGCAATTTCTATTTTGTAGCTGCTGTCGTTATTTCTAAGAAATTCTGATCGCTGTTATTTCACTTTTAAAACTCACCTTTGGCTGCAGATCGGTCCAATGCTGACGACGTTTCGAACAGACGAGGCCCACTCCACTGCCTTTCATCACCATGCATCTGATGCTGTTTCAAGAACTGGTGTGTTCGGACACGGCATATACGAGGCTGCCAAGTGTTAGCTAGTAACCTTCTCCAAGTTCATCACACACCACACGTCACGGCATTATACATTTCCGTTCCGAGAAACTATTCTTAGATCAAAGTAATACTTTTGCAGTGTTATAATATAACAATTTCCAACTATTCACAAAACCTAGAACATCCATAGAAAAGACAGGAAGAGAAGTGCGTGTCCTAATGCAGGCAGACAGCATGGATCAGGGTATATACAAAGAGAGGTGGTATGGAGTGTGGGTGGGGTCATGTGGTAGTAGTGGATGAGCGAGTGGCTTCGTACATCCTCTGGGCCACCTCGTAGACCTGTGATATGTCCGGTCTGCTCTCCGGGTTGGGACTGATGCAACTGGCCACCAGCTGTCGCAGCTGTGAGTGAGATCAGGGAGGGAGAGGGCATGCAGTGGAACTTCTGATAATTTTATCCAGAGCAATCCCTCGTTCAGAGGTAAAAGTATGGGCCAGAACCAACTGTGCTATAATATTATTCAGAGGTCTGAGGTGTCACTTTACTAAGTGACAAGTACTGGAACATGTGTGGGTCTGTATGAATATACTTATACCTCTTCTGAGTATATGTCAGCAGGAAGGGGAGGGTAGTCGCACTTCTCAATCTTCTTACACAGAGAATAGAGGTTCATCTTGTCCCCATAGAATGGAGACTGGAGAGCTGCCATCTACAGTACAGTGGAACCCCTCCAATCAGGACACCAATGAGACCCAATAAAGTGTCCATAATAGTGAGGTGTCCTTCTTTAAATGAAAGACTGTTCTCGGGGTAAAGAAAGAAAAGGTGTCCTACCATAGTCCATTACCTCATAGAGGAGACAGCCCAAGGACCAGATGTCTGACTGGAAATTGTACCCTCTCTCGTGGATTCTCTCGGGAGACATGTAGTACGGAGTTCCAACTGAGCACAGCGAAGAGACAGAGAGAGAGAGAGGGGCCAACATCCACACACACAATAGTAAAACAGTGAGGAGAGGCTATGTACCTAGTGAGTGAGCTGCAGTGGTCTTGGAGCTAAAGAACCTGCCCAGACCCAGGTCTCCCAGCTTTACAACTGCCGACGCCGTAACAAACACATTTGCCGGCTTTATATCTATTGGAGAGTGGTGGAAATGTAATAGGTCGGTACGTAGGAAGGCTCACACCTCTGTGCATGACTCTACGAGAGTGCATGTGGTTGAGTGCACCGCAGAGCTGGACAAAGTAGCGCCAGATTGTCTTCTCCGGAATCAGCTGCTTCTTCTTCTTGAAATGCTGCAGAAAAACAGTAAAAACGCTGTGCATGTACTCTCCAATGCATTGATCGATACCTTGATCATTCTAGATAGATCTCCCGCATCAGCCAACTCCAGTACTATGTTTAGCTGCAGAAATAGAGTATCGGCTCCATCTTCATACACCTCTACACCAAACCCCGCCTACACACGTACCTCGTTGTTTTCGACAAAGTTGGAGATGTAACGAATGACGTTCGGATGGTTCAGTTGCTGGAGAGAGACATACTGCATACTTGCACAGCTCTCCGTAAAACACCGCCGACTCTTACCTTCAACAGTTCTATTTCCTTGATGCAGTCTTGTCTAGCCTTAGCATCCACCATGTCAAAAATCTGAGAGAAAGACACACAAAAAGGCTCGTAGCTACAACCAAGAAAGGGGTACATACCTGGATCTTTTTGAGCGCTACCACCTTCCCGTCCACCGTGTTCCTGGCCCGGTACACGACACTGAACTGCCCGTGGCCAATCTTCTTCTCCACCTCGAAGTACTCGAGCGAAGAGTAGTACTTGAGGTCCAACTCCGGGGTCTGGACGGGAAGGCCCGCGGGCCCACCCTCCACACAGTTCATTGGCTCCGCTGCAGCTTCTGCCATAGCCACGATTCTGCTGGACTTGCTGTGTCATCAAGTTTTTGTTGATCGAGAGCAGAGTAAACAAAAATTCTGATTTCAATTTTTCTCTCGCATAAAAAGATAAGATACGGCGCGCGCCCGCACACGTGTTGTGAACTGCATGCGACCTTTTTCGAGTATGTCTGCTGAAAAAGGCTACGAGCTGCTCTCTGAGTGCACTGTGGCAGGTGTACCGGTGCAGAAACTGCGCTCCACGCGAACTGGCATCGTTGTGTGCCTGGCATATGTGGAGGGACCGCTAGTCAACGGATATTTCTGCCTAGGTAACTCCTTTGATTGTTGTGTCGTGAGTTGTGTCACGTGATCCCATAGCAACGGAGGCTCACGATGATGATGGACTCCCCCACACACTTGAGCACCTCGTCTTCATGGGCAGTGAGAAATACCCATACAAGGCACGCCTCTCTTCTCCGACTTCCCTTCATCCTCCTTGTTCTCGTTCTCTGTCTCCCTCAGGGTGTGTTGGACCTGGTGGCCAACCGCTGCTTGGCCCAGGGAACCAATGCCTGGACCGACGTGGACCACACCTGCTACACCATCACTACCGCTGGCAGCGAGGGGTTTCTCAACCTCCTTCCCATCTACCTCGACCATGTCCTCTACCCCACTCTCACTGTAACCATACAATTCTGTCCACTGTAACTACCAATTGACCGGATTTTGATGGTTTAGGCAAAAATTTCATGAACAATTTTCACCTTACAAAATATTAAAGAGGAAAAAATTTCCTGGGAACTGTGTAACACTACATTTAGTGGGAGAAAGGGGGTGTGGTTCATATTGTGACTCCGCCCAGGACGCGGCGTACCTGACAGAGGTCCACCACGTGAACGGAGAGGGAGAGGATGCGGGTGTGGTCTACTGCGAGATGCAGGGGAGGGAGAACACGGCGGAGGAGCTGTCCGCCTTCCTCCTGGCCCGCCACATGTACCCCGGTCACTGCGGGTACAGGTCCAACACCGGAGGGAAGATGAGCAACTTGAGGGAGACCTGCTCCAATGAGAAGGTGAAGTAGCCTCCAACGTTTCAATAAGTTGTTGGCCAGCAATCTCTCTGAATCATTTCAGGATAATACGTCTTACGTAGACCATGCTGTCCAAATGTAATGCCTTATGTACAACACTCGTGTTTGTTGACCAATAACTGCATTGTCCATTCATTCTCGTTCCCCTCCTGACCTTCTTCTTTTTGGTGGCGTTGTTGACAGGTGAGAGCCTACCACAGCCAGTTCTACAGACCCGACAACCTGTGTCTGATTGTCGCCGGGCAAGTGGACGTGGACCAACTCTTCTCCGCTCTTAAACCTTTCGAAGACAACATTGTCAGTAAGGTGAGGGGACAGCCTCACTTCTGCCTCATCCGTACAGCGTCACTGATGTACTTCTGGTGTCAATTTAGAAGTGTAGCGTTTTATTTTTGTGTTTTAAGGAGGTAACCCTCTTCCCTCCTTCCTCTCTCCTCTCTCTCCCGATGATTACAGGGACCTCTCCCCCCTCACCAGCGACCATGGCAGTCTGCCATTGACCCCCTGACCTCCAGCATCAGCGAGGAGCTGGTGTTTCCTACTGACGAGGAAGACGACGGAATGGCCAGGATCTCCTGGAGAGGACCTCCAGCCAGAGTTAGTAAACACCTCTCAACACATGCTATGCCATTTTTTTATGGAAAAAGAGACTTATAATAGTCCCACCACTTGATTGCATTACTTCTCTCTTCTCCCTCTCTCTCTCCACCTTCACTCTCCCCCCCTCCCAGGATCGCTACATGTTCACTGCAGTGACCATGTTGCTCCGTTACCTTAGCGACGGTCCCGTGGCCCCACTCCAGTCCAGACTGGTGGAGGTCCCGGAGCCGTTCTGTTCCGAGATATCGGACTCCGTCTACGAGAACTACGTGTCCTGCATTGGCTTCACCTTCTCCGGAGTTCCAACCCAGCAGCTGGGCCTCCTGGAAAGCAAGTATATATACCCACTCTATATCGCTTCAATGCATATAACTTTTAAGAGAAAATTTCGTAAGCTTCTTGTTTGTGTGGTGAACCCTAACTAGTTTAATAGCGTTCCCTTTTTGCCGGATTTTCAACTACATGTATATATGTATGTATCGATATGTCAGGAGTCTCCTTAGAAAAGTTGTGAGGCTCTGGGTTGTGGGTGTGGTTTGCAGGGCTCTTGAGGTGCTGTCAGACTTGGTCTCTGGTCAAGAGGAGGTGGACATGGAGAGAATGACCAACCTCATCAAGAGACAGCTGCTCACCATCCTTGATCACGTGCGTCGACACATCGAGCTACCTCACGCACCATTATTCTACCAGGGAACTTGTAGTGGGAGATAATTCGTTCATTTAGACCAGCCCTCTAACGTTCACTGTCGTATTAATTGTTCCCGTGGATATCTACATATTTTTACAAATCGGTGAAAATTTCCCCCCTTAAAGTACTTCCGTGTGGTGTCTTTAGAGAGGGGATCCACTAAACAGATACAGTTTATACTTTATCCAGCTCTCCCTCTGTCTCTCACTGCAGGTCGAGTCTTCTCCCCACCACTACTTCGCCTTTGCTCTGATCGGAGACTTTCTCTTCTCGCAGTCACCAACCGAGCTATCCTCGTACCTCGACCAGCTGCAGTTCCACCAGCGACTCCTCTCGGAGCCACGCCCCTTCTGGGTGGAGCTTATCCGAACCTACTTCATCTCCGCTCCTCATATTTGTGTAAGACAGCTCTGCTCCTTCCTACTTTTCATCTCTACATCCTGAATGAGATTTACATTTTTTGTCGCGCTGAAGATGTTATATAATGGTACACAGAGCAAATTGAGACTGAAAAAAGGGTTTTGCCCCTTTTGAAAATAGCTCTCAATTGCTCACTTTTTAAAGAGTTTCTGTCTACTGTACTGTGTAGGTGTTGGCTCGCCCCAGTCAGGAGAAGGCAGAGACAATGGCAGAGGAGGAGAACGAGAGAGTGAGATTCCAGCGAGCGACCCTCGGGGAACAAGCCCTTGCCGAGAGAGGGCGGCAGCTGGCCGAGGCCATGGAACGGAACGAGGACCCCTGCCCTAACGATGTCATCAGTTGCGTTCCCATTCCGGGCACGGAGAACATTTTCTTCCACCCGATCGTGTCGGTGGGAAATCACCAGTCGCGGGAGGAGCTGGTCGGAGTGAGGGAATGCGAGGTGTTCCCCGTTCATAGCTTCCCTTTCTTCTTCCACCTCAACCACATCCACTCCAACTTCGTGGAGGTACATATGTACATGTATCAGCAATATTTTGTGATTGGGAGAGGTTTAGTGAGTAGATTTTCATGTTATTGGGCCAATGCAGTCCAGGATTGTAAATCGACCTCCGTGGAGGTATGTACGTACGTATGTGGAATATTATTTGCGACATTTTGTGATTGGGGGGCAGGACTAGGAAGTGTATGTGTGTATGTGTTTGGAGCATTCCAGCATATAAATCGGCCTACTTGGAATAAACTTGACTCGTGCAACCACACAATCACTTGACTAGTCTATTCTCCTCTTCTCTCCTTTCTTAAAGCATTTTCCTCCCTCCCTCCCTCCCTCCCTCCTTCCTGCCCAAGTTGACAGCCATACTCAACACGGAGACCCTGGACTCCTCACTACATCACTACCTCCCTCTCTACCTCGACATGATGTTCGAGTCTTCCATCTCCCAAAATGGAGGTATATACTGTGTACACTGGGATAGAAGTCTTGCAGAAATGACAATTTTGCAAGATAATGTCTTAGAAACCGTATTTTTCTTCCCAATTGAGCCAAATGCTCATTTAAACTTTCGTTAGATGTCATGACGACGTATGCACAACGCTTCAACAAATCCACAAGACTTGAATGTCATCCCATTTTCTATCTTCTACCTCCTCTCCTCCTCTTTTCTTTCTCCTCACTCATCTTTATCTCTGTCTCCCAGAGGAGGTGCCCTATGAGGTGGTGGTGAAGGAGTTGGAGAGGGACACAGTCGGCTCATCTGCCAGTCTGGGGTTCAGAGGGAGGCGATTCAAATGTGGGCACTTCCCTTCTGCCGTCTTTGTGACTATCAAGGTGCGGGAAGAAATGGAATGCGAGGGAAAGGGATAAGAGACCTAGCTGTCTCCCCCCCCCCCCCACACACGCACACACACACACCAGGTAGAGAGGGAGAAGTACGCGGTGGGGGTGAAGTGGCTACATGACGTGCTATTCGGTCTCCAGTTCTCCCCCGAGAGGGTCGCCGTCGTGGCAACCAAGATGGTCAATGATGTCGCCAGGTATGGTGAAGACCACCTGGTACTAAAGACCTATTCTTTACCCCGCCTCTCCTGTCTCCAGGATGAAGAGGGAAGGTCGTATAGTTTCAAGGACACTTCTCAACCACGTTATCTTCTCTCCTGGTAATACAATATATTTCTTGGAATTGTTGTGAATGGGTGACTCAAGAATATTGTAGAGAGAGATAGCTTTTATAATGGGAGGAATTGCTCAGTAAGCACTGCACTTGACTTCAGTTGCGGTGTCTGTGTTTGACTCTCACAGAAGATGGTTCTTTTTCTCTCCCTCCTAACCTGTGTATTTCTACACACACACTCTCTCTCTCTCTCGCAGGCTCCACCCCCAACACCAGTAACATGGTGACTCAACTGAAGTTCCTTGAGAAGCAGCTGGCCAGACTCAAAGATCCCGCCACTGCCAGCCTCGTGACCTCTGACCTCTGTCGTGTTCGCGACACCCTCACGTCGCCGGGCAACCTGAGGGTTTTCATGGCAACCGACATTGATAAACTGAGCACACCCCTTCAGCCGTGGGAGATTTTCATGGGGAGAGCAAACTCTAAAAGGTATGCATTACACATTCTGTACATAGCCTTTACATTATACCTGTACTTTGGTTATTATATACTCGTAATAATTTTGATCCTACCACTAAATATTACCATCCTTCTATTATACGGTCAACCTAGCATACAGTTGGCATGGTACATATGTACTCAATTGTGTTTTTGCACAAATCACAAATTCTGTTTTTGACTCCTGCTATTTGCTATTTTCTTTCCAGCAGCTCACCTCCTCTGCCTCCTATTCTCCCTCCGTCTCACTCTCTCTCCGCCACTGCCGCGGGGAAGACCCTCGTTGCCGGGGTGGGCGGAGTCGAATCAAACTTCCTCATCCAATCAGTTCCCTGCGTGAGGTCACATGACCACCCCGACTACCCGGCTATCCTGGTCTTCATCGAGTACCTCACTGCTCTCGAGGTCAGTTACACATGGCCAACAATTTTCACCAACAAGAAATTTCTGCCAGATGGTGTACATATAATATGGTGATATTGTACCTACAGGGCCCCCTGTGGCGGCAGGTCAGAGGTCAAGGTCTGGCGTACCACTACAACATCTCGTGCTCCGTCTCCGAAGGTCTCCTCTGCCTCAGACTGTTCAGAGCCACTCAGGTCCTGCAGGCCTACATCGTCGCCAGGAAGATCCTGGTACGTACGTCTAACATTTTACACACACTAGATTCTGCGGCTTTTGCAGTGGATTCTCTGTTCTGCGGCACCTTATTTTTACCCTGATCTCTACTTTAACCCTGATCCCACTGGCTCTCTTTTTTAACCCTGATCCCAATGCCTCTCTGCTTTAACCCTGCTCCCACTGACTTTCCGAACCAGAGTGACCATGTGGATGGGAGTGTGGGTCTGGAGGAAGGTCAGTTGGAGGCAGCTGTGAGTGGAGTCATCTACGAAGAGATAGAGGAGTCCAAGACGGTAGCCGCTGCCGCAAACCAGGCTCTTCTGCACCACCTTCGTCGAGTCTCCTCCTCATTCAGCAAGTTGGTCCCTCTCTGATATCTGTTCCTTTCACACCTTACCTTCTTCCCCCTCCTACTCTCTCTCCCTCCCCCCTCTCCACACACACTACCCACACCCACCCAGAGATCTGCTAGATAAGGTATCCAAGGTGACGATCCCTGACCTCCAGAGGGTAGGGAAGCAATACTTCAGTCTCCTATTAGAGCCCACCACCACAAGTACTGCCATCTGCTGTAATCCCAGCAAAGTACCAGAGGTCAAGGCAGGGCTGGAGAAGTAAGTCAATGTATGAGTCAGCAAGAGCTGTCCTCCTGGAGGGAATCTAGCTGTTCTCTAAGTAGATTGTTCACCAGGGTGTATAGCTCAGTAGGCAGTGCTCTAAGTCTTAATACACACACATACACTGACATTAAAAAATCCAACAGGTATAGCTTATCGAGAACAACATTCTCTTGTCATGTATATACATAATATGTGGGGGTTAGGGTTCTAGGTTAACGTGAGTATTCACACACACACCTATGGGTGGTCCACTGTCACACTATGTATATAGGCCATGTAGTATGTTTCATACTGGGTTTGGCATGTTTATCAGTGTAAGTTTACGCATACTCGGTAGTTAGTAAGATGTTTGTCGTGTCATGTGGCCACCCACCCTACAGAATTGGACACTCTGTGACTGTGGTTGAAGATCTCGACTCGGTATTAGCCAGCAATTGATCACCTGACTATCATGTGATTGTCATGTGACCAGACTTTGAGTATCGCATATGTAAACTCCTGAAATTGAATAAGTTATAAGATTCTGTATAGAGACAGATGAAGGTTGAAAAGTGATAAAATCAATAATGACAGACTGTTGTTTTTTCCTATTATCATTTGTGGACAATATACACTCCTTTGGGCGAGGACTGAAAACTATAGAACCTACTGGTGAGAGGAAAACCGGTAAAAACCTGTTTGTGGAAGTGGCGGTGGACGACGTAATTGACAGCTGGCATGTTACAGTTGAGATTTGGGGGTGTGGTGTCCAAGTACTGTGTTACTGTCTCCAGTAGAGCCGTCATAATGTGACGCGACCCCCCAATTACTCCCGCATTAAAGACGGTATCTTGTGACATCAGCCAATGCAGCCGTCCGTGACGAAGGGTGTGGTTTCCAAAGCAACCCACCAAGCGCTCCGATATCCATTGCTGGGTGCCCATATTTGGGAATATATCAATATCGGTACCGATGTAGAGCCTGTTGCCTAGCAACCGCATGAAGTCGAAGGGGTTACGCAAGAATCTGACGTCGGATATGTCAGTGAGGAGAACGTGGTCCAGGTCTGTGTGGGAATGTAGGTAGGAGAGATAGGCGTAGAATCTCGCATCGTTTGTTGTGCGGTTGAGTGGTGGGGCCACGTGCCTGAAACTGATTCCGGGATGGAACTGGGACACACGCTGCTGGAATGCGGGATCCAGCTCGTCATGAAACACGACCGCTCTTAATCCGAGGTCCCGTACCGATACCAGCCAGTCCAGCATGTACCTGGCACGGTTTGGAGACACACTCCTTGTTCTCTGGTAGTCCGGTGTACTGGTAAAGTATGATGTAAGGATTACATCATGACCTGCATCGCCACTGATTTTTCCATGATAGGCTCTTACCCAGTGGAGGGTCTTTTTTAACCCTCTCTCCACCGGCTGTCGTGAGGAGATATTCAGAAGTGAGGGAACATCGTGTACTGTGGGGTCCTCGGGGCAAGGGGAGAGGTCCAGCTGCGTACAAAAAGGACCTCTCTCCAGAACGGAAGAGACAGCAGTGGCAATGTCGTTGATGTACCAGCTGTTCTCCGGAGGATCAAAGGTGGTTTGGAGTGCTGCCAGGGAGTGATAGGTCCACGGTCCATACACTGGTCCTGTTCTGAGGATCGTGTACTGAGTGCCATAGATGTTGTGGTAGGCCAGGAGGGCTGCTTCCAGTGAAGTCATGTGAGCCTGGACACCTGTCATGTGACTGCCACTCGGCAGCGAGTGGGACACCAACAGAAACTCTGCACACTTCAGGCCTTCCAGCAGAGCCACCAGTGCAGTCATCTGGCTTCCCCAGTGGGCGGAGTCGAGGGGCGGAGTCTCGCCGTGCTCCAGACCAGCTGGAACAAACACCACGTGAGACGGGTTCCACCCGATGACTGTCGCCACGTGCGACGAATTTGAAAAATTTCGAAATTCCACCTCCAGACCTGCAGAAGTGAGCTGGTCTCTGCGATACCAGAGAAGATTGTTTGTGGATATTGCTGTATCTCGAGCCAGGCCGCGAACAGTCCAGTGAGATCCTGTTAGCTGATTGGCCAGCCATGCACCCACAGAGTGTAGGACACCCACAATGAGAACCGTTTTGAGTTTAGGTGGGCGACAATGAAGGTGAGGAGGAGGAGGAGGAGGGGAGCAGGTGGGTGGGGGTGGAGAAGAGAGGGTGTGAGATTGGTGAGCTCCGTGAGCATGCTGCCGCTCCCAAGGATGATCTTTTAGGGGGAAACAGAAAGTTTGTAAACGTAAAGTTTTCTAAAACAAAGCATGAACACAATGCATGTTCGGAAAGTGCTAGAATTTTAATAAGTTGTCGGGACATTTTAAGGACTGTCATTATAGTCACCACTTGAAGTGATAGGTGTGGATGAGCAGGTGGAAGAGGCAAAAGCCCTGGAATTGGATTTTGGGTCCAATAGAATTCCAGCAGATTTTTGCAGCTTGTTCTCCACACAGGGTGGGGTCAGAGGATGACAATGGACCACCATTAGTTGGCACACCGTTGCCCAGAACCACTCAAAACTGAAAGGAGACCCCACTTCAACTAAAGATTCCATATCTTTCGCAACAACATACCAGCACGCGTTTATGTTGTCCCAACTCGTAAGTTTTTATCTGGGTTTTAGCATGTTTACGTTTTGATATACCCCGTGGGAGATATGTTTCTCTGCGTCACTAGCTCTAATCACAGGAAAGGCGATGAATTCGCAAATTTGCATTCGTCGCATGCAGAGTACCGTACGGCTAGCTAACATCCCCCAAACATACCTGTTTCAGATCTTACTCGCCTCTCTCTTCTGCTTCGCTCCGTATCTGAAAAATGGATGGTAGAACGACCGTATATATACGCGGCAGAACGGGGGCAGCTACAGCTGATCAGTATATAAAGAAGGGACGGGCTCACCGAGTATCGTAACGCCGATGAGGAGGACGCAGCAGTAGCAAGCGGCGATAAAGACGACGGCGTAGCACCATCTCTTCAACTTCATTCATTCAGCAGGCTATATAGCCTGCGGATCCGGCAGCAGCATAGGACGGCTTTTACGCCCAGTAACTTTTGCAGCGAATCACCCCACACTACACGGAATCCCGACCGCCAGCGGACACGCCCCCGCAACTCCAATTTTGTACGCATGCGCCTAGTACACCTAACGACAAGCCCAGCATCGATGAATCACGTAGATGAGTACAATTATGTGGACTAATAGTGTGCGTGTGCTGGGCGGCCAGTTAGCTCTCCATGGGTTCAGCAGAGGTCACAGTCTCTGAAGTGACTTCAAATTTGCGAACAGAGGTCTCGAGGACGGCAGTTGTCCCCCTGGCATAGCGGTAGTCCCCAGTCCTGCAGTTGAATCAGTCAGTATTACACACGCATATTCTAGACTTAGTGACCACTTTATCAGTTATAGTTTTGCATGTGTATGTACGTACCGCTCTCCCTTCTCGTTGGCTACATCGAAAGGCCTGATGTACTCAGTCTTGTCGGCAGTGATGATGCAGATGTCAACATTACTGCCAGAGCCCTGGAAATGAGACACACACGAGATACTATCAAGATGGACAAGCAAAGAGGTTGGACTTCATCTGTTTTAGGACCAACCAAATCATTGAATATCCCAGCAACAATGGCATCTCTTACTAACTGTACCGCCTCTTTCTCCTATGGAAAATCCAGAGAGATAAGATGTGTGTGTGGGTGTGATAAACTGACTGTATAACTAAAATCGTTGAAAAGCAACTAAGTACTGATTTGCGACTTATTCCAAATTTAAAAGTTTTGACACTGACGTCCATGTTGGGACGGAAGCGGTCCTCGAAGGTTGCCATGGCAGCGAGGGACCCCGATCCCATGGAGACGTAGGGCAGTTTGTCTGTGGAGCCGTGGGCGTGGACGGTGTAGAGATTAGGACCGGTGATGTCAACTCCACCCAGGACCAGGTACGCTCCGATGTGGCCTTGGTAGTGGAACAGATGTTGTTTCAGCATCCTGAGAGCTGTACCCACACGGGGCTGAAAGCGATAGGACAGAGTTACTGTGGCAGCACACATACTGTGGTGAATGTTGCATCATTCTTTTGACAACATGAAAAAGGGCGAACAGTGCACATTTGTGTATTGGAACATTTCCCCCTGGCGTGTTATTTGGATAATAGTGCATCAACCCATCACACCCATACATTGGAGTTGTCGGGGGTGGTGTGTATGGTATACATACAGACCTTTCTCCCTGTCTCAAGTCTGTGGAGCTCCAACTCAGAGGAAATCTGGAGAGTCGTGTACTCTGTGTCAGCTGCCGTGCCCGCCCCACAACAACTGGAGGAGGGTGAGGTAATGAAGTCGGCAACGCAAGGACCACACTTACTAAATGTTTTTTGCCATGTAGTGAATCTTTGCGCAATTCTTGTCAGCCACTACAGAGCCCTTTTGAGGTGGGAAATGAGCAATAAATCAGGGCAGATGCCTACGATCAAGAGTGTATAACTTACCTCGGTAGCCCTAGTATCTGCTCCCAGAACAACTCCATCCTATTGCAGCACATTACACGGTCCAGTCTGGCTAGTAACACGAGAATCTGACTTACTTTGAAGATCAGCCCGGCGATGGTAGTCCCTGTCTTGACAGGAGTGGGCGGCTTCATCCCAGCCGCTGCCAGGGCCGCATTTCTGCAGCACATACCACACAATATATTATGGTACGAGGACTGACTGCACGCCTAATCTCCATACGGTTCAACTTCACCTTTTGCACAGCTCGAAGGAGAAGCCTCCTCGCGGCATTTCCACCGATACAGCTCCCGCCATACTCCCTCTGAACCAACAGCAACGCACCTCTCTTGGCTGGATTTGTACACGCTGCAACCTTTATTCCAAATAGAGCGCATCTGCATCACGTGACTTAAGACTTTATGCGCATGCGCAATAGTTTCGTGACAGATCCTAGGAGTTGAGGAAAGAGCCATGTTAGAAGACAGTTTACTGATAGTGTTCGTATCTTTCTGTACTGCTTTCCTCTCTGAAGGTGAGCGAGAGTGTGGAGCTTAATTCCTACCAGCTCCATATCGCAGAGACACGGGTCATACAGCCATTTTGTTGCCAACACAGGGATACTGTACTTGTTGGTGTACAGAACTGAGCACTACAATCGCCTCAAGACCGAAGTAGAGAGAAGAAGCAAAAAGCGTGAGTTCATATAAGCCGTGGAAACTAACGAATGAGTAACAGTGTGTGTTTGGTGTCTCAGTGGAGCGGCAGAGAGAAAACTACCAACCAGGCCAGCAACCTGGACAGAAGAAGAAGCTAGGTATTGTACGTCGTCTTCTCCACAGCTAGTCAGACTTAGTTGTCTGATCAACTGGTATGTGTGTGTGTGTTTGCAGAGAAGAAAGAGGAGATGTTGAAGAGTGCCAGTCGTGACCTAACAATGGTAATTGCAGTGAAACCTCTGAAAAGAGAACCTTCCGAATAAATGGCACCTCTCAATAAAGGACACTTGGTTCTACACCATACATTAATAAGTATGGACACCTCCGAAAATAAATGGCATTTTGCTGTCCCCAAGGTCTCAGTTAATCAGTGTTCCTTCCCCCAACAGGTGAAGATGAAGAGCATGATGGCAATTGGTTTCACTTTCACAGCTCTCCTTGGAATGTTCAACACGCTGTTAGTCCCCATTCCATCCCTCCCCCCATTCCATCTAGTCAGTCCTGTTCCCATTCCTCCCAAGATTCGATGGACACGTGGTGGCCAAACTCCCCTTCACTCCGTTCTCAATCCTCCAGAACCTGTCCCACCGCAACCTGATGGGCAGCGACCCGACCGCCTGCTCCTTCATCTTCCTCTACATACTCTGCACCATGTCCATCAGAGAAGTGAGGCGATGATGTAATATACTGTGACGTCACTATGATGTAATGATATTGTTACAGAATGTACAGAAGTTGCTTGGTTTTGGTTTGTCAAGAGGAGCCAGTAAAGCTGGAGGAGGATTCTTTGGACCAACCAGCTCGAAATGATCAAACTTCGCAGCTATTAGCATTAGGGGAAATTATCATTATGCCAAAGTATTGTGTGTGTCAGCGTGGTGTGGTTGTATATAATGTGTTTAGATTAGCAGTTGTTGTTGGTGCTGCAGAGCTAGGCTCATGTCTGGGTCAGATTTGACTGCTTCCACGAACTGCTCCTGATTCACTCCATCGCCATCAGTAGAGCCACCATTCTAAACCAGCAATGCATTCTCACATAGTGTAGCTCTATTATTATAGATCATGCTCTGTATATTATATACTGACCTGATTGAGGACTTTGCAAATTTCCTTCACTCTTGTTGATGCTGCTACTGACAGTTCATCTGGGGTTCCTCTCTCCCCACGTGTCACCTTTCCTTCATCCTCATCTGTCATCTCCTGGATCAAGAGTGGACCCACCATCTTGTGCATTGCCTCCATTGCCCTCTCCACATCCTCTCTCTCCACACTCCCGTCCCCATCACTGTCATACAGTCTGAACAACACTGAGAACAAAGGGAATTGGAGGGTAAAACAGCACAAACACACAAGAAGATTTCCCATCCAAGTTTATTTTTCTAACACCTTTGGCTTAACTGTTATTGCGATTAGTTTTGGTTTATAGATAAGGAGGAGAAGGACAGTGATATAGGAATAGGCTCAGCATAGCATCTGATAATTTACTGCATCGCAGCTCACATGCCAGTCTCTCTTCAGTAGAGCCTCTAGTTGCAGCAGAGAGTGCCGTGATAAACTGGGGGAACCCCACAACTCCACCCCCTCCCCCTCCTCCCTCCCCACTTCCCCTCGCACCAAACCCTCTAAACACCAGTGAGGCCAGAGGCTCAGGATCTCCAAATGGGAAGAACTGTGCATATATCCTGCAAAACTCCTGATGCAGAGAAAGAGAGAAAGGGCCCTGAATCAGCACAGTACACACAGTATTATTATGGTTAATAGTTGATATTCTTACCTGCTCTGTCAGTGTTCCTGTGGGGCAGTCTCGTAGAAAGCCTCTGTACCTGAGAAGAGGAAAGAGTGAAATATTGTGCGACTTGTGCCGGTCATTGGCTTACCATCTGTTCAGTTCCTTGGGAGAGACTGCAAAGAGTTTAGTTTAGTCGTAGGTTCGTATCATAGCATTGCTTACAGTGCGTGGCTTTGATCAGCTCCTCAAGTTCTTCTGGACGAAGCCGGGATTGCCGCTTGCCCATGGCTACTACCTGGTCACAAGGGGGAGGGGCTGGCTTCAAAGTTGGAGCCTATGCGCATGCGCATTTCGTTTACGATTAAAGTCAACACTTTTCCGCCGTGCATGCGACGCCTGCAGGTCCCCGGATGAACAGTTCAAGCTAGGGCTGAATCGAAAGCGGGAGAATAAGGAAGAGGAGTGGTAAGTTGGAGCTGCACGTGCATGTTGGCAACCAAGACCAAACCATTCACTTTTGCTTCTGTGACGTTTCCTGTTCTGGCTGGCGGCCAGCCCTGCTATTTCTATATACCTGAGTAATTTGTCGGTAACCAGAAACAGGCTCTACGTTGAACCTAACAAACTTCATCTTTTCTGGCGGGCGAGCTAACGCAAGCATACGACGAATATGTCCGAATCTGCGCCAATTCTTGGCGAGAAGAGGCAGGCTTCCGGGTACACTGCCTCCTACCTCCCTCCAGGCTCAGGAAGAATGGCAACCACCACCCCCCTTCTCCCTGACAAGACCTCTCCAGTCCATGTGAGATCCGTCAATAGTCCAGAGCAAGAAAACCCTCCCCTTCCTCCTCGCAAAGTCCCTCGAATGGTGAAACGCTCAGACGGTCGCTCCCTTTTACGCTACCGTATCCCACCTCAGAGCTATCTCAGTTACATCTGGGATTTCTTTACCTCAATCATCAATGCCCAGTGGTACGTTGTTGTTCCCTTTTTCTTTGCCTGCTACGTCCTCTCCTGGCTGGTGTTTGGGTGTGCCTGGACCGCTCTCGCCTACAGCTACCCGGACGGAAACATGACTTGCGTGTACAACGTTAGAGACTTTACCTCTGCATTTCTGTTCTCAATCGAGACACAAGTAACTATCGGATATGGATTTCGTTACCCATCAGACAGTTGCGCGGCTGGAATCACTCTCCTCGCCTTCCAGAGTGTAGTGGGTCTCCTCATCGACTCGTTTCTCCTCGGGCTAATGTTTGCCAAACTCACGCGACCACGGAGCCGAAGAAAGACAATCTTCTTCAGTAACACTGCAGTCATATACGACCAGTTTGTGAGGAGAGTGGACCGAGATGAAGAAGGTCGTCCGGTGGACAAGACGGAGCGACGCAGAGTTCTGGAGTTCAGGATAGCGGACATGAGAAGGTCACAGATTGTCGAGGCACACGTCCGTCTCCAGCTTTACTGGTACCGAGAGTCCGCAGGAGGAGGAGGAGGAGGGGAGCTGCAGCAGTACGACCTGGACGTGGGGTACGACGAGGGGAGGGACCGCATCTTCCTCCTCACTCCAGTCTCAGTCTTCCACTACATCACTGAGCAGAGTCCTCTCTACGGCCTCACTCGTGAGGACCTCGCCTCCTCCAGACTGGAGCTGGTCGTGGTACTAGAGGGCATCGTGGAGGCGACAGGACTCACGGCGCAGGTCCTCTGGTCTTACACGAGGGACGAGATTGTGTTCGACTCGGTCTTTCAACCAGTAGCTTACTGCAGTGAGAGTGGCGGAGAATGGGTGGTCGATTTCTCCAAACTCAGCAGTCTGCGACCACTTGCAGAATAGAGCCTTATACATACTTGACTTGACTCTGTATTCTTCCCAAATCTCCATGATCACTATGCATTTTGAATGTTTTAATGTTGCTATAATTGTGAGGATTACAAATTCAGTTGGATAAAAATAGAAATGGTGACGTCATTATACGCTGGTCCCCCAAAGTGGGATACTGTTCTGGGTGGTGGGGATTTCAAAACCTTTGACTAGGTACACAGCACAAAGAGCAGCATCAGCCGAGTTTGAGTAGAGATGAACATGTTTCTTGTGTGCCATGTTTGCGAGGTACGCCCGTCCTCTGTTATAATCCCGGACAGCTCTCTCCGACAGCTATAAACAGGCAGGAAAAGGGAGAGGAGAGAAAAACAAGAACTGAAAATGACTAAACAATTAACAGTTTTTGGGACAGTTGGGGGGTAGCGCAGAGCAGTCCCAACAGATGACGAGTGGTATTTTCGAATTCCGTCTCAAAAAACAGTTTGTACTCACAAAACACAGCACCACTAATCATATAATAGTCATCACGTAATGCAATACACACGGAGACTCCTCCCCCCTCCCTCTTCATTACTATCTCACTCCCCTATTTATCTACTGAAACATGTGTTACTCCAACGTCGGCTATATATAGATCGCTGACCTGCAAATCTCTCTCCGGTGTAGTGAGGTGTGGTGAGGTGGGAATGTCAGACAGAACAAGTGCCATCTTCCTCTCCTGACCGATGTAGTAGGCCACCTCTGCCATTGACCCAACACTCAGGGTGTCTCCTCCAATGACGTACAGCAGTACAGAGCACTGCGATGAGGCAGACCAACAAACAGCTCCCTCCCTCTCTCTCTCTCTCTCTCTCTCTCTCTCTCTCCTTCAACCCCTGTTTCAGTCTTGTTCACTGCACATTATAATAGACACCCTCCCACACACCATTCAAATCAGCTGTAGGGAACCTCCAACTAGGAAACCTCTCTATAAAGGAGACTTATCATTATCTGCCCCATAACATTGAATAAAAGACGCCTCTGAATGCAGGACACTCTCAATGTACCCACAGGACACTCTCAATGTACCCACAGGACACTCTCAATGTACCCACAGGACACTCTCAATGTACCCAAGGTGTCCCTTTTTCAGAAGTTTCACTGAACTACCTACTCTCTCCATTCTGCATCCCTCCCCCCTCTCTCTTCCTCCTCCTCCTCTTCCCCTCTGAATGCAGGACACTCTCAATGTACCCAAGGTGTCCCTTTTTCAGAAGTTTCACTGAACTACACTACTCTCTCCATTCTGCATCCCTCCCCCCTCTCTCTTCCTCCTCCTCCTCTTCCCCTCTGAATGCAGGACACTCTCAATGTACCCAAGGTGTCCCTTTTCAGAAGTTTCACTGAACTACCTACTCTCTCCATTCTGCATCCCTCCCCCCTCTCTCTTCCTCCTCCTCCTCTTCCCCTCTGAATGCAGGACACTCTCAATGTACCCAAGGTGTCCCTTTTTCAGAAGTTTCACTGAACTACCTACTCTCTCCATTCTGCATCCCTCCCCCCTCTCTCTTCCTCCTCCTCCTCTTCCCCTCTGAATGCAGGACACTCTCAATGTACCCAAGGTGTCCCTTTTTCAGAAGTTTCACTGAACTACCTACTCTCTCCATTCTGCATCCCTCCCCCCTCTCTCTTCCTCCTCCTCCTCTTCCCCTCTGAATGCAGGACACTCTCAATGTACCCACAGGACACTCTCAATGTACCCACAGGACACTCTCAATGTACCCAAGGTGTCCCTTCTTCAGAAGTTTCACTGAACTACCTACTCTCTCCATTCTGCATCCCTCCCCCCTCTCTTCTTCCTCCTCCTCCTCTTCCCCTCTGCCTAACCTGCTCTCTGGCTCTCTGCTCCACTGGTATCAGAGAGACGTTCCAGTCAGCGATCTGAGGGTTGAAGAAAGTCACTCCATACTGTCGGAGAATGGGGATTACATCATCGGCTCTCCATGACGTGGCACCACAGCTACCACCGAGGTAGACGTCACATGAGGTGGGGTGTGGACGGAGAGAGGGGGTAAGGGGAGGAGGGAGGGAGGAAGGGGAAGACATCCACAGCCAGCCTGTTGAAAACATACTCAGATCATGGACACGCCCGAAGTTAAAGTTTGTCACATGCTTAAAAAGTGTGCTCGAATGCAGCAGAGGTGCGTGGCGAAACAATATTGTGAACACAAAACATATCAAGTACAGTGCTTTAGGAGCGCAATGTTGCACCAAATATGCAGGAGACTGAATATATATGCAGTCGTCAAAACTCAGTGACAGGTGCTATTGTCAGTGCTGCAGGACTAGTTTCAACAAACACACCAGTCAGTTTCTGCAGACCACCTCTGAGGTAGCTCGAAGTTCTATCTACCAGACTCCTCCCCCTCTCTCCCACTCCTCCAACGACGCTCCAATACCAGGCCTCCGCATACAGAACCACGAACACTTCAAACGTGATTCTGTCTCGTTTCCCGAGCGACCACTGCGGAGCCTCTGACAAGACTGCGTGGACCATCTCCTGACTACACTCCACAGCCTCTAGTGCCCTCTCTGTCTGTACCAAACATTGTTACATAACTTAACACAATCATCTGACGTAACAAACTGCATGTGTGCAAGGGGCATGAAAAATTGGGGGTTCTATGTATATCATTATACTGACACAGATATTTTCGTTCTTGCTATAAGGTGGAGTTGTGTATACCTCGTGTTCAGTAAGTTGGCCCCTCCTGTCAGTGTCATACATGGTGTGGACTTGTCGCAGTAACCTGAGGGAACAGATGACAGTAACCTGGGGGAACAGATGACAGAAACCTGAGGGAACAGATGACAGTAACCTTGGGGAACAGATGAGGCTGAGTAGTGTATAACTAGTCATCAAACTAACACTACAGAGTAATCCGACTGTGTGGTGTGTGTATACAATCAAACCTCAGTCTTTGTGTGAGCGTGTCTCCAAGAGGCTTGCCACAACAGGTATCACTAGATGATGTGCTGGTATCTACCTCACTGACACTCTGACCCCAACTGGATGGCTAGACAGACGAGAGAATAAGAAAGGTCATTCAGAAAGTAATAGGATCAATTGCAGCATTTTGTGAATTCTCCAGAAATTGCTTCACTCGCTAAGGCAAGGTAAATCGACTCAGCAATTGGTTGGATTCAATTGAGTGGCATGTGTACATCATTACACTAACATCCAGAAGTGAGGACACAGCTCTATGGACGCTGGACTCAACAAGATTTCCCGCAGTTTCACTGACTGTCCGGACGAACTCTCTCCCCCTGTTCAAATCTTTCACCTCTCGCGGAGTCAATACGTCTCCACTGATGACAGGGGACTCCCCCTGGATGTCGCTGACGACCACGAGAACGTCTCGACCGGAGCCGACAAAGTTGGCTACCTCGACCATAGACGAGACGGCTCGCGTCTGGTCGTCTATCACATACAGCAGTGTTGAGGCTGCCTGCACATAGACCAGAGAGGAACACGTGTGGTAACGGCTGTGGTGTGGAAATATGTTGGTGAACCTGTTTGGCTTCTTCTTCGATATCAATCAGCTCTGGGGACCAGTGGTCAACTTGCTGTGTGTGTGTGTGTGGGGGGGGGGGAGAGATTAGTACTATTTGTTCTAGGAAGGACTGAATAGGTGAAAAATAAGGTTCAGTAGCTTCAGAACACCCCTCTAGTCAGTGCTACAAATTCTACAAGAGAGAGAGAGTAGAGAGGAGGCTCACGGGGTTGTAGAATGAGATCCCCTCTTTCAGAAGACGAGGAATGACGATATCCTTCCTCCAGGAGGTGGGGTTACATGACCCTCCGAGAAACACTGCACCAAACACACACGGCCAATAATGTGGAAACATTAGGAAATTTTCACGGTTTGAGAGCTGGCAGAGGTTCCCCCTGGTGTATATGTATACAGTTCTCACCATCATACTTGCACGTATTTCTGGCCCCAGATCCGCCACTCTTTTCTGCACATCTTCTAAGATTGAGAAATACAGTGTCACTTGGTACAAGCTCATTACTAATGGTTACGGAGCGTATGTACAACATACCTCTGGTGGCATTTACTTGGTAGTGGATGTAGTTTCCTATGTTTTTGAGTCACTAACAAAACGCAGGCGATGCAGAATGCACCCCAAGTTTCTGTCTCGTTCAACTTCTCTCCCCCACCTCCTTCTCTACCCATAGTTTCTGCTGCCTCTGTGGCTGTTTTCAGAAGGTCTGATGCTGAGAGAGAGAGAGAGAGAGAGAGAGAGAGAGAGAGAGAGAGAGCGAGAGAGAGAGAGAGAGAGAGAGAGAGAGAGAGAGAGAGAGAGAGAGCGAGAGAGAGAGAGCGAGAGAGAGAGAGAGAGAGAGCGAGCGAGAGAGAGAGAGAGAGCGAGCGAGAGAGAGAGAGAGAGAGAGAGAGAGAGAGGGAGAGAGAGAGAGAGAGAGCGAGAGAGAGAGAGAGAGAGAGAGAGAGAGCGAGAGAGAGAGAGAGAGAGAGAGAGCGAGAGAGAGAGAGAGAGAGAAGAGAGCGAGAGAGAGAGAGAGAGAGAGAGAGAGAGAGAGAGAGAGAGACACGAGAAGAAGTCGACCACATAATAAACTGCTCTGGTGTATATTAACACCTTCAGAGGTTGAAATGGCAGCTTCAGTCTTGGAGAAGGCTCGCAGAAGTTGAGCAGTGGCCCCGCCATGTTCCTGAGTGCCGCTGCTGTCGGTACAGCTGCCCCCTAGTCTTCTGTAGGACCAGAGACAGCTGTGTGGGTGGGGCTGGGAAGACAAGAACTTACGCCAAACACGCTGTAAAGCTTCCCGCGACGAATAGGTAGGTGTTCATGGTTTCAGGATCTTTCATTGATCAGCAGTGATGGTACCCACTTCGACTAATGGCTCGTGAATTACTCCCTCAAGACGTCCAACTCGTATATACGTTCTTACTGCATTGTCATTTCAAAATTACTTTGACGCTGGTGTGTTCGTTGAAATAGAAACCGCTGCCATATGCGCATGCGCAAACACCTGCTGACGCAGCACACGTGGCACCAGCCAGCTCTTCTGAGCCATGGCGACGGTGGAAGAAGAGCTGATGACTGTTCGGCAGCGTCTCAGAGACGGAGAGAACGTGTCCGACGCTCTACACACTCTCAACACTCTGCTAGCGGCTACCGGCTCCGGTGCACGCATCCAGGAGTTTGCATCGTTCCTCAGTCTCCAGCTGCTATTCGAAACCCTCAGCACCGTGGCCTCCAGCAGCGAAGAGCTGCGGAGCCTCACGTGCCGGATCCTGGGAAAGATATTCGCCTCCCTTCCGCCTGAGGAGGTGTGCAAACAGCGTCTCTACCTCGAGTTGGGGTTGCAACACGACAGGGAGGAGGTACGGCGACTCTGTTTGGACGCCATAAGCGGACACCTGGGTGCGGCGGGGGTGAGGGAGATGATGGGGAGCCGGACCATGTTCCACCTAGTGACCCAGATTGTCGGAGATGATAGTCTTCACTGCGCCGGGCTAGCGTCTGAGTTGTTGCTGGCTGTCCTGGCCCACCCTGCCTCCCTCGACCCCGCCGTCAGATCCGGACTCCTCATAGACATGGAAGGACTCGTTGCCAAGAGTGACACTGTTCGTTTCAGAGTCTACGACCTCGTCGTGAGGCTGTCCCTGAGTAACGACGAGTCGTTTGAATTTGCAGTGTCGACACGCCTCCTCCATCGTATGCTCGAGGAACTGCAATCTGACGATGTTCTTGTTCAAATGAACTCAGTTGAGCTGGTGCTGAGTCTCCTGGATGGCAAGCAGGGGGCAAGCTTTCTTGAGAGACAAGGAGTTGTGGGAACAATGCACGGTCTCCTACTCTCAGTACAAAACGACCCCCTGGGGTCTATCATTGTTCCTAGTACGTTTGCTCTTTCATATATCCTTTGGCTTTGTGTGTATACATGGGGGGGTTTATGTTGGTCAAAATCTAGCCTTTCAGCGCCTAAAACAGGTGCATCCCTCCTCCGTACAAGAGTTGTTATTAACATTCAGTTCCGTGTGTTGGGGAAAAAAGAGACAGCTGTCAGACTGAGAAAAAATACCAATGTAGGTCCTTTACAGATGAGGATGCTAAGTCTTAAAAGCGTGCAAACATTTAGGTTTGTTGTTTATTGTGCCACTGGATGTTGATATAGAAACACACCACACGCCACATTTCACAAGCACGTGGTTCCCTTCTGTTGTATAAACTTCCTCTTTTAAACACACTCATGCCCACGCGCTCGCACACACACACACACGCACACAAACCTGCAGGTATCTTCAAATTCTACGGACACATTTCCTGCTCCAATGCGGTCGATTTCCCGGCAGTCACCCAGCGCTACCCGGAGTTCCTAGCGTCTGTCCTCACAGCCTGTCTGTCGCCGGAGGATGATACCCGGTGGGGCATAGCTGTCGACACCCTAGGGTTTCTCGGGTCTACCCCACCCGGACGAGAAGCTCTGAATTCCTCCGCTGAGAGGTCGCGAGAGGTCGTTCGGTCGCTTGGTGAAGTCATTGCAAGGGGACGCTCCGACCTTCGCATAAGAGCTCTTCACACATTTTCCGTTATCTTCTCCTGCCCCGAGGATAGCTCTGAAGAGATCAACAAGGAAGGTTGGAGTAGCGAGCAGTACTTTCACCACATCCACCCAGACCTACCGTCGGTCATCATGTCGCTCCTGAAACAACCGTTTGAAGATCTTCTCACTGCAGGTCTCGAATTACTCCGCTCCCTGGCTAGTCACCACTGGGGTCAGAAGATACTGAGTGGACAACCAGGGCTCCTGGAGTTCCTCCTAGACAGAAGACCCAGTCTTAGCAAGTCGGGGAAAGAGACAAAGTACGAGGTGGTGAGTGCACTTGTCAATTCGAGCACGGCTGAAAAGTGCTTTGGAAGTCCGAATTTCCTAAAGTTGAGAAAGTACTATCGCGAGGGACCATTTTTCGTGGTGGGAGAACAGGCAGTAGCTATGGAGGAGTCAGCAGAATAGAACTTTATGTGTACACATGTAATGCCAACGTTATTTATATGCACACAATTAATAATATGTAAAAATTGTGGTAGAAATGTGTATGTGTGTGTGTATCCTTGTTCTTGTACATGATGTAATGCTTAACTAGGTTGCCCACATGGTTGTCCGCTAAGCATGTCTGGTGGTGATGTAATGCTTTCAGGGGGAAGTCCCTCGGTAAAGTCATTAGGATGGTTGTGATTTTCAATTTGGTAAGTTGTAGAAGGTGGCAGTAGGTCGTCTGCTGCTGGACCGTCCCGGCTTTGAAAGTTGGGCGGAGTCTGTCGCGGTGGGATGTGCCTCTGGTGGTGAGGGGGCGGGGTCTGGGGAATGGTGAAGGTGTGACTCTGATAGTGAGGAGGAGGGGAAAATCCCATTGACTGCTGCGACTGGTAGCTATGTGGCGATTGATGGGCGTGGTTTTGCCTGCGATTCATTTCCAGTCTCTGTTGGCAGTAGGCCTCTCTTTGAGCCTGCTGGGCAGGTGTTGGTTGAAACTGTATCACCTGTTGCTGTGGCTGGCCGGCCACGCCGTGCCCAGCGCAGTGCGTTGGTCTCTGCGGGTGGGACGGGCGTGGAGACCCACTTGATACTGGTGGTGGATAGCCGCCTGGCTTTTGAGTCGGGTGCTGATACTGCGTCTGTGTGTAGTAAGTGTGTGATGGAGGTGGCTGAGTCATTTGCTGGGCTCTCTGCATCTCTTGCGTCTGTCGCTGGAGTTCCTGCTGTTGCTTCATCTGTTGGACTGCAGGGTGTGTGTGAGAGTGAGAATCAAGGGTATCTGCAGGGTGTGTGTGGGAGTGAGAATCAAGGGTATATAGCTACCGTACACAAAACCCCTTCTGTCCAAAAAGCTGCATACCTGCACGTAATTTGATAAAACAGCAAGAGGAAGCTAGCTGAGTGTGTTGTGCGGGTACAGCTCATACCTTTGAATTCCCGTACTTTATGCTTCAAGATCTCCAACGTCTTCGTCATGCTAGTCAGTATGAAGAGTTGGGTCCTGTCCCGGCATAGCGAGTTCTGAAACTCGTCGTACGCTACCGAGTCTTTCAGACTCAGCTTGTCCAGGAACACTTCGACCCTAGCAGAGCGCGAGGCGGGCGCGTTGATCTCCTCCGCGTCCCTCTCCGTCATGACAAACTTGGAGCGGAGGTAGGAGACGTGGTTGGCTGGGTCTAGGGAATCGACCAGGAGCCGTCTCGAGCTGGTCAGGACGCTCCTCTTGATGGCGTCCAGCTCTTCCTGTTCGATACGCACCTCCACAGCACTCATCCTTACCTCTTTAGTTTACTACTCTCTCTAGCCACTCGTGTCGTAGTGAAAATTTACTCGCTGATCTTCGGTATGCAGCGCAGATGTTTACAAGCCACGCCCTCGTTGTATGCATTCCGACCACGCCCATATCCTGTGCACTTTGTAGGAGCAGAAGATCGACAGGCGAACGTAGAATGGAGCAAGGAAATCGCCTGAAGCGACTCTCCAACCCTGACCTGCGATGCAGGAACAAGTGAGCTCACGTTATATGCACAATTATCCTGGTAGTTTACCCCAGATCACCAAGTCTTTCCCAACAACCTCGTGTTCCGTACAGGTGCGGGTTCTACGGGAACCCAATCTACATGGGCTTCTGCTCAAAGTGCTACAAGGAGCAGGTGAGAGATGCCCCAGGGAGCCAGGCAACCCCGCTGGTGGCAGCCCAGGACACCACGCCAACCAAGTCAGCTGCCAGCCCAGGTAGTGTTGGTGTGTGTCAACAAGTGCTGATGTATGCTCAGCTAACTTACTCCTCCTCTGCCCTCTATTTTCTCTTGCGCTGCCTCAGGAGCATTTGCAGCATTCACCAAATTCAACGTGAAAAAGAACGTCTTTGCCACAGCAAAAGGGTAAGAAAATATCCCCCATACTATAATCGTAAGAAGTGAATCATACCTGTACATACACACACGCAGGAAAGGAAAGCTGTTTACAAAGGGTAAAGTCACAGCTGGATTTGACCAGCCGAAAGAGAAAAAGAGTAAGCCCCTGTTCTAACGAGTCTCTGGCCCACACGTGATGTTTTGTGTCTCCAGGTAAAAAGTCGAAGGTGTCCGACAACACTTTCAGTGAATTTCTAAAGACGCTTCAGAAACCGGCGGCCAAGGACCTTGTCCAGCACCTGAAATTGTGAGCTGGCAGTCCACTCTGTCTGTGTGTGTGTGTGTTTGTGTGTTAATGCAGCGACCATAGAATGTACTCTGAAAGCGTTGTCTGTTTGGCTGATAGGTTTCACAAGCAGATTACTGACAGAAACGACACTGCAACTGTGGAAGAACAGAGCGAAGCCGTTCAAGAGTTTTACACTGTACGCTGCCTCAGATAATTTGCTGTTACCTCCCTCCACTCCCTCCACTCCCTCCCTACCCCCCCTCTTTCTTTCTATGTTTCCCAACAGTCGATGAGCGAGCGACTGACGACACACACTCTGTTCAGAGACGTCGCCGAGGAGCAGCAGGAAGACATGATGGACGGCATAGAGAAACATCTCATGACAAACATTTTCCCAATGTTAGCTACTCACACACACACACACTTCACCTCTCCCCTCGTCCCCCTCGTTCCCCTCTCTTCCTCTCTGACTCGCAGAGTATACAGCCCTGACTCATGCGACGACGCAATGAGGGACCTCCTACTTGTGAGAAGGATAAGAATGCTCCACTGGCTGGAACCAACTCACCTCGACATCCCTCTTAACCTGCACGACCTCCAGGTGAGGAGAGAACTGTTCCTGCTCCCTACTCTCTTTCCATCATCCCCCTCCTCCTCCTCTTCTCTCTGTCCAGGTTCAAGAACACGTGAGTGCCAGCAGGCAGAGTCTCTGTGACATGGACCAGAAGAAAGCCCCTCAAGACAAGCTCCTCTGCATCTCCAGATGCTGTCAGGAACTCCTGGGTATGAACAACATTTCACAATTGTTTATTGATTCATTTTTATGTGGAGTGGAGGGGGCCTGCACTTGTTACAGGCATCACTTGTTGCTCTCCTATAGTTGAGGCCTATCCGGTCCAACTCAATAAGTGGCATAGTGTAAATTCAGTTTCAAAAGTCAAGTGTAGACCTTCCTTTAAAACTGACAGCCTCTCTGTCTTGTCCACAGCTGCGCTCAAGATTTCCCGTGACGGGCCAGCCAGTGCGGATGAGTTTGTACCGTCACTCATCTTCCTCATCATCTACACCAGTCCACAGACCCTTTACTCCAACATTAACTACATCTCGCGTTTCAGCCACCCAATGAGGATCATGAGCGGGGAAGTCGGTTACTACTTCACTAACTTGGTATGGGGAACTGGCAGTATGAGTGTATGGGGAATGGGTTATGGAGAATGGGAGTATGAATGAAAGTACTGATGTATGGAGCTATGAATGCAAGTATGAACTAATGGGAGCATTGGTGTATGACAGAATGGAAGTATCGGTGTATGAGGTATGGGAGAATGAGATATGAGTGTATGACAGAATAGTAGTATTAGTGTATGAAGAATGAATTACTTTGTACTACAGTGTGGAGCAGTGTCGTTCGTTGAGAACGTGAGGGCCAAGAACCTAAGGATAGAGGAAGAAGAGTTCAACGTGAAGATGGGGTTTGTGAACGGGAAGACTGACATTGACCTGTTCCTGATGGAGGGAGAGGTGGAGGAAGAGGAAGACCGCGAGAGAATCATGGTCCTCGAGGTGGGCACCATTTGGGGAATTCACCTAATGTTCCTCATTCCTGATGCCTATGTCACAACTCACACTGTTTGTGTGTGTGTGTGTGTGTGAAGTGTGCAGGCTCCTCTCACTAGCACATGATTCCTTGTCGAACAGTGTTTATTAGAGGACACACACACTTCCCTTTCACTTCTCTTCTTTCTCCTCTCTTGAACCCCGCCCCCTTCCCCCCTCTCTCTCTTTCAGTCATGTACAGAGAGAATGAAAGAGCTAAGTGGACAGCTGAAACATATGCTGGGAGATATCAATGACCTCAGTCGAAAGGTCACTGAATCGACTCGCGGCCTCACGGAGCAAGTGTCGACCATTCTCAGCATGCCTCCTCCCCGAGTGCTCCTCTATCAGAGTCCCAGGGTGGGGCAGGAGGGCGGAGCCACGGGGTTACCGCCCGGGCGGAGCACTCTGCAGGCTCCGAAAAGGGAGCGTGGTCACGAGAGGAGATGGAGTGGTGATAAGAGGTCTGGTGACAGGAAAGGATTCACTTCAACTCTTTAGTAAACAGACCGTCTCCCATTATTTTCATTTTCCTTCTTGTGCTTCTCAATGTAAAGTTTCTCCTGTACCCATGAGCTTCATGCATGAGAACCAGCCCCACAAAATGAACATTAATAGAAGAACGTCACATGTTTCACATGCATGCGGTTACCATGAAATCGAACTTGGGCTAATAAGTACTATGCAACTATATTATTATAAGCTGGAGCTTGAAAATATCTCACATAACTTCCCAACTAGTGATTCATATAATACACAGAGAGTGGATGTTATTAGTGGTGTCTAGTGCCAATGAGTCGAGTCAGTTCAGATGTAGTCTGGGGACACGAGTGGCTGAGAACTTCTCTTCCGTCTTCATTTACTGCCACGTTGTCCTCCAGTCTTATCCCACATCCTGCCAGCCTGTAGTGAAATACGGTGGGACACCTCTCTAAGGACATCCCTCAAAATACGGACACATCCCTAATAAGGACACCTTTTCTTTCCCGAAGACCCGCAAATTTAACGCCCGAAATGAGGACACATCACACATGGACACTTTCTTCTTTTCGTCTCATTGGTTTCTGGGTTCCCGACTACATGCTACCTCCGAATGAGGGTAGAGGGTACTTTTGAGATCGCCAAGGTATCCCTTATTCAGAGGTTTAGCTGACAAACGCAACACAAGGTTGTGGACTAACGCAGTGGCAGCCGAGGAGCCTTGAAGATGGTAGTCCTGAGGGAGGTACACACCAGGTTCGATGGTCAGTACCATCCCCGGCTCCAGCTCTGTGTTTCTGTCGACCAGCATCGTGTCGTGGGTGTCCAGGCCCAGGTAGTGCCCCAGATGGTGGGGGAATAGTCTACCCATCGTCTGAGAACATTGCAAACACAACACGACCCTTGCAGACTGGATATGTACAAGGCACATGTGAATGCTTCTTGGCCACTTACATTAGAGAGATCGATAGGAGAGAGTCTATCAGACATTAGTCCCATATCTGAGGAGAGAGAGGAAAGGGGGGGAGAGGGAGAGGAAGGGTGAGGAAGAGAGAAGGAGAGACATGATACACTATAAGGCAGCTGAGGTGTTCAGAAGTTCTTACCAATGAGTCCATCAGCCAACATCTCCACAGCCAGTGAATTGAGGTAGTTAAGAGTAACTCCAGCTCTGCACATCTGTACAAACAAGAGTCAACAGATATCACATTACATTAGTGTATGTAACTCTCTCAGAAGAAGAAATTTGGTGAATTGTAGGGAATTACGATTCCTGGATTGTTCACCTCAGTAATTTACTGACTGGGATCTATTTTAAAAATAGATCCCAGTCTATATACTATAGGGAGTTTGTGTGAAAGACCAACTGTTTTAAAACCTTCCTGAACGCATAAATATACCAACCTCGATAGACTCTTGTTTGACCGTCAGCACCAGTTGATACAGGTCTCGCTGAGCAGGAGTGAACTTTCCCGAGACCGGCCACGTTCTAGTAATGTCACTAACATAGCCGAAATACTGACATCCAGCGTCCACTAGAACCATTTCTCCTTCCCTTTAGTAGAGAGAGAGAGACAGTGTGTGTGTGTGTGTGTGGAAAAGAGAGGCTCACAGGAGGTCCCTGTTGTTAGTGATGTAATGAAGACAAGTGGCCCGCGGTCCTCCAGCCACCACTGGTGGGAATGACATTCGCTGGGCTCCAGACATCTTCACAGAGTGCTCAAACACCGACTCCAGTTGGTGTTCATTTAGACCTGGTCTGGTAGCTTCCATGGCCTGTGTGTTCACATACAGTGGAACATCACCAATACTAACACTACGTCCGAAACCACCTCATTAAAGGGATTGTTGCAGCAAGGGGTAAGTAGAGTTAGAAACTGCCACCAAATTAATCACTGGGCGCTACTGTTCAGTTCGTAACATTCCTTTTAGTTTACGTGAGTTTTTCCTCTTTGTTTTCTTGGTTCAAATCACTGTAACTTCTCAATTTAACCTTAGTGAAAGCAAGGCAGGCTATATCGGCAGCTCGTCTCATGAGGACCAGTTCAGCTGGAGACTTGGTGAGCCGCAGCTCTTGTAGCTGGTGACTGGGACTGTGTACAGCTAGCGACACACACACACACACACACACAGAGAGAGGAGGAAAATAATGAATGAGTCTAGCCGGGTTGCCGAGAGCTACATACATTTGATCTTGGAGATTGGGGAGCGAGTGAGGCTGGAGGTAATCAACTGATCTTGCTCGGGGTGTGGGGTACTTTCGGTGTAGTACCACACGGAGTAATCTCCTCCACTGTACCTACATATGCAGTTAACCACTCCGATAGTTAAACAAGGATATGAACAGAGGTATATTGTTGTACCTCTTCTCTAAGTGGTCAGGCAAATCATCCAAGTTGTATGCCTTTAGCACAGAGAGAGAGAGAGAGGAGAGAAATGATATCAGCCCACCCCTTCTCCCCCCTCCCTCCTCTTTAATATTATACCTGATCAACTCCAGTAAAGTCAACGGTTCCCTCTGGCCCCGGGCGAGGTCCATCCCACTGCTCCCTATTAATATCAGACCACGCACAACAAGTTTGAAATTTACAATACTACAACCATTCCACAGGAGAAGGTACGCCTGACTTGGGTTGACACATGGATCAGTGCAGCACGACGTTAGCCCAAAAGTAGGAGAGAGAGAGAGAGAAAGGAAAGAAGAGAAAGAGGGAAGCAGAGAGAGAGAGGGAAGGAGAGAGAGGGAAGCAGAGAGAGAGAGGAAAGGAGATAGTACCTGTGAGGGTCTCTGGGTCTGACGTAGAGTGTGGACGTGTGGCTGGGGAGGGAGGAGTGCGGAATGGTCTCAAGGAGAAGGACGCAGTCCGGTTCCTGGAACCCCGTCAGGTAGAACAGGTCTGTGTTCTGGTGGAACCGGTACCTGACAGAATGGCAGTATGGGAACAGGACCGCGAGAGCATGTGCAGCTTACGGGACATCCTGTGACATGTAGAGAGTGGGTGCCCCGGGGATTATGACGAGATGATGAGGATTCGTCATACCAGTGTGGGTATTGGCAACCAACCTGCATGTGGTGACATCATGTGAAAATCACGTGACCACCCACTCAATCACGTGACATACTCCATTAGTCTTGATCTCCGCTGTGCAAACTCGGCCTTGTCCATCCCTGGAAGAACTGAGAAGAAGAGTCAGTGGACATCAGCAGGTGGGGGTCCATGGCTTACTCTCATCTTCTTGGAGGAGGTGAGGGTGAGTGAAGTGAGACGGTTGACCTACATCTATACTTAGGCTCCTTCCCCTCACCAGTGGGCGGGGCCTCACTCTGAGGTGGGCGTGGCTGGCTAGCCACAGGAGACGCTCGCACTACGAACCAGCAAACAGAAGTAGAAAGTGCTCACAGAAAACCAGTATACCAATTACTTTTCTTCACGCACAAAAATAATACTCACGTAAACACGTGGAGTAGCAAGCACTTTCCGCATCTTCACATAATGTTGGCGCGCGTCAATTAGAAAATGGGCGGGGCTCAAAACGATGAATATTATTATCATAACACTCCCTAAAGTAAAACACAAGGCTATTATATTACACGACGCCGGGATCTCGTGTACATTACTTGTAAGCATGCTCGTAGAAAGTTCTCTGGGGTTGTTGC